CTTTATATGAATAAGATGCATAACATTAGAAGTTATCAACATTTATGATGAAATATAATGACATAATTAGTTTAAAAACTATCATTAGGTTTGGTGTGGTTAAGTAAAGTACCAAGAAAAGGGGGGAGGGTTGAATTAGTTTCTTACGTTTCTATTTGTACATAAATGTGTCAACACAAGTTTTAACACAATCTATGAAATTTATATTTAACTTATTTTAAAGTTATTATCAATGTGAAATAATTACTTTGATTTTTTTTCGTCATTTCTAGTCATGATGAACACATATTTTATATTAATTTACCTTTCCTTAGGCTATGTTAATATTAAAGGATCTCCCTTCTATATTTCTACTATTTTTGATAGAAATACAATTGACTTCACGAACTCAGTTCTTTTATCACAACTATTTAATCTTCACAAAGGTCTTATTCCTTACGGGTAATTCTTAACTCATAGCACCACATGTTTAGGTCTAGGTATATTTCTCTTTAGAGAACAACACCCTTCATGGATGGATTTCAACTCTCAATATCTCATGCTTTAACCTTATCTTTTGTCCACTCACCACGAAAGTTACCTTAAGGCTTGATGGACAAAGACAACCTTTAATGAAATTATTTAATTTATATGTTGTTCTATATGATTGAAAATGATAATTCTTTAATTCTTAAAGCTCATAGTTGTTTCATTGTAGAAGATTGAGTAAGATTAATTTTCTTACTTTTTTGAGTGATATCTATGATTTCTTTTTCATTTATCATTAGCTTCATCTGTTCTCAAGTTCCTCTATTTATACTCCAACGGATAAACATCATGTCAACATCTAAAAATGGTCAAATTAATTTATATATTTTCTTGTTGTTCTATCAGCACTTTAGTGACCTTCAATTGATCTACGGATATTTTTTCTTTTAAGGCTTTACTTAGAGTTGAACATTTGACTTATCTTTAGTCAACATTTTATGTTGAATGGTACTCATAATACAGACTGACTTTCGATCATATTTATACTTAGATCTTCTAACTCATAAGTATTTTGTCTTTGATGTCATGTTTGGAGAGACTCACCTGATCAACATACTTACTTCTTGTCAAGGTTGAGTTAGAATATTATCGTTGAGCTTACCATTTAGTCCACGCACTTTGATGATACGTTACCATCAAGGGTGTAAGAGGTTGACCTTGAGTCTTCATTTACTTTAAAACATGCATGTCTTTCACAAGTGGTCTTTGAAAAAAAATAGAGATATGTTTGACTTCAACAATTGATTTTGCTTTTGATATTAGATTGAAGCTTGGTTGTTTCTTATTTATTATTTTTTTCACATAGGAATCTGACATGTCACCATCTAAATTATGTGGCAACAACTTCATCTCCTTCTTCACTTTGTGTGGGTGGTCCAACTCAACTATCTTGTGAGTTTTGAGTTTGAGTCTTACTTTAGTTACTTACTATGTATATTTACTTTCAATATCTTGACTAGTTTTTCATGTGTTGTTATTTCAAAAATTTAAATTTTGTCTATACTTTGAATTGAATAATTCAACCATCACTTTTTCTGCTTCGTAACTTATTTTCTAAGTTCAAATCTCATGCTTGTCATTACATGTTTTTAATATTTCATATATTTTTCATATTAACACTCTTTTTTTCACATTACTCAAGTGGTACGTTCAAATTTTATTAGTGACTTTGGTTTTTCAAAACATTTGTGAAACTTTGTCACATGTTTCAACACTTATTATATTGTTCTTATAATCAATGAATATAACATTGCATTACTTAAATATAGAAAAATATCTCAAAAGTGCGATTCCTTTGATTTGTTGTTAACCATAAGATTATACATAACATTATGATTTAAATTTATTTAGTGATGAAAATAATTGGATGTTATATTATGATTCAACTCATTAAACAATGATTCATAAATAAAGTTTTCATTATAGCTATATGTTGTTGCCACTGCACTGTTACCATCAACCACCACAACTTATGACCAGCTGCCATTGCGTCATCACACATCACCGATGACTACAGCTCTCCTTTTCTGTCACCTAGAGGGTACTTATAACTGCCTTTACCCCAACCTCCCCCTATCACACAGAAGGACATGACCAGCCCCCTGCCCTAGCTCATGACCAGCCCCCTTCTCTTCTCGCTCTTCTTTTCTCTTAAATCCTTTCATCATAATGGGTGAGTATTGAGCTTGATGTTGGGTCTGATGTAAGCAAGCCACTACCAAGTCCAATATTCATCTGAAAATTTCTAAATAAATTCACATAATTATAACTTTATTTCTTCTGGTTTTTATATACTTTTCTGGCCGATAAACATATTTCTCAAGATGTTGGCCTTGGATATATAGGTGAGTATAAATAAAATCATCAAATGATAGTTTCTCAAGGTTAATAAATAGATTGAAGTATAACTTTATAACATGCACGATAAATTCTATTTTAGTGTTTTGATTCAATCTAATTATATTTAGTATTAATTAATGTAATATTTCATCACATTTGACCTTGATCATCAGCCAAAAAATGATGCATTAACAGAAGTTCTAAAGAAAAAGGAGGAAAGTTTTGAGAGGAGATATAGCAAATGACTCAAGGAACTTTCAAGAAGTGTTTTGGCCAAGTTCTCTCTAGGTGATAGATGGAGACAAGTAGCACAATGATAAGATTTACTAATTATAGTTCCATTTTTATTGTGTTATATTCTTCTTTTGCTTAATCCGTCATATGGATGACAATAGACAATGTAATTAAGCATTTTAATTTACATTTTTATCATTTTTCCAATTGATTCAAAGCGTAGTTTTTATCATTTAGTATCATATATCACTTAATTTTGATAAGGATTCAAATCAAATCATTTTCCCATTTTATAATTGAGCGAGCTTCTCCATTATTAGATAGTTTATGTTTCAATTTCACTTTCAATAGTCCTTTTCTTGATTTTAATTTTTATGGTGAACATTGACTTTGTTACGATCATCTTAATCCATTTATTTTGAAATATTACTAAAAAATTTAAAGTATTTAACCCAAATACTTTTTACTTCACCAAAAGTATGGTTACCCTGCTAGTGGTTATATATTTCTATATCATCTCATTTTTTCTCAATTTAAGTTTTATTTTATGGTCCTTTATTTTTGTAATTTCTTATTGTGTCTTTGTTGGAGTATTCTGTCGGTTTTGAGTAATCTATCAATACTGAACATGGGCACACATCAAATTCAAAATATTTCGAACTCAAACACTTTGTAGAAGACTTAAAGCACTAAGAAGATTATTTTATTTTTGCTCTTTATTTTTCAACTATTTCAATAAAACATCTAGAACAAAGAAATTGATATTAAGATTGATCATAATCCTTGCAGATAACTTGAATTCACCAAAAATTATTTTTAATTCTCACTTTTAATTTAGTTTATAAATATTTGAAATTCAATCATTTTGATAACAATGACTAAGGTTATATCAATTTCTTTGCTCATCATTTTCATCTAAACTTAAATGCTTGAGTGATGTTTGTTAAAAAAATTTAGTGTTGTATCAAATGAATGTAAAAAGTGTATTTTTAATTGGAAAATTTAAGAAAGTATTATATGTAAGTCAGCCTCCTAGTTTCGTGAATTCATAATATATGAAGTTAGTAAATGTATTAGTATATATTGAAACAATTTCTTAGAGCATGACATGAGAGACTAGCCTCTTTTTTATTATAAAATAATTATAACATAGAGACCACTCTATTTCTCATAGAAATATAAAAATATATACTTATTGTTCAAGTGTATATGGATGAAATAGTTTCTAGATTTGTGGATGAAAAATTATGCAAAGATTTTCAAATATTACGAAAGATGGTTTTTAGATGAGCATGATGAGAAACTTAGTTATTTTCTTAGTTTAGAAATAAAATAATTCAAAGATGTAAGTTTTATTTCTCAATTATAATATGTAAAGTAACTAATTACATGCACACATGCTTTAGAAATTTGATTATCTAAAAGTGTGTTATGAAACTAATTCCATATCATAATATTTATTTTACAAATAATTTAATTGATAAAATAAAATAAAAATATGTAGTGTTTGATCTGAAGAGGATTCTTGATTTCTTAAAAATCTAATAAATAAAATTTTGGGTTTAAAGTAGTTAAGTGAAGTACCAAGAGGGGAGTAAATTAGTTTCCTTCATTTTATTCTAGTTTTTTAGTTGTGTAAGTGTGTCGACACATGTTCTAACATGGTCTATTTAAGTTTCTATGTAAATTAACCTAAAACTCTTTTCCTCGTCACTAAGTTACTCTAATTTTTCTTTCTCACTCATAATGATGATGGACACAAATATTTTATATTAGTTCACCCTTCCTTAGGCTACATCTAGTATCATAGGGTCATCCTACCATATTTCTATTATTTTCTTCTGAAATTATAATTTACTTCACATGTTCAACTCTTCCAAATAGTATTTTTTGATCTTCCAAATAGGTATTGACTCGCAACACCACACACTTAAGTTGACATATATTTTTTCTTAGATAAAAATATTCCCAATGAGTAGATATCGAGTCTTAAAATTGAGTAGAACTTCTCCTTAAGCTTGTGTAAATAATGTGGATGAAGATTTCTTCATTCAACATTAACCTTAGTTTGTTCTTAACTCATCTTTATTATAGTCCACTACATTTTTTTATCATTTCAATATTTTAAAACAGTCATATTAATTTTAAAAACTTCAAAGTTGTTATGTTGGTGCTCTACCTTCAATTATTTTTATGTTTAAGTATTCTTCTATGGTGATAGTTGTCTACAATATCGTTTGTATATTCATAATTGAACGACAAACACTTATTCTTCTAAGATCTTACTCAAAGTAGATCATGCAACTTATATTTGGTCCATGTCTTCTATTAATGGGTTATCGTCAATAATTTTTATTGATAACTTTTAATCCTGATTCAGCTCAGATCTTTTAGCTTGTATGTATATCATCCTTGATATCATGTCTAAGATTTTTCATTTGATTAACAAACATTTGTCTTCAAGGTTGAGCTTGTCATTTTGTCTACAAACCCTAATGACGTATTGACGTGACTTAGTTGTTGTATATTAAATCACGCAAATCTAAAATTTATAAAATTATAAAATACGAATTTTCAGATATTTAGAAGTATTTCTGAACAAAAATATCAATTATAATTTAATAAAAGTTCCAAAAATAGTGGTAATTTTCCAGGTCGATCACAGGGATGTAATATAATATCTGGTAATTATTCAGAATTTTCCTCAGAGAATACTATTTTATATGAATTTTATACTAAGAAATGAAAAGAAAATACATTTAAAATTCACGAAAAAAAGGAAATAAGGGTGCGGACGTCAGGATGATGTCAGCGCCCCGCGAATGCGAATCGGGTGGAAACAGAGTTCTGCCCGACGATTCTTACGTAAGCGATTATAGATGATTTAATTAATCAAATTAAGATTTGTAAAAGCTGGAAGAATCGTAATAGAATAAAGTATATTTTGGTAAATTAAAATCACAAAAAATTTCACTAAATGAAGCGTAAATTAAGTTGAAAGTAGGAAAACAGAGTTACGGCGTCGTGACGGCGATGCGTCGGCGATGCACTAGAATCCTGAGCATTCGGGAGGATCGTCGTGTAGTGTCCACGGCCTCGAAGGCTCTCCTTGGACAAAGACGATGTGGGCAATCTCTAGATCTCCTTTCGAAGTCTAGAGATCAATAGAATGGGTCGTCGACTCGTCTCCGGTGGCTGTCACCCGGCGGAGCGGAAAAATGACGACTTTGCGGCTCTCCGGCGGCTGTCACCCGACGGAGATGACCTGGATGGAGGTGGGGCGCATGTTAGGGAGCTTCATCCTCAGGTCCGCGCAGCAAGAGGAGGCTCTTCATCGCATCTGGTACGCTCTCAGGGGGTGGCGACTCGTCTCCTGGTGGATCGTCCTCTTCCCGACGACGGCTTGTTCGTCGATCAATCGGAGATGATTTACTCGATGGATTCGCAATCCTTTTATTGCGAATCGTTCATAAATTTTAGTAGCAATGTTCCGCGAATCGCGTTGACGAGATTTTCGCCGAGGATCCAGCGATTCTCGTTGCTTAATCCTTCACTAGCGATCTGCAGGAAAGTCGCAATAATTAGATAAAAATATATGACTTTTGACTCTAGGAGGATTCGAACCCGCACCGGTCGCCCGCCTCTTTTGAGGAAGGTGTGACGCGGGTTTAGTCCCACATCGGTTGTGCGCCGATTTTTCGGGCGAATATATAGTAATGTTAGCTTTCTAAGCAAAGTCCCTTCTCTTGCGTGTACGACCACTCCTTGCCCCACAACCGACTGGCCACCAGTGACGTGGAAGGGGAGTAGCGCACACGCGCCCTATCGGTCCAAGCCGCTCAAGCCCCTGCTCACGGCTACTCCCCGACTGCGCTTCCGACCTGCTTACGGGCCCGGCTGGCCGGCGGGTCCCCCTATTTTGCAATATTTTTATTTTTATTTCTTGTTCTTCATTTATCTCAAAAGTAAGACTGTAAAAATCATATAAAATCACATAATTACCTAAAAATTCACATTAATCAACTGAAAACCACTTTTCACACTTTAACACAAATATAAGTCTATTTATCATGAGTTAAGGCTAAAACTATATTATTTACTAATTATTAACTCATGATAATAAAGACTTATAACGTATTATTGTACAAGGTGTGAGAGATATACCTTAAGTTCTCATATGCTTCAAAATATGCGGGTCTTTCATATATAACCCTTTGAAGGTTCTTTCTAAAGATTTGTAACACTTCAATAGGACAGAATAACAGGAGGAGAACGACTAGGAGAACGACGACAAAAAAGCTCTTGGATTTTCACCAAAACCAAGGGACGAATGCACGAAAATAAGATAATGACTAGAGAAGAACGCATTGACGAATATCGACAGAATAACAGGAGGAGAATGAGAAAAGCAAGATCAAAATCACGACAAAAAGAAAGAATACACGGAAGGGAAAGAGAAACAAACTGATCAACCATTCTCCTCCCTGTTTTTCTCCATTCATTCCTACTGGGAAGAGAAAGGGAAACAGCTTGAAGAATCATCCAGTTCTGCCTCTCTTGTTTGGTCCCGCAAATAAGAATAAGAGAAGTCAAAGGAGAAAATAAATTATTTGGAGTCTTTGGAGAGTGGATATGGGCCGAGATGAGTGAACCACCATAAAATTTGTCAGGTGACTTTGTTGATGATTATCACGTGAACTCCTATTGTTTAGGTATTCAATGTTTGATTAAAGAAAAAGTAAAATACTATCAAGTCAACCCCTCCACCTTCTTGGTATCATGCCACTACTTAAAGGCCACAATCTAGTACTTTCAAAAAAAAAAAAAGTCAAAAGATTACACAATTAGGAGGGCATCTTAGGATGTGACATCCATATGTCCACTTTCAGATTATGGCAACAAAAATAATATCACTTCAGGTATGATAAAGAAGCCGAAAAGACACTAGACAGTTTTTAGCACATATACAAGATAGTAATAAAATGATTTCGAAGAGTGATGAAAAACCTGTACTTATATTTCTGTCTTCTTCCATTTGGTTACTTACCTAGTCCAAGACTTGGTGTGGTGCCATTATTACTTTTATTGCTTGATTTGTAAAATGAGGCGGCTTATATTTTTTGTTGTGATCAAATCTACAATGTTTTCATACTATTACATACTTTGTGGTGCAAAAGGTTTTTCACTTGCTTGGGGAAAGCCAACGTTATAATATGGTGTGAGCAACATTGAAGAAATATTGAAGGACTTACGTAGAGCAGGAAGAAAGACACTACTAAGATCAAAACGTTTCCATGGAATATGGTATATTGCTGACATTTGTACAGAGTTTAACCATACATCATCAATTTTACTCAAGTAAATGTGGGATTTTGGACTTCTTTTCCAAGCTTTGCATTATTTTTTTATAAATACGCTTTAACTACAACACCAATACCGAAGTTCTGCAAAGAGATGACTACCTTCCCTTTAATTTATACAGTCAACATCAGCCATGTGGCCGAGTTGTAGCAAGTTCTTAAAACTTGTCAGTTCAACGGACACATGAGGCAAGTGGCAGCGAATGGTTCAACGTCCGTGCCTAATTTGCAAATGGGTTGCACAAGCACTACATCACTTCCAGCGAAGCTCAGGAAGAGGGCAAGTGCACAGTGCTACGGTCGCCTCTCCCCAAGGAGGAGGAGCACCTGTCCACCAAGGTTACAACGGTTGGCGTGGCGGCTTTCCCGCCACCAGTAAGAATGGAGCCCATTAGTAGAGTAGACTAGAGTACGAGATCCAGTCCTTTCCATTTACGTTGTTCTCCTTCCTCCCCATTAAATAGATGACGGCATCAGCGTCACTTTAGCAAAGCTCAGGAAGAAGGCAGCGCACGGTTCTTCGGTTGCCTGTCCCAAGGAAGAGGAGTATCATGTCCACCGAAGTTACGACGGCAGGCGCGGCGGCTCTCCTTAAGAGTGGAGAACTTGGCGGGTAGCGGCATTGCCACCATTCCCGCTGAGTACATTCAGTCGGAGGAGGAGCGTCCCACCCTTGCCGACGCACTAGACGCCGCCAAAAATTTGGACGCTGGGCCGAAGATTCCGACGGTGGATCTCGCCGGCTTCCAGTCCGGTGATGAAGAGATGAGGTGCAGGTGCGTGGAAGCCGTGCGGAAGGCGGCGTCGGAGTGGGGAGTGATGCATATTGTCAACCACGCCATCCTTCTGAAGCTGATCAAGCGCATGCAGGAGGCCGGGGAGAGATTCTTCTCGCTGCTCGTGGAGGAGAAAGAGCGTTACGCCAATGACCAGTCGTCGGGAACATCCAAGGCTACGGCAGCAAGCTTGCAAACAATGCCAGCGGCCGGCGAGCGTGGCAGGACTACTTCTTCCACCTCGCGCATAGTATAAAACTTTTTCCTTCGGTATAAAAATCACAGTAAATAAACATGTTTCATCATAATATCTATTTTAGGTCATCATTACAGTTGATACTTGCTTGATTTCATGCTGGACATGTTCCATAATGACATTCTACGTTTACTGACTGCTCAGATGCAGTCTAAGCATCAAGCCCAACATCATGGTAGGAAACGTCGGCAGAAATATTTTAGGCAATCAGTCCCTAATTGCCAAGAATGGGAAACTAGAAACTGTGGTCAGTATAAGAAGAAAGGAATTTGCCTTCTACTCTTTTGACTCTTCTCTCTTTATTTTGTTTCTTTCAATGTGGATATTACCATGAATTCATCAAAATTCAAAGTGACAAATAAACATGCACGAATAGTATCTGGCCCAAAGAGCCGTCCAACTACGCGTAAGAACCTACACATTGCTCTTGTCTGGCTCTCTTATTTTTTTCTCTTTATTTTCGAGTTTTCAATCAGTTGTCTGTCCTTTCCGCCTCCCTTGCTGTCTAGGTGAGGAGACGAAGGACTTCGTACGGCAGCTTAGACCGGTGGTTAACAATATGTTGGCCATGCTATCTGCGGGGCTCGGCCTGGAGGAAGGCAAGCTGGAGGAGGAGCTGGGCGGGATGAGTGATCTCCTTCTGCAGATAATGCCAAACATGGCCGTGGGTGTTCCGGCCCACACGGATGTGAGCGCCCTTAGCTTCATCCTGTACAACATGGTGCCGGGCCTTCAGGTCCACCATGGAGGCCAGTGGGTGACGGTCGGATCCTTGCCAGACACCATCATCATGCACGTCGGCGACGTCATCGAGATCCTCAGCAACGGGAGGTAAAAGAGCATCCTTCACCGCGTCCTCGTCAACAAGGAGAAAGTTCGCATCTCCTGGGCTGTTTTCTGCGAGCCCCCGCCAGATAAGATCGTTCTTAAGCCCTTAGCCGCGCTTGTTCACGAGGGATCGATGGCTAAGTACCCGCCTCGCACGTTCTGCGAGCCCCCGCCAGATAAGACCATAAGCTCTTCCAGCTAGGAGCCCTTGTCCACAACCATATAGCCGATAACGTTGCCAATAAATATCTCGAATAAAATCGTAGGTGATGCCCCTGGTCTGTGTCGTAACGTAAAAAAGAGACGATACACGAGATTACCTGTATCGTCATTCCACGGACAAACCCAGGGAGAAACCTCCAAGGGGGGATGAACGTATCATACATTCTTCCCTCTCACAGGGAACACCCTCCCACATGTGGATACCCCCGCTCCTCCATTTTTCCTTCCACAGAATACAACGATCTCCCACTTGGAAAGAAAAACTCTCCCCACGCCGCACAACGAATCCCTTTATATGCGTCGTTCTGCCCGCGATGATCCCTCGAGTACTCTCCTCGCGTATTCCACGTCGCGCCCACGAACATCTTTGTGCACGTCTCCTGACTGCTGCTGCATCATGCTCCCACTCCACGAGAGACGTCAACGAGCTCCCTGTACTCCCATGTTCCAATATGTGCTGTCCGCGTCGCCTGCAATTCGCACGAGGTTCCACGCCGAAGTGATCTGCATCACTCCAGCGCACTGCACCTACGTGCAGTATGCGCCACACCAGTCACTTCTCGTGTCTGTCGCTCATTGGTCTAGTTCCAATGGGCTGCATACCGCATAAGACAATCCGGCAATCATCACAGTTTCACGTACCTGTGCTGTTCCAAGCGCCCGTTGCGCCCGTTCGATGGGAGCGCTGCGCACGGTCTTCTGTGCCAGCACCCTCGCAGGTTCTCCCCACGTTGTCCCGAGGCATCGCACGTCCTTCCTGCACGATTACCCGTGCCAGCGCAGCCCCTGCAGCCGCGCATCTCGCTGCACGGTGAAGCGCCAAGGTTGTGATCGCGAGATCCTTCACCGCCCGTCCGATGCCATGCCTTCATGCGAATCCTGCCATTATGACAAACACCTGCAGTGCATCGAGGCCTGGCGTTGTCATCCGCCCAGGTCACGCGCTCTCACGGTGAGCTTCAACCGCTCACAGGTGTCGCGCTGTTCTGATGTCGTTCGTTCCATGCTGCGCATTTTGACTAACACCTTCAGCGCGTCCAAAGCTGTCGTGACAGCATCCTTCCGGGACGGATTCTTCCGTGCCAACGCCGTTAGGCACGACTCTGCGCAACTTCGCGCATCTTCAACCTTCCCCATCGCCTGGTCGATCCGCGACCGTCGTCACCCAGCCACTCCGCGAGCATCCTCGCTAGGCTGTCCAGAGAGCGTCCTCGCTTCGGCCACCCGTGACCGTCGTCACACAGGCCACTCCGCGTCCTTAGTCGCCCGGCGCTGTTCTGCGCCGTTCCAGCTCGCGCCGCTAGCTTGCAGCCAAGGCCTCCCGCGACCGTCGTCGCCTTAGCCGATCCACAACCGTCGTCGACCAGCCATTCTGCGAGTATCCTCGCTTGGCTATCCAGCAAGCGTCCTCGCTCAGGCCACCTGCGACCGTCGTCAGACAGGCAACTCCGCGACCTTAGTCGCCCGGCGCTGTTCTGCGCCGTTCCAGCATGCGTCGCCAGCGTGCACCCAAGGGCTCCGGCGACCGTCGTTGCCTTGGCCGATTGTTGAGGCCCTAACCTCAACTAATCATCCACGTGGCCGGGATACTGGATGGTTAGCCGGTAAACGACCAAGGAGACATCGGCGACAGAACGGCTAAGACGAACCGGTGGACCGCGACAGTAAGGAACACAAGAAGAACGAGAAACAGAGGAGAATTGCCGGAGACCCGCCATCTCGAAGAGGTGCCTGCTGAAGAGTTCTTGCGAGAGCTCTTATCCCCTACCATCCCCCTCAGTGTGTCCTTCCCTAAGCTCCTTCCTTTTCCGGAGGTTGAGGATCCTCTCCTGTACGTGACCTTAGTTCAGCAAACCACCTTGTTCCGTTCTTGATTCTTGGGGTTCATCAACCTTCCCGGCCAAGAGCATTGGCCGGTTCAACTAGGTATTCATCACACTGGTATCAGAGCACAGTTGGCCTTCCACCATTCCGCCCAAGTCCCAGGACAGCCGGCTGGAACTCATGGAAAAGGAGTTCAAGAAATTTCGCTCGGAGCAACAGCAGCAGTTCACAGCTGTCAAGAGTCTTAGAGACACCCTCCGAAACGAATAGGCCGAGTTCAAGTGCCAGCTGGCAGACTTCAAGCATGAGCAAATGACGACGGATCAACAGCTCAGCGCCATCGCTAGAGCCCTCGAATCCCTCCAGCTCACCATACGTCTAAATTTTCCAACTTCCACCCATGGACCAGGAAAAGAGAAGGGGCTGTCCGATGAATGGAACTCCGGGGAACCCAGCTACGGAAGATACTATCCTCTCAAAGGTAGAGGGGCAGGAACCTCAGGATACCATAATTCAAACGTACCAAACAACGGGCATCCGGTCGCCCTGCCCTCCGGTGCACCGGTTTCGAGCTCTCACCGACAACAACCCGAACTGTGGCAAGGGCGTAAATTAGAAATACCCACCTCCCACGGGTAAAGATCTGAGAGCTGGATCTTCAGAGCGAAGCTGTTTTTCTCCAACTACGGGGTTCCTGAGCAAGAGAAACTCAAATTGGTAGGCCTGAGTATGGATGGGCTCGCTCTGCACTGGTTCCAATGGGCCATGGACCGTCCCCCTTCCAGAAAGCGACGATTCACAATCATCTATTGGAAAAGTATAGCCTGGATCAATCTAATTCCTTGTAGGATAGACTCCAGAGCCTCCGCCAGCACCTTACGGTGGCCAAATATCGACAAGATTTCGAGCTCTTCACGAGTATCCTTCGAGATATTCCGAATCCAATGCTGACAGATACCTTCTTAAATGGTCTCAAGGAAGAAATACAGACCGAGGTCTGTGTGCTTCATCCGAGGGAACTCGAGAAAATGATGAAGACGGCCCCGCAAGTGTAAGCGAAGGTCAACACCTTGTCCCACTTGTCCACAGCGAACCGGCCTAGACCCCCCAGACCCACGGAGGAGTTGAGGATCGCTCTGGAGCCTCGTATGTCGAGAATGCCGGACTCCGGCCACAGTAGGCGATGGGAGGAAGGCCGGGTGACCGGGGTCACCCCAGCCGACTCAAGAGCAGCGGACATCAATGCGCCGGATCGGAGGAAGAAACTGAACCTCACGGCCACGCAGATACAAGAACGGCGGGTCAAAGGTATGTGCTTCCATTTCAATGATAAATTTTCTCCCTGCCACAAAAGTCTCAAGGAATTACATATCCTCTCCACGCCTACGGAGACGGATTTCATGGAGCTCCGAAGATCAACTGAGGAGACCATCCAAGTTCAAGGAACCATCGTCAATATGGAGGCAATACTAAAGTCCCTGACGGACAAATATGAAGCTCTAGAGTTTCGTGGAAAAATTGGAGGCAGACCCGTCACGATCCTAGTGGACATTGGTGTGACTCAACTTTATTAGCGATCGAGTGGCCCGTGAACTGCCCCCTGATCCAAATTCCCTGGTACAAGGTCGTCACCGGGTCCGGTGAGAAGGTGGATGGCATGGAGCTCGCACCTCATATTTCACTAGACTTGTAGCACATCCACATATGCGACGATTTCCTTTTCTTTCCTCTGGCCACGGTGAAAGTCGTCCTCGGAATGAAATGGTTGAAGTCTCTCTGTCAGTTAGATATGGACCTTGATGCAGGTATGTTATCCTTCCGCCCAAGAATGGAACGGGTGGTACTTAAGATAGAGCAAACGGGAGAACAGCCAGAAATCGCACTGAAGCCCATATCCAATTGTATGAAGACTAGGGACTGCTGCTTTGAGCTCTTCTAACTATCGACGGCCGAGTTGAGCGCAGATCCCATTAATGAGGAGGAGCGGCTAAGACAGAAATTTCTAGAGGTGTTCGCCGAGCCTCACAACCTGCCACCACAGTACGAGGTTGACCACCATGTCAACTTGAATCCAAATGTTGGGCCCATCAACATCCAGCCATTCCGATACCTTACTTCCAAAAGGTGGAGCTGGAGAAAATGGTAGAAGAGATGCTTTAGGCCAGCATCTTACAACATTCATTAAGCCCTTGCTCGAGCCCCGCATTACTGGTATGGAAGAAAGACAGAACTTGAAGGTTTTGTGTGGATTATTGTGCCCTCAATCAAGCCACAATCTGTTGACAGTGTCAATCAATCATAGTTGACCTATTCAGGAGACGTGCAAGAGAACCTCTCCCATTTCAACCATTCGGGAGACGAGAGAGAAAGTTTTCCTATCTGACTCATTTGGGAGACATGCGATGAATAAGGGGGCGGTGACATGATAGTCACATCGACCCTTATGACCTGTTCAAAGGTCATGCAGACAAAGAACGAGGGTGGTTGCAACTATCACATCCAAGATGTGTGGGCTCAATTACACAGATTGAGATGCTTCCTTTTAGGAAGTAATTATCTTTTCCTATTTTCTATAAATAGGGCATGTATTTCTCCTTTTTTTAATACGACGGATGACAATTTCTCTCTTGGGTCTATTATTTCTCTCCATTAATTATATTCTTTTTTATATCTTCTCTCTCTTCTATTGCAAGTAAAGTTGTTATAGAAGGAGATAAGAGTCTATTATTGACTCTTTAATGTGTGAGTCATCTCAAGTACATTGAGACGTGGATTAGAAGTGTTTAGTTAAAGTCTTGTTCTCATCAGGATTCTTGATAACTTGGTGATTTCTCTTCTATTTCTTCTCATATATTTAGAAATTTAGTTTATGCGATTATTGTGATCCTGTGTTTGCATATTTTCTCCTACAAGTAATATCAAAGTATTGATTTTATTATTTCTGAACTTACTATAACTTTTAAGGTACATATTAACATCTAGAAATTAGATAAATTTTTTAGCTTAAATCTCTAGAAGAATCATGTGTATAATGCATTGTTGTAGATTGTCTTGTATAAGACTTTGGATGGTCCAAAGTCAGACAAGATCAGTGTTGATGATTGAGAGATAATAGAAAAGAAGGTTGAAAGTTTTATTCATACATGTCTTATTTAATTAGGCTCTTCAATAGGTCATGCATGAATACAATTCAAATTTTTTTTGGAAGAAGTTAGAGAAACGATGTGTACCAAAGTCGATGATGAGTAAATCGATATTGAAGAAAAGCTATTTGGGTTACACATGTCAAATGGAGATGATTTAATATCCCATATTGATTATTTTAATCAATTACTTAATGACTTATTTTGTATGGAATCGAATTTTTCTAATGAGAACAAAGTTATTATTCTGCTTATTTCTCTCCCTAATTCATATGATCATCTTGTTATGACCTTATTGTATGGCAGTACAACACATGTTCTTGAAGATGTTATTGATTCATTGATAGAGTATTATCATTAGAAGAAGAATCTTGGTAAGGCTTGTGATAAAGGTTTATATGTGAAGGATGAAAAAGATTGTGAAAGTCATAAACAAATTGATTGAAAAATTAAACTTGTCACAAATGTCATGAGATAGGACACTTACAAAGAGATTGTCTGAAAAATCAGAGTAATAAGACAACATAAGATGAATCTAATTTGACTAATATTACGAAGGTTGAAGATAGAGAAGATAGTGAAGTTTATTATGAGCTTGTTATAGTTGAGAAGTTATCGAACACAGATTCTTTATACTAGTTGTTCTTATCATATGTATCTTAATACTAACTAGTTTGACTCATAAAGGGGTGCAACAAAAATTATTTCTACGAGAAATAATTCAGCTTGCGAAGTTGTGGGCATTGGTTTGGTGAAGGTTCAAATATTTGATAGAGTGGTTCGAGAGTTGAAAAATATTTGTCATATTCCAACATTACATCAAAATTTGATTTTATTTGGAATTATTATGAGTGAATGGATGTTGCCTCAAAAAAGAGAATAAGATCCTCAAGATTAAATAAGGATCACTTGTTGTGATGAAGTGAAGATGTCAACGAGCAAATATTTATAAACTTGAGGGGAGTATTATTGTAGGTAGAGTTTGTGTTACGACATCAGATGATTCCATAATTGATGATATACTTTTATGACACTTGCGATTGGGTCATATGAGTGAGATATGTATGTAGAAGCTACATGTATAAAGATTACTACCTAGTGTGAGAACTTATAAATTGAATTTTTACAAGTACTATATCACGGGAAAATAATATAGGGTGACATTTAAAGTAGCAAAGTATGATATGGGTGGTGTGCTTAATTATGTTCATTCAGATATGTGTGGTCTAGTTGATGTGATGTTGATGGATAATGCTCGATATTTTTTTACTTTTGTTGATATTTTTTTTTAGAAAAGTCTAGATATTTTTCTTGAAACATAAGTCTGAAGTATTTACAAAGTTCAACACTTAGTGTGCGAATGTAGAAAATTAGACGGAGAGAAAGATCAAAGTCTTGCAGACTAACAATGGTACAAAATTTAAGAATTTTAAATTTGATCAATTTTGTGATGAGCATGGTATTCAACGTCATTATACAGTGAATAAGACTTCATAGTAAAATGGTGTTGTTGAGCGGATGAATAGTACAATTGCTGAAAGAACACGATATTTATGGTTGAATGTTAACTTACCTAAGAAATTCTGGGTGAAAATTGTGAGTATGATAGTTTATTTGGTGAATAGATCACCAAATTCTACTATTGATGAGAAAGTTGTTGAAGAGGTATGGACTGAAAAGCCTATTAACTATTCGAATTTACATATAGTTAGATGTTCAAGATTCTTACACTTGTTGATGAGAGATCGAAGCTAAATTCAAAATTAAAAAAATATATCTTCTTAGGCTATAACGATGACATGAAGAGCTATCGACTTTTGTAATGATGTGACGTGAAAGGATATCAACTTTAGAAGCGAAGAAAGTTATTTTCAATTAAGGATATGATTTTTGATTAAGATCATATGTTGAAGTCTATTTCTATAAAATAGAAGGTTCAAAAATCTAATGATATTCGAGTTGTAGACAAAGTAAGGCTAGAGGTGGAGATTGTGCAAAGTCCTCCTAGTTTTATTGTGAATGAAGATTGAATTGTAGAATCATCAGATTTCCTAATTATATTACTATTAGATGGAGTAAGTGTGAAGTAAGCCTCTTACTCCCCTTGATAGTTATGTTGTCTTTGTATTATTTATAAAAGATGACAAGCCCACAACTTTTTAAGAGATAATTAATTATTATGAAAAGAGAAGTTAATGTAAGCGATATCTGAGGAGCGAGTATCTTTAGACAAGAACCACACTTGAGAATTAGTAGATCTTCTTGTAAGGAAACGAGCTATTGGGTACAAATGAGTGTACAAGAAGAAGTTACTGATGATTGATGATGATCAGTCACAGTACAAGGTAAGGCTTGTTGTAAAAGACTTTACATAAAAATAAAAAATTAATTATATACAAATATTTTACATGTTGTAAAGTACATGTTTATTTGCTTGGTGTTAGTCATTGTCGCACATGAAGATATGAAGCTTGAGCAATTAGATGTGAAGATAACATTCTTTCATGGAGGTTTAGAAAAGATTATTTACATGTAGTAGCTAGAAAGTTTCATTATATAAGAGTTAAAATATCTTGTTTGTCAATTGAAGAAATCTCTTTATGCATTAAAGTAGTTATCAAGACAACAATATAAAAAGTTTGACTCTTATATGATGAAGATTTAATACATGAAGTACGATTTTGATTGTTATACTTATATGAAGACTTATAATGATGATTTTTTGATTATTTTAATACTCTATTTTGATATGAAGGCACTATTGTATAAGAAATTTGATATGAAGAATTTTGAAGTGGCAAAAAAGATTCTTGACATGAAAATCTATAGAGACTAAGAGTTAGGTCAACTATGATTGAATTAGAGTAGTTATCTCTCGAAGGTGGTGGATCTGTTTGACATGAGTAATGTTAAAATAGTAAGCACTCCTCTAATTAGTCATTTCAGATTATCTACTACTCACTGTCCAACATCTGAGGAAAATATTACTGAAATAAAGCAAATTCTTTATGTTAGTATAGTTGGTTCTCTCATGTATGCTATTATTTGTACTAGATTAGATATTGCTCATGCAGTTGAGCTTGTGAACAAGTTTAAGAGTAATTTAAGAAAGGAACATTAGAGTGTAGTGAAGTAGATTATCTGATATCTAAAGAGTTCTTTAGATTTTGAAAATAATTTTGACCGACAAAGTTGACTTTCTATTATTGACTTTGTTGATGCAGATTTTACTAAGGATTTTGATGGTCAAAGATTTATGATATATTTTTATTGTGACTAGTGAACCTATTAGTTAAAAGTCTACACTTCAGACTACTATTACATTATCTACAACTAAGGCGGAGTACTTGACAACTATTGAAGCGGCCAAGAAATTCTTGTAGTTGAAGAGATTATTGAACAAACTTGAGATCTAACAAGGTGAAGTTTCTCTGCATTATGATAGTTAGAGTGCTATTTGCTTAACAAATAATCAAGTCTATCATAGCATATTGATGTGCGATATCATAAGATCCGTGAGTTGGTAAATTCTAGAGATATCTATCTAGAGAAGATTCACATGGAGGAGAATGATGCGAAAATGTTAACGAAGGTCATCACATTAGAGAAGTTCAAACATTATTTGAATTTGATTCATATTGTAGGTACCTTATAGAACGTAGAGAACTTGTAATATGGACAGACGTCGATTCCGGGTGCAGCAATGATGGCTGCCAAGGTGGAGTTTGTTGACGGTGTCAATCCATCATGGCTGACCCTTTGGGGAGATATGAGAGAGAGCTCTCTCATTTGACTTGCTCAGGAGGCGTGCGAGGAGTAAGGGGTGGTGACACAATAGTCACCTCAACCTTTATGACTTGTTCGAGGGTTGTGCAGACAGAGAACGAGGGTGGTTGCAATCATCACATATGAGATGTGTGGGCTCGACTACACATAGATCAAGATGCTTCCTTTTAAGAAGTAGTTATCTTTTCTTGGTTTTTTTAAATAGGGTATGTATTTCTTCTTTTTTAAGTACGATGGACAATAATTTTTCTCTTGAGTCTATTGTCTCTCTCTATCAATTTTATTCTTTTTCTTGGTATCTTCTCTCTTTTTTATCGTAAGTAAAATCCTTATAGAAGGAGATAAGAGTTTATTATTGACTCTCTAGTGTGTGAGTCATCTCAAGTACATTGAGACATGAATTAGAGGTGTTTGGTTGAAGTTTTTTTCTCATTAGGATTCTTGATAGTTTAGTGATTTCTCTTCTATTTTTTCTTATTGATATTTAGAAATTAAATTTTCGTTGTTATTGTAATCATGTGTTTGCATATTTTTTCTTACACAATTTATGATCACTTTCTCATTCTAGTGGTGCCAGAACTCATAGACGAGCTCCACTACGTGAAGGTCTTCTCCAAACTTGATTTAAAAGCAGGGTGTCACCAAATTCACATTAAGGCAAAGGACGTCCTGAAAATGATGTTCCGCACTCACGAAGGACATTACGAGTTTCTCGTAATGTCCTTTGAGCTCACCAACATTTCCACCACCTTTCAAGCACTGATGAACTTAATTTTCTTTGTTGATATTCTAATCTACAGCCAAGGTCCTGAGAAGCACGAAGGCCATTTGAGTTCAGTATTAAAAATTCTGGACCAACATTAGCAATGAATTCATCTGAAGAAGTGCTTCTTTGAGCAACATCAGATTGCCTACCTCGGGCATTGGATTTCTGTTTTAGGGGTCGAGATGGACCCGGGGAAGATCCAAGCCATGTAGAAGTGGCCTACCTTCATGAATCTCCACGAGTTGTGATGATTTTTGGGCATGTCAGGTTACTATCGGTGATTTATTGCAGGATACGTGTCAATCTCTTGCAGCCTAACCCAGTAACTAAAATGCGATGCATTCTTGTGGGGAAAAGAAGCAGAAGAAGCGTTCCAACAGCTCAAGCATGCGTTGACCTTCGCTATAGTCCTTGCATTGCTGAATTTTTTGATGACATTTGAATCGAAAGCAGACACGTCGAACAGGGGCGTGGGAGCCATCCTAATGCAGAGGTGGAGGCCAGTCACATAGCTCAGCCAAGGACTGTCCACCGTTAGGAAATTCATGGCCATTTATGACCGTGAACTGGTGACTATCGTATTGGTAACTCTTAAGTGGAATTATTACCTATTGGGTGGGTAATTCATTTTCACAGACCAAGGGAGCTTAAGATTTATTTTGTAGCGACATGTACTGTCAAAATATCAAAAGTAGATATCTAAATTGTTGATCTTCAATTCGAAATTCAATATAAAGTCGAAACAAGGAATCGAGCGGCGGATGATTTGTCGTGAGCCTCCAATAGTGTGTGGCTTCAGGAATTCCAAGTGTCACAGCTGGAACTGCTAGACCATGACATCATCATACTTATCAAACCTGCAAAACCAGCTTCGTCATTAGTTGGAGAGATGGCCAACGTATGTGGTGCAGGACGAACTGATATTCCAGAAGGGGCAACTGTTGATTTCAGAGCAGTCCCGCTCATTCCGGCCATCCTACAAGAATTATATGACTCCCACACCGGTGGACACTCGGGGTTTCACTGCACATACATAAGAATAAAGCAAAAAGTCATGCGGAAGGGAATGAAACGCCAAATCTGGCACTACGTCGCCAGCTGCTCAGCCTGACAGTAGAATAAGTCCGAAAATTTATCTCTGGCGGTACTACTCCAACCACTCCCCATTCTATATAGAATTTGGGTGGACATCACCTTGGACTTTCGTGGAAGGCAAGCCGCCGTCTCAAGGGTTTAACATAGTGATGGTGATCATCGACCGGCTCAGCAAGCATGCTCATTTCTCACCGCTGAAGCACCCGTTTCCGACAGTTCCCAGACTTTCACCTTGATGACAAGGTGCATTGTTGAGGCCATAACCTCAACTAATCATCCACGTGGGCCGAGATCCTGGATACGGCTGCAGGAGTGATACGCTTACACGGATCTTGTGCAAGTGGCAGCCGAACGGTCGTCCGCGGCCGGCGTACGTTGGGATCTGCCTAACGGACAGCAGGGATGGTTGGGCCGGTAACCGACCAAGGAGACATCGGCGACAGAAAGGCTACGGCGAACCGGTGGACCGCGACTATAAGGAACTCAAGAACGAGAAACGGAGGAGGATTGCCGGAGACCCGCCATCTCGAAGAGGCGCCTGTTGAAGAGTTCTTGCGAGAGCTCTTATCCCCTACCACCCCCCTCAGTATGTCCTTCCCTTCCCTAAGCTCCTCCCTTTCCCGGAGGTTGAGGATCCTCTCCTGACTTGGTGATTCTCGGGGTTCATCAACCTTCTCGGCCAAGGGCATTGGCCGGTCCAACTGGGGTATTCATCACCGATCCACGACCGTCGTCGTCCAACCATTCCGCGAGTATCCTCGCCTGGCTATCCAGCGAGCGTCCTCGCTCAGGCCACCTGCGACCGTAGCCGCCCGGCACTGTTCCACGTCGTTCCAGCGTGCATCGCTTGCACGATTCCCACACGGGGAACTCCCCCTGTCCGACACAGTTTAGCGCCAAACCAACACAAACCATCAGCGCGGCTACGCTCCAGTGCGCGCTTCTCATGCGGCTCCTCCTGAAGAACTGGTGCCGCTCCACACGGCACTGTACGCCACCGCGCGCCTCCAGCCGTGCGGACCATTGCGCGGCATCTAGCCGCGGGGGCACTGCGGCTTCGGAGGCCACCGTGGTTGCTCCCTCCGCCGCGAGCGTCCTCCACGGCCGCCAGAGCTCCCACTCGAACAAAACTATACCCATCTACGCTGGTCTCACCTGCGCTCTGATACCCACTAGTTAGGATCGGACCGGCGATTCCACGGGAAAGCGAATGTTTTCTACACTCTTCCTTCACGCAGGGAACACCCTACTGAGGAGCTCAATCGATCCAGTGGGTAGGGCCCATTATAGACCTGAGGGGGGGCGCGGGGGGGGGGGCATTATTTATTCATATGTTTTTGTTTGCTTATTGATTTGAATCGATGCATTCATAAGATAACAGTATTTGTGTAGATCATAGAAAATATATAGATTAATCATTAATGTGCCTTGTCTTTTCTAATTGCCCATTTAATCACCACATTTGATGAAGGAGGGAGGCAAAGCCGTCTATGAGAGGGAGAAACAATACTTTCGTGAACCAGTTATCACTGACACGAGTGGCCCATTTGTGGGTAGATTGGGATAGATAGAATTGGCCCAATAATGAATGGACTGGTTCCAGTGGACAAAGGAGGAAACAACTTAGTTGAATGTTTCCCATAGAAATAGCTGCATATGGGTAAGCTTTTAGGGCACTTTCTTGAGGCCTGCCTATGAAATGTTTATTGAGGTCATCCTATGAGCCTATAAATAGAGAGCCCTGCCTCATATATGCATGTCATTAGGTAGAGCTTGGGATAGGTTCCAAGAGAAAATCTCTTGTTGGGTTTGGGTGAGTGCTTTAAAGGCAAAGATCATGGATTTGCTCTTTGGGTTCTTGGTGAGAATTCTCCTATATTCTTTCTGATCTAATGGAGCCTCTACTATCACCAGTGCTCCTGGTGTGAGTTAATTCTTCTGTTCTTTTCTTCTTCTTGTTGTACGGATCATAAGAGTAGTGTTCCACAAGTTAATAATGGATTTTTACTCTTACAAGTTGCATTTATTTGTATAGTGTTTTTTAGTGTATATATGTCATAATAGTATAGTTTTATTTTTAAATGTGAAAGTTGTATTTTTAAATAAAAAGTTAATAAAAATTATATTTAAGTCAAAATTTTAGTTTCCTGAATTTAGAATATCCTAATCATGTTTTGAAATTAGAAAAGATATTATATAGACTCAAGCATATTTGTAGAGCATTGTATGACAGATTGATGTCTTTTTCATTAGAAAATAATTTTAAAAGATGGAGTGTAAAAATCACTCTATTTACTGAAAAAAAGAAAATATATACTTTTTGGTCAGAACTGTATATATAGCACTTGTATATATAATTCAGAAATGAAAAAAAGTGAAAAGATGGAGTTTTTAGATCTAGGGAAGAAAAAATATCATGTAAGTATTTGCAAATACCATGAAAGATGAGTTTAAAATGAGTACGATGGATAAACTTTTATTTTCTTTGTTTATAAATGAAATAATTAAAATATTTAATTTTAATTTATTAACTAAAATTAGAGGTCACTTGAGCTTCTTCTAGACCTATAGACGTATTGCCTAGAACTTCTATTGATGGGGAATGAAGACTTGCACTGTGGAGCATGTGGCTAAGTGCACCATCTACCACCAACATAAGACTGATGCAACCCTGACTATTAGAGTGCTATATTTTTTTACTCATCTCAAACCAAGTGTGGGAGGACTTGACGATGGACTTGACGATGGACTTATCAACATCGAGTAACAAAAACTCTATCTTGGTGATGCTGGATCACGTCACCAAATATAGTCACATCATTAATTGAAGGCATCACTTCTTAACAGAAAACATAACTAATTTCTTTGTTAGGGAAGTGATTCAGCTGCATGGTATTCCTAAATCCATCATCTTTGATTATGATCAAGTTTGGGAGGAAGTCTAGTTATTTTAGGGGATGAACCTCAAGCACATCACATCCTTTCACCCATGGATGGATGGATGGATAGTTAGAGTAAGTCAACTGCTGCCTAAAAACGTATATGTAGTGTTTCTCCTTTGAAAAACCCAATAGTTGGGGTCAATGGCTGCCATGGGTAGGTAGAGCTATAGTATAAAATCCCCTTTCATGCTTTCCATGGTAGAGATCCGCCACCAATTATTTCGATGAGATCTCAATTGTTTCCACTGAAGGAGGTTGTGGAGGATCTTGAGGAACATGATGGCATGTTGGATCTCCTTAAGGAACACGTCACCCAAGCCCAAGCACGAATGAAAAAAACATACAAATCAAATGTGACAAGAGTCTCTTGTTCATGGTATGTCACCGAGTATATCTCAAGCTCAAACCTTATCACATGAAGTCACTCGCACACCACCAATATGAGAAGCTATGCCCCAAGTTGTTCGAGCCATTCTCGATCCTAGAGCGAGTGAGAGTGACTGCCTACCAACTCTAACTACCAACAACCACATAAATCCACGAGGCGAGTAGACCCACCTGGATTGTGATCTAACTTGGAAGGTAAAACCAAAAGAGCTGCTGAATGTCTGTAAAACAGCACAAGGTTTGGAGATCCAAAGAATCTCCATGAAGCACATCTTCCTTGACTCTTCCTTGAAACACATCTCGGGGGCTCAGCATAGTAGAGGGCAGTGTGAGGCCACTGGGCCTCACCCATCGTAGATGGGGAAAATGGGCCCAAACCCATGTTACTAACCAGCCTACTTAAGGGGGGAGGTATGGAGAAGATTAGAGCATTAAGAAGTATTATGGGACTTTTGGGAAAGCAATGGACGTAGGCTAGGGTTTCTTAGTCCTGCTGTTACCTCTACCTCATTTTCTCGTTCGCTTCATTTACCTTATTGATTGAATTTGTTAGGACACGATGTCCTTACAGAATCACACTGAAGGAAAAAGATAGTTAGAATTGAGGGTGAATGATGACAACTATAGCTGCCAGAAATCTTATGGTTAATATGGAAGGAAGGAAGTAGGAAAATCTTCCAAATTACTTTAAGTATAGCATAACAGAGCTCATAAAAAATAAGGCTTTGGCTGCTGATCTTTGAGGGAATATGGTTGCCTTAGAAGATGACAGGAGGAAGGGAGAGTGTTTCTTTTAAAAATTCTCGGAGGTCTTTCTTTTCAAATTCTCCTTTCATTTAATCTAATATCATGATGGGTGTTTATCTAAACTCGCATTCAAATACTGGATCACTTTCCACTTTCAGCAACTTCTGATAGATTTGACCTTCGAACCTAAAATAATAAGATTCCTTGTAAATATCAGAATGGGAAAACCTGCAAGAGTTTGTAAGAACTGCAACCCATTTACATTAGTATTGAAAGGTTGTCACCTTATATCGACATGATCTCATCTATAAATAAACCAACGAATCGATTAACCTATTGGTATGGACAAAAGTGACGTGAAACCCATCACAGAACAGAGCACAGCAACATCTTACATTAGCTCTGGATGAGATGTAAAGTGGTCAACGGATAGCTGCTGCAAAGATCTGATCAGATGTTCATCTGAACTGCGGATGATGGCAAGCCTAACTCGAACTGCTAGGAAGAGCGGATGATCCGACACTTCAGAAACTCTGTCGCACAAGAAGGGGTCCTCAGAGAAATTTACCAGGGCTTCTATAGCGTTATCCTCCAGTTCTTCTGATTCACTCCTCAGCAAACCAATGAGGACTGGGATGGCACCTTCGTCTGCCAGGACCCTCCTGTCGGCCTCGTCATAGCTCATCTGTACTATGGCTCCCAAGGCCTTTTCTCTAGCATCGTCTCCCCCCTCCTGCAAGAGGCTCAACAGCAGCGGAATGGCACCCGATTCTCCGATAACAGAGAAAGAATGGTTGTGACCTGAAAGACCCCACAGGACGTCTGCAGCTGCAGCTTTTGCATCCTCGTCATCTCCTCGGAGGATTTTCACCAGCTGAGCACAAATCAGCACGGCATTCTCCTCCACAACAGCCAAGATACAGAAAACATCCTCCGCGATTTCTTTCCCCAGAGCGTCTTGCCCTTCCAGTAGCTCAGCATACAGTGGAATGGCCCCAGCCTGAGCCACCAGCCGTAGGTAGTCCACATGAGATGAGATTATGCCGAGAGAATTGGCCGCTGTTAGCTTTGCCTGTGGATCACCCTCCCGTAACAAGTCCAAGAGTGCTGGTACGACTCGCCAGTCAACAAGCATATGATGGACTCTGCTTGCAGTCGCCATCAACCCGATGGCATGGGCAGCTCGCCTTCGAGAGGTCATTGGCCCGCAGGAGACAGCTTCGATGAGCAAGGGAAGACCGCCAGTATGTACAATTGCTCGCCTCACTTCCCACAGCATTGCCACCGCGCTGAGGACCTCCAACAGGCATCCCCTTGTCTCGTCTGCACACAGGGGAATCAGATGCAAGATTCCTTCCAAACCGCCATTCCTGGCGAGGATCACCCGATTGCCGTTGTCGAAGGCAACGAGAGTCCTCAGACACTCGGCCAATCTTCTCTCACGCCCGCCCGTGGCTTGCGGCAGCAGCCGTAAGAGCGCAGCGATGGCCCCCGACTGGCCTACCACGGGGCACAAGGACCCACCGCCCCACCGGGCAACACAGGATAAGGAACGTGCAGCGGCTTCCTGCACCGCCGAATTGGGGCTCCCAAGCAAGCCGACGAGAACAGCGATTGTTTCCCTCAGCACACGCTCCGGTGCGTACTTGCAGAGCCGCCGTAATTCTCTGGAGGCTCTCAATTGCTGATCTTCGGCGCCACGCGTGGCGGCGTCGGAGAAGTGGCGGAGCAATCGGTCCCAATCCACATGGCGATCCAACCGATCCCCTTCTGATACTTCGGAACGGTCTGCATCCATCTACTGCACACAGGCAACAAGCTGGAACATCACCGCGGCGCTCTAAAAGACAACGGGCGGGTCACCAACCATCTTCGCAAGCCGCCGGCAGCGCGCTACAACTCGACGAAGCCGTGCCAGAGATGGACGATGGAAGCTAGGGTTCCCCGTGGGGACGACGGGAAAAGGTGGACAGGTAGACTAGCGAGAGAGAGAGAGAGAGGTACTGGGGCTGTGGAGGGCCCAATAAGAAAAAGGACATACAGGAAATGCATTCTAGAAGCAGTATCGCATTCTCAGAAAAGGATTTCATTCCCAGTGCTGCTAACATCTCAGTCAGCGTCTGAGTAGGCCCGTGGGACCCATCTGAAATCAAGTCCGCCAATCGCCCTCTCCTGCCGAGTCAGCCAATCCTATCCAGACTGTCAAACGCTTGTCAGAGAGAGAGTGGGAGAGAGAGGGGCATCGCCTTTGGGAAAAAGGAGCTTTCGACGTCGGCTAGCAAGGAACAGGCAATCTTCCTCCAGCATTCCCAGTTGCAGGAAATAAACGATCATTATGGGTCATCAACCAAGAAGATTGGAAGAGAGAGAGAGAGAGAGAGAGGGAAGGAAATTAAAACTCCTGTTAAATCCAGAAACCTACAATGCGACACGCGGTCAGCGATCATTCATCATGGTCATAATCACATTACAAGCTTTCCTTTCTTGGCTATTTCTTCATCGTATGCCCAATATCGTTATTTCTGTCTACCTAATCTGAAATCATCTATCATCTCTCTCTGCTCTTGTATGGTTATTCTTTCTCTTTTCCAATCACCTGGGTCTATCTCTCTCAATCCTGTCGATTTTACATCTAAGTAAGGCTATAATTACAGGTTGCTCTCTCTCTCTCTCTCTCTCTCTCTCTCTCTCTCTCTCTCTAAAACTCTCCTAAGGAAGGCGCCACAGATTGGTTCTGCCGGACCTCTCTCCTGTGTATCAAATCCTCAAATCCTTTCTGCTGTTGCTTCCATGAAGCTTCCTCTTTTGGTATAATAAGCCTTCTCTCAGATATTCCTTCCTACCTCTACAGAATCTCCTTCCCACACGACCCAGATCTCTAAATTACTGTCGATATGCTGTTCGCCACGGATGCGGATGCAAAGGGGCTGTCCGGGAGAGACAGGCCGAGGCTGCAAGAGAGAGAAACACGAGGCGCCGTCAGTACAGATCGTCTATCAGATCAAATCTCCGCCCCCGACCAAATTCAGGCGAAAAACCAGGATGCACGACCCTCTGTGCATGAATTTATGAAGAAATGTGCGGCCTTAGGCGTAGATTTATGAAGATCTTCTCACCTGTCCTGGTCACTGTAGGAGTTGGTATTGGTCGGATTCCTATACCTGCCGTCGTTTGTGGAGCTGTCGTTCATGAGATCTGGCTGATAACTGAAGTGGTCCGCTGAAGTGAAATCTCTGGGGCTGTCTGGAGCATTCATATAGAAGGAAAAAAACACATTTTTCTTAGTGAGGCGGAGGAAATTCTGATCCAAATCAGGATGGCTCAGGATGACCGATCAGCCAACCAACCTTCAGGAATCTTGGGTTCCTTCATGCCAAAGCCACCGAAAGGTGGCTGCACCAGCAGCTTGGGAGCGACCAGCCGCAGCTCGGATAAACGCAGACTCTCGAGCTCAAGGGCTTGGTCGTGCTCCTCAAGCAGCTGCTTCTTGAGCAATCTAGCGTTGTTGCAGAATCTGGAGACTGCAGAGACAAGAGATCGGATGATCCCTTTCTTTCTCCATTCTGAGGAAAAATTTGCAAGTACAGAGCTCCGGGGACCGATCACTCACTCGGGTAAAGCTCTGAATCGATCTCCAGGTACTGAGGAGCATGATGCATGGGATGGTCGATCTTTTCCATATATTTCCTGCACAAATATAGAACCCTCTAAGATAAAACTCGAAAATCTCATGAACCCATCACTGATCTCAAACCAATATGGTAAAGATCAAATGTGAGCTGTCACACCACGATCAAATCGTCTGAGCAACAATCAACACCACGAACTCTGATAAATTGTAAAGATCAAGAAAACACGACATAAAGACCAATGTGATCTGGCAACTGCTGCTGACAATCCTAACACAGTCTCTATGAATTTAAGAGATAGAGAGAGAGAGAGAGAGAGAGAGAGAGAGAGAAAGGTGATTACCTGTCACTAACCCTCGACTTTTCCTTGTATGGCTTGACGAGGACACGTGCGCCACAGACAAAGTGAGGGTTCCCCTGAGACAGGATGAATTGTGCTGTCTCCTGCTTCTCGAAGGTGACAAACCCGAACATCCGCTTCTGCTGGCACGGGATCCTCACGTCACGGACCGGTCCAAATTGCCTGGCAAAAGCAGGAGCCCCCCAAAAAGGGCAAGCTGAGGAGCGGCCGATGGCAACAAAACAGGGAGCTGGGGAATTACTTGAAATAGTTGGAGACATCCTCCTCAGAGAACTCGCTCTCGGCTGGGAAGGTGAGGTAGATCTGCTGGGACCCAGCGACACTGCCACCCAGATCACCCCGCTCACTCCGGTACTCCGAATGCCACCCCGCATCTTCCACCAGAACCACTGAATGCTGCCCGTGTGGCCTGCTATTTGATATGAAAGGAAATAAGAAGCACTATCAACCACAGTATCACCCACCGCCATATGATAACTAAATTGTATATTATGGATTGAAATACACAATTCTTGGAAAGAAATTGAGTGTTCATAATGATAATTGACAGTAACAATACCTATCTAGGATCCGGATGCTGTTCTTGAGGCGGGCCAGGAGCTTCGTCAAGCTGAAGCCAGCCTTTCCATGCCGCTGGCTCTCGGTGAGGTAACCGTCAGCCTGGAGCACCTTGCCATACCTTTCGAAGTAGAGCATTGGGAGCATTGCGATGGAGATGGGCTGCCCGCCCCTCGACTTGAGTAGCTCTGTGAGCTCATGCTCGAGCTTCTCAAGCGACCCGGGAGAGATTGAACTGTCCTCGTTGACCAGATCGTTGGAGCTCGCGCTGAGGAGCTGGGAAGTCAAAACGTTCTGGCCATGGTAGTACCGGCAGTTGGAGCCATGCTTACAGTACCCCTTGAAGTAGTAGTGGCAGACTTTGGGGGTCAACTCGGGTGGCCCCGGCGACCTCCTCGCAGATCTTGGGGTCAACGCCGGCTCATGGTGGTAGTAGCCACCAAGAAAGCCCGAGTTTGCAGGATTCAGGGGATCCAGCGAGTCGTCCAGGCCGCTCAGGAAGTGGGCTTGTTGAAGGTAGTCCTCACTGACTCCATCAGGGTATCGCGCAGTAGGGCCAAAGTCAACGCCGTGCAGAGCTTGCTGCTGCTCTTGGGGGAGCTGCCGGTCCCAGTAGAGAGCTGGCCCCCGAAATGCAGGCAAGGACGAGGAGAATGGCCGAGCGGTGGTCGGAGAATAGGACGGAAATTGAAGGGGGGCATCGGGGACGGCGTGCATGGGGGCCAACGCCGGTGGCCTGGGAGACAATGCGAGGCCCGGGAGGGCGGCTTTGGCTTCGCCAATGAGAGAATGAATGGCGCTGTCCGGCCCAAACGCCAGCCTGATCATCTCCCGATCGCCATAGTCCTTGAGCAGGAGGTAGCCGATGATCTTCGAGACCAGCTCCGGCTCGATCATCTGGATTCGGGTGAAAACGATCTTCGTGGCCTCCGAGAAATCCATATCATAATAATCTTCTCCGCAGGGACGATAATCAAGGAAAGAAAAAAATAAAAGAAGAAGAAGAAGAAGAAAACAATCTTTTCAGCACAGGTAGAAGCACCGGGTATTATTATCCAGGAGAGGAAAATCGGAATAAGCCTCTAACGAGCAACTCGGGGGCATGCGGCGCAAGACGGAAGAACTCGAGACCTAAAAAAGGTAAGAAATCTGAGAGGAAGCTGCTGATGAGCAAAGATCCGCGAATAAGTGAAAGATCTAGCGCAGGAAATGGCGTCTACCTACAAAGGGGCATTGAGGGAGGAAACCTCCCAGGCCCTCTTCTGAGCCGGCACAGTCCTCGACGATGCTAAAAACAACCAAAGACCAAACCCTAGCATTACCCTGATGGCCGCCAGCCTTCTATCTAAAAGAGAGAGAGTCGCAAACACAGCATTTAAGACTAGAAAAAGAACAAACGGACGCAGGCAGGGCTAGCCACTGGGTCCAGTCCTTGGCGAGGAACTTAAAATAGGTCATCAATCCGGTTCACGGCCACAGAACACAGAGTGCGAGGAAGAAGAAGAGGACCGAAACCTCATTTTTCGAGTCGATTTCAGTGGTGACAAAAGCAAGGTTTCGCTGGGTACGCCGCATGCCGGCTTTTCTCGGCGAAAACCCGAGGAGAGAAGAAGGAAAAGAATAGCCCCTTTAGTCCGGGAGGTTTCAACAGAGAGATCAACAGAAGCATGCGAAAATATCTGTGAGAGGAAACCACGGACGAAGCCCCTCGGAACCACATCCATACAGACAGACAACATGAACCAAATCCTAAAATGGCATGCAACGGAAAACGGCCAAAACAAAAGGAACACCTTCAGTCCACCGACGGAGCTCAAGAACATACCAACCGAAACCCATTACAAGTGATGAAGAAGAAGAAGAAGAAGAAGAAGAAGAAGGAAGAAGAAGGAAGAAGAAGGAAGAAGAAGGAAGAAGAAGAAGAAGAAGAAGAAGAAGAAGAAGAAGAAGAAGAAGAAGGAAGAAGAAGAAGAAGAAGAAGAAGGAAGAAGAAGAAGAAGAAGAAGAAGAAGAAGAAGAAGGAAGAAGAAGGAAGAAGAAGAAGAAGAAGAAGAAGAAGAAGAAGAAGGAAGAAGAAGGAAGAAGAAGGAAGAAGAAGGAAGAAGAAGGAAGAAGAAGGAAGAAGAAGGAAGAAGAAGGAAGAAGAAGGAAGAAGAAGGAAGAAGAAGAAGAAGAAGAAGAAGAAGAACAAGAAGAAGAAGAAGAAAAACAAGAAGAAGAAGAAGAAGAAGAAGAAGAAGAAGAAGAAAAACAAGAAGAAGAAGAAGAAGAAGAAGAAGAAGAAGAAGAAGAAGAAGAAAAACAAGAAGAAGAAGAAGAAGAAGAAGAAAAACAAGAAGAAGAAGAAAAAGAAGAAGAAAAAGAAGAAGAAGAAGAAAAAGAAGAAGAAGAAGAAGAAGAAGAAGAAGAAGAAGAAGATCTACACGCGTGAAAGGGAAGAAGAGCACGAAGGGTATGTACCATGTAGTAGAAGTTCCTCACTCAGGCTGTGGCTTTCCCGGAGAAGACTAGAAACCCCCGACTCAAGTCAGAGCCCCGCGGCCCTCAAATCTCATCCACTCCCCTCTCGCACTCCTCTGAGGGACACCACATCTTCTAAAAAGGACAACGGACTAGCAAGGGCAAGCGCTGACAGATATAAAACTCCGCCCCTATGCTCAAATCCTAAGAACCCAAAAAAAATGAGAACCTTTCAAGTCTAAGAATGCGAACATTACGTTTTCATCTCTCTGATCCCTCAAATGATCACGAAAACTGCTTCAACAAAAGAATAAAAAAACAACCCCGCTCCCAGCTCGATCTGGTTAGAAACGACTGTCACTGGAGGGATTTCTTACCCCCGCCCCCTCTCTCTTTCCTCTTTCTCTCTCTCTCTCTCTCTCTCTCTTCTGGCTTTTTTCAAACGTCGAAGAATGACAGGGTGTACTTTGTCGTTTCAGATAATTACGCGGCTAACGAAGAGGTAAAGGGGGAAGCCCATAAATTCACGGGCTGTATTTGCTCCCCCCCGCCCTTTAAATGACCAACGTACCCCCACACATGAAGCTTCCTGTATAATTATTGCGTCATTATTTTCATAATATGTGGAAATTTACGGCTGCGGTACTGTCCCGACCCTCGCCGCCCTCCGAAGTTTCCCTCCACCCCAATCAGCGACACGTCAGATCCGGCTCCGCCCGTCCGATCTCCTTCACCGACGGCTGAGATGAGTCGCAGCACGCCCATCACCGGTGAAATTCCCTATTTATTTATTTTTTCGCGTGATTTAAATACCGGCTGTGAGAAGACAGCGCGGGGTGAAATTAATTTATTTGTCGGACGGGTTCCCCTGAACCGCGGTTGGACGGACGCCAGGCCCGTCAATTCCTCGGATAAGGTGAGGGTATTTCCGTCTTTATACGAGGCAATCAGGGCCCTTCAGGGCGAGCTTGCCCGGCTCCACCGGTCAGCCCCCCGTCCGGGCCCTGGCAGGTTCGGAGGTCCGTTGAACCGGCCGGAGTTCCCACGATTCCATTTAGACCGGGGGATCTTGTCTTTACTATTAAAATATATAATAATAATAATAACTGCGCTCTATCTCATCATTATCCTCCTCCATTTCGTTATTAGACTAATAAGGGGCCTAGTGGGCCGCGCCAGTTCCCGATCCCCGAGACAATGCAACGAATCGTGTGTATTTTATTGAATACAGCCGCATTTATTAATTACAGAAGTTGGGGAATAAATTTTCCGGATTAACGTGACGAAAATGATGATGTGGCATTGTAAATATGGACGTGTTTTCCCCGCTTTAAATGAAAACTAACTACCACGTGCTCGCTAAATCCTCCGAGAAAAGAGCATTTTTGACCGGATATTTATCAGTTAGTAATTAATGTCGGGTTTTTGCCCGTTAGAAGTCAGGAGGCTGGGTTTGACATAAAATATGGTAATATATTCGTATGTTAATTAAACCAAGTAATATATACATATTTTTATATATGCGAAGATGGTCGGTACTCGTCATCCTTCCACGACGCTGGCGTCACGGGGATCGAGGCCCTAGCGTCCACTTTGGGCTGCCCTATCGCGGAATCTCTCTCTCTCCACGAGAGAAGGTAAATGGCTAATTATTTAATATTAAAAGTTTTTAATGTACATTCAATAAAAATTATGGGTTTATCCCAAGTCTTATTCTCCCCGGCGCAAGGTAGATATGTATATATATAGAGAGTGCCGGAATACGCGGATGGCTTGTTCTCCTGAGCGAACGGTGGGGCTTCGCGCGCGCCACACGCCTCTGCGCAGAGTGAACGACCTGTCTGATGGAGGTTTCGTTAGTTCCCAGGAGCGTCCCATGCCGGCCCTCGGCGGCGGCGATCCTGCCGGCAAGCGACAGGCTCAACCCTGGCATCCTTCGAAGAGGCAGCTGGATCCGGCGAGGGGATACTGGCCGCGTCAGTAGGTCTTCCCACGTTATCCGAGCCATTGAGGGACCTTCTGACCTCCCTCCCGTGGAGATTTCCTGGCAAATCACTGTCGGCGCCTTAGGTACCGATATTTTAGAATTTGGCTTGACTAAGTAGTACCTGTTGTCCTTGATACGTCATGGTCAACAGAGTATGCGACACTATTGGTCTTCGCCTTTTTAGACCCTGATTCAACTGAAAATATTGCAGCTGGAATCACACCATTCGTCGTCGCGGGAATCGAGTTCAGCAAACGAATTGTGAGTTGATCTTAAGCTCATCTCGAAGAAAGAATTGGGACCTTTTACTTGTCTCTCGGATGGTGATTCACTATCTCTTTGCTGGATAAGAAGTTGCATGAGCCACATAAATTCAATGAATTGTAAATTGAATTATTAATATAATAATTTTCCTCATAGTTGATCCTGGATTTAGTATTTGTCCTCCAGGATTACGGCACGTGTCCCAGAGTTGGGTAGAAAACAGTTGAATTTAACAAGTACCCTACCCTTCGAGTAGTTGCGCGTCTCATTCTGAATTATACAGCCCTCGAGCTATCTAAAAAGAAAGGTTGGGGGGGGTACTGAAACTGGATTCAGGCCATAATATTTCTTCTGCATTGATCTCTCATCAATGTACGAGGGTAAATTTGATTTCGTCTACAAATAAAATTAAAGTAATGTGCACCATATTTTTATGTCTTGGAATTTTAAAGCATGCGAGTCGTGCCTCCTGTCCAAGTATGTTTACATAGATAGTCGGAATCCCCTGATGAATAATGTGACATTAATACTGCTTTCAACTCATGGTGCGAAGTAATTGATACAATCGTGATTCAGCTCTTTAATGTGATCTATCCTGTCTAACCAGGGAATGTTAACTTCTCACGATGGTAATGTGTCAATTTTTTTCGAACAAAACGACTTTGGATAGAGGCTTCGTTTGCGTCTTACTTTCCTGATCTCATGAACCCGAGTAATATGTTTACACAAATTTATAAAGACATCCAAAATATTGTTTAGATGTGTAAATCCAGTTTTCTCTGGAGATCCGGGCCACCATATGAATTTAAACAGCCAGATCTCTTTTTTTGATTTTCGACGTCAGGAAATTCCATTACAGACTCTGTACCACCACATGTATGAGGGTGAATCTCCATTGCGGTGAATTTAACTACCTAAGAGGTTCAGTTATGGTTCCTTCGCTAGCACTTAATGAATCTTACCTATTCCCTACCCCCTGATGAAAGAAAGGAGGTACAATGTCATTCATATTTCTTGAAGACTGACTGTAAGATATTCATATGGCTCTTTCCCTATCAGACACCTTTCTTCTAGTCTCCATCTATTTCATGTCCCTAGAATGTTTTGTCTCGAGAAAATCATGAAATAACACGTATTTTATCTGTGTTTTGAAGTTATCATAGTTGAAGGTGATGTAATAAATTTGAAATTATTAGTTTTACTTGTCCTTTAAACTTCATGTAATTTAAAGTATGGTAATATAAGGTTTCATTTTACATTAGAGTACAGCTTTTTAAAAGTGAGATTTTTCTCATCTAATGTATTCTTGTTAAAGGATGGGCATACTTTAATGATTACTTGATGACGAAGGACATAAACTTTCTTTCAAGTTACGTTGATATTTATAATGCACATTTTAGCACTCGATATCTGGAGGCTGAATTTCATGACGACCAGGTATAAAGTTATTGATGGGTGTCAAACATTTACAGCAGTGTCCTCTACTGCAGTAATTCAGTCGGAAGCACTTTTTGGCATGATTCAGACTTCTCTGCTCAGCGTGTCCCAAATTGGCAGGAAGCTAGAAGGATGATACCTGGGGTTCATGATACCTCACAATTAGGGTTGAAATATTTCTAATGGATGACAAATTATGGGGTACACGAGTGACTAACTCTATGCACAAATTTGGTGTCTCTGCTAATGCGTATATAGTCTGGTCTTAATTTTTCCTCTATGCACAAATTTCTAAGTTCTCTGTGACCATTGTGTCTACTTATTCGCTCTCTTTACAACGAATCTGATCCCATTTATTGTTGCCCGGATGACAAGGGATTATCTCCATGCTATCAATCGTTCAATCATTATCATAATAATGTAGTATTTTGTTCCATCACCGCATTCATCAAAGTAAATCCTAATCGCTGCACTTCATTCCCATTCGTACCCATTTTGTGTTGTTTTGTGATTCTGATTAAATCAGCGTCTAACGAGCCAAAAATTTAACAGGCTGCACAGAGAAGCTGTGAAGTCTGTGGTGGCTCCGGACTTGTTGAAGTAGAGGGTCTGTATGGCCGCTGCCCCGGTTGCGGTATGTCAACGAATTCTATCACCTCCGAAGTCAACCTCTTTCCTCTGTTTGATTCTATACTAGATCTGACATGGAACGGCAACCATCGAACCTATGAGACTCTGACTCACTCTCCCTTGTAGGCGGCTTTCTGCCATGGCAGTCATGGAAGAGGTTCTTTACGGGTTAAAGTTATAGCCTACCACTGTAAGTAGTCGCTATACACCGTCTGTCAGTTCACAAATGTGAATACAACACATTATCTTGCCAATTTTTGCGTACAGTGGTGATACTACGCATTATTTACTTGTAAGAATTTGAGCCCATGTTACTACTACTTTGGTTCTAGTAACTGATTTCTCCATGAAATAGAGTGACGAAGAAATATGGTCCCATTAATCATGGCTGTGTAAAAACTCTTATTGAGCTGTACTGAGTTTTCCTCTGCAGAAAAATCACGGGCGATAGCATGGTATGACGATGCTTTACCGCTTTATGGTCAATATGATGATTTTTCAAACTTTATAATATGTTAAAACGTTTTTTTTGAGAAATATGCGGTTTTAATTTTGACATAATCGAGAAAGCTGGGAGCTTGGTCCAGCCCATTCTTTTCGGCCCCGGAAAGAAAATAAAATGAATAAATCCAGTTCACCACTTGCCCCGTGCGTCTCTTCGTCCGGCATATGATGATAAAAGTCTGCCGGGTTTTCTTTGTTCTTTTCTGAGGAAGTCACAGCGAGAGAGAGAGAGAGAGAGAGAGAGAGAGAGAGAGAGAGAGAGAGTAGATGGACGATATCGTCCCTGATGCTGTAAAGAAGTCGAAGCGTTTCCGTTTTCTTTGCTACCCTGGGGGGGCTTAACTCTTCTTCTGGCTCGTTGACTCTGGGGACTAATCTCCAAGTGCCGGACAGTCCCCCCCTTCCCCCCCCCCTTCTCATTAAATTCCCCATTGATGAATGGTTGGTACCCGAGGGCAGCTCGCTGGTTTCTGTCATTAATGGTCACCTCTCGAGTCCCACCCACATCGGATTTTGGTCAGAGCTTAATGCCTTATCTTTTTCCTCAGGATCCCCCCGACAACCCTAACGAGAAAGAAGAGACGATGATGATGATGGATGGAAGTTCATCCGGTGCCTGCCGTTTTGAAAAAAAAGGTTATTTTCGGACGATCCACTAGACCCTATCATTAATCTTTTCCCAATTGCCAGTCGGGCGGATGGATTCAGCCAATCGCGTCCATTGAATGGTTATGGTGGGTCTGTTAGTGAGGGAGATTCGTAGAACGACTGAGGAGCCAGCCACCAGCCAGCCAGCCAGCCAGCCAGCCAGCCAGCCAGCCAGCCAGTCAGGCGCCGCCGCCGCGCGGCGCCACTGGGGGAGCCCGCCCGGTCAGAGAAGATGCGCGGGTCAAAAGCAGACCCTCCTCCCTTTTGACTATATGCCTCCAAGAAGATCGTTGACCACATATAAAATGCCGGTAAATGCCCCCCCAATTCCAGTCAATCTCCCACCTGCCCCTTCGCCACGGCGCTTCTACGTCACTCGCACTTGAATCAAACATCAGCTTAGCCAAATCCAGCGCGAAACGACAGAGATATCTCCATCAATGCAGTCAAGGCCCCGAAACGGTGCTCGTTTCCCCTGAATTTCCCGGTAATATTCTGATACCAGTCGAATCTTATATTCTATTTATTCCTAAAAATACCTTATCTCTCGTCTCTCGTCTCCATCGTGATCATCGCTTTCTTCTTCCATGGGATTTTATAAATGAGCTTCTTCCTATTAACGGAGCCCAGAAATATCTAAGATAAAAATATTATTATTATTATTATTATTATTCTCATAAATGTGATGCTGAGCGCAAAAGATCTGGATGAAGTCGGCGTTTTTATTGATATTTTGTTTTGTTAAGTCGGCAGGAGAGCCAGTGGCAGAAGCGTAGTAAAATGCAAGTCCGTGTACAATTTCAGGGGAGGAGTTGTATTGATATTGGCACTGCTGGCTGCGCGAGCTGTGATCGTCGTGGCTCTCTCTGGTGGGAGCCGAGGCCTCCGAAATCTCTCGAAGGTATGTGGAAACCGACTCCGACCTGAGACCCAGCATGTTCATCGTTGTTCCTCTGGGGGCGATCCTCAGTCTGGGTGGCTGTTGGGTCCTCTCTGTTTTCTCTAGGGGGAAATTTTCTGTGGTCGGGCACCGTGGTCCGAGGCAAGGGGCCTGTTTAGGCTTGAATTGGCTAGGTTTGCCTCGTTTTGATGTTATTTGGGTGCTCCTCTCTGTGTGCGCCTGTTGAGCATCTCCTAGATACAATCTTCAATCCTTCAAGAAAGTTATATTTCCTGCTGTAAGTTCGGTAGATGTTTGTTCCGCAAGAACCTCGCGCATGGGTTCGCTGATTTCCTCGTGGGATCTGAGAAACATGGCACCTTATGGATTTATGGGGGGATCGTGATCTGGGAAACGGTCGTTTGACTGACTATGCGTGGCATGTGTCAGTTTGAATGGCTGACCATTTGCCCACTGCCCACCTGTTGGGATATTCCTAATACAGGAAGAAATTCTTTGGATTATTTTATATCGACGACCTTGTTCTTCGTTGCAGCCATCGATCTTACCATCCTATCAGGGTTATTTGTGTACATCTGTTGTCCTTGACTATCTTATCCTTGGCAAGGGATGACACAAAATTATCAATGACGGGGAAAGTTAAAGTCTTTCAAGGATCGAAGATGACGAAAGATTAGGGCACCAGAGATTAATAAACCGTTTCTGATTTCAGCAAAACCATGTTGTATCTTCATCCTTGCAAGATGTACACTGTGTGGTTTACAGTCTATCCTCCGTCTTCAATGATCAGATCTAGATGGCTTGAATTAGGCCTAATTCTCAGAAAACGCGATGTCTAACCATTTCATCCATTGATAAAATCATGTTTCTGCCCGTTCAATATCTACTCTTTCTACCTCTTGAGATTCCCGGGTGAAAGTGCCCACGAGACGATCTTATGATCTACTTTGCCAGTACGACCAGAGAAAACATTGTTCTTCTTATGGCATGTGAAATTATATCAGTAACTTTTGAAGGGCACAGAGAAAGAGAAACCAAACCACTTGTCGTTAGGGTTTATACTACTGATCCTCAATATTCTGCCAACGTTGTGACTGAATTATCATGCAATCCCATGGAGGCTTTCATATTGATTATTTTTTGTCATACCGAGCCAGTGTTTCAAGTATGTTGATGAACATAGTGTTAGAGTGAAGACTTAGTTCTTGAGTTTCTTGCGATGTTGAGGGGACCGGGGCAGGAGGAGCGAATGTCATCATCCTTTGCTTTTCGGTGGGGGAGAATTTAAATAAGGATCTTGCAGGTTTTTTATGTTCTTTTCAACGACTGGGACTAACATGCTTTAGGTTTGTTTTAGATCATAAAAAAACATAAAGATCTCATCAACATTGGTGTGTGGCATCATCAAATTCTCCCAAACATGATGACTTCCTGCACTTCTTATACGTCAATGTAGGGTTTAAATTTTTCCCTCTTCTAACAATTTTATGGCACTGACTTGCCTTTTAGAACTTTTGATGGATTGTGAAAAAAATCTCTCTTGCAACGATTTGATTCTTTACCCATTTTTGATCTCTTCGGCTTTAGCTTATCCCCTTTGTTCTGGATGTTGTAATCTTAGCATGAGATTTTTTTTCCTATTTTTTGGGGTCAAGGAAGCCATGGTGTATCATTTTGAGGTTTTAAAGCCTTGATGATAAGCTGCCATTTGAAACCAATCCTACTTTCTTTATTACTCTTTCCATTGCATTATCGACTGTGCCGAGTAAATCATTTTGCAATGCATGCCATTTGAGTTATAGAACTTGATCATATTCGTTCATTCATAGATCAAGAATATCTTACATTGCTTCTGAAAACGATCCTTTATTTTCATATTGATTCACACAGTGATTTGAGGAAAAAACACGGTAAATGTTTTACTAATATAGTTTATTTTGTTTGAAACTTCTGCAATGTCCACACTCTAGAATATTGTCAATTGCACTGTTTGCCATGGCTGTCTGATGAGAAGAACATCACACAGGATGTATCGCAACATGCATTTAGTTGTAAGTTTTGTTTGAGTTGAAGGTGATCCATTCTCTTCTTACAGAGGATCTACCTTTTCTAGAGGCGTGCTGATTTGAACACCTGAGGCATAAGAAAAGCCCCCCCCACCTTGTGAGCCAATGCTGAATGCTGTCTTCGCAAGAACTCTAAGAAAAATTTGCATTAGTGACGCCTACAATCCCCACAACATGTTCTCATCTGAGATCGCTGGACAAAGCTGTTGAGAAAGATTTCTGATCGCTGGACTCTTAAACCCCAGTTTCTCACACAAGTCAGCTATTGGGCTGTTCACTCATGCAAACTTCCAAGAAATATGAAGGTTCAGACGATTCTCAGCAATTGTACTATCAGCGTGGGATGGACTGCCAGAATCTACCACGGGACCTCCGCTCTTTGGACCATTACTACGCCGACAGTGGGTCTCATCTGAGTGGCACACCCCCGCAGGCATTGCAGGAGCAGTACTGCACGCTAGAGTCCTCCGGAACTGCAGGTTATTCAGCGTACCACTCACCCTGCACGCAGAGTCTCTCGAGCGGTAGCCCTACACTTCAGCAGGATTACCAGTCAGACAACACCTACGGATCGCCCATAAACAACTCCTGCATCACCGAGGATCCAAATTATCTGAAGCACAAGATGAGGGAGTTGGAGAACGCGGTGCTCGGGTCTGATCTGGACATTGTTGACAGCTCTGATAGCGATTTCCGAGGTCAGCCTTCTACGGACCCTGAAATCTCAAGGCAGATTATGGAGATTCCCTTTGGAGATCTAAATCAGATGCTCATAGCTTGTGCGAGGGCTGTTGCAGATAACAATGCCCTCATGGTAGAATTGATCACGACAGAGCTGAGGCAGATGGTTTCTGTTTCGGGGGATCCGGTTCAGCGGCTGGGGGCTTACTTGTTAGAAGGTCTTGTGGCGAGGCTGGCTTCGACTGGTAGCTGTATCTACAAAGCTCTGAAGTGCAAAGAACCTGCGAGTTCTGAGCTCCTATCGTACATGCACATCCTTTATGAGGTTTGCCCATACTTCAAGTTTGGTTACATGTCTGCAAATGGTGCTATTGCCGAAGCGGTGAAAGGTGAAAACAGGGTTCATATCGTTGACTTTCAGATTGCCATGGGGACCCAGTGGGTGACTCTGATCCAAGCTCTGGCAGCGAGGCCCGGCGGGCCGCCTCATGTGCGTGTCACTGGAATCGATGACCCTGTGTCAGCATATGCCAGAGGCGGCGGTCTCCATATCGTAGGACGCAGGCTGACCAGGCTCGCTGAATTATGCAATGTGCCTTTCGAGTTTCATGTTGCAGCTTTGAATGGGTCTGAAGTGGAAGTCGAGCATCTCGGCATTCGACCCGGCGAGGCCCTGGCTGTGAACTTTGCGTATCAGCTGCACCATCTGCCCGACGAAAGTGTGAGCACGAGGAACCATCGCGACCGAGTCTTGAGAATGGTAAAGGGCTTGTCTCCCAAGGTGGTGACTCTCGTGGAGCAGGAATCCAACACCAACACCTCCCCCTTCCTGCCGCGATTCGCAGAGACTCTTACCCATTATACTGCAGTCTTTGAATCGATTGATGTCCGGCTCCCGAGGGAAAGCAAAGAACGGATCAGCGTGGAGCAGCACTGCCTAGCCAGAGACATCGTCAACATCATTGCCTGCGAAGGCGCAGAGCGGGTGGAACGGCACGAGCTTCATGGAAAGTGGAGGTCGCGATTCACAATGGCGGGTTTCACTCCTTACCCACTGAGCCCTCTGGTGAATGCCACCATCAAGTCTCTTCTGGAGAACTACTGCGAGCACTACAGGCTCGAGGAGAGGGATGGGGCTCTGTACCTCGGGTGGAAGAACAGAGCCCTGGTCGTCTCCAGCGCCTGGAGATGAAGTCCCAGTCCGATGAACTTATCTGTTTGCTTTTCTTCTTTAATCGTTGCTAATTTAGGACATTAATATCAGTATGTTACTGGATTAAGTATCTGTTATAGGTAGCAAACCCCCCTCTGGGTTCCAAAAACTTAACCACTCCTAAATCTAATGCTAGCTTCCAGATGATGGGATGAGTTGCTGTCTGAAGTCTTTCCCCCTTCTCTTCATGTCATTCATTTCATTTGCAGGTTGCGCTGGCGGACAAAACGATTTTGACCCCGATCTCCAGTTCTGACTTAACTCCGGCAAGACATACCGCATATCAAACAGAACGATCAGAGATGATTTGGCGATGAGCTGCCGAAGAACAATTTAATCCCAAAAATAATACTTGCCAATTAGTTGAAAACTTCAGTTCACCAAGAAGACTGCGGCACAGAACAAGAACATGACGACAGGAGAGGTTATCGGAGTTAGAAATGAAGGGAAAAAACTAAAAGGTTTCGAACCAGCCGCCAACCCACATCCACATCCGCATGAGTGTGAAATGAACATAGTTCCAGTTCATCTGGAGCACCAATGAGAGGAGTAAAGAGGATACATAGTGACGGCCAAAGTTATGTGACAAACTCCGGTCAGCAGTTCAAAGATGCTGGCCCACTACGTTGACTATGTAGCCAGCCAAAAGACTGGCATTCTCCACCTGAAGTAGGAGAACTGGGTCAAAACAGTTATGGCACGCGGGGGGCGGGGGAGGGGGGGGGGGTTGCTTTCTGCAGCGTTCCCAGCGCCTTTATTCAGCGATTATTTTTTTCAAAGCCACAACAGGATCAGTAAGGAGCAAGAATGACGAACACAATGAACAGTGTGACTCGAGAATTTACGGACCCATAAGTAATCTTCTCACGCTTGCTTCATATGATGGGTGACTCAATGGAAGAGTCTTGAAGGTGAAGCTTTCTGCTGTGTCCTCAACACGTCTGAAGCTCTCTGCTCCAAGACTGGGGTCACCGTAATATGGCAGGCCCAAGGCTGGCTGCATCACTGTAGAATTGCAACCAGGACGAGCGATCTGTAGATCACGATTCTGACTTTGATTGGGCTCGGGCATCTGTAGTTTCTCGCCAGGTCTGCCCTCGTATCTCGGGCTCAACCCGACTCCAAGGTCCAGGCTGATCGTGTCGCTCTCTTCCATCTGTTCGTACTGATCGGAAATCACTCTCATGGCGTCGTAGGTTGATATGATGCCGTTGGTAGCCACTGAAGGTTGACTGTTGAGAACAGTGCACTCATTTGCAGACACTGCTGCACCTGTGTCATGGCCACTGGTCCTTGAAGCAGGGACATCGTGGTTGTGCTTCCCTTCGTACGTGGTTATGACTGCTTTAGGATCATGGGATGCCCTCTCCACGTGTTTTCTAACCGGGCATCCTGCATTTGTGCATTTGTAATAGCTCCTGCCATTGGCAGATGAACATCATCAGCAGAGGCATATGACTGTGGTAGCATCCGACACTTGAAGAATCGAAATATGACATCGAAGTGGGTGAAAATTTAGTAGTCTTTCCACTTCTATTATTTGCATTAGACGGGTGACAACTGGGGTTCACTATTTACGATCAGAAAATGAATATGGTATTGGGCACCACTCTTCTCTCGATCATAACATAGTTAGAGGATATTATTTACTAACAATGGGGATACTCATAACCCGGATGCGAGATAGCTACTTAGCAACTCGTAGCTCCAATAGTATGCACAGCCAGAATTAACAACCAGAACAAGAAGTCATTCAGCAGTACAGTTAATTGGATAATTAATTATGCAGTAAATACTAGAGCACTAAGTTTCCACATATCGACATTTAGAAAAAGTCCAAATAATTCAGTAATACATGATGGAGGAACCCAATAGCACTAACTTGATGACTAGGGAGAACAGATATTTACGGATAAAACAAAATAAAAGGGTGAAACCTGCACAAAAACTTCCCTTATCTCGAGGAAAACATTATCTCAGGCACAAGAATCTGACAGAAATTTCCATGTTTCAGAAAGAGAAGGAGAATGGACCTCCCGTAACGTTAAGCGTTTGTGAGACTGGGTCCAAAAAGCGTATCTAAAAAATGAAATTACACAGGAATTATGATTTAATCAAGCATCTAAATTTTAAATTTAAGCATTAAAACTTATCACTGAAAATCTCGAGCACGATCCGTGGAAACACATATATGCACAACTAAGTATATGGCTACGAATGCCCACATTGTTTTTTCCAAGGCTGTGTTGTCACTTATTCTCAATGTCACCAACCGTACCTAACTTAAATCATTCAAAATTTGGAAGACAGAATAATCTCTACACAATTGAGCTGCTAGAAGAAATATTGTCAACAATGCTGAACAAGTTGCCCATGCACATAAAAGAATAGATGACAAAAAAAGGTGGAAAATTGAACCAATAAAAAAACACATCAGTTAATTGCATCTTATGAACTAATACATACCTGGGGTTTGGGTTCCCCTTCACCACTTTCTGCCCATATTTGCGCCAACGGTATCCATCATCCAATATATCCACTTCACTCAGTGTTTGCACGACAACACGTGGTTGGGCTGTTTTACCCATCGTGGAAATGTCAACAGTGATACCATCTTTCCTCCTGCTTCAGTTACTTCACAGTTAATAAACCTACATAATATAAAATGTTGGAAAATGGATATAATAAACCACCTGCGCTTAGACTCTGGATCGTCATCAGCATGGTCACCAACAGCATCAATGGGTTGCACACAAGCGCCTTCTAAATCGCCATCATTTGCTGAGACAGAGGAAAACTCTGTTATAACATTGGGATCAGTGGAGTAAGATGCCTGGCCTTGTCCATTTGATGGCTTGGCTGCGGTTGTTACACGCAAAGTCATTTCCAGGAGGAAATATAGAGTGAAAAATAACATACCAAAAAATAGTCTTACCTTCACCAGTGGTTAATGAGGAGAATCCTTCAGATTTCTCTCCTCCTTGGCTACAAAGAACAGCACCAACTGCAAATCGACGATTGGGTTGAGGCTTAGGATGATCATGCTGACCTCGGTAGATAATCTCAGTAATCTGTCCATCATGAGTCCGTTCCAACATCTTTTTCATCGGACAGTTGGCATGAGTGCATTTGTAGTAACTCCGGGGAAATTCACTTCCTTTTACATGCTTCTGTCCGTACTTTCGCCAATTGTACCCATCTTCTGATGCTTTCTCAGCCATAGTCATATGTTCGTGTTCTTTCTGGCTAGTTGTTGTTTCAACCCCATTATCTATGGCGTTTACTAGCTGCGGCACATTAGGAACATGTTCACTAATTGTAGTACTCGCTCCCCCATGTTCTGGTATTGCTGGTTTAGCAACAACGAGGGACAATTCATTTGAAGCGACTACTACACTCTCTGAACTAACTGAATATGACATGTTACGTGTACGAGATTGATCCACACAGTTGGCTTGTGACAAAGTTTCTGATTTTTGTTCTATGGAGACAACCTTCAGGAAGATTTAAGGTGTTAGGCAACTAATAGCACTATATCACCCCATGCAATTTCATAGTTGTACTTTAACAATGAGGATTAAATTTGTTTCTTGGAACAAAGAGTAAACAAGAATTCATTGAAATTAAGGTCAACTATGATGAATTAACTTTACAAAAAATGAGAAGGCGATTGCATACTAAAGGGGTAAAGACTCCCAGTGGGAACAGACCATGGGATAAAACTGTTCCAGATCATTACTTTTGGTCTTCTGATTCACATGACTTGACTTGGACTATGTGACTTGAAAAAAAATACATGTTAATTCGCAACTCTATCAGTCACTAGACCAGTAAAATACTGGTCTTATCTTTTAAAAAAGCATCTTCACATAAATCTATTCCTATCAAACAGAGAAGCTGAGGGAACGGTTGAGACGAATCTAGACAATTTTTATTAGTGAGCCTTTTAATAAGTCGAAAGAGATGAAACCTTCGAACTCTGGATGTAGTAGATGACATAATACCGTGCTCACTGATTTTCGAGGCAGCAGACGAATGCATTGAACTCTGAATTTTGGAATAAAACAGGCATAAAATCCGAGGTACACACAATAGTAGCATGTGACAGAATGGTCAACATGTAGCTGAGAGTATATGACAGTATAACTAATTGGCACACACGCATTCGTTCTGGAATTTTGAGTATCAGTCGACTAAAAATACGGTCAGTAATTTTGCATGGCCATAATTTTCTGGTTCTGACATAATTACAAAGAACATCCCGAATTGAATGCCAAAATGATGAATTACCGTAGTGCCCGACAGTGATGTGCCTGACGTTGTACAGTGTTCAACTTCGAAGCTGACACTCTTTCGCTCATCATGTATAGTGTTATTGGAAATGCTCCTTGGAGAAGACAATCTCTTCGAACAAACCACAATGTTTGCGAGCAATGGCATGGTGAAGGTTCCGGTAGTTGGGGATGGTTCAGCCTGCAGGCGAGAAAAAGCAGACCAAGTAAGCAACTGAATGCAAAGTAAGGGAAAGCACAAGATATATATATATATATGCACATTGGTATATACATATAGAAATAGACATAGGTAAGAGCACATTGTAGATAGACATAGATAAATAGACGGAAGTAAATACGTGATAGCTAGATGATGGAGGAGGTAGCCAACAGGTTTTCCAAGTATTATTGGCACAGAATGTGTGACCCATGGGATGGAACAACTTGATCACGACGAATATTATTCGTCTCCATGAAATCATCAAAATCATGCTTCATGAAACATTAGATCAACTATTGTGGCACATTGACCCTTCATAGTTCTCTCAAGACGGGTCAAAGAAAAATGGTGTCCCACAAGATTCCCAAAAGGGTCCACATCAGAGAGGTGCCCATTGCCACATGGAAGTGCTTACAAGCAGCTGAGAGCTAAGGCTAACTAGACTACAGAGGGAACAATAAAACAAAAAGATAAGTGGCATCTACATGCCAGCCGATTACGTTCCCCATTTCTTTCCGTCACATGTTATAGTTTATAGTAAACTAAAACCATCTGTAAGAAGATAATAATGCATGTTACGAAGGACCTTGTAAGGTCTACAGACAGGGTCAATAAAACCGTAGTGTAAAACCAGAACGATTTTTCCCTACATTTTTCCACTTTATTTCCTGGAAATTCATAAAAATTATGCTAACGAATTATATCATAAAAATAGTTTTTAATTGAAATGAGTGTAATATCCTTACCCCAATATACTAAAATTAGAAAGCAGAGGGTCATGGAGAAACCTCACCAACAAGAATCTCGTATTTTCTCACGGAAGAGGAATATTATACGAAGAAACACGAGTAAGTACCAGATTAACCGAATCCCGCAAAATTACAAAAAATCACAAGGACTAAGAGGAAGCCTAAACAGACCTTGACGTTCGTCAGCAGCACCGGTGATTCGAGCAGAGTGGTAGGGCTGATCCCCGGCGGAATCGTAAGGCAAGGTGCCCGCGACGAGATGAGGAGCCGCGCCGGCGACAGTGACTTGTACCTTGCCCCCAGGACCGACGCGGCATCGGCGGAGCCCACCCTCGGGAACACTTCTTCGTCCCCCGAGGCACTGGCGATCGCGTTTTCGAAACCCTCAAAACTCGCCGCTCCGGGGCCCCGGAGCTCCCCCACCGCCGCTCCGGGGACAGAACTCCGCAGCTCCGAGATCAGATTCTCCAGCATTTTGCGAGGCAGACGGAGAAGGCACCGAGGGGAGCCTCCGCCGCCAGCGGGGGGGAAGTGAGTGTGTGAGTGGAAACTGCAGACTGGTGGCTACGGCAGCTTTCCTCTTCCTGTTTTCCGCCGGCGATGGCTCCAGATTTGTCCGTTTGCGGCCTCAGCTATGTCGGCCCACGTTGACTTGACTTGATTAAGAGTCTATCAGGTCCGTAGATGCCCAAAATACCCCTCCACAATAGTAGATGAGGATGAGGGTAAATTGGCCATAACCTAATCGGTGGGACCCAAACTCTGAGACAACGATCGACTCAATTAAAGTCAGTGGGCCCAGCTTTCGTCACAAGATGGTACCAAGGGATGGGTGAGTGGCGCAGTGCACGGAAAGGAACGTTCGCAGTGACACGGTTTCTTTCACGTTCTTTCTGACGTGCCACCTGAGATCCTACCTCTGCTGCGTGGATCGATCGGTCGGTAGATATACGGACACTTATGGCCCCTAATTACGCTTTTAGAAATTTTATTTGAAGATTTATATTAAAATAGTTCTCTTATATGGATAATAAATGTGGAGGCGGGAAAACCGGTGGCCTCTCCAAGGTTGAGGCTGGGCTTTCCTAGCCCAGGCGAAGGTCCGGCGGAGCGAGGGCCAGCCGGTCCTCCCAATGCTGCTGCGACTTTCCGGCGAGTCTCCGGAGGCGGCGGCGGCGAGGTGGCTGAGCTCGCCGCGCCAACGAAGATCAGGAAGAAGTGGAGAGAGAGAGAGAGAGAGAGGCCGCCGGCACCACGGCGGTGGGGAGGGGAGATGGTGAATGTGGCGGTGGGATTCTCCGTCGGTGGTCGAGTTGCGAGTAGAAGCCCCAGGTGGTGGTGGTGGGGGGGGGTGGGGCGGGGGGAGTTGGTGAAGGGAAGGGCCGGGAGGTCGCCGGCGATGAGTTGAAGGAGCTCGAAGAAAGCGTTCCGACCCGTGTGTAGGTGGGCGTGAGCCTGGACTCTCCGGTCCGCTTATGGGAGGTATCCACACCGGGAGGTCACATGACCCCGCTGCGTCACCGAGAAAACGGCAACGGAGAAAGAGGGAGAAGCTCCGCGTTCGCATGGTGGACAGCCGGATCGCTCGCCCTACGACAGCGCACAACGCAGTTGCGCAACTGCGATCGCCACGTAGAGCATTCCGTCCAACTCAGCGTGCCGAGGGTGGGAGGAGGAAGGGGGAAGCTGCTGCTTTATCTCGGTTCTTCCCTGGTATTCTTGAGTTTCAAGACAGGGGATCTTGTTGTTGTCTGTCCTAGGGATTCCCACTGGATGATTGGCTCTGGTAGGGGGTGATTGACGGAGCGGTTTGCCCCCTCGAGGTTAGGGTTTGGCGGATGGGAGCCGGATCGGTGATCAAGGAGGTGGAGACGAGTAGATGGGTTTGATATTCTTGGAATCGCTGCCGGGTCCCAAGGTCTTCAAGTGCAGAAGCTGCAGTGCGCAATTGGCCGCTCGCGATGCCGTCATCTCGAAGGACTTCCACGGGCGTTACGGGCGGGCCTACCTCTTCAAGAAAGTGTGAGCATCTCCTCTCCTTATATTCCAGGACTCTCACAACCTCCCTTCTCCTACGCATACACCCAAACAAGGACATTCATTCTCTCCTTTTCAGATTGTAATTTCTCCGTTCTCGTGCTCGGTTCTCGTAAATAGACATTGGGCTATAGTCGTCGCTCTGGCTTCGGTTTTAAGATCGAAATATTTCTGCTAATTCCGTTGTTGGAGGGCGTGTGGTGGGGTGAGATGGGGAAAAGAAGGTAAGCCTGAAGCCTGGAATGAAAGAGCCGTGCATTCCCATCGGTGGCAATCTAGGGAATTTGTCCATGGAAAGTTGATACTGTAAAATTTCGCTTTTTTGGCCCACTATCATAGAGCCAGTATGAATAAAAGTTGTACGTGCTTGAGTCTGGCTTATTACGGAACAGATTGTTGTAGATCTGATTCAAGTTCGATGAATATATTTGTAAATAGACGCAAGCAATGCTGTGAAAGTGATACATCGTTCTCCGCTCATGATATAATGTTCATGTAATCTCAAAGATACGAATGAACCATAAGATGTCAGTGTGGAGGATGAACAATGCCACTTTGATGGCCTAGTTAATGTGTTGCAAAATCTCAGAATTAGCCGTAATTGCTGCCAGGGGGATAAAATGTAGTCGTTCCCTGCGTCAAAGCATAATGATTGAACCGTTGGTTGCTTTCCATCATGTTTTAGTGTTCTTTCAGGTTGGGAGAGGGAGATACGTGCCATTCGCTTGTTGCAGTTAATTTAGAAAAAAGAGCTCTGCTATGATCTCTTTGGTTTTACTGGTAGTTTCTGTACTGCCTTGTTACATAAATGTCCACATGCTTCATGTCGTTACCAATGGTGCATTCGTGAGATGAGAGCATGTTGCTGATGATTCTCACTAACTATATTCATGCTTGAAAGTGAGCGTGAGTTGTTGTGCGGCAAAATTCTGTTTTTGTAATACCATGAGTGAAAATGAATATTTCTGGGGAGAAAATGAATGTGGCTGGTCATTGCTACGTATGTCCCTGAGTGGAAAGGGACTGCGTGTAAGCCAGTTTTCTATTTGAACGAGTAAATTTGTTTGAACTTCAATTTATTTGTAAATTTGTTTGAACTTCAATTTATTTGTTGTTAGGGCTATATGGGTCTCATTTATTGGGAAGCGGGTTCACATTCCACTCAATTTCCCTGACATCTTTCTCGGTCTTTCTTGCATTGTGAAATTATCTTCGGATATTTCATGTTTCTTCACTTTTGAGACCGGTTACTCTTATTAAGGTAGATCGTTGTAAGAGGGAACCATGCAATAAGCAAAGTGTTTCGTTAGTAAAGCTATGTGTGGAGCTCAGTTGGAGGAAAAAACTGTCAACTGATTTTTCATTCATTCGTCTTTCAACACATGACCACATTCTAGGACTCCCCTTCCCTCCTGTACATTCTCCCATGTAAACTGATATTTGACACAGTACAACAATTTATGTTTCATTTTCAGACTTTCTAGAACTGAGAAAGATTGGCCTTGTAACTGTTATACAACTTCAGGGTGAACATCTGCTTAGGTCCCAATGAAGAACGACATCTCTTGACTGGTTTGCACTTGGTGAATGATATTTACTGCAGCAGCTGCCGACAAATTCTTGGTTGGAGATATGTAAGTTATTAACTCTTGATGTTCTCTTTCAGGGAAAATCTCGTGTTAATGATAAATGTGCTTCCTTATTGTACATACGTTCAAATTTATGCTTTTCTTAATCTTAATATGGAATATTTCAGCTAGCATCTGTGGCTGTCCCAAAATATTTTTGACTATAGCTTAGGGCTGCTGACAATAAAGAATACATTCTGCAAGGGTCAGATTCAAGTTTCCTACTTCGTTAAAGTGTAGATCTTTTTTTATAGACATTTTTTGGTAAGACATAAAACTCTAGGTCTCCCATGCTAGGCCGTTTACTATTTCCATCTATCTGTAAATTAGGCTTTGACAATTTGCTGGCAAAAAACATTAGTCTTTGTTATTCGAAATGTTGTTCTACAGAAAGGTTAGCCACTCTGGTGTCCATTAAGGCATGGAAAGTGGTAGCATTAAGTTGGACCATAGCAACTCAGTTTAAATTGGTCACAGTTGAGAATAGCACAGTTTGATTTGCGAACCCTCTTAAAAGACTCATTTAAATTGGTCATTTCTAATGCGCATCAGGGATCAAAGCTATGAAAAAGCAGTACTGCTAGTAGGAGTTGGACTAAGTCAATGATCATGGTTTCACATAAGTGCTTCATGATTAATTGGTTTCATGTGATTACTAGAAATTATAGTTGCAAGAATGAGGAGATGGAAATTGTCTTCCTAGCACAGAGGATGAGTGACCTCTTACCCTCCTAAAATGAAATCCTCTTGACAGTGAAAAGATTGTTTTATTATATGGAGAGTGGCTTTAATCATATACTGAGGAACATTGGAATTCTGTAAGCGAAACATAATGATTAGTGCGTTTAAGGTCTTGGGGAATCAGTCAGACAGTAGGGAACGGGATTGCAAGCGGGAACGAGATTGCAAGTGGAAACGAGGTTTTAAAAAAACATATATTTGAGCAGCAGGTTCAGATCTCATGAACTTCGGAGTTGCATGTGAAATGATGAATCTTCCGATCTGTAGCGGCTAACACAACTGGATGTGGGATGATTGGTGTTTGGAGAGGTGCTTGAATAACGAATAAACAGGAAAATATTTTTTGTTAGGTTTGCTTTCACTCATAACATGCGTGTGAAATAGGAGTGGCGCGAGGGGAGAAGAAGGTAGAGATGGGAACTCTTTAAATGAGAATCTGCGGTATGTCTAGAGTTTGATGCTTTTAGTCCCAAAAATGCTTGGTATTTATGATTTTACAACCCTAAAACGTGGAAGAGGAACCATAGATAATGGGTCTGACATTTCAGAATTTTCTTAGATACTGTAGATGTGAAAAGGACCACACAATCTTCATGTTAACTTATCTAAGCGATTCTTGCAATTCTTCAATTATATGTTATTACATTGGTCCTAACTTTCTATGATATTTAAGGACCACATGTCGTTCTTAGCTTGTTGCCCCACTTTTCAAATCGTCTTATGTTCTGATGATTATAAATGAGTTATTGAAATAGGCTTAACTTGGCAGAGGATGCAGAAATTATTGCAGAAATTTGTGAGATACAACATATGATGGGTGAAGCATCAGACGAGATTATTGTGTTCAAAGTGATCATGAGGTGCGCCAAAATTTAGAGAAATGCTTATTGAAATTGGAATCAAACTGGATTTTTTTTTGAGTTGGTCCAAGCAGTTGACCGAAGGGTGTATACCCATGAAAATAAGCTGAGGAAGGAGACACTGTATGGAGTGGTCGACAATATTACATAGGAGGCAAAGTTTGGTAGGATTGTATGAAACTAGGATCGTAGACTTGGAAAGATTAACCACGAACTAATCCAACTGAGCCCAATCGTAGTTGATTTGGCCAATGCTTTTCAGAGTGGATTGGAATTGGCCAAAAAGTGTCCATATAAGATTGAAATCAGGTTGGGTTGCCCTGGTTTTTCTTTCAGAATTCGGGGGTGGAGTTGGGCGGCTATGACTTGTTTAGATTCATATCCTGACTATATCTGAGCTGCGTTAGTTTCGATCTGGAGCGTCCCCCATTGACTTCTGTCCCTGCTCAACCCATCCTATTTGATCATTCACATATAATAATGGCCCTTCATGCCCAGATTCCGCCCATCCTTCTTCACTTATATGTGTGTATGGAACGTTAATGCTGCAGGAGAAGGCGTTTGAGGAGAGCCAGAAATACAAAGAAGGGAAGTATATCCTGGAGAAGGCCAGGCTGATGAAGGAAGGTTGACGTCTTGGCTTTCTTGGAGAATTTATGGCCCTCTTTGACGTGCCCCTCGCCCATCATGGTTTTATTACTGCGCTGTTTATTATTGGTTAGGGTGATGACAGAGTCCTTGATTATTCTTTTATTGCAGTACTTTCTCCCCCTCCCTCCTCTCTCTCTATCTCTCTCTCTCTCTCTCTCTAGAATAACGTTGCATGGACTTCCATCATTTAAAAAGACGAGATTTTTGCAGAAATCACGACTTGGGTCTCGTGACTCAAGAATCGGTTTGTGCTAGTTTCGTTGCGTCCAGAACGAACAGGGACTAGCAGGCGGTTGGACCTAAGCTGGGCGTAGCGATTTAGGAACCAACGATCCCCACAGGTGCATAATGAAATCTGGTCTTGAAGGCTTTACTCTCTCGCGCGTGGGTTGACTCTGGAACGTCTTTTTGGTCGTCTCCTGTGCGAACAGATGTTTCCCAACCGTAGGAAATCTGTTGGACAAGCCTGAACTGTTATTCTTTAAAGGCCAAATGACGTGGATAATAAGTCTCTGATCTTTATAGTAAGCCATGACCTGTGACAGATGGTTCGCTCATGCTCAGTAACCTGCCCATATCGGAATTTGACTGCCAAATCAAGAAAAAATATTGGAGTAAGCTATCGACAGAGTGGGGGAGGCGGGCGGGGTTGTTTGTCACATGCAAGAGGGCAGAGACATGGCACCCGGATGTAAAATGGCCGCTTACAGAATAGGCTCTGCAACTTAGATCTCAAGAAACACAAAATTGGACCTTTTTTTTTTTGCATAAATAGTAGAGATCTAGGATCAGTGCAGAGTGAGCCAGAAACGTTTATGTTTATGAAAATTTTATTTAAAATAATTAAAAAAATAAAGTATAAAATTTAAACACTGCGCAAATGGAGCATATTATTGCAGAATATCTATTTAGATTAAAGATGCACATACACTCTTAACAATTTAGACAATAGGAACCCCTTTTTTCCTTTTCATGGTCAGCATATTTTACCTCCCTATTATTAGCAACGAGACATGCCTCACATTCAGGTTACTTTTCACCACCATTCGGTGGAGGATCATTTCGAAAAACGGTTGCTCAAACAAGAATATAAAAGAAAATTGATTCTCACAAATGTCCGGTTATGATTTGGGTAATACTTTCTCACATTTAATTAAATCGAAAAAATCAAAAGTCAAATAGACAAGATCAGCAAACCGCTGGCTAGCTCTCGTGTCATTGCTCTTGTTATTGAATATAAGTATGTTATCACCTTGATGTTTTCCTTAGTGTAAGCTAGGTTGATGTGAACAACGTATTGAACCAAGTCTTGAGAATATCTCGCATTTCAGAATAATAATCGAGTGGTTATCATGGTTTGGTTTCACTTTAGTTGCTCCTCATGACAACGTACTTGTATCTAACTTCATGTACAATGTAGATTTGCACAGTGAACGATATGCAAATGAAGGCAACGATTATTTAATGATGAAGAAATCCGTCTTGCTTTTCTGTTCGGTTTTGGCACGCAGTCGGTTAATATAGTAGTATCGTGTGTGCCCAAAAAACTACTATTTTTACGTAGATAATACGATTTTGTAACGCTGCAAGAGAAGGCGTACGTAGAGAACAAGCCGGAAATAGAGAGAATGAGAATATAACAGAGGAAAGCAAGCTGCTGAAGGTGGGCTCTATATGTCCTGACCATGTTCGGGCATTTAGAGACATGACTTTCGACTGTTTATGGCTCTATTTTGAGGAATCCGCACATCGTGGACTGATTATTAGTTCGCCGTTTACTAAGGTGATGATAGAACCCTTAGTTTTCTATATTCCATACCTTTCTGACGCCCTCTCTGGCTCTCTCTTTCTCTCTCTCTCTCTCTCTCTCTCTCTCTCTCTCTCTCTCTCTCTCTCTCTCTCTCTCTCTCTCTCTCTCTCTCTCTCTCTCTCTCTCGCTCTCTCCCTGTCTCTAAATCTGACGAGGTCCTTGCGGATATTTCGGGCAGTTCTATTTTTCCCACGTGGAACAGCGCTTCACTAAGGCTTCTGGTCGCGCAACAGCCGGGGGGGGATAACGAACCTTCCTGGACCGTGGGCAGTGAAATCAAGCCACACGCAGAGGCGCAGATAGATGGACGGCAACGATTTCCTCGTACTTCTTGAGTTTCCTTAATCGAAACCTGCTGGATATTTGCCTCATACATGGGAGGGGTAGCCCGCTCCCTCAAAACCCCGGAAAAATTTGAAATTTGGCGGGCTCCCATATGGCCACTATATATATAGACCCCCCCTTCCCCCAGTCGACTACCATCAGGGTTCTCCTTCCCGCTCTTCCCCTCCTCCGCCGGTGCAATTCCTGGCCGCATTGCGCCGCCGCCTCAGCTGTCCCTTGAAGTTCTTCTCAGATGGGTTCTTCTCCGATGGATTCCTCTCCTGCCGGAAGCACTGCCGCCAGTAGCGGCTCCGACGGGGCCGGGTCGCTGAGGGGCGGAGGCGGCTCCGCCATGGGATACCTCCTGACGTCGCAGCCTTCCATCTTCTCCCGGGGGGGGATCAATTTTACACCCCCGCGGTTGGAGTTGCCGGTCCCCGGCCTTTCTTCGTCTCGCAGTGGATACCCTAAACTCCCTGGTGGATGCCCCGAGCTGGGGCTCATAACTTCACCGGACCCTGACGAGGGAGGGTGTGCCAGTCCCCACGGGGAGGCCGTCGTCTCTCCTGGCTTCGCCCGACATTTCGTGGCTCTCTGGAGGGCCATTGAGGAAGAGAAGAACCATGAACACCTCGCATCGTCGAGCTCGACCGTTTCCTCCCCCGAGGCGCCGCCGATCCTGGTGGAGGTCGTCGATCGGATAGTCCTCGGTGGTGAACCTCTTGACCAGAATCTGCGGTGGGCAGCCTGTTTGGCGGCCATGGATCCGCACGCCAGTAAGCACTGGAAGCGTCTCCTGGAGTGTAAGGACAAGTGTCGCGTGAACAACTCCCTGAGGGCAATTCTTAGTGTCGTCTTCAGGCTCGCGGTCGACGAGGTGGGGCACCACCTCATACGCAAGCTTATTTCGGCCTGTGACGAGACAAACCTCCATGTCGTCGTGACAGAGGTGGTGGCCCACCAGAAGCAGCTGCTGGAGACGGCGAAGAACGCACTTGGGTAAGCCTACCTTCTTCTTCTTCCTCTTTATCCTATGTGGGGGACTAATAGACCCCTCTTCCCATCTACAGGGTGAAATGGGTTCAACATCTCCTCCAGTTAGCCAAGCCGTGGCCGTCCCTGATCCGCACACTCAGCTTCGCTCTCTTCGGCGGCGCCGCCGACCTCATGATGGACAAGTACGGTTCCCGGCTCATCAAGGAGTGCTTGAGTCGACTCAGCTTCGAGCAGAACAAGGTACGATGCTCTTCAAGAAACCGATCCCTCCTGTCCTTTTCTTCACACAACGCCTCTCCGAAGACGTTGAAACCACCCTGTAAATGCTCCTCCAGTTTATATACGTTGCGGCCCTGGCTAATCTGAGGACAGTCGCCAAGAACGAGCTCGGGTGCATCACCCTCATGAAGATCGTTGACCATGCTCTGGGAGCGACCAAGCACGAGCTCCTGGCTGAGATAATATCACATTCCACGTGCCTCTCCCAGGACCTGTACGGGTACAAGCGGAGACTTTGACTTCTTAGGCTTTCTTCCCCCTCTTTTGCTTCACGGGTTTTCTGACGTCTAAAGGTCTTTGACGGCGGCCACAGGAACTACGTCGTCCAGCACATCTTCGACCTGGGGGAGGAGAAGTACGAGGAGAGGCTTTGCTGGGAGGTAAGGAGCCACCTGCTCCAACTCTGCACGCAGAAGAACGGCAGCCACGTCGTGGAGAAGTGTCTGGCCTCTGCCGGCGGGCGGCTTCTCCTCGAGGATCTGGTCTCCCACAAGAAGCTTCTCCAGATCGCCCAGGACTCCTACGGGAACTACGTCGTCAACGCGGCGCTGAGGCTCTCCAAGGTGTGTCATCTCCATCAATTCCCCCCCTCAACCACCCTTCCCCATTCTTACTCTTCCTCTCAGATTCCTTCTCACACAAGAATATGTTGCCTCTTTGTGCGCAGACGGCGGCGCCCCTGCTTCACCAGAGGCTGGTGGAGGCCCTCAGAGTTCATTCGCAGAGCCTCAAGCACCATCCCCACGGGAGGCACGTTTATAAGAACGTAGCAGAGGGGGCGGACTACCGATCAACATCAAAATGATTGATGCTCGCTGAATCTTGCGACTACTCTTTTTCTCTCGACTGATGGGTCGGCTATTTGTTCCTGTACTTGTTTGTTTGTGGTGTTCCCTGTGTTCCCACCTAGAACGTACCCTAAATCTGTCCCTTGCTAGATGATGTGTGGAAACAAGTTTTCCCTTTGTAATAACCGACGTGTTTTGTTTGTCCAGTTTTTCATTGAAATTGTATATCCAGGTTTCTGTGGGTTTCCAACATCCGTTCACTGATTTCTTTTACATGGATAGATGAGATGAAAGCTCCTTCATTGTTCGTAAATCATGTCACCTGCTATCAGAGTATCATAGAAGAACCCATGTTCCTTGGTCTGGTGGCACTCTAGTCTCATGACGGCTGGCTAGACATCGTGGAGAAAGGAATGTTTGAAGTGAAGTTGGAGATGACAGGCATGAAGTCTAAGATGGCAAAAATAATGTCTTAACTACAGTGACTTCCAGACACTTAGAAGGACCTGAAGAGCTTAAAACTTGGTAATGTCAAATCCATCACATTTTGGACGGGGATGAAATTCCTTCCTAGGAAAACGAGGAACAAACAACATATGACCACTGCAAAACAGGTTGGTCGAAGGTTGTACCAGTTGAAGAAGGATCAAAGTGTCATTGCTTTAGTACTTAAGTATAACTTAAGTATCAAAAGTGGCTATGAAAGATCAAAGTGTTGAGTTTATTACTACGGACTTCAATGAAGGTCTATCAAAATGCAATAGGGAGGAAAAGTATAAAATATTGGTGATCGTAGACTAAATAAGTAAATAGTCACACTTATTATCCCTTACTAATTCCTTTTTCCCCACAAAATTTGTATGCATTTTTATCATGAATGTCATTGCATTACACTTACGATTTTTCTCTTCAAAATGGTGAAGAAAGAAAGTCTTTAGTTATATTGGTGAAATACTGGTTCAATGCTACCTACAACTGGTCAACTAACACCGTCTGTTTTGGCGTCCTATGTGACAAGGATCCTCAAATTTCAGTTCATTTCGGGAGACAATCCTCCAAAGTCATTGTGCAGCATATGTTGCAGAATAGAGATGAAATACTCAATAGATTACTTATCAAATGTTTTAAGCTCAATAAAAAATTCAAGCACAAGTGGATCAAAGATAAAGAAATGTGTACTTTAAAGTGAGCGAGTTGTTTATTTTAAATTACACCCTTAAATATTATACTTTCTAACTCATTGGTTCAATGAAAGGTTCTCTCTCATAATTTTTTTGCCTTTTCGTCATCATGACGAAGATTCATCAAACGGCTTGTAGATTGGCACCCCCACCGTGGACAAAATCCATCTAGTTTTATGTTATTCACAGCTCAAGCGAATGCTAAATTGAAAGACCATAATGAATCCTAAATATAGGCTTTGAGTCAGGGCTTAATTTTCCAATCAAGCCTCATGTTGTGTGATATGTTGTCTTCATTCTAGAGACTACGTATATTTGAAGCCACCTAAGGGTCTACATCTACCATTCCACATTAGTTTCATGCCTTCCGACTCGAAGGCAAACTGGATCTTGGAAGGGGGAATAATGTTAGACCGTCTACATGTTTAGTAGGCCTTGCTTTTGCCAAAAGAAACAAGGAGCACTGTTAGGCCCATAAGGACCTGAGATGCCTAAATTATGTCAATTTTAAGGAAGGACTCTTGAGTATTTTTGACAGGGGGATTGGGGCATATGACGAAATGACTGAAGTTATAAGTTATCTTATTATAGGTAGGTTGAATAGAGTGGTGGCGCTCGATAACATGATATTTCTAAATAAGAAGTATATTGTGTTGTACTTTTTATCATTATTTAATGAAGAGATGAAAGAGAAATAAGACTTTTTATATTGATATTAAATTATTTATCAAATTACTTTATATTTAATACCTTTTAAGTTTAGTTTTATCTTTGTTTAGTTATGGCAGTTTTAATTATTATCTAAAAGACCTACCCTGGTCATAGCGTCGCACTCTATGACCATCTTATATATATACATATTTCATATATTTTTTATCTCTAAAAAAAATATTTTCTTTCCATTCTTTTTCCTTCTCTTTCCTAACCTCTCTTTCTCTTGATATTTTTAACCTTTCTTACTGTTTCTTGCCAGGCAGGTAAGAAATAGTTCTCCATTTTTTCCTCTAGACATTTTAGATCTTTAATTCCTCAGTTTTTCATTACTTGTTGTGACTTTGTCATTCTCCTTTGCCCTCTCTTTCTATGTGGCAAATGTGAGGAGATCTTCACATTTGTACTAGGTTTATGACGTGTAATTCTGTTACTCCCAATTGTTATCTCTTCTTCTTAGGTTTTCCATGCTCTTAACCTATCATTGAGGTGTTTTGGCACTATCCAACCCCTATTCTATAATCATGTTTCAATTTTCTCTCTCATAGTAGCATTATCTCACACTAGTGAGTTTTATCTTTTCCATCAAGCTTTTTCTCCATGTTTTCATAGAAAATTATTATAATAATGTTTCTCTCTTTTTTATAAAGTTCTCCCTATTTTATTTAATAAACTTTTCATTATAACCTATAGTTTTATGTATTTTCTCCTTGTGTATGTATTTCTAGTAACCAAAAGGTGTGATTTTTCTTACACCAAGGAGAAACTTGTCTCAAATGCAACTTTTTCCTTTCTCTAATGAATAATTTCCTTTTTCGAAGTGTTTCCTCTTGATCTTCCGTTCGATCTCTTCCTCATTTTCTTTTGTTTGTAATCAAATTTTCATTCTATTTGTGACACAAAAGTGACATGAGAGAATAACAAGATATGGATTCAAATACACAAAGCACAAACCTTGAAGAAGTAGCTAGCTTTTGAATCTACAGAATTAGAACCTTCAACCCTTGAAAACACAAGGGGAGGGGGATGACTTTGAATCAACAAGATCAAGGGGGGGGACCTTTGAATTCGTAAGGGGGTTCTTGAGTCTACAAGCAAAGGGAGGGTGAGCTCAAAAAGAGATAAAAAATCATAATATTTAAAAATTACATCTTAAGGTTACCATGGGGGGCTTTTATATAAGTCTTAAAAAGATGTGGGGGGCTCCCAAAAGGCGGATCTAAAAAAGATACTTGAAATAAATTATAATTGGCTCTAAAATGACCTGAAATAGACTTTGTCAAATGAGGAGCTGGAATACATCTCAGGAAGAGAGCTAAAAACATTAAATCAACTTCTGAAGAAAATATATCCAAGTTGAATCTGCCCCGAAATATTTCAGCAAGGGCTAGATTCAAGTTTACTACTTCATTAAAGAGTAGATCTCTTTTTATAGACATATTTTGGAAAGACATAAAATTTAAGATTTCTCATGCTTAGGCCGTTTACTATTTCCATATGTTTATAACTTAGGACTTGACAATTTATTGGCACAAAATGTAACCTTTGTTATTGGAAATCTTCTTCTAACAAAAGGTTAGCCATTGTGATATCGATCAAGGCCTGAAAAGTGCTATCCTTAAGTTGGACCATAGTAACTCAGTTGAAATTGGTGACAGTTGAGAATAGTATAGCTTGACTTGCCAACCCTGTAAAAAGACTCATTCAATTTGGTCATTCCTAAAGCTCATCAGGGATCAAAAACTATGAAAACGCAGTGTTGCTTGTGGAAGTTAGACTATGTCAATGGCCATGGTTTCACGTAAATGCTTCACGGTCTTTTGGTTTCATGCGGACACTAAAAATTCTAGTTTCAAGAAGTTTGAGGAGATGGAAATTGTCTTCCTAGCACAGAGGATGAGTGACTTCTTACCCTCCTAAAATGAAATATTCTTGACAGTGCAAATATTGTGAGAATTAAGTTTTAGCACATGGAGAGTGGTTTTAATAGTATAGAGGAAAATTAGAATTGTGTAAGCGAAACATAATGATTAGTGCGTCTAAGGTCTTGAGGGATTGGCCAGACATTGGGGAACGGGATTACAAGCGGGAACGAGTTTGCAAATGGAAATTCTAGTTGAAAAAAACAAATATTTGAGCAGCCGGTTTAGATCCCTTGAACTTCCGAAGCGGCTAACACATAAATGGATGCAGGAGGATTGGTGTTTGGAAAGGTGATTGAATAACGAATACCAGGAACATATTTTTCGTTAGGTTTGTTTTCACTCATAACATGCGTGTGAAATAGGAATGACGCAAGGGGATAAGAAGGTAGAGATGGGAACGCTTTACTTGAGAGTCTGGAGTATGTCTAGAGTTTGATGCCTTTTTTATCACGAAAATACTTGGTATTTATGATTTTACAACCCTTAAACTTGGGGGAGGAACCATAGATAATGGGTATGACATTTCAGAATTTTCTTTGATAATGCAGTTGTGAAACGGACCGCACAGTTTTCGTGTTAACTGATCATTGCTCTTGTTGTTGAATATAAGTATGTTATCACCTCGATGTTTTCCTTAGTGTAAGCTAGATTGATGTGAACAACGTATTGAACCAAGTCTTGAGAAGATCTCGCATTTCAGAATAATAATCGAGTGGTTATCATGGTTTCACTTTAGTTGCTCCTCATGACAACGTACTTGTATCTAACTTCATGCGCAATGTAGATTTGCACGGTGAAAGGTATACAATGAAGGCAACGATTATTTAATGATGAAGAAATACGTCTTGCTTTGCTGTTCGGTTTTGGCACGCAGTCGATTAACATAGTGGTATCGCGTGTGCCTAAAAATAACTATTTTTACGTAGATAATACGATTTTGTAACGCTGCAAGAGAAGGCGTACGTAGAGAACAAGCCGGAAATAGAGAGAATGAGAATATAACAGAGGAAAGCAAGCTGCTGAAGGTGGGCTCTATATGTCCTGACCATGTTCGGGCATTTAGAGACACGACTTTCGACTGTTTATGGCTCTATTTTGAGGAATCCGCACATCGTGGACTGATTATTAGTTCGCCGTTTACTAAGGTGATGATAGAACCCTTAGTTTTCTATATTCCATACCTTTCTGACGCCCTCTCTGGCTCTCTCTTTCTCTCTCTCTCTCTCTCTCTCTCTCTCTCTCTCTCTCTCTCTCTCTCTCTCTCTCTCTCTCTCTCTCTCTCTCTCTCTCTCTCTCTCGCTCTCTCCCTGTCTCTAAATCTGACGAGGTCCTTGCGGATATTTCGGGCAGTTCTATTTTTCCCACGTGGAACAGCGCTTCACTAAGGCTTCTGGTCGCGCAACAGCCGGGGGGGGATAACGAACCTTCCTGGACCGTGGGCAGTGAAATCAAGCCACACGCAGAGGCGCAGATAGATGGACGGCAACGATTTCCTCGTACTTCTTGAGTTTCCTTAATCGAAACCTGCTGGATATTTGCCTCATACATGGGAGGGGTAGCCCGCTCCCTCAAAACCCCGGAAAAATTTGAAATTTGGCGGGCTCCCATATGGCCACTATATATATAGACCCCCCCTTCCCCCAGTCGACTACCATCAGGGTTCTCCTTCCCGCTCTTCCCCTCCTCCGCCGGTGCAATTCCTGGCCGCATTGCGCCGCCGCCTCAGCTGTCCCTTGAAGTTCTTCTCAGATGGGTTCTTCTCCGATGGATTCCTCTCCTGCCGGAAGCACTGCCGCCAGTAGCGGCTCCGACGGGGCCGGGTCGCTGAGGGGCGGAGGCGGCTCCGCCATGGGATACCACCTGACGTCGCAGCCTTCCATCTTCTCCCGGGGGGGGATCAATTTTACACCCCGGCGGTTGGAGTTGCCGGTCCCCGGCCTTTCTTCGTCTCGCAGTGGATACCCTAAACTCCCTGGTGGATGCCCCGAGCTGGGGCTCATAACTTCACCGGACCCTGACGAGGGAGGGTGTGCCAGTCCCCACGGGGAGGCCGTCGTCTCTCCTGGCTTCGCCCGACATTTCGTGGCTCTCTGGAGAACCATTGAGGAAGAGGAGAACCGTGAACACCTCGCACCGTCGAGCTCGACCGTTTCCACCCCCGAGACGCCGCCGTTCCTGGTGGAGGTCGTCGATCGGATAGTCCTCGACGGCGAACCTCTTGACCAGAATCTGCGCGTGGCAGCGTGTTTGGCGGCCATGGATCCGCACGCCAGTAAGCACTGGAAGAGCCTCCTGGGGTGCGAGAAAAAGTCTAGAGTGAACAACTCCCTGAGGGCAATTCTTAGCGTCGTCTTCAGGCTCGCAATCGACGAGGTGGGGCACCACCTCGTACGCAAGCTTATTTCGGCCTGTGACGAGAAAAACCTCCATGTCGTCGTGACAGAGGTGGCGGCCCACCAGAAGCAGCTGCTGGAGACGGCGAAGAACGCACTTGGGTAAGCCTACCTTCTTCTTCTTCTTCCACCTTATCCTACGTGGGGGACTAATTGGCCCCTTTTCCCGCCTGCAGGGTGAAATGGGTTCAACATCTCCTCCAGTTAGCCAAGCCGTGGAAGACCCTGATCTGCATACTCAGCTTCGCTCTCTTCGGCGGCGCCGCCGACCTCATGATGGACAAGTACGGTTCCCGGCTCATCAAGGAGTGCTTGAGTCGCCTCTGCTGCCAGCAGAACAGGGTACGATGCTCTTCAAGAAACCGACACTTCCTATCTTTTTCTTCGCGCGGCGCCTCTTCAAAGGCGCTGAAACCCTGTAAATGCTCCTCCAGTTTATATACGTTGCGGCCCTGGATAATCTGACGACAGTCGCCAAGAACGAGTGCGGGTGCGACACCCTCATCAAGATCATCGACCATGCTCCGGCCGCGACCAAGCACCAGCTCCTGACTGAGATAATATCACATTCCACGTGCCTCGCCCAGGATCCCTACGGGTTCGAGCGGAGACTTTGACTTCTTAGGCTTTCTTCCCCCTCTTTCGCTTCACGGGTTTTCTGACGTCTAAAGGTCTTTGACGGCGGCCACAGGAACTACGTCGTCCAGCACATCTTCGACCTGGGGGAGGAGAAGTACGAGGAGAGGCTTTGCTGGGAGGTAAGGAGCCACCTGCTCCAACTCTGCACGCAGAAGAACGGCAGCCACGTCGTGGAGAAGTGTCTGGCCTCTGCCGGCGGGCGGCTTCTCCTCGAGGATCTGGTCTCCCACAAGAAGCTTCTCCAGATCGCCCAGGACTCCTACGGGAACTACGTCGTCAACGCGGCGCTGAGGCTCTCCAAGGTGTGTCATCTCCATCAATTCCCCCCCTCAATCACCCTTCCTCATTCTTACTCTTCCTCTCAGATTCCTTCTCACACAAGAATATGTTGCCTCTTTGTGCGCAGACGGCGGCGCCCCTGCTTCACCAGAGGCTGGTGGAGGCCCTCAGAGTTCATTCGCGGAGTCTCAGGCACCATCCCCACAGGAGGCACGTTTATAAGAACGTAGCAGAGGGGGCGGACTACCGATCAACATCAAAATGATTGATGCTCGCTGAATCTTGCGACTACTCTTTTTCTCTCGACTGATGGGTCGGCTATTTGTTCCTGTACTTGTTTGTTTGTGGTGTTCCCTGTGTTCCCACCTAGAACGTACCCTAAATCTGTCCCTTGCTAGATGATGTGTGGAAACAAGTTTTCCCTTTGTAATAACCGACGTGTTTTGTTTGTCCAGTTTTTCATTGAAATTGTATATCCAGGTTTCTGTGGGTTTCCAACATCCGTTCACTGATTTCTTTTACATGGATAGATGAGATGAAAGCTCCTTCATTGTTCGTAAATCATGTCACCTGCTATCAGAGTATCATAGAAGAACCCATGTTCCTTGGTCTGGTGGCACTCTAGTCTCATGACGGCTGGCTAGACATCGTGGAGAAAGGAATGTTTGAAGTGAAGTTGGAGATGACAGGCATGAAGTCTAAGATGGCAAAAATAATGTCTTAACTACAGTGACTTCCAGACACTTAGAAGGACCTGAAGAGCATAAAACTTGGTAATGTCAAATCCATCACATTTTTGACGGGGATGAAATTCCTTCCTAGGAAAACGAGGAACAAACAACATATGACCACTGCAAAACAGGTTGATCGAAGGTTGTACCAGTTGAAGAAGGAAGAGGAAGTGGAGATTTTTCAAACACCCTTGTGTGACGGTTCTTGCCAAATCATACTAAGATATTTAATTTGACCGTATGACTACCTCTCAAGAGAGAGGTGGAACATGCCATGTATTTAGAGCTAGGAAAAAATCAGCCAATAACCACAGTTTTGAAAGAATGAGATTGAAGTATTCGTATGTGAAATGGTGGCCTCTGGAGTTTTTAGTCATCGATTAGTCCATGTTGAACTTCATTGTTGCAAATCTAATAAAAAAAATAAGAGTTGACTATTTTATATTGATTACTGAGCTTCAACAAAGTTAACATTCGAGAGTTTATAACCATCGCATTGGGCATAAAAAGTAGAAGTATTATATGTTGGGATAGCATTTTATGATATTTAGAAAGTAACATACCTAAAATTATTATGAGGGCAACAACTATAACTTAAGTATCAAAAGTGGCTATGAAAGATCAAAGTGTTTAGTTTATTACTATGGACTTCAATGAAGGTCTATGGAAATGCAATAGGGAGGAAAAGTACAAAATATTGGTGATCGTAGACTAAATAAGTAAATAGTCACACTTATTATCCCTTACTAATTCCTTTTTCCCCACAAAATTTGTATGCATTTTTATCATGAATGTCATTGCATTACACATTCTCAAAGTATATTGCATTAGACTGTGAGAAGAGTTTTTCTTAATCATATTTGGTGAGCAACTTTTAACTTGTGGGCCATTAATTTAAAACACAGCATAACATATCATATGTAGATGATTGGACAATCATAATTACTCATTCAATTTGGTTACATTGCATTAGACTGAGACAAGTTTTTCTGAATCAATTTTTGTGAGCAGTTTTTAACTTGTAGCACATTAATTCAAAACACAGCATAACATACTATATGTAGACTATTTTGAAACTTACAACTTTTCTCTCCAAAAGGTTGAAGAAAGAAAGTCTTTGGTTACATTGATGGAATATTGGTTTAACGCTACCTACAACTGGTCAACTAACATCATCTGTTTTGGTGTTCTATGTGACAATGATCCTCCACCTTCAGTTCATTTTAAGAGATAATCCTCGAAAGTCATTGTGTAGCATATGTCACCTACAAGAGCTAAGGGGATTTATCACATGCCATGTTAAGATAGGCAAGATTCTTCAAAGTGGAGCCTCACAACCAACATAAGATTTGGTTGACACCCCCAACATAGTAGATGAGTACATGACAAAGTGATGTCACATATGTAACATCGAATATGTGATTAGACATTAAATACTTTATCTTTTTTATACTTTCCCAGTAGCTTAACCATTCAAAATAAAAGGTCAAGTATCCGATACCATAGAGGACACCTTAGGTTGTGTAAGAGTTGTCCTTTGGGCTTAACCCTTGTCATAGAGGTTTAGATTAGATAGGGTCACAACTATGCCCAATACCATATCTTTGTTGAAGCACTTTAGAAGGTAATCGTGTGGTGGGTTTCCCAACCCTCATTAGCTATTACTACAGATTTATGGCTGATTTTAAACTTGTTTCTTTAACCTTGAGACATCAATTGAAGAAGGGTGGGTGTATTTAACTAGAACCATGAGATGGAAATCATTATTTAATAATTAAAGAGAAACAGAAAATAGGTACTCATTTTTAGGTCAGATAATTTCTAGTTCTATTGAAATTGAAACAAATGAGTTTGAGTATAAATTGAGAACAAAACTTTTACAACACCAGTCAATGACATATTCAAGGTTAATCTTATCATTATTATAGATGCCCTTGATTTAGACCCTTGTATGAGAAAATTTATTTATAAATTATTTTGAATGATTTATTGAATATCAACTGAACCATTTATATATATCATAATATTTTACATGACAAGTGAATATTTTTGAGAAATATTCAATCTATATGTATATTGATGATGCTTGACCCTATCTTATGACTAACAATGAATCCAAGAAAAATATATTTTTATGTTGAAGTAATACAATTTAATATTCTCAAAATATAAGTGCAGAATAACATGTTTTTCAGTAGCTTTATTTATCCTTAATCAAAACCTGCTGGATATTCACTTTATGCAAATGACTTAACCCGCTCCATGTGGCCTGCAAAACCTTAAGATAATTGAAATTTGACGGGGTCATGTTGCCTCCTTATATATAACCCCCCAGTTATTCTCCCCAGGGCTCTCCTGCTCTTTCCCCTCACTTATCTCCCTTGATCCTCCACCGCTGCAACTCCTGGCCGTGTTCCGCCACTGTCACAGCCATCCATTGAAATTCTTCTCAGATGAGTTCTTCTCCAATGGGTTCCTCTCCTCCTGCCGGCAGCTTGTACGCCAGCAGCGGCTCCGATGGGGGCAGATCAAGAGGTGACGGCACCCCCATGGGATACCTCCTGATGTCACTGCCTATGGGGACGGCACCGCCTCCCATCTTCGTGTGGAGGGGGATCAGTTTAAAACCCCATTGGGTGGAGTCGCTGGTCCCCGACTTCACTTCGCCTCGCGGTGGACACCCCAATCTCCCTGGTGGATTCCTCGAGCTGGGACTCAGCTTCACCAGATGCCTGCGAGAGCCAGACCCCTTTCGGAGGCTGGCATCTCCCCTGGGTTTCCCTTATGCTTCCTAGCTCTCTGGAAGGCCATTCAGGAGGATAAGGATCGTAAACATCTCGCACCCTCCACCGAGGTGCCGCTGATCCTGATGGAAATTGTCAACCGGATTGTCCTCGACACCCAGCCTCTGAACAAGATCCTGCGGGTGCTAGCGGGGTTGGCAGCCATGGATGCGCACACCAGCAAGCACTGGAAGAGCCTCCTAGAGTGCAAGGACGAGCATCGCGTGAACAACTCCATACGAGCACTTCTGTGCTTCATCTTCAGGCCAGCAGCCGAGGTGGGCCACCACCTTGTACGCAAGGTTATTTCGGCCTGCGATGAGAAAAAATCTCCATACCATGAGAGACTCCACCCAGAAGAAGCAGCTGCTGGAGACGGCAAAGAACACACAGGGGTGGGTCTACCTTTTACTTCCTTTCCATCTTTGGCGGAGGACAAAATAGCCCGTTGTTCTGTCTGCAGGGTGAAATGGGTTCAACAGCTCCTGTTAGCCAAGCCGTGGCCAACCTTGATCTGCGGATTCAGCTTTGCTCTCTTCGGCGGTGCTGCCAACCTCATGACAGACCAGTACGGTTGTGGGATCATCAAGGAGTGGTTGAGTTGCCTCAGCTGCAAGCAGAAGAAGGTACGATGCTCTTCAAGAACTGACCCCTCCTATCTTTTTCTTTACTCGATGACTCTACAAAGGTGCTGAAACCCTCTCAATGCTCCTCCAGTTTATATATGTTGCGACCATGGCTTCTCTGAGGATAGTCGCCAAGAACAAGCACCGGGTGCATCAGCGTCATCAAGATCATTGACTATGCTCCGGCTGCGACCAAGCACCAGCTCCTGGCTGAGATAATATCACATTGCGCGCGCCTCACCCAGGGCCTCTCTCTCTCTCTCTCTCTCTCTCTCTCTCTCTCTCTCTCTCTCTCTCGCTTGCTCTCTACTGATCAATTGACACTATTTTTCGCCATACGTGTTTGCTTGTCATATTTCTTCTGCTCTCACTTAGAACCTACTCTTCATTGATCCTTGGTTAGATGCATGCGTGGAAATAAGTTTTCTCTTTGTAGTAACCAGTCTTTCTTAGTCCAAATTTTCATTGAAATTCTATATGCAGATTTCAGTAGGTTTCTAGCATTTGTTTGTTGATTACATGTGATGGATTGCATCCTCTTCTATTTTTGTGGCTGCTACTCATATGAGATGAAAGCTCTCTTTGGTAGTCATTAAAGCCAGCAGCCACAGTAAGATTGATACATAGTGATAATGAATACCATGTAGAGGTTTCATCTCATATAACCAGTAGTCACAGAAATATGAGTAGATGCCATCCATATATGTAGAAGAACTCAATGAACAGATGTTAGAAACTTACAGAAACCTGCGAATAAAACATCAATAGAAAATTGGACCAGGAAACATTAGATTACTACAAAGGGAAAACCTATTTCCACACATGCGTCTAACCGGAGGCTGGAGAATAGTTTCTAGGTGAGAAGATCACAAACAAACAAATACTAGAACAAATAGCCTATCAATCGATCAGTAGCGAGTGAAAGAGATGGTGACCATAACGAGATTCAGTCAACATAAATCATTTTGATGGAGACATTGTGCCCCCCCCCCCCCCATCTATGACATTCTTGTATATGTACCTCCTATGAGGGTGATGCTTGAGGCTCCAGAAATGAATCCTAAGAGCCTCCACTACCTTCTAGCGCAGCAGCGATGGCGCTGTTTGTGCATAAAGAGGCAACATATTCTTGTTGATTAAGCTGCATATTTCATCCCAGTTTTTGGAGTTGTTGGAATATGAGAAGAAGAGGAAGAAGGGGAAAGGGTGGTTGAGGGGGATGGATGTGCACCTTTGAGATCCTCAATACCGCATTAACAGCATACTTCCCGTTGGAGTTCTGAGCGATTTGGAGGAGCATCTTGTGCGAGGCCAGAGCCTCGAGTAGGAGCCTTCCGCTAGTGGAGGCCAGGCATTTCTCCACGACGTGGCTACCACTTTTTTGCGTAGAGAGTTGCAACAGGTGGTTCCTCAGCTTCAAAGAAAGCCTCTCCTCGTAGTCTTTCTCCCCCAAATCAAAGACATGGTGGACAGCATAGTTTTTGTAGCCAGCGCCAGAGATCTATAGACTCCAGAAAAGCCAGGAAGCAAAAGAGGTGGAAGAAGATGACCACAATCAAACTCAAGAAGTCTAAGTCGCCGCTTGTGCCTGTAGGGATCATAGGCTAGGCACGGGTAATGTAATATTATCTTAGACAGGATTTCATACTTGATTGCTGCTGGCGCATGATCGATTATCTTGATGAGGCTGACGCACCCTTACTCGTCATTGCCGAAGGTCTTCAGATCGCCCAGAGTTACAACGTATATAAACTAGAGGATCGTTTGAGGGTTTCAGCGCATTTGGAGAGGCACCATGATGGGGATCGAAGAAGCAGACCAGCACCTCTACGTCGACTCCACACCGGCCCAAGCACGTTAAGACATATTTTACTTTATTAAACATGTTTCTTGCTATTATACACCGGAGAGGTTAATAAATAACCTCTTGTAGCCCTAGAACGAACGAAGAGACGATGAAGATCAATTGAGAGGATTTACCTCTCATCACTCGCCAGGGAGAGGCCGTGAGGGTCACTTATTCACACCGTCATCATCTCCTGTCTCTCCATTGTCCGCCAGCCACCTGTCACCGTCCTCAGCCCATCATCCGCCGTCTATCACCCTCCCTCCACTGTCCAGCACCGTCGCCGTTTTCCTCCGCCGCCATCAACCGCTATCATCATCAAGCCGCCGTCTTCCAGCAATTATCCGTCGTCCCTCTGCTGTTGCCATCGACCGCTACCATCATCCAGCCGCCGTGCTCCCGCCATCATCCGTCGTCCGTCCGCCGCTGCCGCCGTATGCCACCGTTATCACAGCCGTCCGCCGCCGCAATCCCTTCCTCCCCCCGTTCCCGCTCTATCGGTTCAGGTTAAATCCCCACCGGTTCGGGTCTCCGGAACAGCCAGAACCGAACTGACCCAGCTCGGGCAGAATTGATCCGGCCCAGTTCTGCCCGGCCCAATACAGCCCGGAGGTGCCTGGTCCGAACCAGCCCCCGCCTTGCCGGTCCGACCCATTCCGGACCGCCTGGTTCCCGCAGCCCGCTCGTCGGTTCCAACCATTCTAGATCCGAACCAACATGGGCTCACCGGACCGAACCAAACTAGACCCGCCAGGCCTGACTAGTCAGACCAGTAAACTAGGTCAGCCTAGTCAGAGGTCAACGGCACGGTCAGCTCAAGGTCAAAACTGTTAGTACAATAGTCAAATAGTTGGACAATTGCTAATATTTAGTCAACTATCAACAATTGGGGGTTCAGCTTCACCTGTAAATCCTGTTTCTTTCTAGATTTGAGAAGGTAGACACACCCACCCCAGCGCATTCTTTGCCGGGTTGAACAGTTGACCCTGCAGCAAACTTACCTTTGCTATCTTAGGAGGCTTTGCCAACCCCATGGAGGACAAGGTCACGATTGCAGGTTCCTCTGAGGAAGCGACTCGCAAAACACTGTGTAAGATGCTCGTTTTTCAAGAAACCCATATTTCTCATCTTTTTCTTCACTCGATGCCTCTCCAACGGCGTTGAAACCCACCCTCTAAACGCTCCTCCAGTTGATATACACTGTGGCTACAGCCAACCTGAAGATCGTTGCCAAGAACGAGTGTGGGGTGCGACAGCCCTCGTCAAGATCATCGACCATGCACCAGCAGGAATGAAGTAGGAAGTCCTGGCTAAGATAATTAATTTCTCATTCTCCATCTCTCTCTCTCTCTCTCTCTCTCTCTCTCTCTCTCTTCCCTCTGTTCCCACCTAGAATTGCTCCTTTATCTACACTTGATTAGATGCATGCGTGGAAATATGTTTTATTTTTATAGTAACAAAAGTCTTTCTTGATCCAATTTTCTATTGAGATTTTATGTGCAGAATTTTTTCTATGAGTTTTCTAATATCCATTCGTTGAGTTCTTCTACAGGTATGCATTGAATCATCATCTCTTATTCCTACGGCTGCCGGCCTTGTGAGATGGAAGCCCCATGCTAGTCATTATCACCAAGGATCAATTATGCTGTAAAGGCCAAAGATCGCTAAACAACTCCATATGTAAGTAGGGTGGGTACCTTCCACTGGGGGGGAGTGCACGTGCCATCAAGATGGTAAGCCATGAACAGATTTTCTTTAAAAAATAAAAAATAAAAAATAAAAACTAGGAACATGGGTTAAGAGAACCTAAACGAGAAGCTGAATATTGGGGCAGTGAGCGTTACAAAGAATTCAGACAAGATATAAAAGCACGAAGAAAAAACTCCAAATCGATCACCTGACGGGCAGTCATCCTCTTCTCGGATGGTCTTTTCAGTTCGTACCTTATTCAACGGCCTCCAAAGGGTTGTCACTGCTTGTTCACTTCCACTAATTATTAGACTAATCAAGTTTAGAGCAAATATGTTAGAGCTCGCATCATATTTCCAATGCCTGAACCACTGAGAAGTAGCGAGCATATGAACTAGTAGCGCAGAACATCCACTGGCAGAAAACATTGAGCACCAAATTGGGAGAAGATCTTTCAGAGCATCTTGCATGGTTGTCCAGCGTTATACTTGCCAGATGAGATCACCATACGAGAATATCCCCCCTAGATGACAAACAGGTAAGGAGAACACTGACAGGAACCACAGGATGACCGCATTCTTGGGCAACCATTGGAAACAATCATGCATGGAATGATCTCCATACAACCTTTCATCGTTAGAATTCACTGAGGTCCAACAGAGGACACCCAAAACGTTGGGTTTCCTTGTGCTCAAGGTAACAAGGACAGCCATTCCATACCTTAAATGGCAATAATACAAGGAACGGATTCAACACGTTGAAATTAATAGCTCAAAAGCGATGCTCCTTCACATAAAAAGGATCTCACTATTCGAAGAGTACACAAAATCACATCAGATACGGCTGGCTAGTTGTCCAACTACCGAGATATATAGCAGGAATTTAGCATGGTGTTATCCAAGTTGGAAAGGAAAAAAAAAAAAAAAAAGAGAAGAAGAAAAGATTGGTGCCGAAAAGAAGGTAGCAACAGTAAGCCCAGAAACGATTAAAATATTCTGAACAATATGAGTAGCGCTTTTGGGCAGTGTAAAAAAAATAATATTGTCAGGTCTCACAATCCAAAGAGGTGAAAATTACAAGTCAACGCATGAAGTATCATACTGACGAACTACCGGTACAGGGACGAATTGTACTGAGGAGGCAAGCCACCTGGCAGGGAGTAATTGACATATGCCCCTGACCTGTCATATAAACTAGATCCAGAAAGTGAATCTGGATACAGCAGAGACCTTGGTGGGCTTCGAGTAGCGCCCAAGCCCAGTGGATTTGAAGCATATGCTGAGCTAGAACGCTCATAGATGTAGCTGTTTCCGCCGAGACCATATGGTCCAGTGGAAGCCATGAACGGAGAGCGGTCAACCAAAGAGAGATGTGATTGAGTCTGTGAGAAATGTGATGGTGGTGGGTGAGCTGCAACCACAGCGGTTGCAGTCGTAGTTGATGGACGAGGCCGTTTACTTGCTTGATACTGCTGAGCCTGTCCTTTGGGATTAGTCAGAGCAGAGCTAGCTGCAGAACGCTTCCTCTCAGCCTTCTGTTGTTCCAACTGTGTGATACGCTTATGAAGACTCTCAGGAGAGTATTCAGACTCCAGCTTGTATTCTTCAATGGTTTTAATTACTGCTCTTAGTGCAGCAAGTTCTTTGGCAGTGGCCTCGTTCTGCGACATAATGACATTTGCAACTTTAAAGGTGCAACAGCAGACACCTAAATCCACAAGGAGAACGGGGAAATCGTACCTGTGACTGTGCTGAGTTGTTACCCTTTCTACGGACTTCCTGAGAAATCTTTTTAGATTCCTTTATATATTCCTTTAGGAGTGGCACAGGAGGAAATTTGTCCGCCAAGCCAAAGGCGTACACAAATTTCACAGCATCTAATTGTTTCCCCTTACTGGACAGTTTCTGGATAAAATCTGCCACAAGCAAACAATGCTTGCAGGTCATTTCACCTCAAGGTGCATCTAAAAGGAGGGGGGGAACCCATCCCGAAGGTGTCCGAAATACACATTAAAGAAGAGCATATTTCAAAACGTTGGAAATATAAAGTGGCTGAGATTTTTCAGATTTAAGGCATAGCTAACGAGGTAATTTGATTTGCAGAGCAAATCAGAATGTCAATACGTCCTTTGAGACAATTATGGTAAGTTCCAGCCAAGGGATTCAACTGGCACAATAACAGCGTGGCTGAAAAGTATCAGTCCTGAAGATAGTTTCTTAAGATGACAGAACTAAACCATATAACAGCCAAGATAATCAAAAAATTACAAGAAAAGTGAGGAAAAAGAAAAATGACGACTCCAGGTGACAACATTAAATGTACGATAGAAGTCAAACTATTGCTGACAATCATTCATTCATGCATGCATGGTATCCCAAATGAGTATAACTAAAACATCAGTTCATCGCAGGGCAGGCATCAAGTAATGATAGACCACAGTTGAACAAAGGTGTAGCACAAGATTTGGAAAGCACAGAGACAAGACATCCAAGAGGGTTGCGATTTCCATCTCAACTGATCGAATATGAACTCATAAATTAACCACACAAAAAAAAAGAAGCATGGATCATCGCCCTTCTTAAACGGAAATGGTTTCCTGATATTTGCAAAACTTAAATGACTAACATTAATACTCTGGGGCTGGTGCGGGTGCGTCAATCTCTGAAGGGATTAACCGAGAACTATGATCTGGTCCCCATCAAGAGCTCAAAACTATGAAAAATAGATGCACAGTCACTGTCTCTAGATATCAAGCTTCCATCCAGCAGATCCATTTCAGATATTGCAATAGAATAAAAATATGACATACAAAGTAGTTGCCGCAAAATTAGCCAAAATATTGGAGGCCAAAGTGACAGTTTACACAAGATCCGGTATATTTTCTGATTTATAGACTCCTTCCTCTGGCCATGATCGAATCCTCTAGTCATATAATGGAGCATAAACAAGTGAGAAAGGGGAAGAAAAAGCAGATAATATCCCGCTGGTCCCACCCCTTTATCTAGGGACATTCTGGAGTGGGGAAACTAATGATGCCCCAGATCACTACACTGCAAACTATTCAGCTGGGCCTCACAGAGGGTTGGGAGTTTGAACAGGTAGTGGAGCCAGATGCAGCAAGATCATAAAGGAGCTTTCCAGGATAGGCAGACAATGCAAGCCCAGTGTTCAAAGACAAATAGCGTTTCTCAAATGGATACCAATACAAGCATGAATCGACAGCAAAGGATGGTTAAGGCATTTGCCCTAGTGGAATTGATGAGGACGAGATGCCCGAGCAGATGAAATGTATGCAGGGCGAGGTGAAGCAATGAATTGGAGGGGAATCCTCTATTAAAGAAAAGAACGCCTGTATTGAAGCAGGCACAGAATGTCTAATATTTTCTGATCATAGTTTCTGACAGTAGGTTTTCTGCAACAGAATTTGATGCATAGAGTCATGCGTTACACTACAAGGGGATGAAGGGCAGAGCAACTTGAGGGAAACGCGTCCAGTCTAAAGATTCACCAGAACAAGGAGATATACGCCAACCAGAGAAATCTAAGCAACAAAGCTTCCAGAAAAGCCAGGAATAACATGTGCTCATTGACCAATGCGATTAGTCACTAGATTCGATAATGAAGGGTAAATGACAATGTACTATCTGCATAAATTGCATGGGATCTAGATTGGTTTGAGAATAAAACTACACATGTAGGGATAGCATGCTCCCTGAAGAAAGGGCTCCTTCTGCAGCACTAAAGGTTTTCAAATCTAGTCATTCTGATATAATATGCTAGTTAATGGACCATGGACACCAAGAGAAGACGAAACATGAACCGGAAAAGTAAAATCAAACTGTACACCAGTCATCACCTAGCTATGACACCGAAAGAAAACCTACTGGTAATAAAACCCTCAATTGATCGTGCATAGTCTTAATCAAAGAAATAAATTCAAAGCACCCATGGGGACACAGGCGGAGGCATGCCTCTACAGGCGATTGGACCAGTTTTTCGCACTCCATACCTGGCATTTTTTCGGACAGACCGAGATCCCTGCAGAGAGCAATGGTCTGCTTCCGCTTGGCCATGGGTATGAGAAGGTTAAAGAGTTCGTCCGCCTCAAACTCTGACATGATGTTATAAGATACCAGGAGCTGCAGGAAGGCTAGGGCTTCCACGTAGTTCTGGCCCCCATCCTGAGACATCTTCTTCTTCCATTCTTTTCCTAGCTTCGTTGCTTTCTGTCTAGTGAGGGGTTTGATCTCCCGGGAGATCACATGGAGGCGCTCCAACAGGAGGGTACAAGTCCTCCTGTTCGCGTGGAGCTCGCCTTCCGAGGGTCCCTCTCCGCTGACCTTGGCAGGGTAGAACCCCTCGACAGCATCAATAACCAACTTAGCAGGGTCGGGCGCAGCCCGGATTGCTCGGTTCAGCTCTTTGCGAATGTTCAAGAGATCCTTGCGGTTCTGGTTGATGAACTGCAGAAGTCCCTTACCGTCCATCTTGAGGCAGAAGGACTTGAGCTCGGGACGCGGGTCCACCTCTGGCTCTTCCTCTACGATCACCGGAACTATCGTCTCCTTCTCTGAGGGTTGGGCAACCGCGGCGTGTGCTGGCATGAAGGTGACAGACCGTTCGTTCTCCTTGGACTCCAGCTCTCGGAAGCGGTCCTCGATGGATGCTTGGATGGAGGCTATGTGCTCCTCGAGATCTTTCCACCGTAGGGTGAAGGAAGCGAGGGAGGAGGAGTGGGCCTGGAGCTCCTCGAACGCCTTTCTGAGGTTCTCCTTCTTCCCTGGAATGGCTTCGATGTCGGCCGCGATGGACTTCGCCGTAGCCATCTCACCCACTCTGCGGCAGGATCAGAGATCCACAAGGCGCAAGAACAGAATGAAGAACAAGAGACCCGAGATTGACTACACAAAGACGAAAAAAACGGACAGAACGTCGATCAGACCCTAAATCCAAAAAGAACCCTCGACCTTACGACACACAGATAACTATCGGGCTCCGCTATGACGCTTTGGCATCGACACCTTACCCCCCCACAGCAACAACCCCCCGGCCGGCTAGTTCGTTCCCCCTCCTCTCGTCGCCGTGCCGCCGCCCCGACTTTTTGGGCGTAACGCCTTACCGCAGAGCTTCCTCCGCTACCGTCTGATCAATGATGGACGTGAGACTTGACTCCAAGGTAAGAATTCAATCCGATCGAATGAAATAGCCCACCACCTTCCCCGTCTGTAAAAATACGGTCAACCTCTGCAGGTCACACTGCGCGGAGGAAGCTCACCTGCCAAGGAAAGGGCAAAATAAAGCTCCAGCGAGCCATTAGCGCCGCCGTCCCTGGGAGCACTGCCCCCATTTACTCCCCTCACATTCCACCCGCTGGACTGCCCTTTCTCCCGTGCCGCGCAGTACGACGAGCGATCCGAAAGCTTCTCCCTCGACGAGAAGGCGCGCGTGAGCGATCTCCGCCGCGCAATTCACATGCCAGTTCTCCCGCGGCGCCGCCGGAGGGGTGGGGGGGTGAGGATGAGATCCCGAATCCTCCGGCGGGCGACTTACCAGTTCTCCGAGGCACGAGCTGGGTGGGAATCGGACAGGAATTGGCTGGGTGTCCGAGTCGTTGACCCGGCCCTACTCGTTCCGGCTGGTTCTATATAAGTGGGATCCGCTTCCCTAGGCCCCTGCCAACAAATCCCCTTGCCTTCCTGAACTCGAGGAAGTCTGCATTCTGCATTCTCCGTGCTTCCCCTCTGCGGCAGCGGCGATCGATTGCCTGGTCTTCTGCTGGTGGTTAGGAAGTTCTGCGACTCCGAATCTCCAGTCTCCATCTGCCTCTTGTTCGCTGCATTGGTTTTGCCTGTGAGAGCCAGCCTGTAGGTTCTTCTACCTCGGATCTCCTAGGGTTTCCTCCGCTCTCTTCATTCATGCACTCGATTGGGGGGCCAAGGCTCGCATGTTCCTGAGGTGTTCCTTGTGTTTGACAGCTCTTCCTGAGGGGGCGATGTCTCTCTCGACTCCGTACCTAAAGGAAGCGCGGACGTCGTACTTTCTCGTGATCTGTTCCGCCTCCGTGTTCATCTAACAAGCCTGCGGCGTCCCAGGCCGCGACGGATCCTTCTCCTCCGTTCGGACGAGGCAGTGATTGTTTAAGATCTGATCTCTTGCCAGATGAGGTCCCAGACTTCCGCGATCTTGTAGTTCTTGTTACGAACAGCCCTCGCCCTACTAGGGTTTTGGAGGCGGTTCCTTCTCTTTTCTTTCTCCCCCTATCCCCTCCGTCTACCTGCTCCCATTTAGATCTAGAATGCCGTGTGTAGCCCAAGATCCAGGCGACAAGGACTCTGAGCCCTTTGTCGAGGTCGACCCGTCGGGGCGGTATGGCCGTTATGCAGATCTTCTGGGAGCCGGCGCCGTGAAGAAGGTGTACCGGGGGTTCGACCAGGAAGAAGGAATCGAGGTGGCTTGGAACCAGGTTCGTCTCCATTGTTTTATGGATGATCTCCGGGTGATCGACCGTCTCTACTCAGAGGTACAGCTCCTCCGTTCGCTTCGCCACGAGAATATCATCACCCTCTACCACATGTGGACCGATCTGGAACGCGGCACCCTCAACTTCATTACCGAGGTTTGCACGTCCGGCAACCTGCGGGAGTACCGCCGGCGCCACAGGAATGTGTCGCTGAAGGCCATTAAGAAGTGGTCGCATCAGATTCTTACAGGTCTGGAGTACCTCCACACCCACGAGCCCTGCATCATTCACCGCGATATCAACTGCAGCAATGTCTTCATCAACGGCAACGTCGGCCAGGTGATCGATCATTCAGCGCTCCTGAACCACAAAAATTCCTCCAAATGCCGCGTAAAGTTGTCTCGGTCAACTCGATATTTCCTCGATCGTTCGTCGCTTTTAAGTTCTGAATAACATGAAGCGATCGTCGATCGATGAATCGACGACGATGTAAATTGATGCTGCTCTTGTCCAGGTGAAGATTGGGGATCTGGGACTGGCGGCGATCGTGGAGGGGAACCACGCCGCGCATTCGATCCTAGGAACTCCAGAGTTCATGGCCCCGGAGCTTTACGAAGAGGATTACACCGAGCAGGTTGACATATACTCCTTCGGCATGTGCCTGCTGGAGATGATCACCCGGGAGATCCCCTACAGCGAGTGCGACAGCGTGGCGAAGATCTATAGGATGGTGACGGCGGGCGTGCGTCCGGCGGCGATGGCCAAGGTGAGGAACCCAGAGGTCAAGGCTTTCATCGAGCGGTGCCTGGGCACGCCGAGGGCCCGACCTTCCGCCTCGGAGCTTCTCAAGGATCCATTCTATCATGATCTCGAGCGGGAAGCCTCGTAACTTCTGCCTCTGCGACGACGACGATGGCGGCTTCTGCACATCCTTTTCTTTCTTTCTTTTTTTCCTTCTCTTAATGTATACTACACCGTAGTTCCTCGCAGCTTTTGCTTTTCATGAAAGCTGAGTCGCTCTGCAGGGCATCGCGCCGGCTGTGTTCCAAAGATAACGAGTTGACTCCTCTTCCTGTTACTGACTGCTCATTTTACTCGTTCAGTACGCCGGCCTTCTTCTCTTTCTTTTTTTTTTTTTTATCCCGAAGGTTTATTACGATTTAATCGTCGCATGCGATCATTGGGTTGACCATATATGATGATTATTAGCTCGCCAAAAATGACGAACCCCATCACTTCCCCTCGATCATTCCTTCCCTAGAAATTCGATATTGTTTGCAATTTTATTTTTTTTGGGAGTTGAAGTCGATTTATTGTGCAAGATGGTGATGTTATTGCATGAAAGAATTCAACCAGAAAGCCCAGAACGAGTATTGTCGCATATATTTAAGAACGTGTACTGTTCATGCCGCAGGCGGGCACGTCAGTGCTCTAGTTGAATTTGAGAGTTGACTTGGCGATTCATTGACCGGCTAGAGTTATCCACCAGCCATTCAATAGACGGTTTCAGTCAACCCGGTTGACCCCCGTATTGATGTATCCTGCTCCTTTATACCGATTTCGATTGCGTCTGGGGGTTTCGGAGCTCTTGGTTTGAGACGAGGGCAACGAGGGAGGATCTGGCGGAATTTCAGGTCAAACTAGGAGGTTCATAGATGAGGAGGTCAAGCCCATGTTTTCTTTTCTTTCTCATTAGCCCGGAAGTTTGGGTTGAATTGGAAGGCACTCCACGTAATATGCGGCTCTTTTAATGATGTGCACGTAAAACGGAGCAAACCCGGGCCAGGAATGTCTTAAACCCGCGTCAAATACTGGGCCGTTTATCGGATCCAAAGGCCATTAAATATTGCTTTACCGGGGAATTAGCCCGACTCCCGCCGTCTTCTGACGCCGCGCCGTCGCCGGCGACGAGGGAGACGAGGTGGATCGATGGAGGACATCCCGAGGGAGGATGACAGCTTCACCTTCCGTCTACCCTTGCGATGGAGCGGAGTGGCGTTGAATCAGAGACGGATTTAAGGTGAGAGAAGGAGGACGCAGGAGGTGCAGTGCTTGTCCGGCGGTTTCTTCCCTCCTCTGTGTAGAGTGGTGTAGAGAGAAGAGAAAACCAGTTGGAATCGGATTCATTGATGGGTTCGTCGGCGGAGCCGGGCAGGAGGCAGACGTTTGGGTTCTTGTTGTCGAGAAAAGTCATTGCTTGGTTTGCCCGAAACATGAATCCCTCTCATCTTCCTTGGGTTTTTCTTTTCTTTGTTGATCCTCGTCTCTTTCATTCTCCATCTCAGGAGCCGCGAGACTGGTTCGCCGCCGCGTGTTCGGATCCGGGTCGATGGGAGGAGCTTCGAGTTGCACAAGGTTGGGAGGAAGAACTCTGAGGAACAGCTCTCCCGGAGGCGCTCCCCACGCCCTGATGATCTCTTTCTTCTTCTTCTTCTTCTCTCCCGTTCTCGCAGAGTCCGCTGATCCTGAAATGCGGATATTTCAAGAAGCTGCTTCTGGGAGGAGGATGTCTCGAGGTCTGTCTCCCCGAGGATTTCCCGGGAGGAAGCGAGACCTTCGAGAGGATTTCTCTGTTCGTCTATGGATATCTGGCCCCTTTCGATCCATCCACTGTCGCCGCCGTGCGATGCGCGGCGGAGTTCCTCGAGATGACTGAGAACGTCGCCACCTGCAACCTCCTGGAGAGATCGGACCTGTACCTAAACCAGGTGGTCTTGCAGAGCTGGAAGAGCACCCTCGTCGTCCTCCACAATTGTCTTTCACTCCTGAAATTCTCTGAGGATCTCCTGATAGTGACCCGCTGCGTGGAGTCGCTCGCTTTCATGGCTTGCATGGAAGTCCTCGACCCGGAGCAGAGGAGTGACTGGCCCGACGCCGCCCTGCGGGCTCTCGCATGGGGGCCATGGAGCAGCAGCAGCGCTGTGGAGGGCACCGCCGGGGAGACTCTGTGGGTCAAGGATCTCGTCGCCCTCCCGTTCCAACTCTTCAAGAGGATCGTCGGCTCCCTGAGAAGACAGGGAATGGAGGAGAAGTACGTCATCCCCATCGTCATCATCTACGCCAACAGGTGGCTGGTGCCGGAGAAAACCCACGACGACGACCAGGCGAGCTCCATACTGGAGGGTGTTGTCGACCTGCTCGTCCCTGTGGGAGCAAAGGCCAACACAGTAGTACCTGTGAGATTCTTCTTCAGTTTGCTCTCGAGAGCTCTCAGGCACGGATTGGGTGAGGACAGCCGCAGAAGGTTGGAAAGCCAAATCGTCTCCCTGCTACCGTCGTCTCAGGTGGGGGACCTCCTCCTTCCGGATGACAGAGAGGGACCGATCTCATCCAGTCGGGAGGTGGAAGCCATGGAGACCATCTTCTCCACTTATGTGACGGGGAGACCTTCAGAACGAGACCCAGTCGTGGCCGACCTGTGGGACTGCTACGTAAACCAGATCGCCGGCGACCGGGAGATGTCTCCCCCCCGGTTCATGGAGCTTGTCGACGTGATCCCCCTTCAAGATCGGGAGACCCACGACAATCTCTATAGAGCATTGGACGCATTCCTTCTGGTACGTCGTTGAATTTTTTTCGAAAACAAAGGTCAATAGATATGGCGGCCCCTATGTTTCCTCAATCTGCTCCCTTTCATCTTCTCTAGAGCCACCCGAGCATTTCCGGCGAAATGAAGGCGTCGGTCTGCAAGTATCTCGACTGCCGGAAGTTAACGGAAGAGGTCTGCGTTCGGGCAGTCCAAAACGAGCTGATGCCGCTGCGGCTGATCTTCCGAGCTCTCTTCGCTCAGCAGCAGAACACCCACCAGGTCCTCAGGGGCCAGTCGGAATTCTCGGGGAACCTCGTCCTCTCCAGCGGGAGATTACGGCCTCAAGACCAGAGGACGGCGGAAAAGCTGGAGATCACCAGGGCGGAGTACCAGTCCACCAGCTTCAGGATCCAGACCCTGGAGAGTGAGCTCTATGCGCTGAGAAGAAACCTGCAGATGAAGGGAGAGTCCATGGCGGAAGATAAGATGGGGTGGAACTGCGTGGGTTCCTTCACTTGGGGGGCTTCGCAGAGGAAGCAGGCAGACCAGCTGCTGAAGATGTTAAGGGGCCTCGCCGTGTGGCGATGGGGGTGGGGGAGATCAAAGAGGAGAGATGCTGCTCCAGCGGACAGCTCCATGTCCTCCAGGAATGATCGCTTGGAAATTGATTGGTGATTCGACTTACAGATAGAACAGTTTGTGGACTGAGCGAGAGGGAGAGAGAGACATACAGAGAGACTGCATGCAATGGGAAAAGTGGGCAATTTTAACATAGTTTCAACTTTCGTCATATATAATTATTTACAATAACAAGTGACAGATAATAAGCAAACCACAGATGGGTTTTCCTTGGGCCTCTTTGTTCATCAGACTATCAAATTCTGCAAAGGTCAGATGCAGCATGGGAAATTTCTCAAGCACCTTTCATACGATCAATTAGTAGCTGATAGATGGATATCAGGAGGAACTAAATTGTGTAAGGAGATGCCTGAATGAAAGGATCAGTGTGGGTCTTCTGCGACTCCAAGACAAGCCTTGCTGCTTCAATTACAACCTGCCCGCTCACGTAGTGGTGCCGACAGACTGGCATATAGACATCGGCGCCGCCAATCAGCTCGGTCTGCTGCTCAGCCGTCTTCCTCAGGGTGAAGAAAGCCTGCTTGCCACAGAGCTCACACCGGGCCGTCAACTTGGTCACTGAATCAGCTAGAGGGATAATATCAAGCACAGATCCAAAACTGCACCTGGAAGGAAGATATTTGAGGCCATTTTTAAGGGTAGAGATGATATTCACAAATTATGAATATTGAACATGACGGGTATTTGATTCGATCAAAATATGCGATCCGTCCATCATGATCAGATCGAATGATATATTGATGTTTGATTGTTCAAAACCGCGGGAGTACCTGGTCTAGATTCTTAAAACATACACAGATACAGAAGAGTACCTTCGATAGTCTCCATCTAAGCCTGCAACAATAATAGTCTTCCCATCATGATCAGCTGCCTTACAGCAGAAGTCACGAAGATCTTCAAAAAATTGAGCTTCGTCGATTCCAATCACGTCCACCTGTTACAAATCGACATTTAGCAACATATACGACATAAGATTTAACAAACAGTTTGATAGATAGATCTGTAGTTCTCATCTAATAATGACCATTGCCATGACCACAAACCCTCTGACTGTATCACACACCTTCTGCAAAGAAGAACAGATATTGACTGCTGGCAAAATTTCATAACTGGAGGGGAATGGGAATTTGATGTGGTATTTAACTGCCAAACGATTACAATAAATGCACGATTATTTCCCAGAGCTTATCACGAACATTATTCATGATGAATTTACACCATCGAATGACGAATTTGACATCTTCTATTCTCGCTTAAAACCACGAATAATCGATTTCTGAAGATCTGGAGACCGTTCAGCTGGGTAAATCACACAGGCAGGCACATAATTTTCAGCCACTGTATTCGGGCTCGTCTTCAAATCGTTACTCTAAGCTAATGAATGCATCACCCTATGACGAGCTTTTCATTTCTTATCGAAGTTACAGCTTACCACGTGCTTTTTATTTCCCATGACAATCACAAACGAGAAATAGAGAAGCATATCACGAAGATTAACCTGATTTCCACTGTTCAATAATCTTTAGAGATTATTTGACAGATGAAGATCTGGATTGACTACCAACTCTACATATTTTCCACTGACACTCTCCATAAACAATTGGACTGGTAAGATCAGATAGAGAGGTGAAAAGACCATTGATTCACTCTGTTACGCAGCAAAGAAGAGAAACGTGGCCACAAGAGAGGTGGCAGTCTCCATGGTTTTAATCTTTACGAGGAAGATGTTTTTTGCGTTGGACTCATCGCCCACTAAGATATCCACATGATGGAAGAAGAACAGCTGAGAGTTCACGTAGAAGGCCATGAGGTGCAGAACGCAATACATTTTTTGCGCGGAATAATGTTAGGAAAATGATAAACAGAACGGCGTTTTATCACCTTATCATATGCCTCAATGCCCAGCATTGCCCGGAAAGTCGAAAGATCTGGCAAGGCCCAGCATGGCATCCTCAAGCCATCATGCGTCACAATAGAGTCTAGCCCATATCTGTTGTCTTTCTCTGACTTTATGATAGCAACGTTCCTATGAACAAGAAAAATCAGGAAATATAAGTATCTCCTCCAAAGAAGAATCGACAACAATACATCGATGACTATTAGATCTCGATTTTTCTATACTGCCATAGAGATAATGAGGTTTATATTAACTCGAAGTCAGGAGCAGAGATTATCGACACCAGTTGTCGGCCGAGGACTACCTTCCGCTGCTGCTTTCTGCTTGGAGCCGGCGGAGGAGTGCAGTGGTCTTCCCCGCGAACATAGGCCCGCAGATGACGTGAATCTCCCCTGAGGAAGGAAGGGGGACGTCCATCATGGTACCTTGGCCCTCAAAGTGGTGACATGCGGAGACCCGCGAGGACAGGGCGGGGCAGGAGGGCTTCCGACGGATCGACGCGGGGACGCGCCTGGAGAGGGATTGGACTCCGTGAACTAGGGGGGTAGGAACGGCGACGGCGGAGATTCGGCGAGGAGATAACCCAGTGGCCGCGGAAGAGATGGATGCGAACAGTAAAGGCCTCATCTTGCAGATTGACTGCATTTATAACTGGTATGGCATGCGATCGAGGAGTCCACACTATGCGGACGCGGCCTGTTCCTTCGAGGGGAAGATTTAGAATTTGAAACAGGGGTGGAGGGCCGGGACTGCTCGAGCAGGATTTAGGGTTTTGGAGGGAAACATAGGCTGTGGGGACAACAGAGAGAGCTAGAGGAAAAGGTGGGAAGTGGGAAGGCAGGGAGGGAGAGAGATGACCCTCTCCTTCCTCTTTTCTCCTAAAACGAAATTACCCCTATACCCTCTTCCCCTGACAAGGCCCCCAGCGTTCTGACGACCTCTTCTATGCTGTCAATCTCCTCATGGAGTTTATCTCCGGCGAGGAAGGTGTGGACCTTCCCTCTGATCTCCACGGAGCTCTGGCCAGGATCCTTCTTTCTTCCAAGTGTTCTAACCAGTCCACGGATACCCACCACATCCTCCCACCTCCCCTGACCCGCGTAGAAATTTGAGAGCACGACATATTTTCCTGTATTCTCTGGCATCAGACCGAAGAACTGTTCCGCCGCAATCTTCATAAGCCCGGCATCTCCGTGAACCTTGCAAGCACCGAGCAAGGCTCCCCACATAATAGGGTGCTGCTCAGAAGGACCCTTCTTCACCATCTCGTAGGCCTCCTCCAACCTTCCCGATCTTCCCAGAAGGTCGACCATGGCAGCGTAGTGCTCCCCTCTTGGCCGGATATTGTAGTCTCTCGACATGGAATTGAAGTATCCCCAAGCTTCACCAACCAGCCCTCTTCTGCCGCAAGCAGAAATAGCTGCGACGAAGGTGATGTGATTCGGCCGGAAGCCTTCGTCCAGCATGCGGCGGAAGAGCTCGATGACATCCGCGGCGCAGCCATGTACCCCGTACCCAGAGATCAGGACCGTCCAAGTGACGATATTCCTCTCCGGCGAGGTATCGAAGGCCCGCCGACCGTCATCTGGTGCGCTGCACTTGAAATACATATCCACCAGCGCACTGCTCACCACTACATTGGCGATCACCAGAGTTTTCACCATGATGGCATGGACCCTCCTTCCACATTCCAGCGTTGCTCGCCGGGCACACGCCCGGAAAGCCGACGCGAAAGAGAACTGATCTGGGCTCATCCCGGAGGCTAGCATCAGGAAGAAGATGTCTAACCCCTCCTCTTCAAGCCCGCTCTGCACATATCCAGATATCATCGCGTTCCAGGGAATCACGCTCCGTTTAGGCATTTCATCGAAGATCTTCTGTGCAGTTGAGAGATCCCCGTCTTTCGCATAGAGAATGACTAATTTCGTTTTCAGATATTCGTCGGGGGCGAATCCGGTGACGATCATCTGAGCATGAATTCTCCTCCCGAGCCTGTATTCCTTCCAATGTATTGACTCCTGAAAGAGAAGCTTGTACGTCTGGTCATCCGCAGGGGAACCTCGAGCGCACATGAGCTCCACTGCTGCCGACAGCCTCCCGGAATAGCACAGGCCCTTCAATGCCCCATCCCGCCGGGAAGCCTCACCGTGGATGCGGTGAGGGGAGGGGAGGGATCTACAGAATGGAAAGCGCATGAGGGAACACGAGATATATAACACTCTTAGACTCTGTAAGAAGATCAAACCAGTTCCGGATCTTTCCAGTCCGACTACTATAAAGCAGTATATTTCCGAAAGGAAAAAAGAAACAGTCTCGCTGACTCCCAAGTAGTAGTAGGTCAAAGGGGTCATTGACTCTGCCAAGTCTTACACTTTGACGCATGTACCGTTATCATCAACAATTTTACCAAATGTCAACCATATAAACTACAGGAAAATAAATTGTCACAGCGTAAATGTAGCTATTTAAACCGAGGATAATTGGTAAAAATGTATAGACTTTTCTGATTCGTTTATCTATGATGATGCTCCCTTTGGGGTGTCTAGGAGCCATAGATACCCAGTAATTCTAAAAACTTTCATCGGTAATTACATTTTAACTGGGCTGTAAAGAAACAATTCCATAATTCAAGTGTAAGTCAACAGGTTCGGATTTCACTCATTAAAAGGAAGGGAATTCACTTAGTAAGTAATGAAATCCAGACTGAAAATATCAAGGATCCTAAGCATATAATGTTGAATATTGAATCGATATTACTTGAATGCAGACAAAAAACATGCATGTTTAAAATGATTATTTTACATATGATTAATGTTTTAATATTCTCATGAAGCTTATTTGTGCTTCGAACCCTTTGAAGAAACTCACAACATGAGGGATCGATTAGTAATTTTATTTCGTTGTCCATTTCAAGAAAAAGTGTTGACCAAGGAGCTGAATCACCGGTGGTATTTATGCCTGCTCTCATAGCATGATAGATTACAAAATTACCCTCCCAACGTACCATAAAAGATAAGGTAGCTGTGCCATTCCTTCCCTTGCCAGCTTTTTTCGCCTAGTTTGGCGGGTGCGCGGGCGGGCAAGTGACCCCGATGAGAGTCTGCACTAGGTCCAAATTGATATGAGCCATTTCTCAACAAGATATCTGGCGGTTTCCTCAAGTTGAATACTTTATTAATCCTTGAGCTGGGGGTTCCCAAAGAAATTAGCCGTAATCTTTGAAAGAGAGAGGAGAGAGAGAGAGAGAAACAGACAGAGAGACAGAGAGCCCATAAGACCGACCTTAAGCTTAATTGGGATGGAAACAGGCTTTATGGGGCAACCCGAAACGCGAGTAATAGCCAAGCTCTCTGCAAATTGAAAGCTTATAATTTCTCTCCCATCTCAAGGTGAGAAAGACAAGGAGAGAACGGGAGAGAGAGCGAGAGAGAGTGAGGGAAGGAGGGAGGGAGGATGTCGCGGGTGATGATGAAGCACGGCCCTCTTTTGGGGCAGATCTACGTGCAGGTGTCATATGCGGCCATGTTTCTCCTCTCTCGCGTGGTGCTCCAACAGGGCATGAACCAGCACCTCTACGTCTTCTTCCGGCAGTGCGTCGCGAGCCTCACCATCACCCTCTTCGTCTTCTTCCTCGAGAGGTAAGCAATTCGAGCTTTGGGCCATCTTTGTGAGACGTGTAACTGATAGGTTTCTCCGCAGCGGCCGGAGGGCGAAGCCTTCCTTGAGAGATGTGGGGAAGATCTCGGTGCTAGCGTTATTCGGGTCAGTCTCTGTTACCCTGGTCTTTCTTCATGTCTTTCTCCCTCCCTGGAGTGATGATCGGAGGCTCTCCGTGGCGTGTGGCAGGATCACGATCGGTCAGAATCTTTACTCCACTGGGCTTTCCCTCACATCCACCACCTTCGCCACCTCCATGAACAACATCAACCCTGCGACCACCTTCTTGATGGCCTTGGCTTTCAGGTAAGACGCGGCTATCTATTTCATTGCCTCTCTCTCTCTCTCTACCCTCACAACCCGACCTTGGAGAGGATGTGCCATTCCGCAGGATGGAGAAGCTAGAACTGTGGAGTTGGAGAGCACAGGCCAAGATCTGGGGAACTATCCTATGCGTGGGAGGAGCAACGATAATGACCGTGTTCAAGGGGCCAGTTGTTTTCGGATCTCAGAGCCCGCTGACAGAGGGACTCTCTGGGTCATCTGACAGCGACTGGATCTTAGGTGCTCTCCTGCTTGCGGGAAGTGCCTGGAGCTGGTCTGTGTGCTTGATCTACCAGGTAAGCCTCTCTCTCTCTCTCTCTCTCTCTCTCTCTCTCTCTCTCGCCACACAAGCATGGTGGAAAATATGGACAGATAAGGTCGCCAGCCTGATCTCGCCGGCAAGTGTTGACAGATATCATCTGTCGCAGGCGTGGTTCACTCTGGATTGCCCCTCCCAGTTAACCTCAACAGCCGTGATGTGTTGGATGGCTACGCTCCAGTCGGGCCTGGTGGCACTCCTGCTCGTGCAGACGCCCGGCGCCTGGAGGCTGAGCTGGGACCTGCAACTTCTCACCATCACCTACAGTGTAACTCTCTAAACTCTCCCGTTTCTCTCACTCCACCGCCCCACGACGGAGCTCAAAGCCTAAAAAATATTCCCCCAAGGGAGAGAGAGAGTGTACTATACAATTAGACAGGGTGCTCAGTTGGCGTGTACTGGTTGCCAGGGGATATTCTGCTCGGCGATCGGGCTATTTGTAATGATGTGGTGCGTGAAGATGAAAGGTCCACTCTTCGTCAGTGTCTTCAGCCCTCTGTCCACCGTGATCGTGGCCGCCCTCGAGCCCCTTCTCCTCCACGAGCCGCTCAGCTGGGGAAGGTATGCCAGAAGGCCACCCGGAGCTTTCCCGTAATGCCTTCGCGTCTAAGAAACATCTCTTCCTGCCTTCTCGGTGCTTCCAGCCTGACGGGGATGATCCTGGTCATTGGGGGGCTTTACTGTGTCCTGTGGGGCAAGGCGTCGGAGAAAGAGCCGGCCGGAGTCGAAGAGGTCGTCGCCGGTGGCGGAACGGAAGCCAGCGCCGCAGAGCCTTTGCTGCACAATGGCGGAGAAGAGCGAATCAAGGTCTAAAAGCCCTTGAGATCTCTCCATCACGACTCCCATTGGACCGGAACTCGAAAGACGACAGCGACACAAACCGGGATCTCCTTTGTTTTTGGAAATACGTAAGGCTAAGGGTAAGCCCGCTCCAGCCGAGAATAATTATCGTTCTCAGTTTGTTCTTAAAGACTCAAATCCAGAAAAATGTGAGACTGCTCTTAGGCTTACTCGGCCGACGAACACAAATTCGAATCGTCACAGGATCTAATATTATCAGAAAATTTAATAATCTGATAAAATCAATTAATTTCTTCTTGATTAGACCCTAGTATAAAAGTCTCCCTGATATTAGCCCATCAGGCTCACGGTCTGTGATCTTAATAAGGGCAGGGGTACTCGATCAGCCATCTCGTTAGTTGCCTGCCCTAATTGGGCGCTGGACCAGTCCAAACTACTTGGCTGCATTGGGCTCAAGGCCTTGCCCAACATTCAGCCTAGTTTAGGTTTAGGGATCAGTCTGTCCTGCCTTCACTCTGACTTCTGCACGGCACACGCAGAAGGCAAACCAACTTCCTGTGCAGCAGAGAATCAGGACGACGCCGCAGGCTCTGCTCGGCGTCGCTTCATGCCACCACTCCTGGCGGAAGATCCACTTAAGCCTAAATTGCCGAGGCGACAGCGACCCGCTGTTCTCCGCGGTTTCCCAGGCCTTCCCCAAGATCCTACCTTGTCCTTATCGCACACCCAACACCCTTCCGCTCACCCATTGTTTTCTGGGGTCTGCTCTTCGGTCCACTGAGTCTGTGTCAGTTGAAAGCCCATAGGCCATCGCGTAAACGGGTTTGGTTTTACCTTCCCCTCTCAAGGCTAATTATTAGAACTACTATCACTTTTTTTTTTAAGTTCCAATGACGGCGAAGGTGGGGGGGGGTAGAAGGAGGCCATCAGACCTTAGTCTATTAGCCTGTTCATGATGCCACTGGCCCAACCATAGTCACGTTGCCTGAATCTGCCATCAAGCCTCCCATTTTCTCCTTCACCGAGAGAGGGAACGAGTGCGGGGAAGAGAGAGAGAGAGAGAGAGAGAGAGAGTAAATGGACAAAGAAAAACATTAAAGTATTTACGGTGAACCTAAGAAAAGAAAGACTTATCAACTCATTTGTTGGTCTATGAGAATAAATAGACAAGGATGAGCATAACTCTTTGTGTCCCTTCTTAGTCTAATAGTCCTTATTGACCAAATAGCATCATTTAAGACCGCAAATTTCTAAATCTTCGTGTGAGAATACGGTTTCTTTACAATTTCAGACAACCCCCCCACCTGGCAGAGTACAAATTCCTGCATATTATTTACGAGAGTAACCATGGAACCACAATCAATCACCCCCAAGTTCAGTTAAATATACAAGATGAAACTATAAACAAACATTAGATGAATAAATTCCCTTCAATACAATAAATTTTATATTGTCTGAAGTCTTATAATATGGGCTTTCATCATGCTCTTTTGATTAGTTGGCGTCATGGTTCCTCTTCTTTTCCTTGTACCACACATCCTTCATCAAGTATACAAAATTATTAATTTTGCCTTCTCTCTTCTTGAACAAGGGAGGTCCCCAATTCCTGTGGCGACCATTTCAACCAGTATGTGTAATCGGGCATCTTGTGAGGTTGCATGCCAGGAAACAAGACGCAGGCTGAAATATTCAATTCTGCATCAACTTGCACTCTCTCCATGCTGCGTTCTCTAGATATTATTGATCTGCTGTGGATCATTTAAGACAATTTCTATATATATATAGTAGAGGAGCCGTATGAGATGCAAGTTTCATGTACGGTTCTGAAATAGGCGGCGGAAACAGTGATGTTATCGCCGACTATAATTATCTAACAGTTCAAGTACAGTTGATATAGTTGAGGCCCAGTCAAAATATGGTTTTTGGGGATGGAATCTCTGGCGTCAACCTATAGTGTTTATAGTTTTTTTAATTTCTTCTCTCGCAGAATGTGAGAGATTACCTTTTGATTCACCAGAAGCAGAAGAGGAATTAGTAGCAGGTTATCAAACCGAATATTCCGGTATAAAATATGGTTGTTTTATGTCTCTTCTTACCTAAATTTATTAGTTTCTTCATTATTTCTAACAGTTCTTACCTATCTATATATATGTCACAACTATTTTAGAAGAAACAAAACGCCCTGAAATTCCACAATAGCAATACTCAGATAGGCCATTTCATGTTTTTCTTTATATCCCAATCAAGGAACATCAGATGTAAATAGTTGTAGCACTCCTAGTTTTCAAAGGAAATATTTTCCTCAACATAATCAAATAATGACAACATGGTATGCATTGTATATATATATATATATTGAGTGACACCCTTTATTTTACCACAGCACAATATTCTACATACTATAGTCAAGAAATATTTCTTACCTTTAGTCATATAAAGTTGTATGAAAGGTTATACCCTATCCTATTCACTTTCTGAATGTGTTCACCTTTGTTTCCATTAATGCACAATTGACATAATTTATTTGGTTTCGTATTTAATGGGGCATCTCATGCCAAGCGGATCACAACAAAATACTTTGTAAAATATCAGTTATGCCGTCTCTTCTAGGGCAAGTTTATCCTAATCTCCTTTCAGTCTCATTAGTCGTAAATGATAGATGAAGATATGTACACTAGGGGGCAAGAGGGGGGGGGGGGAGGGAATTAGAAGTCGTTAATGATTTTTGATATAATAAATGTATCGGCAGATCTTCCAAGAAGGCATAATAATCTAATGAGTAAATTTAGTGTTTTTCATAGTACCATTAGACTTTGACTAATTTGAACATGCTCGACTTATGTTATTTTTAATGGAAAGCAGTCAAAGATCTTCTAGACTAGAAGAGTTGTACAGTTTGTGAGGACAAAAAATTTCATGCGAAGAAAGAGAGAAGCTTATTAATAATTTAAATAATTTACGGAATGTCAACTTCAGATAGCCCACATTCTCTTATCCCCGCCTTAGAGGATGCGTTAATATGGATGTTTGGGTGATATTTATCTGGTTTTCACACAAATGTGTACCTTTGAAAGACGAATTAATCTCAAATCGGTAGTTATCTTAAATGACAACTATTTTTCACATGGAATAACAGCGATTTGCTCACTTTATTTGAAGCTTTAAATCTTCTTACAAATGAAACTGCACTCTAACATAAATCTGCGGAGGCCACCGCGGGCCGTTGGTGCCCCCTCCCAGTCAATAGAAGTAAATGAAATCAGCCGTTCCACCAAACCTTTGGGCCCCTCGATAGCCGACACGTGTCTCTAGCCCACTGAGGCACAGCGAGCATTACAAGAAGACAAATTACGGGGTTCCAACGCGCGAAATCGGCCAACTTTCCGCCGAATTTCAGACACCCACTAAGCACGAAAATAAATTTTCTTTTTAAAATTCGTCTGGCAAAATATCGTCCAATCTTTGTATGGTGTTAAAGGACACAACATATCGTGGTCGGTGAACACTCAGACTCGAGACCAAAAAATAACGGGATAAGTTCAATCAAGTTTGCCGCCAATAATGCCGGTCAAAATTTCTCTATTTAAAGGCTTCAGTTATCTTCTTCTGGAGAACAATTATCTATGTCAGAGAGAGAGAGAGAGAGATGATGCTTGTAGCTTTTCTGAGGATACTCCTCTTAGCAATAGGACTGGAGGGGGATGGAGTTACGGCGAGGCCTGACCACGATCCATCGGCCATCATCGTCGGCGCCGGCATTTCCGGTTAAAAATCTGATCTTTGAACGGGATCATTGGTTTCAGTGTTACGCCGGTATCTCTTGAAATGGTTTGAACCACCAACGAAGTGCACTGTCTGCGCAGGTATCTCAGCTGCGAAGGCGCTTCGGATGCCGGGATTGAGAAGATTCTGATCCTCGAGGCGACGGATCGCATCGGGGGTCGGATACAAAAGGTCAACTTTGGCGGCCACAACGTTGAGGTCGGTGCCCACTGGGTCGATGGGGTCAACGGCAAAGACCCTGTATGGACCTTTGTCAACAAGCTCAACCTTAGAGCATTCATCCCCGAGTTCAACAAAATCTCATCTTCAGTATACCAACAAGAGTATTTAACCCTACAGCGTGTTCCCACTTCTTCTTGGTCTTCTTTCACTGTCCTTTCATTCGCACACTCTTCACTCGCAGGAGTGGAGAGTATGATGCCTCCGTTGTTCAGGAGGCCTTGGACAGGGCGGAGAAGGTCTCCGAGGCCGCGAAGGAGTTTTCCAAGACCTTCTCACCAAGCGGAGACGAAGATATGTCTGTCTTACTTTTCCAGCGTCTCCAGAAACAGTGAGCGTACGGAACTTGTTCAGTGTGATTTTAAATTCGATCTCCTCTTCTTCTTCTTGACCAACATCTACTCTTCGGCATGTTCAGTGCCCCCTCTACACCATTAGATATGGTGATGGACTATTACAATCATAACGCCGACTACGACACGCCACCGCGGGTGACGAGGCTTCAGGGAGCAGAACCACTTCCAACGTATGTCAACTACGGGCAACTTGGTGGTGGATCCGCAAGGCTACGAGACCGTGGTCCACGACTTGGCCCGCCAGTTCCTCTCCGGCGACGGGGAGGGTCAACATCACAGATCTTCACCTCAAGTTTAACAAGGTGAGTTTGATTATGGCTCGTGCTCGTGGGAGGCTCTCTGTCCCCCCCCCTCCTTCCTCCCTTCCTCCTCTCACCAAGCCTTATGAAAAATCCACTCAGCAAAGTAGGTTCAAGAATTACAATTGCCTTAGTGCATCGACCGTTGACCCTTCAGTTCGTTATGACCTCGTTATCAATGGCAAAAGTACAGTCCTTTCAAGTAGCATGTTAACATGCTCTCGCTGTAAATATACCATGCGAGTAGTCGCACTAAATTAAAATTTTAGTAAAGATTTTGCTGTAGACACTCTATTTTTCCACTTATTAATGCATATTTGATAGTTGGTGTTCAACCTCGATCTTGTTTGACAAGGTTTAAAATGTAAACATATGCCTTCAATTCTAGCAGCTCAAAAAACTAAAACAATAATAAATTCCACAAGTATTAGAAATATATCGATTGTCCTTCTTGCGACAATAGTATAAAATTTCATTGCAATTTCCTAGTTCTTTCACTCACAGTCAATCAGTTACATATCAACGATCCTTCTCTCCCTTTCCACCCGTCTTTGATGAGGGTCCCCACGCAGAACTTCCTTCCTCTGGACACAGTACGGGATCTTCTACATCTCTGGACCAGGTTATCCTGGTCGCAGTGTCTTCCTATGTTCAACGAGAACAGACCAAAGCCCACGGACATACTCGTCCCGAGGTGGTGGTCTAGCCGGTTCTACAGGGGAACCTACTCGAATTGGCCGATTGGCGTTAACCGATTTTTATGTGAATGATGGCTGAAATCGATATAAATGAGATCCCACATAAAATACATATTTTATATGAATTTAACGTAAAGTGATATAACATGAATTTGTAAATAGTATGCTCACGTAGAAAAATAAGAAACATATCTGTGGGTTTTAAAATAAAAACATGGGTAACACTCCGTTAATTTACATATCTTCCTAATTGATAATTCATAAGATAAATGGTAGCAAAATATTCTTGAATTATGGTTGGATATGGGTCTCATAAATTATTCTTTATGATATGCAATAAATTTTGATTCTCTATAAGTGAAATCTTAAGAAAACTCTCTCTCTCTCTCTCTCTCTCTCTCTTAGATGGGTGTAACCGACGTTCGATGAATCTAGCTCCCAATGCCTAGTCATGCTCTAGACACTAGCTCCCCTGTCGGCTCCCAATCCCTGGTATTAAATAATTGTGGGAAACACTAATATCCTACGTCAAGTGCAAAGCAACATCTAAATAATTAACTTTTTTATTGAAGCCCTCATTTGATACTCGCATCTTGGAGTATTCGTTGGTCATTGATCCCTTTCCGCATTTAAAGAATGTTATGTCTTTTAAATACAGATAACATTCCACGAGTCCATCTGAAGAAACTATTTTCTCATTTTATAATCATGTGAAAGAAAGCCTTCTGGCGATTTTGTACCCAATTAGATTTATGTTTATATCCCTGTATTATCATTTTATTATAAAACACTCATTTAAAAAAAAAGGTAATCCCGGCCTAGTCAAAAGTTCTATGATTGAGAAAACACTAATTAGTAAAATGTTAAGCAGGGTGAAACATGCAAATCATCGAGGAATATGTACTCAATTCTCTCAAAGTAAGGAGCTTTCATGTAACACATAAGATGGAAATGCAAATCGAACGCTATAAAAACACTCAGTGTCAATGGCAAAAAGTGGCTGAGGGAACCAGAGAGCGAGAGAGAGAGAGAGAGAGAGAGAGACAGGATTGCGAGAGGAGGGCGGTGGAGGAGACAGGCATACCCTTCACCTACATCTCCGCCGGCTGCTTCGCCGGCTACATGGCCGGTGGCTTCTGCCAACTGGGCGAATACTCCCGGGCAAGGACAGAGTGACCATCCTTGGTTCCGGCGACGTCAAAGGTCGAGATCCTCCATTCAAATCCCACCATCAAGCTCTACCCTGTGTTCACTTTCTCTCTCTACAGCCGTATTCGTGGACGAGGACGACATCGCGACGTACGCCGTGATGACGATCAACGACCCGCGAGCGGCGAACAAGACGGTCTACATCCGGCCGCCGGAGAACGTCCTCTCCCAGATGAATCTGGTCAGGCTCTGGGAGGAACTCATCGGGAGGCAGCTGGAGAAGCCCCGTCTCTCCTCCGACGACTTCTTCTCGGCCATGAAGGGTAACTGGCATTCAACAACGTAGACCCACCCCCAGTTTTCACCATCCTACTGATGGCATTACTCTCTCTCTCTCTCTCTCTCTCTCTCTCTCTCTCTCTCCTCGCTCTGAGCTGGGGAGGGACGTACGTTGCAGGCATGGACTACAGCTCGCAGGTGGCCATGGGGCACTTCTACCAAGTGTTCTACGAGGGATGCCTCACCAACTTCGACGTGGGGGAGGAGGCCTCTGAGCTCTACCGGGAGGTGCCCTACAGACGCATGAGGGACTATCTCAAGCGGTATCTATGAAGAAGGAATAAGCGCACACAATAATTCTTAGTATGGCCACTCTAAAGGCTAAAAGATGCTGCTTCGATAGTTTTCTGGTGTTGGGTCATCTCTTTGGAACCGCAAAATAACTGCTATAATTACTGATAAAGATTTAGAATTGTCAAAGTCCCGTCCACTATCATTTAAAAGGGTTATTTGATCCTTTAAGGCAGGGTTCCCACAAACAAACGATCCTTGAAAAAGTCTTTTTAGTTATTCGATTAGCTTGGTGTTAACGGTGAAGACTTTTTTACTCAATTTATATCTGTAAAATAATGAATTTCCTCTATTTTATTTTAGAAAAAGGGAGGGTTTTATTCTTATATGCGATAGGACATTTGGTCAGTCAAGAGAATAATTGTTAAGATAATAAGTCGCTATATAGTGGCAATATATAATCACTACTTTACCCTTATGTAGTATTTTTCTCACAATTATGATTGTAAAGTTCAAATGAGTGAGCCAATTCATGAGTATAATTCCCCTCTTGTAAATTAAAAAGAGATATTATAAGCCATGCAATCAATTTCAAAATCACATGAAAAATTTCTACAGATATGAAAAAATTCAACCAATAATCTTCTAAGTTCTCAACATAAAATTACCTCAATTTCAGAAGTTATTATTTTATGAAATAAAATATGAAATTATTATTTGATGACATGTATTTTACCCTTCTATGAACTATTTCAACATCAAAACCATAAAGGCTCTAAAAGCCAATAGTTATATCCCACATACACTCTAATTTCATGAAATGATGAACATTAAGATAGTCTCTCCATAGGTCAAGTATATGCTCCTTATTATTGGATTAAATTACTTGGTCTATATGAACTTATGTTTGACATCTGCTTTGGCTTAAGAATATTTTACCTTCCTCATATTATCCTCATATAACCCCCTTCATAGCCTTTCCCATTGTTGCATAAATTTTGCAAACACTCCCAACATCCTAATTGAGTAGTTGCTTTCTACAGTTTGACTGAATATTTTTGTTGTTGTAAAGAAAATTTGATAAATTTATAATTTATAAATACTAGAAAATAAGCTAATTTAGAATTATTTAATTTTATAGGGGTTTTCTTTGTTGAACACAAGGAAGATAAAAAATTAGTTAGTTATATTTATGATTTCTAATTGATAGATTGATTTTTTAGAATTTATAATTATAAAAAGAAGTATAAATAAATAATAAATAAATAGATAATGAGGTATTTGTAACTATGTCATCAGATGTCAGCCCATGAAAGAACATCCCCAAATTTGAGTCACTGTAAATACATCGACTAATACTTGTAAAAATTAAAGCCAAATTAATTTGAATTAAACTTTGATTTCAAAAGAGAAATAGTTTGTAACATAATGTATAATAAAAAAAAAATATAAATTAAAGAAAAGTAAAAATCATGCAAAGATTCAAGTTTTACGGAAGAATAGATAGAACAGTTGTTGATCAATTGCCACCCAAATTCAATCGATTTGTGCAGGCATAGTACATTGAATGGATTCCTACACAATCTCTAGTCGATGAATGACAATCCTAATAATTGTCACTTGCTAAAACTGATTGACAATGATAGCTTGACTCTGAATGTGCTGTGGTGTTCATATAAGGATCCTCATAATAAATTCTTCGCCATTGCTAATAGGCAAAGAATGGAACAAATTCGTGGATGAAATTCAACTTATGTGGCGGCTGAATCATAAAGAAATTGAGACGAAATTCATCATTTGTAAGAGAGGTCATAAATTAATCTTCTCTTAATTCAACCTCATGTCATACAAGGGGTCAATATGAATCAATGATAAACAAGCAATGAAATAAATCTTCATTACTACTATGAAAGTTGAATACAATAAATGCACATACCAAAGTAAAGACATTATTCTGGGTATTTCCCCTAGAGAACAACAAGTAGACTCTAGAGTAGATCTTGGCCTCACTTCCTCTTTTTGGATCTTGGGCAAACCCTCTAGAAGGTCGAGTCACTCCCCTCATCCCATGAGTGCCCTTTCTCTCCTCTCTATGGGCAATTTATATTTCGATACATTTAAAATCCCAACCCTTGGATGAAGAGGGGGAGAAAATCTCCACGGTCAAAGCTTTTCCTCCCTTGCAAGTTGGGCCTTCTCTTTGTCCTTGGATGGCTGGTCATCTGCCTCACATGGAAGGATCATGGCCTCTCCTGAACCACCGTGTGTCCTTTTGGGCTGAGGGGAAGGGGAGAAAGACCCATTAGCCTATTGGCCCATTCTCATATTTCCTGAAAATAAGATAAATCAGTTATTCTATAATGAATGAACTAAAAATACATGAGATGTCAGCAGGTTCTAAATGAACTAAAAATCAATTATTCAAGAATGTATATTATGCTATGAATGAGAAATAGCCAAGACCAGTCATCCTCATCACGAACACATCTTGCTATAAAAATATTCTTCAAATGATTCTAATTATCAAATTCATAATAATTTTATAATATATTGAATTTATTTGATAACATGCTACTTCTAGTTGATTAAACATATAAACCATGAATATAGACTAGTTTAATAAGTGGAATTAGAATGTTATCAAGACCATACAAGAGTACATGGAGAAATTTTTGTCAATCATCTTGGACATAAAGAATATTTCAAGGATTGTAAGTTATTCAACTTCCCATTTGAGCTGCAGCCATGGGCCTAGATAGAGATCATGCACCAGGGACTCAAGATGTGAAAATTATGATGGCAGCAGCGGAGGCTCTTAGTCTCTTGTTGATCTCAAGAACTCTAGCACTTCATTTACTACTAGAAGAATATGTCAAGGAATATAAGTTATTTAACTTCCTAGTTGGGCCAAAGCCATGGGCATAGATGAGATCATGCACCAATGAACTCAAGATGTGAAAATGATGATGACAGCAGCAGAGGCTCTTGTTGATCTCAAGAACTCTAGCACTTCATTTACTACTAGAAGAATATGTCAAGGAATATAAGTTATTTAATTTCCTAGTTGGGCCAAAGCCATGGGCATAGATAGAAATCATGCATCAAGGAACTCAAGATGTGAAAATGATGATGGCAGCAGCAAAGGCTTTCATTGATCTCAAGAACTCCAGCACTTGTTGGCTATTGGAACTGTAAAGCATAGGGAGGACCAAAAGGTGCACACTGATAGCAAGGGCCGACATGGCAAGGACAAGCATGTAGATCACCAAGGTGAGAGTTTGCCAAGGGTCAAGGAGGGCCCAAGATGATTGTAGTTATGCTACATGGTCAGCCTGTGAAGATTGATAGCTTCATGTGTTGAGGGCCACATTTGCACAATGATTGTCTGCAACAGAAGTATGTCAATGCTTTGGCAGCATGAGTAGTAGTAGATGAGGTACTCACCCTAAATCAACATGCTGAGATGTTGGGTGCAGTGCAGCAACATGCTGAGATTGAGTGCATCGACAAGGTTAAACAAATATTTATGGAGGCTAGTACCGGCAATCATCCCATGCTTCCAATGGTCAATAGTGAGGCCACCCACAACTCCCTCCCAAAGAGAGATGCATCTTAGTTGAGCTTGATAGTGTCACAAGCAAATGGTCAAGTTAGGGTCATTAGCTTGCGGTATGTACCCTTACTTACACTACATAGAACCCAACTAAAGGTCAAAGCATGAGAAGATGTTGTGAACTTTATGATGCTGCCAATTGACCACTTTGACTCTATATTAGGTATAGACTTCTTAGTGTATTCATAGACATGGATGATTCTCTAGTTGCACAATCTTCTTTTTGTAGGTGGATCAAGTGTATGTTTAGTCTTTAGAGCTCAAGATGTCTAGAGAGGTGATGTGTACTTATCATTGTGCATAAATACTAATTATCTAATAATATTTATCACTAAAACTTAATAAGATTAATATCTTATTATAGATGTAAGTCTCAAGTCGAACACAAGGTGATTAATTAATTCATCGTGGGAAATTAATTTAGTTTATATATAAAAATCTTAATATTTTATCACTATTTAATAGAAATAATAAAATAAAAGTGAGACATGAGAAGAATTAAAAAAATAGAGAAAGAGAAGAAATATCTCTCATGAAAGAGAGAGAAAGAGAGAGGAGTGAAAAAGATCTCACAAGAGAGGGAGAGAAGGAGAGATCTCACAAGAGAGAGGGGGAGAGAGAGAGAGAGATAAAGAAATTGATCGAGAGAGAGAAAAAGAGACGGAGATCAATCGAGAGAGAAGGAGAGAGAAAGAAAGAGAGATCTCACAAGACATGGAGAGAAAAGAAAAGGTCTCACAAGAGAGTGAGAGAGAGAGAGAGAGAGAGAGAAACAATCAACTTATTTTTATAGTGATTATGATTCTTGAACGATGTGTGCTTGAGAATTCACACGCATAGCATAAAGTGAGGCATGAATATCTCCACCTTATTTAATTCTTTAACATTCATTAATCAACCTTTAATCTTATTAACTTTGTGTTTGAAATCAACAAAAAAAATCATTATTCGCAAAATGTCAAGGACACAAATACTTGAAGATTTGACTGTGAAAATAAATAGAAAATAAGTTGGACATGATCTCAATTTGATAAGAGATAAGTTTCAGAATATTTAGAAAAGGAACAAAAAGTATTTTTTGGTTTTGAATCAATTATACTCATTTCAATCAAAACATGAATGAAATAGAAATAACTTATCATAAAATATAAATAAATATTGAAAGCACGTAAACAAATATTGAAAATAGGATACAAATTATTACCCAAATTTAATATCCCTCCTAAGCAACTAGAGACACCGGTGTGGTGGCTTGGTTTTGTCTAGACATGCCACACTTATGTGAAAATCACATAAGTATTGTCTACAAGTGTTGCACCTTTTTATGGAGATATCCGTCAAAAAGAAAGGTTGAATATGCTTATCACCATCATCTGGGGGGAGAAAAGAAGAGGTGACCACTCACTGAAGGCTTTGAGTCTAGTCGGGGAAGGAAAGAATGAGTTCACTTATCACTTGAGGCATTGATCACACAAAAAGAAAAAAGAATGGATGTCATCTTCACGACTACTGGCAGGGTTTGAAAGATAATTGGCAATGTCTATTTTACCAGATAATAATCAATTATTATCTCTAATCTTGAATGTCAATACTTACAAAAACTTAAGTTCCTAGTATTGTGGTGCTTTGCTTGCTGTTGGATCAAGTGTGTCTAGTCACGTGGTGCACTGGTAATGCAAGATTAACCCACCATGAACCACTACCAATTGAGAGCTTAAGTTCTTAATATCATGGCACTTTGCTTGCCACCAGATTAGTCGTCTCTAGTCATGTGGTGTGTTGAGTAACGCAAGATCCGTGAACCACTAATCTAATGCTTTACATTTCGAGTACCATGATGCTTCACCCATCGAGGGATCCATCTTTCTTGATGACATGGCACATTGAGTGCCACAAGATTTGCCCATCACAAACCAGTGCCCTAAAACACATAAAAAATATTAGTCCCACATTGGACTTATCGACATAAATGTCACATGTATATTATAGTGCTTCATTTCTTAGTCAGCAAGTTTCCAATTTAGGGGCAAGCCATGGGCCACAGAGATAGTTGTTTGCGACCTATTATAATAAAATATGGTATAATATATTTTATTTATTTATTTATTTTAAAAAAATAAATATATTAGCTCTTTTAACTTCTAATCTTCAAAATTAACTATATAAAACTATATTTCCTTCTACTAAAACAATAAACTACTTAAATGAAACAAATTAAGAACTAAAAATCATGCATTAACAAGAGGCCTTAAGATGCTATTAGCATTACAACTTAGGGATGATGGGGTTGTCATTTGGGCTCACCCCACTTGGAGAAGAGAGCGAGAGGTGATCATAACCAGCAAGGGAGCACATGCAGCATGCTAGGCACTCACCAGAATAGGAAAGCCACCAAGCATCATGCAAACAGGCATATGCTCAACCAGAGCTGATGCAGTGCCAACAAGTGCATGCATAGCTGGGTTGGTGTAGTGCTAGCATGCAGATGCACAATCAAGGTTGACATAGGCACTCAAGAAGGAGCACAGGTGGCATATGCACAAGCAAGTCACATGTAGTGGGAGTGTAACTAACAACATGATTGACAACCGAAGGCAGTCAGCATAGTGTTGGAGTGAACAATAGGCAGACTAACACACAATAGTAATTCCTAGCAACAATTGTCATAAGTCCACAAAAATTTTAAGATGTCATGTCATATGTCCTACTTGCTCATATGGTGCCATGATGAGAGGTTGACAAAGAGATAGAGATCATACTAAGAATGTGGCCACAAACATATGCCCTCTAAAAAATATCACTAATCTACTTGGAGGAGTTGTAGTGCCAAACACAAGAGATATCGGAGGCATGGCACATCCATCCATCCATAGCACTTAATAGTGAGTCATCTTCCAAAAAAAAGGATGAATCTCTTGTGTATAGACTAATTTACCTAATGTTGATGAGCTCTTCAACCGATTGGGTAAAAGTAGGTCCTTACATAGAAGGACTTATAAGTCTTCATTATCATGAGTTAATAATTAATTAATAATATATTTTAAGTTTTAACTCATGATAAATAGACTTATATTATTTTAAAGTGAGAAAATAAGTTTTTAGTTGATTAATATGATTTTTTAGCTAATTATGTGACTTTATGTGAATTTATATAATTTTTATAATTATAATTTTAAGGTATAACGAAGAGAAATAAAATAAAATCATTTTTTTAAAAAAAAGAGGACTTGTTGGTCAATCAAGCCCAAAAATAAGTCGAAAGCATAGTCGAGAGACCCTCAAATGGGTCAAAATTATAATTGGGTGGAGCCATGAGTAAAGAGCTCGAGCAACTAAGGACAATGAGTGAGTCACATGTCTCACTCCCCTTCCACATCACTAGTGACCAACTAGGCATGGGGCAAAGAGTAGTCGTAAATAAGTGAGAGGATAATATTGATAATATGAATAAATATTATTATATATTTATATCAAAACTTAGAAAATAGTCGATGTTAGACTAAACATGCCAATGCTCACATGTAAGTTTTACATTTTTTGATGCGTATAATGCCCCTAATCTATTAGAAGGAAGCACATTCATTACATCCCTAAATAAGGGTATAAGTATAATCCCACTAGAGCTAAAACTCATATTTTTATCAACTTAAATCATGACTTTTCTAGAGAACACTGATCAACGATTAACCTATAAAAATTCCTCAATCATCAATGTTGTATCAATATAGTTCGTGGAGTATCGTTACTAATTGTCGAATGATTATGAATCTATTAAAGAAAACATATCTGATTGATCAACAAATGTCATCAGAAAAAGAATAATTTATTGAGAGATAAGTCACCACCTCTTGAGAACATATTAGATGCAATGAAGAGCCTCCTCTTAATACATGGACTTGAGGATGAAGCTCTTTAAGACATGCTCTACCTCCATCCAATTTATCTCCATCAGGTGATAGTCATTAGAGATCTAAAAGTCATTATTTTTTCACTCCGTTAAGTGATAGTAGCCAAAGATAATTTGTCGACTTATTTCATTGATTTTTAAAGTTCACAAGAAGATCTAGAGATTACCACATCATTTATGTCTAAGAAAAATCTTTGAGGTTGTGGACATCACACAATAATCATCTCAAACCTATAGAATTTCAAGTGAGCGTTGTTGCGAAGCTAGAACTTTACCTTTCTTATTTTAAATTATTATTTTGCTTAATTTAATGAGATTTTATATGATTTTAAGTTTTGAAAACCTTTTTCATTCAATTACAATTCATGTGACTTTTACATAATGTTTGGTGGACATGGGCAAGCATGCATGGCATGGGAATAATGTTTGTGAATTGCACAGCACATGTGGCAGCACATAACAAACACATGTGACATTTCAACCAACAGTACATAATGGATCTAGGCTGCAGGCTGGCGTATGGTGGACAAGCACAATGAGTTGGCACACAAAGGTTGCCTGCGGCATGATTGGCACCAACGTATTTCAGCATGTTACTACAGGTTATGTAATGGTGAGGGTAGTTAATAGGTGTGATGATTACACAGGCTATTAACTAGCCCTCTACCTATAAGTAGAAAGACCTTCCCTTTGTGTTAGCCAAAGTGTGAGAGGAAGTGAAAGCTCAGGCACTTAGATCCCCTCTACCCCAAGTACTCTTGAAAAAGAGAGCAGTGACATTTCCTTCAGTCCCAGAAAAGCTTCCACAAAATTGCAAAGGTCTCCCACTTGTAAAGAGAGGTGGGAAGACTGGTTATTAGGTTACACACAGTCGGTGTCTTGTAGAAATAACTACATCAACCACATGAGTGTCCTTAAGTTCAACTTAATCTTTTTTGAAAACACACCAAATTTTAGGCTCATAAATCTATTACATTTCATACTTCTAGCTGAGTTGAAATTTCTCTAATCCACTCCTAGATTCGATGGCTCTAGGTGCCAAAATCAGAAAAGCTCCCCACTTCTCTCATTTACCCTCCACTGCTCTAGGAGAGCAAACCAGAGAAACTTTCCACTTCTATCTTCTTAGATTTCAGGCTCTAATGAAACCTTAAATCTCGAAATTAATCTAAATAAGGTTGACCAGCCAAGTCATGATATTTCTGGACATATATATGCTATATGTTATGTATAATAATCAAAATGATCGAAAAAAAGTTCTTAAAATAAGCCAGACAGTAGAGGAATATATATACCAGTATTTTTTGACAGATCTTACTTTTCAGATGTACCATATTTATCAGGATTTGCCCTTAGGGGAAAACGACTAGTGTCATGTAATCACTTTCTAGCACATAGAAGAGGCCAATTTTCATCTTCTGGGGACCAAGAAAATCGAGATAGGTTAAATATATACATATGTAGATGCGTGTATGTGGGTGATGCTATGTATATCTATATCTATGTATACGATATACATACAGATAGAGAAAGGGAGAGAGACAGAGAGGGAGCGGGGGAGAGAGAGTTCTCTTCTTTAGCACAATTATGGCATTTGAACAGTGCATCCTCACATGTGTGACCTTTTCTGAGTTATACATTTATATTGTCAAAAAAAAAATGGTCACTTGATCTGCCTGATATTTTGGATCACCAAAGACATTTGCGGTTGGGTACTTTAGGCGACGTTGTGCTACTCATCATTCCACCACTCTGATGAAGGGCCGTTTTAGTAGCAAAACATCTAGTATGAGACCCTTGAATGGCTCATATAGTTTTTTGATGTATGTGGTACAGACCTTGGATCTTCTTGTACAGTTGATCATCTGATGCAATTCTACTTGGATCCACTTCGACCCATCATCTTTTCCTTGTAATTTCTCAAATGAGACAAGAACCATAGTCATTTATCCTGGGGTTAAGCATTCCTTACACTCTTCACCTCATATGTACTCCGATCTCCCTCGTCGGCACCCAAGCACCCTCTCTTCTATTTGCACAAGTCTTGGCTCGATCAAAGGATGGGTATTTCACTTCTCAAGTGTTCTACACGAGGTCATGGAGGTTGGCCCCAAGCAATCAGAATCCTCCTCTATTTCATTACAGTGTGGAGTATCCAGTGAAACCTTCTTCTTCTTCTTCTTCTTCTTCTTCTTCTTCTTCTTCTTCTTCTTCTTCTTCTTCTTCTTCTTCTTCTCGTTTCTCCTTTGACTTCACGAGCTGCAGAGAGTGGAGAGTGCAATCAGATGAGTCTTCAAAAAACCTTATATTTCTGGTGAGAATCTCACATTCATTTTTCCCCATTCGTTCCTCATTTTCCGTCACGGTCTTCCCTCTGTTTTTCCTCATTTATCCGTTGTTTTCCATCGTGATTTTTCTTCCGACTGTCCCCCGTTCCTTCGTTGATTTCCGTTGCGAATTTCTTTCGTTTCTTCCTAGTTTCCCTCTGATTCTTCACCGCATCTATTCTCCTCATCTGTCCGTCCACGCAAGAGAGAGAGAGAGAGAGAGAGAGAGAGAGAGAGAGAGAGAGAAATTAATATTACAGGATAAGATACTTATTTCCGGCGAGATTATCCTTTTATTTTCAGATCTTTACTGGGCCGAAACGGGTTGGTGTCCATTTTTATTTTACTATTCCAACCATTGAAAGTTTAGAAATATTATTTTTATCTTATTCTTGAGCAGTAAAAGTTTTGATCTTCCACATCTTGAGCCCCACATTTTCTCACTCAAGCAGGTTATGTATAAACTCCATAAAAATTATTGTTCTTACTCACTAATACCTGCATTTAAGTATTTTATGTATTGGAGCCTAACTTAGAACTATTAATATTATATAAAAAAAATTGAATCTAAAAGATGTGTTTTTTAGAACACTTGGGCTTGATTGTATAGTTATAAATCTAGAGGAACCTTTGGCCTTTGATTATCAATGATTTACTCTAACTAGCAGGTGTTAGCATAAACCAAGGACATACTCTTTTAGTGACTAGAGAAGGCACAAAGTGTACCAAAATGCTAGAAATCCTTGATTATTATTTTGGCATTATGAATTAGTAGAATTGTTTGGCCATGGCTGGGTGTAAAATTAATTTGAATTAGATAAAATTTTAAGAAAACCTAATAAAATTATTGTTCTTATTCACTAATACCTGTATGTGAGTATATTATGTATGGAAGCCTAAGTTAAAACTATTAGTAAAAAAAATTAATATGAAAGATATGTTTTGAGACCACATGGGCTTGATTTTATAGCTATGAATCTAGAGGAAGCTACCTTTGGCCTTTGATGATCAATGATTTATGCTAACTTGCAAGCGTTAGCAAAGAACAAAGGCAAACTCTTTTAGTGACTAGAGAGGGCATAACTGTATCAAAAGTGGTAGAAATCCTTGATTCCCATTTTAGTATTATGAATTAGTAGAATTTCTTGGCCATGGCGGGGTATAAAATTAATCTGAATTAGATAAATTTTCAAGAAAACCCAATTGACCCTCCCATTTTTGTTCGTCTCTCAACCTTCCACTATATCCCTCTCTCTCTCCCTAGATTTCTACCAAAGGGTAAGAAAGTGGCAATGGGATCAAAGGGCCTGGTGAAACCAAAGAAAAATTATGCTGAAAAGTTTTGATCAAGCCCAGGGATATGGGCCCAGGCTAAAAGCCCAGTTTTTAGACCAAAGCTTGCCCATTGGCATCTCGTGCAATGATGGGCCCACTCTTTCTCAACTTTAGTAAAAACGGGCCCAAAGAACAAGAATGGGGGCCTTCCTTGACCTGGGCTGGAAAAAGCCTGCTTAGATCCAAATCCCAACCGAAGGATTGGACTGGGCAGGGCCTTTTGTACATGGGCTTTATTTTGAGGCCCACATTAATATGATAATCAATTAGAGCAATGATCTTCTTTGATTAGCCACATAAATGTGACACGTCCCTCCAACCGCCTAAATAGCTGGACCAGTTGGTGTACCAGGGCCACAAGGGAAGCCCCGCCACTCATCAAACTACGTTGACCTGGGTGGATTGACTTTCTACACCGACATGATGCGGGCTGAGCCAGGGGGAAAGCTCGGAAGTGGGACTGACGGGCCTGGTCTCTTTTTGTCATCAATAGGCAATACAGCTCAATTATGAATCCCAATCCCGGAAAAAACCGGGCCGGGCCCACAGGATTCCTCCGTCGACCTGATCCGGTCAACGCACAAGGAAGGCCGGGTCTGAATCTATGAATATAGTAATAATAATAATAATTAATCATTATTATACGTAATGAAATAGTCATCTAAAGCACATCCAGCATTTTATCTTTAGAAGGGTATAATATGGGAATCAGGATCGAGAAAATACGTCCCTATTGCCAACTAAATATTAAAATACTATTTTTCTAGGTACCATGAACCTAACCAATATAATTATTTCAATATTATTTAATAAAAAATAAAAAAAATGGTGCTGCCGAGCTACCCGCCCCCCGCTTCTGCCCAGATCAAGATTCGTTTATTTATTTATTTCCCGAGTTGAAATCTTGGAAGTTTATTTTGTTCTGGAAAATTATTTTTTCCCCAATAATAATCTGACGCTCTTGGGAGCCGTGATTTTCATGGCACCGGGAGGCCAGACCAGGCCAGGCGAGTCGATTTTTTGACGTTTTCCGGAAAAAGTCGTCGCCGCCGCCGCCTTTGCAAACTTTTGACCTTTATTTCCAGCCGCGCCCTAGAGTCAACGGGGAGCTATTCAACCGACGGGGGGGGGGTGAGCGGGGGCGAACATAATCTCCGTCGGTCTATTGTTCCCCTATTCCCCCGCTGCCTTCCCGCCCCATCGGACGGGAACTCCGCCACCGCCGCCGTCGCCCTTGCTGTTGTTCCGACAAGAAAGGAGAGAGATCGGACGAGAACTCCGCCGCCGCCGCCCCTGCTGGTGTTCCGACAAGAAAGGAGAGAGATCAAACTGGTCTGCATCCCGAGATGCGACTGAGAGCGATCATGGGCACCCTGAAGGACGGCGCCGCCCTCCTCTCATCGGCGGCGCCAACCTCCGCCGCCGCCGCCGTCCTCCGCGCCACCGCCCACAGGTCCTCCTCGGAGGCGGCGCCCAAGAAACATCTCGATGGGCTCCTCAGATTCGGGAGCGGGTCCCGGCCGACAGCCGCCGCGCTCGTCGGCGCCCTCCTCTCCCGCCTCTCCGGAACCCGCGACCCCGCCGTCGCCATCAAGTGCCTCGTTTCCATCCACTACGTGGCGCGCCGCGGTAGCTTCATCCTCCGGGACCAGCTCCTGGCGGCGCTCCAGCTGCCACCCTCCGTCGGCGGCCGCAACCCGCTCAACCTCTCCGGGTTCGTCGACCGATCCGCAACCGACTGGTGGGCTCTCTCCCGCCTGGCTCGGTGGCTCGCCCGAGTCATCGAGCACCTCCTCGCCTTCCACCGCGCTGCCGGGTTCTTCCCCTACGAAGGCGGCGGCGGCCGACCGAGAGCGGAGCAGGAGGAGAGAGCGGCGGCGTTGCCCAACGGACAGGTGCTGGAGGAGATGGAGGCGCTGGTGGGGCTCGTCGAGGAGATACGCGGCGAGCCAGACGTGAGCCACGTGACAGGCAAAAGGCTGGCGGCGCAGGTGGCGGCGCTGGTGAGGGAGGAAACGGCGGCGGCCAGAGAGGAGATCCTAGTGAGGATGAAGGAGATGGGGGAGAGATTGGACTGCCTCGTATTTGGGGAAGCCGTACGGTTGACCTGCCTGGTCAAACGGCTGGAGACCTGTAAGAGATCAACGGCGGCAGCGGCGCCGCCGCCGGCGGCCGTGGAGATTCTGGAGCTGTCCGAGGGCGATTGGTATCTCTGGGAGGCAGTGGCGTCGGTGAAGGCCAGGATTCCGGCGGCGGCGGGGGAGGACGTCAAAGGAGATCAACTAAGAAGGGAGAGAATCAGCGCGTCGGCCCGGATTGGGGATCGTCCTCCTTCCCTGGCGAGTTCCTTCGACTCGGTCCGGTTCAGCTCGACTCGGTGGCCCGCCAACTGACGGCGCGACGGCTGCCGTTCAGGGTGTACAAATCTGCTCATTCATTCATTCAAATATACCGAAAGTTTGGGGTTTTCTACCCCCAGAGTGCACAAATTTCCAACTTTTTTTCCAAGGAGAATCAGAAAATGACCCACCAGAAATCACCCAAGCTTGGCGGACAGGAGAGAGAGAGAGAGAGAGAGAGAGAGAGAGAGATGCAATATTACTCAAGATATATTCCATAAAAAAAATTAAAATGGCCTGGGTTCTACAAAAATAATTGAAAGACGAAAATATTCATACCCAATGTGATTTGAGGATGGTCATCCATAATTGGAAGAGACCCAAGAGCCGTTTAGAGAGAGAAAGGGAGAGGAATTGAAAGACTGCCCTCACCCAACTGTGTTATGAAGATGGTTAGAGAGACTGAGCCCTTTATAGATTGGGATTGGGTTGACCAGCCAAGGCCTGCTGCTTCTGGTGCCATCCTACGACCTCCTTGTAGGGTAGATCACCTCCAAAAATATCCAGGGCGCTGCCAACTGTGAGGTCAACTCGCTCACTGCCAGCAGACTTTATCCTCTCGAGGTCAACCATTGTCGCCACACCACCTGCATACGTCACCGGAATCTGACGAAGAACATGAACCATGATCAGATCTACTATGATGGTCAGGCTTATTCAAGGGGATGAATCAGCCCTAATTCTGCCAATGATCCAGGATCATAACAAGTGGGTCCCACTTGATTATCAGCATATTATAGACTTAGGATTGCCAAATATAGATCCAGGTCAACAGCAGTTGCTAAATGCTGATCATATTATCACCCCTCATAGAGAGAAGTCTGTTCATCGTGCACTCACCGATATTTCCCAGATATTGGTGAGTGGTCAACAGATGGTTTTTTCTTTTTTCTTTCTTTTTTTCTCATTGGGAAACAACATATTTCCCAGATAAAATGGCGATAGTGGTGAAGCTGCACTCACCGACGAAAGGCAGCCGAGCAGAGTGACGAGCTCTTCGTCGATTCCTAGTCTGGAAATATACAGAGAAAATGTTGAAATTATCTCAAAATCATAATCATAGGAAGATATAAGCAGCTAGGTTGATATGCATTCAACATGAACTTAAAAGTTTGAAAAACATAAAATCAGATCTATTATCCATGGGCTTTCTCTTCTTTCTTCAAACGAGCATTATAGTCGCAGGATAAATGCTGGAAGAATTTAGGTGATTAAGCCTGGGAATTGCATGATTAAAAGTTATGGATTCGGATTCTTTCCAATAAAAGTAAAAAAAATGGATTTTTCTTTTTATTCCCATGAAGAAATAGAGCCTTTAGGTTGATAAATATTTTTGATTTTGGCATCAGAAATGCCTACTCCATGAATAAAATTGATCAGAGCTAATAAAAAAAATAACTATGATAAGATTGTTATTTCTGAGCATAAGTTGAAAAAATTACGATGATTTTATCATAATAAGACAAAAGGTCGGATGTTCATTCCATTAATAAAACCTATTTTAATAAATGTCTATTATGATCAAAAAATATATCGCCAAGAATTTACAATAATAACTTCAGAAAGTAGAGGAGAAGCTGTGGAATTTATCAGGCCTCAGAATGCCCATTTTTTCTACTCTTAGAAACAAAAAGAACCAGTAAGCGTTCAAGAAATGTATCAATTAGTTTCCAGAAGAAAATTCAGGCATTCATCAACTTATGAAATTGGGTAGATGCGGTTCTTAACAAGATACCTTTTCCCCTCAACGTCAACTCCATGAACTAAGAATTCGTCAGCAAAGGCGGAGAGAAAGGCCAAACTTTCCTCATCGAGGAACACATCGGTGAACTTCTGCCATCTGTCGGTGACAATGAAATATTTGCCATTCTGCATGAGAAAATCAGACAATAATCAACTAATCATTAATCTGAATGAAAATCAGAAAGAAAAAGAAGAACTAAGGGGCTCAAATCAGCCAATTCGGAGAAGATCGGCTTAAGTTAATTGAAGCCAACCCAGACTGCTCTCATTTGGCTTGAATTAGCCATAGCTGGATTAAGGTTTGAGGTTTTCTTCTTTATGGGTTCTGTTTCGAGCAGGACAAGGTGGAGAAGGAAAATGAGGAGAGAGAGAGAGAGAGAAAGAGATAGTGGGAGAGAGAGAGAGAGAGAGAGGCTCTCTTCTTTCTCCCCTGACTAAAACCCAGTCACCCCTTCCTCCAATTGCGATTATGCATTGCAAGAACTGACCAGGTTTCGGCCAGAAACAGTACTCTAACTGGAACGGACCAGATCGAGTTCATACGAAAAGAGGTCAACTCTTCAAAGTTGGATAAGGTTATAGATATTTCAGAATACCAATCATAAAGTGATCCAGAACCAGACAGAGATAGAAAGAATCAGCCAGTTTCTAGCCAGAAGCATAGACCTCTGATTCGGAGAATATTTATGAAGAACACTCTACCGTTCGCAATTTACGTGGAGTAAAAGTAGAATCACTGGGGCTCCTTCTCCCAGGAGATTTTGCAGATGTTTTTCTCTCATTAGGAGTGCGACGGCAGCATCAACCTCAATTTTGTAAGCTTCAATGGCTAAGATGAAACTGGCATTGGAGATGGAGTGGTGATTACCCGACTTGGCAGGTTATCCTCCATACAACTCGCTGGACTGTAAAGATTGAGAAAAACTTATATAATACTGTTGATGAAAATATCTTCAAATTATTTTTAATTATTAATTCTACTATTTTCGAGACTTTGGGTCTCTAGTTCTTTGATCCCACACAAGGGTTGAACAGGGTTACTAGACACTTTCAGAAGACCGGAGGAATTAGTCCGAGAAGATTTGGCAGTAACATTCCGTGAAAAAAAATTACAGGAGAAAAAGACCAAAATGCCAATTAAAAAACAAAATTGGAGCAAAGAATGCTTCTAGGATACCAAAAGGAGACAAAGTTGGTAAATTTTTGGAGCAATTAGCGACCCATCTGAGGCCGAAATAGATATAAATATCAAGTTAATATGGAAATGAGTGTACCTTCTTTCTGCAACTGAGATCAAGCACCAGCCTGTTCTTCCCAGTCAGATTAACCAGGCGCTTGAGCTTCTCTAAGTCCATTTTACCATCACTGAAAACATACTGCAAATTGAACGAGAGATTCAACCATATAAAATTTTGGCCTTACGAGGAGCAAAAATAAAAATAATAAGAATAATAAGATACTATAATTTACAAAAATAGAGCTAATGGTGACGAGGTAATCGGACAAGGTCTTCTAATAATTTATGTTATTCAATTCATTGGTGAGCTTCTCCCATGGACAAAAATTTCTTGTTCCCTTCGATATTACCCAGAAGCATACGATGAATTTTCACATATATGCTCCAATTAATAATATCTAATCCTTTAAATCATGCGAATACTCAATTATAAAAAGTTGCATACAATATGGCGAATAACTAAACCATACTAAATGTAACGAAAACTGGGAGAGCATCATATGGTCCATTAGTTCACTAAGAGAACAAAATTAGAAATAATATGGCCACATTTTGAGAAAGTTCACTCACCGATGTGACAATCACATGGCTGGCTCCTTCCTCAAGGTAGCTCAAAGCATTGTCCAAGTTGATGCCACCACCAATTTGCAGACCACCTTGAAATAATACATTTTGAAACTATCTCAACGAATATGAATTTGAGGCAAAAACCCTAAGATTCTATAATCACAGAAACAATAATATATTTTGAATCACGATCTATGCTGTAATCTTTTCATCATGTAATATATGATTATCTTAGAAACTACATGTTCATGGTAGCAGATAAAACACGGCATACGGAGGTGGCCCATCAAAGAAAAAATAACCACAATATTTAGGCCATTTTCTGCGTGGAGATCACCAGACAACAAAAATAAATAAGAGGAAATACAGGGATTAGAATCAGAATCATTCATTTTCTAGTTAATTGCGACAGAAACAGAAACTTGGTTAACTTCTTCGATCCACTTGAACTGTAGATTCTCCACCAGGAAAAGATTGTACCTGGGTAAGTGTGCAAAGCTTCAAGAGCTGCAGACCGGCTCAACGCATCAGCATCAAGCATTATAACATGGCCACCCCCAAGCTCATCTTCCTTGTACAACTGTGCAAACTCAGCTGGGGACTTGTCAGATTCAAAGTTGGTTATGAGAGAAGAATTGCCTTCATTCGAGTCCTTGAGAGTTGACCCAACGATTTGCTTTACTTTTCCCTAGAAGGAAAATTAAAAAAAACAAAATTTCAGCTTCATAGTCTCACTTTGCGATAAATAAATAGTAAAAAATAAAATAAGATTTAATTTTAAGGGAATAATAGTGCAAGAACATTTCTATTTTGATGACAGAAAGAATAAGTATGAGGCTGGAAGTGAGTTCATTTACGACAGGGTACTTCTCACGAAGAACATGTAATGAAAAATATTAAGTTTCATAGGTCTCACATTGTGATAATTAAATAATGAAAAATATTAATATTTAATTTTAAGGGAATGATAGTGTAAGATCATTTCTACTTTGATGCCAGAAAGAATAAGTACGAGGCTAGAAGTGAGTTCATTTACTACACGATACCTCTCACAAAGAACATTTAATGAAAAATATTCGTTAAGAGGTGCATTTTGACCAATTATTCTCCAGAAACATGTAAAATTTCGGGAGATAATATACGCAGAACCGAATACGTAGCAGCTCGAGGGAGAAAGGAGAAAGAGAGAGAGAGAGAGAGAGCTCGGAGGCTGGACAGAGGTTCATGAAGAACTTCCTGCCCTGGGTATGCTTCATGGAGATAATTCGAGACAGCTAACGGGTTCCATGGAGGTTGATAGACATCATGAACAGATTATGCGATGGATGAACGACGATCTCAGCGAGCAACCTTGTGGATGTCAATGCACGGACGGAAGCGGACCCCACATCGGACAACCCGAGGAGAACCTGCACACAGCAGACAGAAGTTTTAGGGTTTGGACCTCCTCAGCACTGGGGGAATGAGGATAACTCCTTCACGGTCACAGAGAAAACGACGGAATGCGGAATAGAAACGGAGATTGTGTGGTTCGGGAACTCACTCGAGCACCTTGTAGACGATGTGAGGACGAGCACCCCCCTCTTCCGCCGGCGAGAAGTCTCCTGAAGAGGGTAGTCGAGGGAAGAACCTGCGAGGGGATGGCGCTGGCGGGTGACCCGCATGGAATGAGCGAGCGCCGCTGCATCCATAGACCATCACCCGTATGAACCTTGCGCTCGAATGCCGCTTCTTCCACCTGAGGTGAAGTGGAGATGGGCGGCGGAAGAGCCGCAGAAGCGGGTAGACAATGAGAATCTCCCTCTCTCTCTCTCTCTCTCTCTCTCTCAGTCTCTCTACATATATCTCTTTCTCTCCCTCTCCCCTCCCTCTATTCTCTCTCTCTCTACCTATCCATCTCTCCCCTTCTCTCCCTTCTCTTCAAGTCTCTCTACATTTCTCTCTCTCTATTTATCTTTCTACCTGGTGTAAGACATTATATCCTATCAAAATAAAGATGAATTGCAATGATCAAAAGACCTTAAAAGGCCCAAATCATTTTTGCCTAATATTCAAATGCTTCCCAAATGTGACAAGATTAGTTTCCCACTTGAGTGGACTATAACCAAATCCATAACCCAATTCAAGTAAACTAGAAGCCCAGAAAAGGCGAAGATTAGACTACTAACTCAAGTGGTCAATTAACTAATCTAGCCTATTCTAAACTGTCTTAAGTGCATCACCAATTCATTTTCCCACTTTTAGTCATTTAAATTTATTTTAAAAAATCACATATCATAATTAAGGCAACATCATAACAAAACCACCTTTTATGAGCAGCTTGACAGACTTTCATTCTATTTAAAAGTTTCTTACATTGTAGCCCTGGAGATATTCATTGTATTTCACAAAAAAATTACTCTTTTAGTATCTTATCTATTTATAAGTGCATTCCAACTCTTTTCTTATTGATTCAAGAGAACCCTTTGATATTGTGGACTCAAGTTCATCTCCTTGTACATTCAAAAGTTGAAACTTTGAACAAGTGAGAAATATTCATACATTTCATTTGTTGTGGATTTAAAGATGAGATTTCATTTCCACCTAACTCATGCTCTCTCTCTCTCTCTCTCTCTCTCTCTCTCTCCTATCTCTACATATTTATTCTCTCCAGCCTCCCTCTCTTCTCTCTCTATCTTCTCTCCTCTCCCTTCCCCCTCACCCTTGTAGGATGAGACGTCTCATCTGCCTTAAGACCCCAAAATTATTTACTTACTAACTTTAAAAATATTGAAGGAGTTGACTTGGATACCATGAGTTTAAAGTTTGTGAGTCTAGAGTCAACTAGGAGCTGAATACACCTCTACGTAAGTTTGAAGGCTTTCTTTAGATGAAATGTTTGTCTCTCTAGTGATTTAGTGAGAGTGATTCAAAATTTATGACATTTGAGGGCCCAAATCTTATCGAGAAATAACTTATCAAAAAAAATTCCACAAAGATTATTAAAAAGTTTCTCTTTAGGGTTTTTTTGTGATTTAGGTATTTACCATTGCTTGTTAGAAATAATCATAACTAAATGATTATGTCATTCTAAGACCAATTTTTGTTAATTTTTTGTTAATAGTAGAGCATCAACGATAAAAAAACATATTAACCAATAAGATGGATTTATTATTATTTAATGATTTCCATGTGGGTTTATTGTCATTTCAAAATACATAGAATAGAGTTATTTCAAACTATTATTAGGAAAAAATCACGTGGACTCATAAAATGATCTCAAAGGATAAAACAAACATTTCATGAGATAATATCATTATAGATGATTCAAAAGTTTCTATTTAGGCACAATTTTCACATAGTTAGAGGGAGTTATTTGAAATAATCTCAACTTAATGATTACATCATTATAAGAAAATTTGGTAAGAGTGGTAGAGTATCAAAAGGATAAAAAGTACATTAACCAATAAAAAACCTTCAAAAGGATACCATGAGTTATAATTTAATGAAAATACTTGGAGTAGAATTATTACAAAATATTATCTTCAAGTAATTGCATCATAATAAATAACCTCAAAGGTTAAAAAATACATGAAATGATCAAGGAGCCCCCCCTCCAACTTTTGCACAAAGATGGTTCAAAATTTTCTCTCTAGGGGTGCTTTTTTAAGATTCAGGTATTTAGTTGGAGTTATTTGAAATAATTTCAACTAAATGATTATGTCATTCTAGGACCAAATTTTGTTACAAGTAATCAAGTATCAAAAGATAAAAAGTACATTTACCAATATAAAAGTGTTTTATATAATTTAATGAAGATATTTGGAATAGAGTTATTTCTAAATATTATCCTCAAGTAATTGCTTTGTAATAAATAATCTCAAAGGGTTAAAATCTACCTAAAATGACCAAGGAGGCCCACTCTACAACTTTTGCACAAAGATGACTAAAAATATTTTCTATCTAGGGGTTATTTTTGTGATTCAGGTATTTAATGGGGTTATTTGAAATAATCCCAACTAAATGATTTCATCATTCTGTCCAATATTTGGTAAGAATAGTAGAGTATCAAAAGGATAAAAAGTTCATTAACCAGTAAGAAAGGTTTCTTTATAATTTAGTGATTTCCATGGGGTTTATTGTCATTTCATAATACATTTAATAGAGCTACCTCAAGATATTATTGGAAATATGTGTAAAATGATCGAGGAGTCCCGCTTTTATAATTTTGTGGGCCTCTGAAATAAAAAACCATTAAAATAATCAGCGAAAAATGAGCAAACATGAATGTGCCACGTGGCGCAACCTAAGCCGACGGTTTCTTCGTATATAGAGGAGCTGCATTAGCCTCAGCTGTTCTCTCTCAGTTTCTCTGCAGCTTCCTTATCTGCTTCACTCCATCGTCTTCCTGCTCCATCCTCCGCCTCTCCCGCTAGGGTTAGGGTTCACCACCTGTGGAGGAGATGGCGGCCTCCTCGGCACACATTCATGCCCTGGGCTCCTCCCCCGCAGCTGCCATCTCTCCGTCTGGCAAGGCCTCCAGGATGTCTTCCTCGAGGTCGGTCTTCTTCGGGAGCCGCCGCTCGGAAGCGAGCTCAAGGGTGGGAGCTCTGAGGTCGGGGAGAGGTGGGAGGGGGAAGGGAGGAGGTGGATCTCTCAGGGTGGTCTGTGAGAAGGTGGTGGGGATTGACCTCGGGACGACGAACTCGGCGGTGGCCGCCATGGAAGGGGGGAAGCCGACCATCGTGACAAACGCGGAGGGGCAGCGCACGACACCGTCTGTGGTGGCGTTCACGAAGAACGGCGACCGTCTGGTGGGGCAGATTGCAAAGAGACAGGCGGTTGTGAATCCTGAGAACACTTTCTTCTCTGTGAAGAGGTTCATAGGGAGGAAGATGTTCGAGGTGGACGAGGAGTCCAAGCAGGTCTCCTACAGGGTCATCCGCGACGACAACGGGAACGTCAAGCTGGACTGCCCTGCCATTGGCAAGCAGTTTGCTGCCGAAGAGATCTCTGCTCAGGTCTGCGCGTGTTTGATTTTCTTTTCCTCTGATATTCCCTGTTGAATTTGAAGGTCTTTCATACCTCATGGTTGCACAGAACATTTATGCTTCACCAAATCGTGGAGTCTGCGCGCCACTCTCCCGAAATTCTTTGGAATTGTTCATATGATCTTCCTCTTATCTTTTAAGAGATTTTATGTTTAAAGGTCATCTAGTTCTTATAAGATAGCATTGTGCTCATCGAATCTATTAACCTGATATGAGACGTCATCTAATCGATATAATCCTTTGTTTTGGATTCAAGTTTTTTTCCTAAGAATAGTTTTCAAGGGATTCTCCACTGAGCACATTTGGCCAACTTGAGTGCATTCATGGAGTGCTTTTTTACAATCCTTAAAGAACTAGCAGAGAAAGCATGTAATAAAGGATAAGATTGGTTGGTAAGATGAGTGCAATCCAATGACCATGGTGTTTCAGTGCGACCCACATCCACCCGAAACTGCCTTCCCGTTAATTGAATGAATATGCACCGAAAAACACGAATAAATAATCCAAACTAAAAGCATTAGATTGGTTGATAAGATAACTGCAATCCAATGACCATGTTATTTCAGTATGATTCTTATAATTTAATGTTTTCTCATTGATACCATCTATTTGATCGGCTGCGGTTCCTTTTCACCGTTGATTGCATTTGTTCCTCAGCAGTTGGTTTTGTTTATGCCTTTGAGATTATAATGTAATTTATGTGTGCTCAGGTTCTAAGAAAGCTTGTGGATGATGCCTCCAAATTTTTAAACGACAAGGTGACAAAGGCAGTGGTAACAGTGCCTGCATACTTCAACGATTCCCAGAGGACAGCGACAAAAGATGCTGGCCGCATTGCCGGCCTGGATGTTCTTCGCATCATCAACGAACCCACCGCTGCCTCTCTGGCTTATGGTTTTGAGAAGAAGAACAATGAGACCATTCTTGTGTTTGACCTTGGAGGTGGCACGTTTGATGTTTCAGGTACGAGAAGCCTTGCAGACCATGTAAACCTGATAACCTACTTTTCTGTGCCAATCTTCTTCTTTTTATTGCTTCCGCTTTGGTTGTGGTTTTGGTGGGAAGAATCATATTCTTCTTTTAAGGAAGGATTGATATCAGTTTCACATGCTTAGATATATCTTTCATGTTATCATCTACTTCTTTTTGGTCATCTTCTTCTCGAGCTTAATGCATGAGCTTACTTAATTCTGCTGAACTTATTTTTTTCTGGCAGTCTTCTCCTTTTCTTGCTTCTACTTTGATTGTAGTTATGCTAGGAAAAAAATTATTTTGTTTAAGGATGGATTGTGGTCATCTTCTTCCTGAACTTAATTCTTTCAACCTTGTTCTGTCTCGTATTCAGTTCTTGAAGTGGGAGATGGTGTGTTCGAGGTGCTTTCAACCTCCGGTGATACCCACCTGGGTGGTGATGATTTTGACAAGGTTAGTCAAGCGTATCTGATGCTAAAATGATGGACTGATATCATACTTAATTATAATTTGACATCATTTTCTGTTCATCAATGTTCTGCTGATTGTGAAGATCTGTAAATGCGTGGCCATTTTCCATTTGCTTTGGGCGTCTAAAATCAAAATCTCTCCTCTGTCATTTCCTCATTCATACTTTCAGCTATATATATCCCAGATTAATGTCCTTCCCTTAATCTTCGATTTTCCCCCTGTAATTCCCGTCTAGCATTCCCTGTGGGCATTGAAGAGCATTTTAACGAAGAACATGGAGAGAATCTCTCGTTGACATTTTTAGGCAAATCCCGAAAGAAATTCGCTGCTCTTACTTACCGTATCATCATGATTTTACCATTCTTAGACTTTATTTATTTTTGCCAGAAGGAATGATGCTCTTCTCTTAGCAGAAATTTGCTGCACAGCAAGTTTCTGCCATAGCAGAGAAGAAGCACTCTCTCTCTCTCTCTTCTTCTTCTTCGTCTTCATCTTCGTCTTCTCCATCCCTTTCCATGGGTTTCTCCATTGACACCTGCTCATCTTCTCATCTGAACCAGAGGGTTGTCGACTGGCTGGCAGCAAACTTCAAGAGAGACGAGGGCATTGACCTGCTCAAGGACAAGCAGGCCCTGCAGCGGCTGACTGAGACGGCTGAGAAGGCAAAAATGGAGCTCTCCTCCCTGACTCAGACCAACATCAGGTATCCACTCCCCCTCCCCCCCTCCCCGATCTCCTCCTCCCCTCTATCATCTCCTCAGAAAGAAATCTTTCTTATTTGTCCTCTGCAGCCTGCCGTTCATCACTGCGACAGCAGACGGGCCGAAGCACATTGAGACGACCCTGACAAGGGCCAAGTTTGAGGAGCTCTGCTCAGACCTGCTGGACAGGCTGAGGACCCCCGTTGACAACTCTCTGAGGGATGCCAAGCTCGCCTTCAGTGATCTCGATGAGGTTATCCTTGTTGGCGGCTCTACTCGGATCCCTGCCGTGCAGGACCTCGTCCGCAAGATCACCGGCAAGGAGCCCAACGTCACTGTCAACCCCGATGAGGTCGTTGCCCTTGGTGCCGCTGTCCAGGTCTGCAGATTCCTCTCTGTTTCTCTCTCTTACTTTAAAATCTGATGGACCATCCATGATAATTTCCCATAATGATATAGTATAAAGCTTGAACGGTGATTCGATCCTTTAAAGAGACTCTCTCTCTCGCTCGCTCGCTCGCTCGATCTTGCTCTCTCTCTCTCTCTCTCTGTTTTATTTGTTTGCCGCTGCCAGAAACATCTTTAACCTCTAGTGGATCATCCAAGATAATTTCTCATAACTGATATTTTAAAGTTTGAACAAAGATTTCCATCTTTATTTTACAAAATGAGTAATTTGATCCATTAAATAGGCCGCCCGAAACATCTTTGATCTCTAATGAACCATCTTTGATAATTTATTTCCCATAACTGATATAAGTCCCCATAGCTCGAACAAAGATTTCCATCTTTCTTTTTCCCAGAATGATGAATTCGATCTATTAAAGAGGCGGTGGTGGTGATCTGGTCTTTTTGTGAATCCTCAGGCAGGGGTTCTCTCCGGCGACGTGAGCGACATCGTGCTGCTGGACGTGTCGCCGCTGTCCCTCGGCCTGGAGACACTCGGTGGCGTGATGACGAAGATCATCCCGAGGAACACAACACTGCCCACCTCCAAATCGGAGGTCTTCTCCACCGCTGCTGATGGCCAGACCAGCGTCGACATCAATGTGCTCCAAGGCGAGCGAGAATTCGTGCGCGACAACAAATCGCTCGGCCGATTCCGCCTCGATGGCATCCCCCCCGCCCCACGTGGCGTCCCCCAGATCGAAGTCAAGTTTGACATCGACGCCAATGGCATCCTCTCCGTCACTGCCATTGACAAGGGTACCGGAAAGAAGCAGGATATCACCATCACTGGCGCCAGCACCCTCCCCTCCGACGAAGTACTACTACCCACTTTCTCTCTCTAATTGTTTTTGGTGGCCTTGGGGAGTACTCACTCACTGCTTTTTCTTTCTCTCTACTGGTTTTTTTCTCTAAATTGTTTTGGGTGGGCTGGGGGAGTACTCAGTCACTACTTGTTCTCTCTATCTCTACCGGGTTTTTTCCTCTCTAAATTGTGTTCGATGGGATTGGGGAGTGTTCGCTCATTACTCTCTTTCTCCCTCTACTGGGTTTTTCTCTCTCTAAATTGTTTTCGATGGGCTTGGGGAGTGTTCGCTCATTACTCTCTTTCTCCCTCTACTGGGTTTTTCTCTCTCTCTAAATTGTTTTTGGTGGGCTTGGGGATTACTCACTCACTGCTTTTTCTCTCTCTACTATGTTTTTTTCTCTCTAATCTTTTTTTGTGGGCTTGAGAGGTGTTATCACTCACTACTTGTTCTCTCTCTCTCTCTCTAAATTGTTTTTGTTGGGCTTGGCGAGTACTCACTCACTTGTTATTCCTCTCTCTACTTAGTTTTTATTACTCTCTCTCTCTCTCTCTCTCTCTCTCTAAAATGTTTTTGGCGGGGAGTGCAGGTGCAGAGGATGGTGAGCGAGGCGGAGAAGTTTGCCAAGGAGGACAAGGAGAAGAGGGACGCCATTGACACGAAGAACCAGGCGGACACGGTCATCTACCAGACGGAGAAGCAGCTCAAGGAGCTGGGGGAGAAGGTGCCCGCGGAAGTGAAGGAGAAGGTGGAGGGGAAGCTCGGAGAGCTCAAGGAGGCCGTTGCAGGTGAGTCAACGCAGGCCATCAAGGACGCCATCGCCGCCCTCAACCAGGAGGTCATGCAGCTCGGCCAGTCCCTCTACAACCAGCCCGGTGGCGGCGCCGCCGCTCCGCCCGGCGGCGACCCGGGCTCCTCCGCCGGACCCACTGGCGGCGCCGCTGGGGACTCCGGCGACGTGATTGATGCGGACTTCACCGACAGCAAGTGAAGAGAGAGAGCGAGGAGCGAGAGAGAATGAGAGAGGTCTGTAGCCCACTTTCTCTCTCTCTATGTTCTGTTCTTTCTTTGTGGCTTCTCTCTCTCTCTCTCTTTCTGCGGTGGGATTTTGTAAGGAGCGAGGAAGTAGCGGTAGGCTAATACAGAGGTAGAGTGAGAAAGCAAGCCTTTTATTTTTTGACGATGATTTTCTCTAATTATTTTTATCATCATCATCATCGTCATTATCTTCAATTTCTTATCTTTTCCTTGATGGGCTCCAAACACAGATGTCTAGAGAGAGAGAGAGAGAGAGAGAGAGAGAGATGAATAGCTGGTAGATAGACAGAGGGGTGACATGGATGGCGAGGTAGAGACTTGAATAGCTTGATGGATAGAGATGGAGAGAGAGAGAGAGACAGACAGAGAGGGTTTGAGTATGATAGCATATACCCAGATTTTTGGAGAAATCTAACTGATAAAACAAAGATGGGGCTCAAAAATTAGCTTTTAAAATATATTTATAATAAAAAAATACTTAAATTAGTCTCTACTAATTCTGGTTCTCTGCTGAATCATCTCCACAGGATTATTTTTTTTCATTAATCAAGCCCCAAAAAGTATTTTTAAGAGAAATGTTATCATATTTGATGTCAAAATGTCAATAAATAAAAATTCGATGGTAATCTCATGACTAATTCTCACAAAAAAAAATCATGACATGCGATTTAACTTTGGATTTTTTTTATAATTTGAATAATATATATTTCTCTCTCTATAATTTATACCTACCCTAGTAAACAAACCACAAAGACTATGCTATAATATATCTATCTTGATAATAGAGATAGAGAGAGAGAGTGTGTGGAAAGGTCGCTGCTAGAGAGAGAGAGAGAGAGACGTTACTCCCTCTCGGTCATTTCAGGACTTTTGACTTTCCACGCGTTCGACTTTCCCCCGGGTTTGACCGGGGGAGCGGCGGGATGGATAAACATTCAGTCGTCAGCTCCGCCCATTGATTGGGAAGATGATGAGGACAGCTGCCCCCAGCTGTGGCAGAAAACCGCGGGCCTGCCCTCGCCGCCCCCATGATATCAAAAGGATATTTTAATTTAAAAATATATTTTTTATAATTAAGACCGGAGAATTTCAGAGAGTAATAAATAGTTGACCGTTTTGATGACGGTTTTGGAAAGGAAGGGCGATGATTATTATAAAAGAATGGTTTATAGACTGTAGAGGACCTAGAAAGGTCAACGCGTAGACTTCTTTCTAGGGACCTGGCCGAGAAATGGTTTAAAACAGAAGAGAAAGAATCTCCACCCCCCCGTTAATTACACCAAGAATGTGACCAGATCGGGGTCAACGCTCTCCGGCGGCGGGCACCTCCCCGTAGCCGCCGGGCTTTCATCAGGCAGCACCGCCGCTATTCTCCGCGCGACACGCATGTACTCCTCGTAGGGCGGCGGCGCCGCCGCGTGGCCCCCGCCGCCGTCCACCAGTGGGCGCCCCCGGTGAAGAGCCGCCGCCGATTCCGCCGCCAGTATCCCGTCACCGCCGTTGGGCTCCCACGCGCCGGTCTTCCAGTCGAAGTCGTACAGGGGGAGGAAGCGGTGACCGTAGTCCGCCACGAACTCGACCGCGTCCACCACGAACTCCATCTCCTCCTCCGCCGTGTAGTACGCGAAGCTCACCCTCGTAAACCCCGGCTTCAGCCCCTCGTATCCCTGCACCAGAGAAACCCATCACCCCCATCATCATCATCATCAAGAACAAGAACAACATCTCATAGCCGAAGAAAAAGAGATGAATCTGTGCAAATGGGGAAGAATATGGGGGAAGCTTGCCTGCTTGATGGCGGCACGGAAGGCGAGGGACTGCTCACGGCAGATGCCAAGGAGGAGGTGACCGTAAGGGCTGGCGCAGGCGCAGCCGCCGCGGGCTTGGATGCCGAAGAGGTCGTTGAGGAGGCGGGTGGCGAAGTGGCAGTGGAGGTGCTTGCCGCCGGCGCCGCCGGGGTAGACGATGAAGGAGAAGATGGGCTGGCGGTCGCCGGAGAGGTTCCCGAGAACGCGGATGCGGGCGTTAGCGGCCAGCCGGGCCATGGCGCGCCGCGCCAGCGCCGCCTCGCGGTCGCGGATGAGCGCGTGGCCGGCGAAGGACTTGACGGCGAAGGCGAGAGCGGCGCGGAACTTCTGCACTATCGGCGGCGTTCCCGCGTCCTCTCTCTCCTCCAGATCCTCGCAGTACAGCGTCTCCTGTGGCGCAATTCCAGAACCAGACCGGCCGCCGTCAGATGATGAGGAAGAAGACAATACTCTCTCTCTCTCTCTCTCTCTCTCTCTCTCTCTTTATCGATCTATCTATCTGCCTTTCTTCTTGTTCTCTTAGAGGGGAGGAGATGGGTACCTCTTCATCGTAGCCGTTGACGTAGAGGACGGTGCCGCCGCCGCTGGTGGAGGGGGGGCGGCCCTTGAGGCGGTAGAGGGCGTCGCTCATTAGCAGAACCCCCGGGCTGGCGGGGCCGCCCAGGAACTTGTGCGGGCTGAGGAAGACGGCGTCGTAGCCGTCCGATTCCCCCGATCTCATCTCAATCTCTACGTACGGCCCGCTGAAAGAAAGAAAAAAATAGTTCTTCTTTCAATTTCTGTTCTAGTGGGAAGTTAGACTTTTTGGAGTTACCTGCAAGCGAAGTCGAAGCAGGCGTAGGCACCGTGGCTATGGAGGAGGCGGGCGACGGCGCGGATATCGGTGTAGACGCCGGTGACGTTACTGCAGGCGGAGAAGGAGCCGAGCTTCGGGCGACCAGCGAACTCCGGCGAGCGGAGCGCCGCCGCGAGGGCGGCGAGGTCGAGGTTGCCGGAGCCGTCGAGCCCGATGGGGACGACGTCGGCGAGGCTCTGCCGCCATGAGAGGAGGTTGGAGTGGTGCTCGTAGGGGCCGAGGAAGACGACCCAGCGCTCGGAGGGCTGGAGAAGGGAGAGGAGGCGGCGGCGGAGCGGCGGCGGGACGGCGATGCCCATGACTTCCTGGAGGCGCTTGATGGCGGCGGTGGTACCGGAGCCGCAGAAGAGGAGGACGTCGCGAGGGCCGGCGCCCATACAACGCTTGACGTAGTGGTTGGCCTGCTTCACCACCTCGCTCGTCCGCAGGCCCACCTGGCTATCCACCGTGTGCGTGTTCCCTGGGATAACCTTTTCCCATCAGAAGAAGAAGAAGAAGAAGAGGAAGAGGAAGAGGAAGAAGAAGAAGAAGAAGAAGAAGACGAGGAAGAACCGTGGAAGAAGAGCTAACCGTAGAAGGGGAGAACTTCTGTCATGAGAATTTCTTCGACGAACCGGAGGAACCTCCCGGAGGCGGTGTGGTCGCAGTAGGTGATGCGCCGGCGGCCGAACGGGGAGTCGAACTCCGCGGCGGTGCCGACGATCTGGGAGGCTAGCCACTTGAGCTTGCTCTCATTATCCAGCTTTCCTCCGGCGCGAGCTTCCACCAGCTCGTCGAGATCCAGCGCCTCCCTCCGATTACAGGAAGCTCCGCCATCTCTCCTGCCGGCGAGAGCTTCGACCAGTTCGGCTAGATCCAGCGAGATTCTCCGATCGCTGAAAGCTCCGGTTTCTTCTCCCCCGACGTGTCTCGCCATACTCTGGATTGCGACCGCCTTGGGAACCGGCGGCGCTAGCAGAACGGGCATTTGCAGGAGTTGTGAAGAGGACGAAGAGAAAAGGAGGATGAAGGAAGAAGATGTGAAGTGCTGCCGCCGGAGAGTAGAGCTGGTTTATATAGATAACTTTCCGCCTCCTGGCCGGCATTCGTGAAACTTCCTTTGTGGGCCCTCCCAGATTGACCTCCACGTGTCGGGAAATCTTTCCGGCACTCGGTTTTTGTCCGAACCCGGTATTCTTTGGGTTGGTCCGCAGACGAGCCACGGTCGATGAGAGATCAACGGCTAGGAGTCTCTAAATTGACGTGGTAACCTCCGTGTGGGGGAGGCGCGTGGGAACAAAGTTGCTCACCGTTATTGATCAAGTCAATCGACACTCTTTCAAAAGTCAACATGTACGGCGTGGTTAGGTTAAAATCATTTTTGTTTTAGCTTTACTTCGGAGGCTTGGAATATGACGTCAGCGGGGTGGGAGACAGGTTCGTGCTGGGAACGTGTCGCTATATTTCAGCGTCGCCTTGACTTGCCGGATTAGCAGCCGAGAAGGGGTGGAAAAGGGTAGTCGTTCAAGCTGCCCAAGTGAACGCGTAGAAGTTTCTTCCACGTGGATGTGGTGGTCAACGCATGGTCTCCGTGTAAGAGTGTTTCCCACCAAAAAGACAAGAGACTTTGAGTTAGTCAAAAAAGGAATATTATTCCACGTGATCAGAGTGTTGGAAGTCAAAAAGGAATATTGCCACTAAGAGTGTTGAGAACCACATAAAATGAATATTTTTGTAAGAGTAAATATCTCTTAATATCAAGATGTCTCATAACAAAAGCTCATAAAGTTTATAATAAGAAAAGAAATAGTTTAGACTAATAGACCCAAGAGGAGAATTAACAAATGTCTATTATCATTAGTTAATAGTTAGTTTAATAATATGTTTTATATATTAAATCATGATAAATAGTCTTACATTTACTTTAAATTGAGAAAATAAAGAGTTTAGACTAAGGAGCACTCTACTAAAGTACTAAAATTGAGCTTGTTGGATGAAGGTTTCCTCTCTCTAGGTCACCTCCTAGGAGTGAAGTTAGATATGAATAATTTTATGAGTATAGTTATGGAGTGAGGCTTTGCTGACTAAGAATACCTCTTACCATCTTGCTTTTAAAGAGGATATCTCCTCTCCCAGAGGGTGACATATGGGTGTAACGATCCACCAATTAAAAGGCTGATGTCACCATTCTGATTTTAAACTTACTTCGAAGGCTTGAAATATGATGTCAATGGGGTGAGGAATCACTTTGAGCTGGGAATGTGCCTTGGTTTGCCCAAATTAGTAGTTATTGCGGCACCCAACACAATTAAGAAGAGGTGGAAATCAGGAGTCTTTCACCGATGCAAGTGGACACGTAGAAGTTTCTCCCACATGGACGCAGTGGTCAATGAATGCCCTCGGCTTGAAAAGTTTTTCCACCGAAAAGAGAAGAGATAGTTGACTTTGTCCTCCTAATGAAAACTGCATTAAAGTAGTTCACCATGTCTTCTTGACTCTATGCCCTTGAGTTAGTCAAAAAAGGAATATTATTTCTGAAATCAATAAGAATGTTGAGAACTATATGAAAAGAAGATTTTTGTTAGAGTAAGAGTCTCATTATATCAAAGATGTTTCATAACAAAAGCTCAATTTATAATAAGAAAAGAAAGAGTTTAGACTAAGGGACCCTAGAGGGAAATTAATAAATGCCTATTATCATGAGTTAATAATTAGTTTAATTATATATTTTATATATTAATTCATGAAAAATAATCTTATATTTGCATTAAATTGAGAAAAATAATTTTTACATGATTAATGTAAATGTATGGTTCATTATATGATCTTATATATTTTTTTATATTCATACACTCATTGACTAAATTAACACCAAATATCTATGCATTATGAAAAAGGTTTCCACTTGTGTGTTTACTATTACAATAATATAATGATAATTTATTTAGCTTCACTTATGCAAATATTTGAATTTCAATAATGGTAAAATTTATGTTTTCGTTTATTTTAACTCCATGATTTTTTATAGGAAATTAATCAATGGGAAAAATTATAAAACAAGTCGATCATTAATGAAATCTTCATTGGCAATAATCAAGGATCATCTTTAGTAATTAATCAATAATTCAAAATAGAAAAATGAAAACTTTGAGAAGAAATCATATTCTATGTTGGTCATTACCAGTCACAAGAAACTATACCTCTTTATTTGAGAAAGCTATCTTTGTGATATGTAGTGCAGGTAAAGGACCTTCACCACCATTGGATGAAGGCAGTACCTTTTTACACTACCCTATGTCTATCATTTTGTACTAATTTAAACTTGTAACATATTTCATAATGACTTTTTAAGTCCCACTTAGAATACCTAAGGACACAATACTAACTTACAATTTTGATGATGGTTTGATCCATGTGAGTTGAGCTTACTAGACATATTTTCTTGACTTGGATGTTACTTTCTCATGGATATTTGCTATCTAAGATCAAATAACATCATGACTTGATCACTCATGCTCAACTCAATGATGAGAAGAGTATTAACACTCCTTGGAGCTTAATGTCAAACTTTATCCAATTGATGGCTCACCATTATTTGACCTAATCTAATATAGATAATTGCTTGAAAAATTGCTTTATTTAACAATATCTCTCCCATATGATTGTGACGAATAAAGTTAGCCTTTCATGGCTGCCCCAGTTAGTTCACCTTGCAGCAGTTCATTATATTCTTAAATATATTTCGAGGTACCTCTTCTCAGGCCATCTTCTATCATCATCCTCTTTAGAGTTGCACGCAACTATTAATGCCGATTGAGCTAGAAATCCTTCAGATACGTGGCAACTATATGCTTTTGTATTTTTTTGGGAGACTCTCAACTATCTTGGAAAAGCAAAAAGTAAGAAATAGTGTCTTGTCTTAGTGCCAAAGTAGACATGCCATGGCATACTCTACTAGAGAGATTGTATGGTTCCATTGGTTACTTTATGATACCAAATTTTATTAGAAGACCTTAATGCTATTTTTTTGGAGTTTAAGAGTGCCATTTAGATTGTGTCAAATCTAGAGTTTCATGTAAGAGTTTTTTAAGCTAAATATATTGAAGTTGATTGTCACTAAGTTTGTAGAAAACTTCTTAATAAGACCATATCATTATTATTATTATTCTTATTCCATATTCTGATTTTATAGAGTAAAAGAAAATATTTCCAACATCCAAGTATCTACATTATAATCCAGATGTGTGATGGGTTCATATTTTTCAAATAAATGAAGTCATCAATGCAAGGCCTCCCCTTTAGAGTGTTTCAATCAAAGAACATTGTTGACTTACTCTTCTTGGAGATAACCATATATATTTTTTACTACATGCTATTGAGTTGGTCGAAAAAGAAATACATAATTTTAACATAACATAAAAATATATTCTCAACGACCAACGAACTACATTATAATTCAGCTGTATGTTGAATTCATATTTTTCAAAAAAATGAGGTGAGTAAATTAGTATTTTGTGTGGGTTAAAGTATATGTTTCATTTCTTTATCGCTACTAACAAAATTTCTCATCAATGGGAATTATAGGCAAAACACATTTAGTTGACTATAATTTTTTGACATATGTTTTTATAATTAGTAAAACATAATATGACTGTGCTTAAATCATAAAAAATTATACAACAATATTAGAGTAACATTTTCACTTTAGTGCACTTTTGTTATGTGAAAGCACATATGACTCTAAATGCCAACATCTAGTAATGTCATTATTTGTATGAGAAATATAGTAACATGTGAACTCACAATTCATCTCCATATGGTTTTATCCACTTAAAGTTCATCTATGACAAATCTAAATGGCACTATTGGTCTTACAATAATATATGAGAGTAGTAGTAGAGACAAAAATTGCAAAATCAACCAAAAAACCTCTTTCACTAGTTGCTATTTTGAAATGATTACTTGATTGCTATATGGAAACCCTTATTAACTATTATGGTAGTAAAAAATTATGATAAGAACTAATGTGGACTTTATGGCATGAGTGATTTTTCCTCTTAAATGAAGATGTATATATTTTTTTTGGTTCTTTAAAATCAATGAGTATGCCTTTAATGACATAAAAAACTCCCTCTCTCTATAGACACCATGTTCTTTTCAAATTTTTTAGCAAACAAGTATCAACCATCAGCTAGATAAGTGTTAAAAAAATAAAATGTAATGAAATAGTGATCAAGAAAGGGGATTATATGTTCTTAGATTCCTTGTTATATGTGCGAGTCAAGGATATTGAGTGTTCAATTGGTGAAAATTAAAAGTAACACATGTTTTGAAAACAAAATGATACATATTTCAAGGAATTTTGAATTTACACATGGAAAGGGAAAATTTTCATTTGTTATTTATTATAAAAACATACACCATCTTGAAATTTGAATGACAAAAGTTTGCTCCATTGTGCTCAAGAGAAAAATAGCATTATTTACAACATCAAACAATGTAAGGACATTATTTGGCATCCATGACCATTGCTCATTGTAATGAAAATTTATGGCTTAATAATCTTTTTATTGAAATTATAGTCAATTTATTCTATGAAGAGAAAGATGATTTTCTAGTGATAATTAAAGTCATCTATTATTATTCTTTCCAATTTATAGCATATCTTTATAGATTTGAAAATTAACACAGAGACTGATCTAAACTAAAACTAATGAGAAGAATAATGATTCACTTCTAATGACTAATATTAAAACCCAAGTTTCATATTATCTTATAAAACATTACAAATAGAGCTTGAGGCATTATGAAAATATGTAGTGGTATTTTTAAAGTTGATATGTGACATGACTGTCATTGTATATTAACTCACTTAAATTTAAAATTTAAAAAATTATAAAACATTAATTTTCATATTTTTAAAAGTACTTTTGTAAAAACTATATCAATTATAATTCAATAAAAACTATAAAAAAAAGTAAAAAAAATTAAGTTGATCATAGGGATGTATAATATTATCATAAAAGTTTATATTTTTTCTCAAAAAATATAATTTTATTTAATTTTTAAATTCAACATCATTAGAAAATATTTTCAAAAATAGAGAAAAAATTCAGGTGTTGACGTCAAGTTGATGTCAATGCCCAAAGAATGACAATTCATGTGAAAATAGAGTTCTAGTTAGTGATTATTTTGTAAATGATTGTAAATGATATCAATTGATGAAATCGAGATTTGTAAATGTCAAATGAATCATAAATAAATTAAAGAAGAGTTTTAAAACTTTAATAAAATAAAATCATCATTATTCTAAATGTTACATAAGTTTAAATAAGGAATTATGTAAGTTCATAAGGTTTTTGAGTGGTATACATGGTCTCATAGGCTCTCCTTAGGTATGTACATCATGAACACTCCATACATATTAGTAAAGATATATAAAAAAGGAGAAATGACTACCGTAATTTCTTGTTTTACTTCACCTAAAACTTGGTCGGCAAACTATTCATTTGAATCAGGATTCGCTTTGCTATTTGTTTGGAGGTATAGTTATAAGTTTCCTTTTTTTATATATCTTTACTAATATTCTGATCTTAAATTACTAATATTCATCTAAATTCTTGCACTAAGTAGAGGGCAAAAGTAGAAGTTAATGAAACATCTCCATTAGCTATTACTTGATGAAGCTGAGTTGGATGGAGATGGAGCATATCTCAAGAAGCTTCTTCATCAAGTTTCCACAGCAAGAGGAGACTTGTATTGTGATTGAAATACTCTGAAAGAGATCATGACAACTCTCTTAGTGGATCATCTTGTTCTTGACAATGACTTGTTCATTGACTAATAAAAGATGGTTTCCTTTGAGAATTTATGATTTTTCTATCAATGATCTTTGGTTAGTTGTTAATGATGATCTTAAATTATTGTTGATGAAGATTTCGTTGATGATTAATTATCTCCAACAACTGTTCCATTGATCGACTCTCTATAGAAAAATCAAGAAGTTAAAATAGAATAAAATTATAATTTTTAGTGTCCATGAGATTCAAACCTCTACCAATCACCTGGCCGCAAAAGTGAAGCTCAACCAATTATAATAATGCCTTTGAAATAGTATATATGAATTTAATTTCTTTTCTTATGACAAAGATAATTTTGTTATTATTTCTACCAATGAGTGTTGTTGGTGGTTTAGTTAGTCCCATATCAATTGTTTCAAAGTGTTTAAGATAGATATAAGTTTAGGCTTCATTCTTTACTTGAGTTACTTCTTCTTTAAACAAAATGATTAGGACTATTTAGAGAGATGGTGTACTTGATGGTCTGCCCCCATGCACACATGTATGACCAAATCATACCTTATCCCACGCATCGGTTCAACCTTCGTGACATGGGAGAAGAGTAACACACATGTGCTCTAGGTAGTTCCTTGAACCAATTAATCTTAGCTCATGGTTTCCCCTGGTCTAGGTCCACCCACTTGAATATAGTGCCCCTTAGGTTGGTTGTTGAGTGTTAGCTAGCTAGTGAGTCCTTCTTTTTTGATATTTTTGTTTTATTTACTTTTTATTTTAAATTAAAAATATATAAAATCACATAATTCATCATAAAATAATATTAGTCATATAAAAACTATTTTTCTTGATTTAACTCAATATAAGATTATTTATTATGATATTATATATAAATTATATTATTAATTAATTATTAACTCATGATAATAAAGACTTGTTAATATACAACATCAAGATTGTGAAAAAGATCTTATAGAGTTAATAAGACATCATTTTCAATAATACAATCTGAAAAGTATCTATTTGTCATAGTACTCTCATTTACTAAGTACAATATAAATAGTTACGATATGAATTAACATTCTATTTATATAAAATATATAATATTTATTTAAAATTTGATAAAATTATAATGTGAACAAAAAGAGAGTATTTAAGAACATGACAATGTGTCTCAATGAAGATAAGATGTCAATTGGTGATTAATTATTAATTTAATAGTGACAGAGATTACTATGAAATAAGTTGACATAGATGATAGCATGCTTGTACTTGGGAGTGGGAGTAGAGGGGACAAGAAAAAAAGAGCATTTGGAGCATAAAATATTTATGTTTTTTGTCCCTCAAAATATCCTAGGAATATACACATGGTAGTGCATAGAGATTTCAATATGCTATGCTCAAGTTTAAAAAAACACAAAGTATGTGCATTTGAACACTCAAAGGGAGAAATAGTCATGGGGCTTATCTATAATATACTCAAAAGGAAAAACACTAAATATAAAGGAATATTATTAATTACATCGACAAAAAGATAACAGATTTGCGTACATAACTAACCTAGAATCTTAGCATATGCAAGAGAAAGTTCATACTCTTTGTATTTTGGCTACTTTCACCTATTCATACCATAGCAGCACACATTAATTTTTTATTGTTCATTAGATAGTACAAATCAATAAAATAATGATGTTTATATTCTCCACCCAAATTGAGAATTACCTAGTTTTTAATATAAAATATGGTACAAAAGAGTAAGTAAAGCACAGTTCAAGTTTGTGCTTCATAAAATAAACTTAGGAAAATATAGGGAACCTATTCTCTTCTAGAAACAATGGGGCCATGTTCCAATGTATTGTAATACATGATATCAAGAAAAACTTATTGAAATTTTATCGAGTAATACAGAAAATTCTCAAGTTTACATCCACTACAAGTGGAAATACCAATCATTTTGACATTTGATAAACCATCAATGGCATGATGGACTTTCATCAAGAACTAGAACTGTGCATAAAATGGGAATCTCACAAATAATAATTAGATGACATAAGGCTGAGTTGTAGAGAGAACTAACCAACAAATTGTGAAGCAAAATGTATAATGACCTACTCATTTATTAAATGCAAACCTCTCACCTGATTATATGTCCGAATTTTCTTCTTTGAGTGTTGGATTATTAATAATATATAGTGAAAAAAAAGTGAATTGGGTAGCTTAGTTAGAGCTGAATAAGTTAATTAAAAATAAAATAAAATTTTGATTGATTAAATAAATGTCAAAACGAAATATTTTTTTAGAATACCACCTGCCCATCTTGTCAATCATTGATTTCGACCATTGTTGTATTCTAACAAATATGACCATCAAGAAATAAATTGACTAGTGTAGAACAACTAGAGACAAGTGATGTTGGAGTGTCCCCACAAATGCATCAATGGTGACAAGAGCTCTGATACTATCAGAACTTTAGAACATGGGTATTCTATAGACAAAGAGAGTGATCAAGAAGAAGAAAAAGGAGAGTCATATTCCTCTTTACATGAATATATGACATATAATAGGAAATACTTGTCAACTTTTTATAGACTATATAAAAGGGTTGGTATATTCTTGGGTCAAATAGAAATATCAAGTATGTTAGTATTACAACATTATAGCATATATAATGCTATCGCCTCAAGTAATGTTCACATTTGGATGACTAGTTAGTGTCAAGTTAAGTAGCTTGATGACTTATCCCTTCTTCTTATATTGACTCCCATGAGATTCATCGTTAGGTGTTCTACCTCACATGAAGATTTCAAAAAGTATCACATGTTAATTGTAGAATTGTATCATGCCATGATTAGCATAGTCTTGAATTTTGTCTAGAGACACAAAAAAATTATGTGAGTTTTCTCTAATCATTCTCAATTTATTTTAGCTAAATAAACTGATATTTTCCAAAATTTTAGTTTCTTATAATATTTCATCCTTTAAGATATTGTCAACACAACATTTAGTTTGTCACGTAAATATCAGCCAATTTATCTAATAAAAAATTGGAAGAATATTGCTTTATATTATCTAACAATACTTACTTTATAAATGCCATAAGAGATTAAACAAATTTGGAAAAAATGAAAAAATATTATATGATAGTATTTATATATACCATGAATATACATATACATATTAATACATATATTTTGGCAAGGTAGTGTTTAAGATCTACGATGGCCCAACTGAGACAGGTTTGGGCCCAATATGCCGGATTTCTTTTGGTAGAAACTCATAATTTCACTGAAGCCCAATGCTCGGATATCTTTGTGGACATGGGCTTCTGTAGGGGTTTTCTTGGTTATTTAAAAACTTGAAAGGTTTTAACTGAAAATGGCCTAACAACGACGATTTCTCGTCCTCCGCACTTGCCCACCGAATCGCGGAGGAAGGCTCTGCGACGGATCCATGGCTTCCGTGGTGAAGGGCGCCGTCAGGATGATCAGAGAGAAGGGCATCCGGGGATTCCTCCGGGAGATTAGAGATGAGGGTTACCTGTGAGTCTTCTTCTCCTGATTCTTTCCTGTTGCGATTTCCTCGTTCTCCCTGTGACAACCTTTCCGATTCTGGTAATGCCAATCCGTATTGTTCATCTAGCGTTCAGCTTCTTCGTCCCACCAATACCCCGCATGGATTTTTTTTATTCCTATTTATTTTCTTGCCTTTTCCCGTCCTTTTTCCTTCTATTCTGATCCGTATTGCCCTCGGTAGGTCAACTGTTACGTCCTGAACTTTAATCGATGGAATGAACCAGTTTTTTTTTTTTGTAAACCTCGAATCGCTCCGAGCAAAGAGAAGGTGTTCCGGTAAACGGGCCTTCCTTGGTACCTGATCGAGGCCGGAGACCGCTTCTAGGTCTTGTGATCGCTCGAACGAGCAGAAACAACAATTTCTGCCCACAGTTACTTCTCTCACCCATTCAACGTTGGAAATGTCGTAGCTCATCGGCTCACTGGATGTTGGATCATGACTAAATGTTATCCAGGGTTTCTTTACCTTATTCCGATTTATTAGAGCATCCAGTTCTATCGGAGATTCATGATAAAAACCACGATCATGAACTAGCATGATCAAGTCGCCTCCAAGCTTTAATCACCAGATAGTGTCAACCCGCGCATTTTATCCCATCCATGTTTGATTTCCGATGAATATTATAAAGCTGTTCGTGTTTACAGTGGATCTGTGGAAAAATAAACCCATGTTTCTGGTAGGAGAATATCTTAAGATATGCAATCTACGCAATATATAGTTTGAAAATAATGAATACATATTATATTATCTAAACATGTATGCCTCCCCCTCATCCCATCTGAAAAATCTGAAAGTCACATTTTCCTTGGAAATAATTTTTTTTTGGTAATTGATTTTCTTTTGTGGCACCTCTGACAGTAGATTTTTTTTGTGTGTTTTTGTTTGTAGGAAATGTCTTGCAGATGGGAATCTACTGTAAGTGTGCCCTTTAATTTTGCATTAAATGACCATGAACTAGCATGATTTCTAAATGATGATCTGCAAGATATACAGCATTGCTTTCTCCTTGGCCGTTTTCCCTCTTTTGTTTGAGCCCTCTTGCTATCTGTGCCTGGCTTTTTTGCGATGAGTTTCCTAATGAAGGTGGTCTGATGGCATGAAAAGCTGAGCGACCAGCTTAGAGGGTTATTTTGTGCATACATTGGATGGTAACTGCACGTGTCAAAGCATCTCCTTTCTGATGGTCAACGACGAGCCCAGCTGGCACCAAATAGTCAACCCATTGTCCACCCCTCATTGTGTCAGCCACACTCTTGTCCCGGATACTTACTGGATGTTAGCCTGAGGGTCCTATCCAGGTCAGCTGTTCTTGCTTGACTAGGAAGAAGGAGCAAGATTATCTTAGGAGGGTTGGCATGGGACTGAAGAGATGCCACGTGGGATTGGGCTATCTCCAGACCCATTTTAATAGAGTTGATGCTTATTTTGGGGAGAAGCGCCGATAGTTGAGCAAACCTATCGTATCCTGTTGAAATTACCTGTCATGAATTCACTTCAGTAGCTTCTAAAGATCATTGCCTCTTCTCCTCTGAATCTCTTTCCCAACCTAGTAACGCAGGTAACGTTCCATAGAAGCATCCTCACTCTCTCTCTCTCTCTCTCTCTCTCCCCCCCCCCGATTGCTTTAAAATATGATGGGTTTTTTACCTCATGGAAAGTTTCGGTGTGGGTCTTCATAGTCGATTGATGCGAGTGGGTTATAAGTCCTGACTGGGGATGAGAACTTTCATAGTTCGACGGTTTACCAACCCAAGGAAGGCCCCTCCCCGCGGTTCTGAAAGATGAAGATATCAATGTGCTGCAGACATCTGATCCTGATCTAGCTGTCTCCTCTCCCCTCATTCCTCCTCCCTTTCTCCTCCACTTGCCTTGGGTGGTCGGACTGACCTGTGTTTGCTTCCTCAGGCAAACAAAAATCCACAACATCGGTGCAACGCTCGTGGGCACTGACAAATTTGGTAACAAATATTATGAGAAGCTGCATGACATGCAGTTTGGTGAGTACATCAAAATTATTTCATTTATTTATTTATTTATTTCTTAGTTTATATGTCCATTCTCCCTCGATGAATATCAATTCCAATGTCAGTTTGATGGAAATCTGAACTGGGTCTGTTGGTAGTGTAGGGTTCTTATATAGTAGCCATTTATAGCAGCTTCATTCATAGTCAGCGGTGTGCTGCTTCTGTGAGCACAGGGAGGCACAGATGGGTGGAGTACGCCGAGAAGGGCCGGTACAACGCATCTCAGGTGCCACCCGAGTGGCATGGCTGGCTGCACTTCATCACAGATCACACTGGCGATGATGTAAGTCAAGCCCTCCTCTCCGTTGGCATCATGATTTTAATTTTTTCTACCTTCTTTCTTCAGTTGAGATGCTTCAATTGCGTTTTTTGCCCATCAATCCGGTCTTAGATTCAAATGATTTTACCTCCCAAGGGATGATATTGAATTAATTTCCGAACCTGGCCGACGACGGTGGGAGAGATGGCATCATCACCAGCCGATGGGCGGGCATGATTTTAATTTTTATGTTCTACTTTTTTTTTCTTAAGTTGAGAAACTTTAATTGTGTTCTTGCCGCTCAATCCGGTGTTAGATTCAAATGATTTCATCTCTCAAGGGATGATGCGATTGAATTAATATCCGAACCCGACCGGCAGCAGTGGGAGGGACAGAATTGTCACCAGCCGACTGGCGGGCATGATTTTAATTTTTTTTTCTACATTTTTTTTCTTAAGTTGAGAAACTTTAATAGTGTTCTTGCCAGTCAATCCGGTGTTAGATTCAAATGATTTCATCTCCCAAGGGGATGAGATTGAATTTATTCCCGAACCCAGCTGGCGGCTGGATCGGCAGCACTGGCGGCAGTGGGAGGGATGGAATCATTCATTACTGATGGCTGTTGTTGTTGTTGTTGTTGTTGTTGTTTGGCATGGCAGCTGCTGATGCTGAAGCCGAAGAGGTACGGGGTGGAGCACAAGGAGAACTTCTCAGGGGAGGGGGAGCAGTACATCTACCACTCCAAGGGCCACGCTCTCAACCCCAGCCAGAGGGACTGGACCAGGTACCAGCGATGGCAGCCTGCCAGGACCGACACTGCCCACCGCCAGTGAACCACCCGTCGAAGCCACCACTGCCACCTCGACTCATGGTATTGTTGGTGCTTGTTGCAAGGACTTTGTGCCAGCAGCTTCAGGGCGATGGTCTCTCTTTCTCTCTTTCTCTCTTTCTTTATGGGTGTTGCAATAATACATGTTGCTGGAGATTTTTGGCCTTTCAATTGTCTCTCATTTGCCTTCCTTGAAGGTTTTTGTTGTCTTTGGATGTAGAATCTGTTCCTCTCTCTCTCTCTCTCTCTCTCTCTCTCTCTCTCTCTCTCTGTGGGTACTGCAAATGACAGCGGACTCTGTAGAAGCTGCAAATGCCGGAATTGAGAGCCACCACTCTCCCCCGGGGCCTCTCCACTGAGGCCAAAACAAGTCAGCTCGAGGTATTAAAAATAGCAAAATAATCATCACTCAAATCAAAGAGAGAGAGCAAAAAGAGAGCAAAAGAGTGGAGATTTATCAAGGACTTATTTTGCCTTTCTTCAAGGGTTCTATTGTCTTTGGATGTAGAATCTGTTCCTCTTTCTCTCTCTCGCGCGCGCACTCTCTCTCTCTCTCTCTCTGTAGACCTGCGTACCCACAGTACCGTCACCGATGTTCCTAGTTGCTGAAAATGCCGGAATTGGGAGCCACTCTCTTCCGGGGCCCCTCCACTGAGGCTAAAACAAGTCAGCTCGAGGTATTTAAAATAGCAAAATAATCACCACTTAAACAAGAGAGAGAGAGAGAGAGAGAGAGAGAGAGAGAGAGAGAGCAAAAAGAGAGCAAGAGAGTGGAGATTTATGGACTTATTCACAGTGACAGGACAGACAAGAACACTCATCAAGGGGGTCGGCACATTACACTGAGCACAGTTCCAACAGCAGCAAGTCTCACCGATCTACCTAGCAACAGGTAGAGAAACATCCCACCTCCCTCCTCACCTGAAACATCATACACATCTCCGCAACATCACCACAATTATATTCACTAATAATACTAGAAAGACAGATAATATATGTTCCTGCTGGAGGACGAGCGAAGCTAGAAGGCCTGTTCGTCAGCCTTCTTTGATGGCGATGAACACGCCGAGTTGGCGATCTGCGTCGACGGTCTCCGCACCAGGGACCTCGGTGGCTCACGCCGGGCCATCGGAGGCAGCTGCAGCGGCAGCAGGCAGGTGGACCAAGTGATGAGAAGAAGGAATTTCTCCATAATTAAATGTCAAAAAATAAAACCCCCACTGATGACTTTCATATAATAATCCCTACCCCAACAATAATGGCATGATTTCCATAGAAAGTGGGATCAAATCCCATGGGAGATGATAGAGAAGATGGAAATTCCTCGGAATCATATATAATAACGGCAAAAACCAACCCAAGAACAGCTCACCCCCACCCCCCTCCGGCGCTGATGATTTTCCTAGGATAATCCTTGACGTTTATCAAGTTATATCTGGCATCATAATAATGGCATAAACGATTTCATTAACTTATGTATAAATATAGAGAGTTGAGAGAGAGAGAGAGAGAGAGAGAGAGAGAGAGAGAGAGAGAGCCCTGAAAGAGAGCAAAACAGTGGAGATTTATGGAGGACGCAAGAACAGCTCTCCCCTCCACTCCCACTTTTGGAAGCCTACGATCATCACAACAACCAGAGGAAAATTCGCACTCAATCATATAATTAGAGGAGATCATCTTGCCACAAAGAAGCTTTGCCACTTTAAAACATGGAGATGATGGAAGAATGCCCCCCCAGAAACCAGATATCATGGGACAGAACGGACCTTGTGCTGCAGACGCATGATGGTGGATAGCAAGAGCTTGTCTCCAATGATCTGCCTCAGCTTCTTGATCAGATCTATCCTGCTTATTTTCTTCCTCTGCAGAGATGAAGGCCAACGAATCAAACACACCAGACTGGAAGAACGAAAAGGGGATGATGCAGCAGGGAAAGTAAACGAAACCTTGAATTCATCGTAATGGACGTTGACAAGGTCCATGTCTTGGGAGGTTATCTTGGTCGAGATTGCAGCGAAGAGCATTGAGAATGGCATCCAGGGCGAGGTCGGAATCCTTGAAGCTTCATTAAATAACCTCGCCTTCTCATTAGGCTTCAGGGTTTGGCAAGAGAGAGGGTCAGCATTATCCACCTGGCAATGTGAGAGAATCCATGTTTTCAATGAGATATAGCAAAAGATGGCTCTGACTATGGATAAATCTAGTAAATAATAGCAATAATAAGGGTGCTTTTGATTCTAAACCCAGGTATCGGAAAAAAAAAAAACAGCGAATGGCTACGACATTAACATATCAACATCCTGAAGAGGCATTTAATAAAACAGCAAGGATATAAATTATTTTAATCAGAGACATTATTTCTATGCAACACAAGAAAGGAGATTGTGAAATAACGTACCGAATCAGCAGTAGAGAAATTTTCCTTCTGTGACTTACTAGAAAAGCAAGTATTTGCGATTATAGGAGCATTAGATGGGTTACCCATACTATACAAACGTTCTGCAGAAACAATATTCAGAAATAACTACGTCGCCTCCGTGGAGATGCTAGAACGGTTACAAATGAGCTGAAGAAAGCAATAAATAGAAATAACAGGGATCACCTTTTATTTTGGCAGGCACTCGGAAACTAACAACATATTCGGGAAATATGTGCTTATCCGCATGCATGTTCCATATTACATAGTAATTGGGATTTTGGAGATTGTCAATACCGTTATCAAAAGATTCACTACTTGGCTGAAACTGTTTAGAATGCGGAGGAACACACTCCAGCTTTCCCAGTATAACACGGCACAACACCATATATACAATGCCACTCTCGTCGACATCAGAAAAGCTTGCACTGTAAAGGTTAATATTAATTAAAAATCTCCTGTCTGGAAGTAAAACAGAAAGAAAATAGTGGAGATAATAAATACAGCAGTAGCACAAGGATCAGTAACAATCAAAATGAATATAAAAAAAAACACACCTAATATTAGAGCGGTTTGCTGGTGTGAGGTAAACACCGACGCCATGCATTGTACTATACAAAGGCAGTTCTACTCTCCCAGGCCCCTCCAACATGATGTTCTTTACAGCTGCACCTGAAGCAGCAAGCCAGCCATAACGGACATTCGCATTTCCACGGTGATTCTGTGTAATGTCAACTTGTTTCTGAAAACGCTTCAACCGAGTTTGCCCAAAATCACTAGTTGGTGGAATATGGAAAATTCCAACAATATCGTTTGGATTAAGAAACTGGCGCAGACCGAGAAGCAACATATCCTGCACAACAGTATAAACCTTTCCCCCGGGAACCAAGCTAGTCAAGCATGCATGCAAGGAATCAAGGGCAGGATCTTGATGAGATGCGGGAGCATAAAGCTCATTTTCCCCGACAGCCTCTCTGATGTCAGCAGCCATGTTCAAAGGGTCGTCAATTCTGAAACGTTTAACATTAGAAATTTCATCATCATTGTCTTCAGAGGTTGAACTTTGAGCTGGACTTGCTGGTTCCTCCATTTCCACCTTAATTTCTCGTGTACTAATTGGGTTTGCACTGGTTTGAATCTCATGTTCACCTCTGGCAGAATTCCCATATTCGTGTGCTTCACAGACATCCAAAAGTGACTCGGGAAAGAAGTAGTTACCGTTTTCATCAATCCAAGCAATTCTTTGGTGTACGCCCGTTTCAGAATTTATTTGAACCATATGTACAAAGTCAAAAAGCAATTGATGACCCTCAAATTTCAGCTCAGTAATTGCTTTTTTTGCTTGGAAATCTTGCTTGACAAGATCAACTATGTCAACAGGGTAATCTCTCCATTCACCACCCTTATAATACAGCAAGCGTTTTGGAAAGCCACTTTTCATGAAATTCGAAAAATATCTCAATATGGATGGAGTATGTTTCACGTAGCCATCTGATCTTGTCTTATTGCCACAATCATTAGAAAGCTGGCAACAGGCAGGAAGCTGTACCACGTGTGAGGAATCAGAACAAGATGGGCATGCAATATCTTGGTGTGATCGCTTTCTCTTAAGGCCAACCACAGCTTTTGCATAATTATCCAATCCCTTCACGTTCATCGGTTCCATTTCTATTGACGATAAAACTCCCCACCCAGATGCTACTCGTCTTCAATAGATTTGCCTCTGAAGAATCTTCTTCTTTACAGATTTCTGAAGATTCCAGAGGTCTCACCAGATAATCCCATGTTGAGGATTTGGAGCAAGCTGAACCTGAGAAGGAAGCAACATATATTGTATGTAGCTGAAAAGCACGAATCTAAAATACATTCATGTATGCATATTAGCACATAATGAGGGAAAAAACAGCCACAATAAAGGACTAAATAGTTCCTTTAGAAAAAGCATAAATAGACAAGATCCAGCAGCAATTTCTTCCTGATTGAAGATATAAATTTATTATAATAGGCCAAGATCGTCAAAATCATACATGAACTAGAAATAAAACTTATAGAGGAATGATATCAATGAATTCCCTCTTTAGCTCGTCCAGAATACGAATTAAAATCAAGTTACTCAGTTTCATCTATAAAATACTTACTAAAATAGGAAAGTACTGACAGGATGTGAATATGAAACAAGTCATTCTCGTATTGGACATTCATAAGAGCACTCAGGCTCTATAGAAAGCTTCAGCTAAGGATTTACGGTTAAGGGATAAAAAACAATTTCTGTCGTTGGTCGTAAAACTCCCAAACAACTGCCAGTTCTTCTAAACTACTCATCTTCCTTTTGGAAGGTCATTTGAAGACTTTTCCAAAAGATGCAGTCTCTAGAATATGATCAAATAGTAATAAAAAACCATCCCACTTACAGTCCACCATAATTACTGAATCATCCATGCCCCAACAAACATAAAATCGGTCATCATCGCACTGGAATGGGTAATAATTATGAAATTTTTTGAATGATTATAAATAAATAATTAAAAAATAACTAAATTCAATTACTTTTACAATAATGAATATCATTATTTTTTTATTCCATTAACAGACTATGATGATGTATAAGTCTTCTCCAGCCCTACAGGCATTTCAATAGTGCAATCTGTAGCCCAGATTAGAAAAAATGTCTGGCTACTAATAAGAATAGCAACATGTGGTGCAAGAAGTCGTGACAAAAACCAGGAATTGTTTTTTAATGAACTTAGTGTTCAAACAGAAAGGTGCTTCATATTATAAAGCTTTTATGTTATCCTACAAAAAAAAGCACACAACCTAAGAAAACGGTACTTGACATAAAAATAAGTAAAGAAGAAACTTCATAAAATCTGAGAAGTCAGGTAGATGCGCGGTAATTGGATCAAGCGATGTAGATTTACGCAAAAAAATGTTTCCAACTAATATCATTTGTGATACTGTTGTAGGCTAAAACACACTACACATATTCTCCATTTTACAAACAGGTACCGACAACAAGCATTCCCATTTTTTTGGCGATGCTTTGAAACCATGTCTGGTGTGCTCAAAGTTAAGTTTACTGGTGTAAATCCTCCCAGCAATCATTTTTTTCCTGAGAGGAACGGAAATATGGAATTTTTAAGCACCCATTTCCCATATGTTTTGGCAGAGTCATGGCATCCAACTTCTATGAATACCTTGACGACTTTACACAAATCTGTGCCATATCAAAGAAAAAATTCCACCAGATTGATGATTTTTCACACATCAATACCCAAACATCACCAAAAATCACCAATCCTTAATCAGGGTCATATGAACCAAACATTGGAAACCAGCAATGAGAATAATACCATCATAGATCAAGATAAAAGTCACTGCGGAATACGCAGAAAAGAGTGGCATGTAAGAATCAAACACAATCAAACATCAAAAGTGGGAGAAAGTTTCAATCTCTTGCGCAAATAAATTAACAAAGCCACCAGACCAGGAATTTCTGTGAACCAAAGGGTAAAACTTTCCGATCACAATGAAATTGAATGTTTTCCACAGCCAAAAAATAACCCAACAAGGCCAAGAAGGAAATACTAAGCATCCTACGCGTCACTGAATATTTAATCAGTTCGAGGTGCGTGGCAACAAAAAGCAAGGACTTACGAAAAAAAGGGAGACAGCGGAAGTTTCAAGCAGCCGAAGAAATTAAAAAACATAAAATATAACGAATTAATAAAAAACAATTACCCTGCGGCTTCAAGAAAATGTCCCCATATCCGCGATTTAGCCACATCACACCTCAAAACCCCCCAATACCACCGATCGCATCATGAAGTTATGAAAAACATACGAAAACACCAAAAGATTCCAACGTAAAACCGACAGAACAAACCCTAGAAATCAAAGTTGACGCTCGAACCAAAACAACATACCATCTCTCATAGAAAACATGAAAATACCCCGATCAGACCGGAAAGCATCCCGACAGGCATCAGATCACCAAAAACACGGCCCCGCACGATGTCCAACAGACATAAGACCATCGCAGAGGCCCCGCGAGACGAACCAACCAGAACAGAGGCTAAATCGGACATGGATTTATACCTAGTGCAGCGGGCCATGAGATAATTTCTCGTCTCCGGCAGCCATGGTTCTCTCTCTTCCTCACCCCGTCGCGCTCGGCGGTCTCTGCAGGTGGCTACAAACCCGGAAACATCCTGCGCCGGAGGAGGAAGAAGGAGCGGTAACAGCGTGACCCGCGGGACAGTTTAACGCCGGTCTTCTTGCGTGCATCTAAAGAAAGACCGCCGCCTCCTCCTGCCGACCTCCAATATCCATCGGACGGTAAAGATTTCCCATGATGGTTCAACCCGATCGATGATGGAGATCCAGCCGTCGAGAGATGAGACTCCTTGGAGGGGTCTTTCGGTAATTTCATAAATCTTGAACGGGGCCACGCGTGCCACGAAGTCTTCTTGACATCACTACGTCTGGTGGTGGGAACCCAGACAGGAACAGCTAGGCTTTTGGTCCCTAGATGTTGGGAATCGGATGCTTCCTGATCGCTGGCGCATCCATTTGGACGGTGGAGATGAGCCCAATCTCAATTATGGGCTCATAATTTCCTTCCCTCATAAATAACTTGCACATATTTTAAGAATATTAAATCGATTGTCATATTCCATATTTTGGACTAATTTCCCATAATTATCGCATTATTTTCCTCAATGGCTTATTCTAAGTGAGAATCATATCCGCTTATGATTCCATTTTAATTATTTATTTAAATTAATATATCGAAAATTCTCTTGCTATTCTCTGCGTTTTATACTGTTCTCAATAAATAAAAAAAGAGAATTGAGATATTTTGATTAATCTTTGATAATATTAAAAAACACGTCAAAATAATAGTTTTTACTAGTTTTTCAAAGGTCACAATAGTCTTGGACATCATTACTAGATTATATTTATTTAAATGCTCCCATATATATAGTTCATATTTATTTAATAAATAAAAACAGGGATTCCCACTTTTTATTTACATATAATTATGTAAAAAAATAATATTTATCTACTATAATCCTCCCCCCTTGATGGGGTTTATATTCATAAAAGAATATAACAATAAAAAATATATATTTTTAATCTAAGCTTATAATTTTCCAATGGAATGGATGGTTAGAATACCCATTCGGACAAAGATAATGGATCGGGGTTGACTTGAAGCCCTAAAAGGTCAAAGGCACGAGTAGGAGGATGTATCGTGCCACGTGACAGTGGTCCCCACTGGATACAGTTCATCCCTCTGTTAAGTTGTTCCCTCTTCCTAGACAAGATGGTATACGATTCCCCTCATACTCTCTTTTCATCGCGTGTGGTGGAATGGGACCCACAGGTTGGGTGTCTCAGTCTGATGTGTGGTGGAATGGGACCCACTTTGGACGAAGGGCTTTAATGGGCCGGCCCATATTGACTTTGTCTTATTTTCGGTCTTCCGAATAAGCCCAAAATCTCTCTCCCTCTCTATCTCCATCTCCGGGCCTATATGACGTGGAAATTAATTTAAAGTAAGGGGCGTCGTAAATTTCTAGGTTTTTCTCGTGCATTACTTGGTTACTTCCTCTGAAAGTGACGGTTTCTGATTAAAGTTTGTATTAAAAATATTTATTAATATATTAATATATATTTTTGGAAAATATTTTATCACAAAACCCTGGAATCTTTCAAATTTCGGATTTTTGTTAACGTATAAAAACCCTGCGCGGGGGGAAGGGCTCCATTTTCTCGCTCGCTTCCTCAGTGGTGGTGCCTCGGCGGAGGAGGGGTTTACTGCGGGGAAGGAGAGGGGGCGGTGAAGAGAGAGGCGGAGGAGAAGGTAATGGGAAAGGAGACGGACCTTTGGGACGATTCGGCCCTCATCAACGCCTTCGACCAGGCCCTGAACAAGTACAAGGTCTCCCGCTCCTTCTCTATATTCGCCTGCGTTTTCATGTTTGTTCTCTTGGTGGCCTTCAATGCGTTCGAGTTGCCTTCATTGATTCCCTGAGATTTAGGGCCGACACACGGCAATCGTACTCGTTTTCTTTCTCTGAGCTTATTCTGTTCTGACGCTCTCATACTGGGGAACACTCGTGTTCATCAGTACTAGTTTATTCGGTTTCAGGGGAACACGTAAGGGTAGGGTTCTCACGTTTACCCCCAGACTTGTGCTAGGCACTCAGAAGATGGTTGGACTTTAAGAAGTTGGAATTGGTATCACGTTTACCCACAAAGGTTTTTGGCCCTCCTTTGTTAATTCTGCGGCGTCGGTGATAGAACATGGAAGTCCGTAGCTAGTCTGACTTGGTGATGAATTTACTAAATAGGCCCACCGAATCGAGTCTAGACATGGCTTATAAATGCTCAAAGAAAATGGACAGAGAATCTTTTCGTTAATTAATACTGCCATTATATCAGTGAGGGTCTTAAAAGTGGAAGAGGTAGGTGACTAAAGAGGAATGGTATTGGGAGAATGGAAGAAGCTTAGGAAATTAGGCACGTTGAATGTAAACATGGTATATATCCATTAGGATAGTGAAATGGTGCCTCTGTTTCTGTCTCCATTCTTCATTTGGCGGTTGTTGATGAGGATGATGGTACTCTTCACTCTTTTTTTTTTCTCCATATCTTTATTTTCTAGAGTCTATGCGTTTTGTCTATTAGGGAGTATGAATAGTTAACTTATGCCATGTTTTCCCAAGCACTATCCTTTTTTATTTCTAAAGAACTATTAAGAATCTTAATTTTCTGAGTGTCGTTCTTTTCCCATTATTGTGCCCAAAGAATAAAGTTTTTTTTTGGGGTCATCACTCTATGGATGTTTCTTTGAATCAGATGTATTTTACCACTGAAAATCTTCATACTTTTTGATACTCAATTTTATTGGTTTGTTTAGGTTCTTTTCATGTTCTACTTGGTTTGTTCATTCTTTAAGTTTCAGCATGATCGTTCTTCTGTCACTGAGTGCTTGATTTTCTCTTCATAGGCAATGCATGTTGAAAAGTTTGATGCCACTACTACAAGAGGTGAAATTTCTGCTAATAATGAAAGTGAGCCTTCAAGTACTGAGCAGATCCACGTGTGAGTAGATGAAGAACTTTTGGTGTCCTCAGTGGAACCTCTTTGCATGTTCATTGATGACGAACTCTTTTTGCTACATTCTTCTCTTGTGACAAGTAACACCATTTTTTTCTGTGCTACATTCTTCTCTTTTTACTATTTTCTATGATACTATTTTGTCACCATCGAAGGTTTTTTCCCCTATGTTATTCAATTGAAGAAAAAGTTACCCGAAATAGAGGATACTATGTTGTGTAGATTTCATGGTTATAAAAAATAGTAGCTATTATGGAATAAGCTAGCCATTGGCTTATGAATCATGAGTGATTTTGATGCTAAGATCTGTGGAATCATGCTATCTTTCGATTCTGGCTGTGCTGAACATTCGTGGGCAACGTTTTAGGACTTCTGGCCGACGCGTGCATATTTCTTTTCACTATTTTCACTTGAACGTAGTCAATCAATTTTATGTCTATATATTCACATGAAAAATACACTTTTAGCACACAATTTCTATACATCTCTTGACTCTTTTCATAATTATTTTTTATATTTTCCCTAATCTCTGAATATCAAGTGCTTGCCACAGATTTCCATATTGGTCATGTCGTTTGTAAGAATGCAACTGTCTTTGCGTGTATATTTATTTTCTGCCATTCGTCTTGTTATCTAGAGATGAATGGTCTCCAAGAGGGATTCTTCTCTTGCATATTTTAGTTTTTTGTTGTTGTTCGTCTTTGTACTTGCCTATAGAGGGCTTTGTTCATAGACAGGCACATATGCGTGTATGTGCATGTGCACGTTTGCTCAATCACATTGGCTCAAACACACACACACACACACAGATATTTTGCATGTCTTATATACTAATATGATGCCCTCATTCTGATTATGAGTAATAGTGAGGGGTAAAGTTCCATCAATTTCTGATGTGCATCTCACAATGCCTAATATGAGATACTTGTGGAAAGAGGGTCTATGGGCCCTGCTGCAAATCTTCAGTTTTAAAGCAAGATCTACATGTTTTTTCATCCAATGAACCTAATCAACACTTGTATGTTTAATTATATTGATGATTATATGCATATTTCTCCATTACAAGTTGTTGGCGATTGATGATGCTGCACTTGATATTTGCATTGAAAAAAATTGCAGTTTGTGTTGACTTTCTCTCCATCTTGTGTCTCAAAAAGTCATGTGGAGTCTAATTTCGCGAAGACTAGCCTATCAGAGGTAGAGGCAGAGGCAGAGGCAGAGACAGAGGCCGAGGCAGTATTGAGCCTTCCCTGTGGCAACAATGAAACAGCTGAAGAAGCGTCCACCGTGCAAGAGAGCCAGCCTGAGGCTGGGCCGAGGTTTCCAGAATCCACCTCGGCAGAAGACTGTACTCAACTGCTGACCCAGTACTATGAACTCGAAGAAAAGAGGCAAAGAGTCATTCAGCAGCTTCAGCAGGCAGGCTATTGGAATCATCCGACCTCCACTCAGACACCGGAAGCTCCTCAGCGCCCTGAGAACTCCTACCCAGGTCCTCTATTTCCTTATCAGTGTGGCGCAGGCTTCTATCCCTCTGATTGCAGCTCTTTCTACCCATACAATGCCTGCGGGCCCTCATCTCAGATGCCTGCAATGCCCACAGGTGCATATCACAGCAGCTGCTTCTCGTTCTTAGTCACCTTTTTTTTTTTTTCCCCCCTTCTTTCTCGCAAAGGTGAAATGCTTGATATCCCGGATAATTAGTTTTATTATGAATAGTTAGTTCCATATTCGAAAATTTTATATATTTCTTAGATTTATTTTAAATAAAATAGGAAAAAGTGGTGGGGCAGCAGTCGTGTGGTCATGTTTAGATGTGGTGGACGACGGACGCATTGCTGATGTGGTGCCGTGTGATGAGTGTATCAGGGGAGAGGGAGCAGGCGAAGGAGGAGGCGGCGATGGATGATGTGGGAACGGACCTTGCCGTGGTTGTGAATGCGTGGTACAGCGCCGGCTTCTACACAGGCAGGCAAGTATTTCTTCATCTCTCTAGCTATCTTATTGATTTTTACTCTCTAGAGAGAGAGAGAGAGAGAGAGACAGAGAGAGATCAAGCAGTTGACATCTTATTGTTTTATGTCAAGAGAGAGAGAGAGAGAGTTACGCTATGAGGATCATAATAGGGATGATATCCTCTTCCGATCTTTGTGCAGGTACCTCCTAGAGCAGTCTCTCAGGAAGCATCCTCACTGATTGGCTCCACCTGGCTCAAACCGGTCTTTCTCCCCTCTCTCTCTCTCTCGCTCTCTCACTCTATGACTATAAATAGGCACGCGATCAAGTCCCTCTTCTCCGTTTTCTGTCTCATTGGTTGGCCACGTGTCAGCTTGTCTTGTCCGAAGACCCCATCGATCGTGGAGAACTTATCCAGCTTTTCTCTCTTCTATCATGACCTACCCGTCCACGTCCCTCTTGTCTTTAAAAAAAGAATTAATAATAAAGTTAGGATAGCCGTCATTGACCAAGTCAGCGGAGTTTGTGGGGCCCCCATAGAATCTCCTCCCTGTTTTTCGGTCAAACAACGGCCGAAGACCCTTCCTCCATCTCCACTACAGTTGACCATCATCGTTGACCACGACCAGTTCCCGTATGCCCCTGGCCGCATATCTCGCGTTACGTGCACCGTCCGATCTCGAGGTCTCGCTCGCCAAACTCGGATCCCAGCCGTTGGTGCTGGCGCGTGGATGCACGCCACGACTCCCCTCTCTCTCCTCCCCGGGACTCTTCAGCCGCCATGGAATCGTGGGTCCCACTGACACGTGGATGCATCTAGTACGTTCAACACATCCGGGAGAGGCATCTCTCCCGCCGGGCCCCACTCCTCCCAACGTCGTCGTCTTCCTGTTTGTTCCTATCCACCGACCGTGGTCTCATCTCCAAACGGGAAAGGAAAGCAATATTTATGGAAATAAATTAAATAAAACTCATAAATAATTTATTACAAATTTGATTATTCTGGAAGCGGTTGCTCGATTGGCTGGCCTATAAATTTGACTTCTCGTTCGTCTCTTTTTCTTAGCGGCAGTGGAGGACTCTCTGTTCGTCTATCCATCCCTCTGCAGGCGATCGGAGACGCGGCGAGGAAGGGCCTCAGCATCCCCGGCGGCGCCCGGTTGAGCTCCGGAGATCCACCAGGAGCGCGCTGGATCGGCCTTGAAACTGTGAGCTGGAGCTTGTCTCGTTGGATCTGTGGTTGTGGTTGGCTTCGGCTCATGGGGGGCACAATGTTGGTGCCTTCGGCTAGTCCTCCCGTATCGGGAGCTCTGGCGAGGTCGAGGTTGGGGATTCCATCTTCTTCTTCTTCTTCGGCTTCTGGTGCCGGTGCCTGTGGTGTTGCTGTTCCCGCCGCTGCGTGTGTTCCGCATCGGATTCTCCCTCTTCGCTCGGTTTTCAGGCGTTGTCCCTGTGGAGTCTACTCCTCGAAGACCAGAGCCACGGCGGAGCTGGCCGAGGGGAGGGAGCTAAGGGAGAGGGCCGGTGCGCCGAGGGGAGTGGCAGTTCCCTCATTTGCAGGGGCGGAGAAGGAAGTTAGTCAGTCGCTGTCGTTTCTCAATGCTCAGACTGAAGAAGGTTTGGTCTCTCCATTGCCAGTTTAAACCTACTTATTTAATGGTGTCTCTCATCCACAACTATGGACGCTGAAGGACACACTCCCTGTAATTATTCTGTTTTTACCTCTGCTTCTTAGGGCCTCCTGGCTCGTTTCTATGACATGTTGTTCTCTGTTGAGTATTTGCATTCTCTCTCCCTTGAGGAAGCTTTAGATTCATTATTTTGTTCCTTTATCCTCTTGGAAAACAGAACTTCTATTGTCTAGGCTCTCCAAGATGAAAGGAAAATGTTTTTTAATGGAAATTTGCATGTTCAAGTTCTCTATGTATCTAGCGCCTTCCTCTCTGTGAATATTATTCCTACTATTTGGTGCAGGGTGTGCATTTCTTGTTTAATTTAAAGATTACAAACTCTTCGATCATCCCAGATTCTCTAAGAAGCATTGCAGCAATAAAAGTAACCGGTGCCATCGGCTTGGAATCCAAAATATTGACAGAATTTATGGACGCGAGTGTATCACAGGTCCATTAAGGCTACTTAGAGTAACCCTCCAATGTGCTCCAAAGTTTGGAGTGATGCTGATGAGGAAGAATGCATGGTTTCTCATTGGGGAATAGTCATCAACTCTATCTGATGTGAAACCGCATGCGGGAGAAATAAATGTGCATATAATTCACGTCTTATTATGCAGAAGTTTGGGTTTCTATTTGATTAATCTATTATAGGTGCTATTAACCTAATACCTCCCAATGGTAGATTTTAATGCGGCCATGCTTACTGGGACATGCACCTTCGCTCATTTTGTCGTATCAGCTCACGATGAAAGCAATTAAATCCGTATCTCCTATGGGGCCTGGGATATGTGTCATCCATATCTATGGTGTGCACGTGCCATATATTGGTGCTGAGTTGAAAGCCAAAAGTCTAATACAGACAGTAGAAGGACCAGAATTTATAATATCCATACGTTGAATTTATCTAATATAATGGGGGAGGTGTATCTACTTTCCTTCATCTAGGTAAGACAATCATTAATGATTTGTTTGATTGTCTATCTTTCGTTCGAAAAGGAGTGTTGAACACCTCAATGGCCTATATGACAAGTACACACGTGATGAGTTATATCGTGATATGCATAGAAGTATTGCCTTCATTGCTTACTCCATAGGAGTAAAACCCTAATTTGGTGCCGGGAATGCTTGTTTATCCTTGAGAAGAAGTAACAATCATACTCTTCACTAGGGTTTGTTTGTCCTTCATAGTCATCAACTGAGGTGGATAAAACTCCGAGGAGGACTGAGGTAACGATTCATTGCTCGTCCTTGACCTGGTTACATCTTGATTCCTGGATCTGCAGTGAAGAAGACTCTTTTTTATTTTTTATTTTTAGCAGTCCGCCTAGTTCACTAACATGATCACTTCATTGATGAACCGGACTATTTTTATAATCACATGCTTGCGTGATAGGGTTGTGACCTTGGTAATCGCCTCCAGTTGAGAAAGCCAACGTTTAACATTGTCACATAATCTCACCCAAAGATTTTAAGTCATATATCTTGTATCATGTCTATGGTCGACCAGTCCCTTCTATATAATGGACTTCTTCACTTGAAACTAGTTTCGTTCTCCTTGTGCAGATCATATTCAAATATCTGCTGAAATTAATGTTGTTCCCTCTTGTTTTCGTTCCTTTTTGTTGGAATTAACTTGTAAATACATTTTATTATCAATAGTATTGTGGGTTGGGATGGTGGTTGTCTCATTATATGAAATTTAAGGCTCAATTAAAAGGGTAGACTGCTTTACATTGCTGTTAAGTTTCTCCCTGCGTCATTAGTTTACTGTAGACACGACTTACATTTTCTTGGAGGTGGTAGGGCCTAGAGTACCCAAAATCTGTCAAACCCTATCTGTTTTATTTATTGGGGACCAATAAATTACACGTGTAAAATACACCCACAATTGACTCCGTCATCTGATTCATTGTGAATCGTCCTACAGCTGGACGATTCCTACGATCTGAGCGTAAAGTGTCACCAGCCTCAATGACCAATATTTAAATGGCCTTGCAGATCCTAAATCACAAATTCTTTCCTTAGATCAGCTGATCAAGCTGATCAATATTACTATGCAACTTGACTCTGCCAAAGAACAAAATAAGAAAGATGATCTCCATATCACCTGTATGGCTATCCTAATCGTAGTCATTGGCATGGAGATTCCTGTACTTGAAATTAACTCCATTACATTGTTTAAGATCATTTTTCAGAACATTTCTCCATTCTTGGTAAGTATTTCATTACAGATTAATGCTCGGATTCCTTTTTGCCTCTTTATAGATAGAAATCTATGTGCATAGTATTGATCATCCGGCAAAAACCTCCTACTAAATGTTTGCTCGGAACCCCAAAGATGTCATCGTTCTGGCTTAGGTTTCGATATCTTAACAGCATAGTTGATTAAGCATCTTGCCTTTATTCTACAGTTTATCTGATGCCATACATGTACTTAAAAGAAGCTACTATACATGCAAGTAGCTTAACTATCCTATTTCTAGATAGTAGTAAGGAACTTATGGATTAGTTTTTTTGGGTCAATTATGGTTTATGGTTGGAATTATTGTAGCTATGTTTATGCAGAGTTGCTTTTCCATATCAGAAGGGAAGTAGAGATTGGAAGGCTACCTTCAAATATTGCTGCCAAATTGCATGAAATTTATTACAATTATAGAAATGCGGTAATTTTTTATCTTGACACATTATATACACTTTTCTTTACTCTTTTCCCCTCAGCTTTAAGCATATTTGCCTTAATCTACGTCTCGTTAATCATAATTTGCTTTAAATATCTTCGCTGCCAAAATCTACGTGCTATTATTGGTAACGAACTCATATAGGCCTTGCACAATCAGAGCGCTGTAATCATATCAATTTGTGCTTCCCTTTTTTAACAATGGCCTATATAATGATCCAATCTTCAGGGCTCATTTTAGCAGGCTAATTTTTACACAAACTTAGGTCAAGTTGCCTATTGAAAAGTCCAACCCTTGCAATGATGAATTTTTTTGCAATCCAATTAAATAATGCCATATGCATCTTGGGCATGTACAATATTTTGCTAAATGAGGGCTGACCATTCAGGCGTTGACCATTTGTTACAATATTTATATATATACATATATATATACATATATATGTAGTATTTAAGCGATGCATCTTTTCTTTCTCAGGTTCATCAGAGTGGGAATACTGAGGCAGATGAGATAATATTGTCGAACATGGCTGCCACGTTTGATCGGGTCATGTTGGAAGTGGAGGTTTGGCTGCTGAGATAATGTTTTTGTAAATGACCTTCGGTTCACACGTTCTCATGCTCAAATCTGAAGTGTTTGGACATCTCTGCAGGATCCATTTTCATTTCCACCTCATCATACAGCTATACGAGAGCCTTTTGACTATTATATGTTTGGTCAAAATTATTTCCGGCCTTTGATCGATTTCAGGTATTGACATTGTTGACTCTTATCTATTCAACTTATTATTCACTAAAATAGAAATTATTTCCGGCATTTAATCGATTTCAGGTGTTGACATTGTTGACTCTTATATATATATATATATATATATATATATATATAGCTGCATATTCGTGACCTTTTGTTTTGTATCTTCAGAAAATCCTACATCGGCAACGTCTCCCTTTTCCATGATGCAGAAGAGAAGCTCCACCAGGTACCTAATCTCAATGATATTATCTTTTTATTATTATTTTATTTAATTTCCCTCTTGGTGCAACTCGTCACTTCTATTTGCGGATGGATGATTTTAGGGCCATAACGTCATATTGATATCCAACCATCAGACAGAAGCAGATCCGGCGATAATTTCCTTGCTACTCGAGAAGACAAGCCCGTACATCTCCGAGAACATGGTGGGTTGACTTCCGAAACTCTTTGACCTAATCGTGCCCCTGAGTCTCTTGTCTCCGGCCTGTGGTTTGACTTTCCCACGCCGTCTCCCAAGACCTTTGTTGCAGGAGACAGGGTCGTGACGGACCCAGTCTGCAAGCCTTTCAGCATGGGAAGGTACGTCCCGTTGTGAATCGGTTCGCAGCTTCGCATCCGTATGCTGTTTCTGACCCTCGCGTTATAACCATGAGTTGATTTGTTCTTCTTTCAAGTCCAGAAACCTCGTCTGCGTGTACTCCAAGAAGCACATGTACGACATTCCCGAGCTCGCCGAGATGAAAAGGAGAGCTAACACACGCAGTCTTAAGGAAATGGCGTTGCTACTGAGGTACCCCCCCCGGTTTCTTTTGCTTGCCAATTTATTTAAAGTGGCCTGTAAAAAAAAAAAGAAAAAGATAAAAAAAGAAGAATAAAAAAGCTTGCTGGTCAATCAGCCTCACTTGGGCAACAGCGATAACCATGGGGAGCAGAAAAACTTACTTATTAAGGGAAGAAACCAGATGCCTCTGTTTGAATTAATTTTCTCTGTTCGTATTTTTTATTAGATAATTTTGAATTTCTGTGATTTCTTGTCGGAGATTTTTCTCATGGTATTTGAATTTGTCTGTTTCTATGTCATGGGGAATTAGTCTGATATTGGTTAAATGCAGGACCGGGGGACAGGTGATTTGGATCGCCCCCAGTGGGGGCCGAGATCGTCCGGACCCCCAAACGGGAGAATTGTACCCGGTATCTTTTCTCGTTACTTTATCACTTGCATTTGATGCCACTTCTTGGCAATTACCTCTTTCTCTCTCTCTCTCTCTCTATCGAACTATCATGAACCGACATTGTTTTGGGTGGAAGTGGGAGAAAGAGAGACAGAAATGGGGGGGGGGGGGAGAGAGAGGTAGAGAGGTGAGAGAGAGAGAGAGAGAGAGGAGAAAGAGGTGTGTGTGTGTGTGAGAGAGAGAGAGAGATGCACTCCTTCTCCCTCCACTGCAACAAGAGGAAGATCAGGGGAGCTGACCCTCTTCTACTTTCTTCTCTCTTGACAGAAACGATTGAACTCGCCAGAAAACAATTGTCCGATTCACTCTCAACTCCCTGTTCTCCTCAGCCATTGTGCGATAAATTTTCCTCTTCCTCATCATCCAGTCACTGTTCATGCCTTCTCCCACAACCTGGCACCTGCGACTTGCCTTTTTCGTGAGCTCGTTTAAGGCCAAATTCCACCGCCACTTACTCTATCAGGTCTTGTGCAGGCTGCATTTGACGCAGCTTCCGTGAACAACATAAGAAGACTGGCCGACCATGCGAATGTGCCTCGGCACATATACCCGTTGTCCCTGCTCTGCTACGATGTCATGCCCCCGCCTCCACAGGTATTTACACCCTCACTAAACCTAAACCTCTCTGCCTGGTTCTTGATTCTTTTCCCTTCGATGGAATGTCGATCATCATCTGATCTCGATTCATTCTTCACAGAAAAAGAATCGATCTTGGGCTGGTTTGGTTCTTGATTCCCCAAAAGATCGATTCTTTCTCCATTGATGCAATGATGATTCTGATTATTCTCACAGGTGGAGAAGAAGATTGGGGAGAGAAGGGTGATCTCCTTCCATGGAGTGGGCCTGTCGATCGGCCCCGAGGTCGACCTTGATGGATTTGCTGCCAACCATAGCAATGCCGAGGAGGTTTGTTTCTCTCTGATATTTCTGATTCCAAACTCTCTTCATAGTCTTGCACGAGAGAGAGAGAGAGAGAGAGAGAGAGAGAGAGGTGAATCCCTGGTGGATCAATGGGGGTGACAAAAGTGAAGATTTTTGAGTGGGGATAATTGGCGCATGAGGATGCACACACTACTCTTTCTCTCCCTAGCAAGCCTAAATTTCTGATGACCCAACTCATTGTGGAAAACCTTGTACTTCACTTCTCCCAATTCATGAATTCCAGATGAGTCTAAATCACCCACCAAAATCTAATAAATAATCAACAGCAAATATAAAATAATAATACGGTATAACTATAATTGTTCTAATTGGATTTCTTTGTTGTATTTTTCTAATCAAATCGAAGCAGGCCCAGATATAATTGATCTTTTTCCCTGTTTTATTCCAGGCTAAAGAGACCTTTTCAGCCGCATTATACGACTCGGTCTGTGAGCAATACGACGTCCTCAAGTCCGCTGTCTATGATCATCAAGGGCTGGGGGCATCCACCTCCTCCGTCTCCTTATCACAGCCGTGGACGTAGCTTGGCTTCCCTCCCAGGTCTGATACTCTGTCTCTCTCTCTAGAGTTACTTTTATTTTTGATTAATTCCCTGGGTGCTTCTTTTCATTACCTTTAAACCATCAAATACCCTCCAGACCCAGATTGGGGAAAGAAGAAGGAGAAGGAGATGAAGAAGAAGAAGAAGAGGAAGAGGAATAAACCAATCGCGAGGTACCCCCCACCCCGTTTGCTCCTGGCGCGTTGCCAAATGCAGCAATCTGCTGACATCAGAATCCGACTGATCTCCAGGATCATGGGAAAGCTTCTTGCCGCAGGCGGCTCATTCACATGGGAAAAGCCCTTACGACCGCCTCATCTCTCGTTTAATCGAGGAAGATGAGAAGGGATCTCCATGGGGAGATTGTAAGAAAGAAAGAAGACCATCGATCATCTCCAGGTATGATCAGAACCAAAAAAAAGAAAAATATTTACCATGACCGTCTTCGCCGTTCATCTTTGCCTTTGGATTGAGAAATGTGGCAGCGGAGGTTATTTATTTATTTATTTATTTATTTCCAGTGCGGTGTATATAAAACTGTAATTCTCCCCCCTTTTTTTTATTCATTCCTAAATTGCCCGCGTGGATCCCATTTTTTTTGTGCATTTTTTCTCTGTCGTATGGCGGGGGAGTTGACCTCGCTGAGACCTCGTGGGGAGTATTTTTTTGATGTATCTACGTCTACTATGAGTATAATCTCTGGGATGGAGCGGAGCTCCGAAAAGTCAGGACAGGAGGAGGAACGAGGCGGCGGCGGCGGTGGCGGCGAAAAGACGTGTGTGGAGGGGAGCTGGGCCACCGGCGGCGGGGGGAGGCGGCGCCGCGGTGGCTCCGCCGTGGGCTGGGCACCCCGGCGAGGTGGTGCCCAGCACGCCGCCCATCCCGTGGCACCGGACCGGGGAGCCCTCCGGTGAGCAGACGTCGGCCCTGACGACCTCCACGCCGGCGAGGTACAGGCGGCGGCGGCCGGCGCCGCCGCCGTGGGAGACGGTGAGGTTGAAGCCCACGGCGGAGGTGGGAATCGCCGTGCCGGTGGGGAGGAGCTGCAGCTCCTCGAAGGCCAACGGGGCGGGGATGGAGTGCCTGGCGAGGAACGCCGCCAGATCGCCGCCGGAGGGCGGCGGCGCCGCCGAGAGCAGCTCGTCGGAGGGCATCAGGAAGGTGGCGTTCTCCGCGGCGGCGGAGCCGGGGGGCGCCGCCATGTTCATCAGCATCACGAAGGAGAAGTACCCGGCGGCGCGCATCTCCTGCGCGGCGGCGGTGGCACCGCCACAGCCTGCCGCCGCCTCCGCCGTTCGCGGCGGCGGTGCTGCGGCGGCGACGAAGATCAGTTCAGCCACCAGGGCAGCGGCGGCCAGGGAGAATCCCATATTGGACGGGCGGGAGGGCGGCGGCTGCCGGAGAGATCGCGGGATTTATGGGCAGCGCCACGCTTCTCGGCAGCCTCAACGGCTCTCTAATCACGACAATCTGGCCGCCTCCTTGTTCACCGGTGCCAAATGGAAAGCTCGTGGGTGCCCCTCCTGTTCGTTCCCTTCCCCCGCCACGTCAGCTTTCTTGACTAATTCGACTAGAGTCAACCCATTGAGTCGTACGGAATTAATTAATTTATCTAATTTTTTTTGTGAAAAATCTGAACGACCGATGGTGAAGCCCCACCCATTTCAACAGTTCAACCTCGAATTCCTCTACTTTTCACTCAACGAATTGGGGAAGTCAACGCTGACCTCCCCCACAAAAACCTATGGCCATCTTCATTGAGACTTCCCGGGCCCGCCCATCAAAGAAAATGAGCCTAGGCCCAGGGGCCCAACTCTCTCCTCGGGCTTTCTCGGCCCAGGGTCAAAAAAACTGGAACTTTCCGGGCTTCTACAACATGTAGGGGATGATAAAGTCGGGCCGGACGGGCCCGACTTACTCAAAAGCCCAAAACAGTGCAATAGAATCCTACTCATGAACAGAGATGTACATGCAGAGAGCTCAAATTAGGGTTTAATATTACCAGTTTTAGTCTACTGAAAGGAGGAACAGCCTCTCTCTCTCTCTCTCTCTTCCTCTCTCTCTATCTCTTCAGAGATCATCACCTCAGACTTTCCTGATTAGGAGGAACACCCTCTGGTCCAACTCGAAGCTCACCGCATTGGAAGGGTCTCCCTTGAGCATCATCAGGAGGCCACCAAAGGACGCGTACATCTCCCTGAACAAGATCCCCTAACAATCAATCGCCGACATCGATTGTGTTTAGACTGATGAACTTGGGAAGGAGATAAAAAAGAAAAGGGAATAAAGTGTAATAAATCGGAACATAATACTTCTCTCTTGAAGAAGTCAACTGGGAAGAGCCAAGAACAATGAAAGGGTGGAGACTTTCTGATTTGGGTGATCTGGCAATCTGATCATTTCTATCATATCTTCTTGATCCCAAAAATGCACACATTTAAACATTTACGGATAAATGGGGATCTTTCTTCCTTGAAGAACCACGATACCCACCGGGCAGATCTATACATATATGATAAGAGCAGCTCTATTTTTATCTCATGATTCAATAGATTTTCTTCAATAAATAATTTCTAAAATTTACCGAAAATTTTACTACTATGGTAAGAAGGAACCACACAATTTTGATCCAATTCAGAGCAGTTCTGTGCAGTATGGTTGTTGAAATAAGTAATCTGAGAAATTTACCGAAAATATATGATGGTAAGAGGGGAAACATGCATTTTCGATCCAACTCTACCTAAATATTATCATCGCAGATATATTTTATTCCCCGTTTCAACATATTTACTGCACAAATAAATGCCAAAATATATGGAAAATTGTGCTAATGAGACAGAAACATACACTTTCACATTGGGTCCGGAACCTTCCTCAGAGATTTTGTACAGCTTCCCGTGCATGACATACTCAAACTTGTCCGCAAGAGACTTCCTCGTACCCTAAAATAATTTTTGGATGAAACTCCTCAGAATAGTTACTAGTTCATGTGCTCCGTGTTTTTGGCATAAAATAAAAAATAATACAAGAATATTTTATTAAGAGGAGGGGCTATTAATGAAAAACTTCTGCCATCAACATGAATACCGGATTAAAGACAACCGAGATGATTCACAGAAAATCCAGTGTCAAGATTCATAAAAAAAATAAAAAAAAAGGGAAATGGGCAGAAAAAGAAATAAAGAAATCAAAAAGTTTTTTTCTTTTATTGGATGGTTTTGTTTTTTGATGAATCGTGAGAGGATAAGTATCTTCATTATAATTTTTTTGATAATTATGAGTATTCGACTTTCATGAGGTTCAAGACTAAGCACCAGGAGGAAATGGAAGTCAACCAAGAACAGAAACTTAAGGTAAGGTGCACATCACCTGAGTAAAATAACCACTGTCAGGTGTCCCATCCAGGCTGAGAGTAGGAGCCAAAACCATAGTAAACTTGTCCCCAACATGCATGGGGTACACATCCGTGTTCACATCTAGTTGCATGTCCATATCGAATTGCTCACTGTGCGCAACGATGCGGGACACTGTTGATGATGGAGGAAGAGCTTTGGATCACAATATATACCGGATGATTTCCAAAAAAAGCATGTAAAAGCCCATTTAATCGATGAAGAATAAGGCCGGACAATAATATGAATGCAACGAGGAACTTCGGATTCAGAGGAAAATGGGCGCATCTTCTATATCTTATAAAAGAAATAATAAAAGAAACGATTAATCAGATTGCCACAGATGAAGAAATGTGAAAATTCCCCAGAAAACATCACATTTTGGGCATGTTTTGTCACCAAAACCAGTGGATCATCGATGAGTCGTCGATATTTCCATGTTCCGCCCATGAGCACATTGCCCAGTTATCCAAACCAGCTGATTCTCGATCTCCCTCCACTAGAGCATTCCATCATAGGGAGCAAATGCTTAATATCGACAGCGAAAAATACTGATCCAATCGATACAGGATGATAGCAAGAGAACTCTCCATGATCTGATTAAGACTAAATAAGATAAGATGAAGAACATGTTTACCTTTGTCAAACTTTTTGCCATCTGGATCAAGCCTCGTCAAAGTGAAAATATCCTCGAATAGAAGCTCAACCATCCTGAAAACGCCCTGCCAATAAGGAAAATACGTCAAGAGTATGGGGAAAGATATCCGAAAGCATTGAAAAGGTTTAGGGTTTATCCTTGGGGTTTTAGAGTATCTCGACCGTGATTACATGTCCATGATGAAAAATGAGCAGCACAGGAATAATATGAGACGATATTAGGAATTTGCATTAAAAAAATCAACGATATATTATTCCAATATGCATGGTTTATGAACAACTTTCGATTATAAAAGACAGCGTGAGACGGCATAAATGCTAGACATGTAAAGAGCCCATGAGTTGATGAAAAACTGAGCAGATTGACTCTGAAACAATTTTTTTCGGGAGTTACATGATCGAGTTGAAGCCTAATGATTAACAGAGAAGCTATGGGAACAACGGAACCTCGTGACCACATGTGATTACATTGAAATCGAATCCTAATCATTCACTGTGTGGGATGGCGGAATTCTACATTACGGAAGAGAAGAGAGAGAGAGAGAGAGAGAGAGCGAGAGCATACCCCAGCGAGCGGCGGCGCAACGGTGGCTAGGGATGGGAGATGGTGGCGGAGACCGAATCGTTTCTCTGCTCAGCTGGGAGTATTTAAACCCGTTCCGAATGGAGACGAGTCGGACTCGGCTCCTAACTCGGCCGGGCCTGGGCTCACCTTGAGCCCAAAAAGCCCGAAACGATTTTGGGCTTGATCACTTTGAAGCACCCTTCTCTTCATTAGGACCTTGAGAAACACAGAGAGAGAGAGAGAGAGCGGGCGGGGGGGTGGGTTTTGATTTCAACATTATTCCCGACGATGGTTTTCTGGGTCAGTTTTGGGCCTGACATAATAGGCTTCCATTTCGAAGCCCATCTCTCTCTCTCTTCCCCAGGCCTCCACTGTATCTGTGGGTGCCGCTTCTCCGGCGACAGTGCCGCCGGGGAGGGGGGGAGGAGGAGAGGGGCAGACGGGAGGGAGCGCCGTCGGTAGAGCTCAGATCGAAAAGGTTCTCGTTCCTTCGGCAATAATTCCGCTCCGCTTCTTCTCTTACAGGACTCCGATGGCGTGATTCGCCACCCCTAGGGCTTTTCTTTCAGGTGGGGAATCTTCGGGGGCTGCTGGAAAGCGGCTCCCACTGCCGTGGTCATTGTCGTGTTTTCTGGAATCCATTTTTCTGCTCACCGCAATGTGTTTGCTTGAATTTATTCGTCTGCACCAGTCGATTACGTGTTTGTTACTTCTTCTCTTGGCCAATCGGATATCCTGCTCTTGAACTCCGAGGATAGGTGTGATTGCTGCCGGGTAAGGCGCGGGGATTGCCGGCCATTATTTCTTTCATTCTTCTGGTCTCTTTTGCCTTTGGTTCGCTCGTTTGTGATCCGTGCCTAGTCCGTCATAGTTTTCGTTTTTCTTTCCTTTCGATCAGTTTTTTTTGTGATGTTGGTCAGGATCGGGAGGGAAGGATCTGTCGAGGCAGATGATTCTCTTCGCATACTATTTAGTGGTTAATTCCGACTCCAATCTCTTCCGGTGCGGTGTGGGATATTCCTATTTGATAGAGTCTAGATTTACGACATTGCTCGGGGTAAATGCAGTTGAAGCTTAGCCAATCGATCTAGTGATTTGAAGAGGAAGTGCCTTTGGCTAACCTGGTCACAGGAGTTGAGGGTGTCAAATGATGTGCAATCAACGTTGATCAATTAGTCAAGGCCAAAATCTGGTCGGAATGGAGAAACATTGTGAAGAGATCATGCTTTTGTGACATCTTAAGCTTATTCCGATTTGGAGATTGGAAATATCCAAGGTTTCGTGATGGAAACTCATTTCTGAGATTGTGGAGAGATCAGGGTCCGGCCGGAATCTTAGATTCAGAATAAAACCTCGCTGACGTAGAATTAGAAGAATTCATGGAACTACTGCAGATGTTAACCACCAACATTTTGGTTTGCTTGTCGTAGTGCAGAAGAGATGTGGTAGATGGGTGTCTGTATAGTTTTTCAATGAAGCCATTTTCTTGTGTACTTTGAAGGCTTTGGAATTTTCTGGGAGACATTCTTATGGAATAAAATGCTTTTCATCAAGTATAAGGCTATTTTACGGATGGTTCCTATGACATGTATGGTTATAGGACTTTTTTTCTTGATGACTTCTCTTTTGCGTTCTGCTTTGCCAATTTTATGCCCCCCATAAATACTCGGACAATGATGTCTTGCTTTTCTCTTGACGAGACATTGTGTTCTAGCAAGGGTAGCATCTTTTCACATCTTCGTTCTGCCATTCAGCTCCATTATCCAATAGGTGGTTGGCTTTTGTAAGTCCACCTTCGCAATGCATAGCTATTTTCTAAGTGAGTTAAGCCATACATTATCATTTCACATTAGGAATGACATTAATTACCCTCTGAAATTATGAAAAGTAATAAATTAAGAAAAACTCGGTTGTCTCACTGAACTCTGAAATTTTTCCTCCTACATGCTTTCCTTAGAGACTGGATTATTTTTAGAAAATATGTCTTAATCTTGATGTTCTTTATGTGCGTCTCTAGGAAGAAAAAACTAATATTTGGTTGCGAGGCATCCTCCTGGTATTACTTTGGCCTGATGAGGTAGTAATCAGCTTGGAATATAAAGGTCCACTTTCAAGAGTAATGTTCTCCTCTTCATCCCTTGCTCTTATCTCTTCATAAAACATATCGGGACATGATTTCTTGTTTGGTGGAATTCGAACGACATTAATGCGATCTTGGTTTGATACTAAGAAAGTATTTACATCAGCAGAAGTATATGATTTAGCGATCTGTAGATCTTGTAATGGTGAATCTGTTGTCTCTGAGGGAGGGTATCTTCTATTAGATTGTTGTCTATTTCAATTAAAGCCCTGACGCATTCTGTGGACGTTTACATAGACGACGAAAGCATTCCATGGAGATCCCAACCATGTTCCATATGGTCTATTAGAAAGTGTATCACAAATATATCTGAATCTACATGTGACCATTTATAGCTTCTTTCCTTGATGCCAATGAGTATGATCATCACAACAACCAACTTCTTCCTTTGCCAAATTTTTTGTCTCTAGCAATGAAAATATGAAGGATATACCATCGTGTTTTGCACACTGCTAACATCTGTATTGCGGGCAGGAATTCATTTATCCATTGAATGTTTTGTATCCTCTCTGATTGTGCATTGATTCTAGATTTTTCACTGAAATTAGCATCATGATGGGTATTCTTTTTTAGCAAAGTTTAATCGGTTCCTCCGAGCTTTGCTGGCCACCTGCTGATCCTGATCAATTCAGAATGCTGTACAGATTAAAAGAATATTGCCCAATATTTTTTGGCGGGAACAATCGATAGTTTCACTTCTGGAGGAGGTAGCAATGCTACATACGGGATCGAGAGACACCCAAGGTCGTGATAATAGCAACCAGAAGGTCTATCCCCATCCAATGGATGAGGCCAAGAACCAGAGCCAGGATAGCTTGGATCTTCTGATATCAAAGATCTTCAACAACATCACTTCCTTAAAAACAGCCTACATTCAACTCCAGGAAGCTCACACACCATATGACCCAGACAAGATCCAGACCGCCGATAAGCTTGTCATTGAAGAACTCGTGAGGCTTTCTGAGCTGAAGCACTCGTATAGAGATAGCAACCCCAAACCCATATCCGCATCACCTCTGGATGCCCATCTGGTTGCCGAAATCCAAGAGCAGCAGCGCTTGCTGAAGACCTATGAGGTCATGGTGAAGAAATTCCAGTCCCAGATCCAGACCAGGGACTCTGAGATTATCCAGTTGCAGCAGAGGATTAATGAGGCCAACCAGAAGAAGGTGAAGCTGGAGAAGAAGCTCAAGCAGCGGGGTTTGCTAGCCAAGGAGCCAGAAGACACACAGAAGCAGAGCTTCTCCGTAGTTGAACTGAGCCCCGAGCTCTTCTCCGCCACAGTGGAACTCACTTACAGGTCAATCCACGACTTCTCGAAGCCACTCATCAACATGATGAAGGCTGCCAACTGGGACCTCGACACTGCAGCAAGCTCGATTGAACCAGATGTTCCCTATGCAAAGAGGGTGCACAAGAAGTACGCCTTCGAATCCTACATTTGCCAAAGAATGTTCTCCGGATTTCAAGATGAAAGCTTCTCCGTTGACCCTGGAAGATCCGCTCTTTCTAGCGAGGGCTTCTTCCATCAGTATCTGGCCATGAGATCCGCAGAACCCTTGGAGATTTTGAGCCAAGACCCAGATTCCGAGTTTGGCAAGTTCTGTAGGAAGAAGTACCTCTTGGTGATCCACCCCAAGATGGAAGGCTCGTTCTTCGGCAACCTCGACCAGAGGAACTACATAATGAATGGGGGCCATCCGAGGACGCCATTCTACCAGGCCTTCCTCAAGCTGGCTAAATCGGTGTGGCTGCTGCACAGGTTGACTTTCTCCTTCGATCCCAGGGTCAACGTCTTCCAAGTGAGGAAGGGCAGCGAGTTCTGTGAGGCCTACATGGAGAGTGTGATTCCAGCCGAAGAAGATCACCACAAGAGGCCGGCCAGGGTCGGGCTCATGGTGATGCCGGGCTTTGTGCTTGCCGGCAGCGTGATCAAGTCCCAGGTGTACTTACTGGGTCTCAAGTATGCTGGGTGAGGCTGTGCTTTTGCAGGAGGAGAATGCCCTGCGATTCATCTATATCTGGCTTTCATTTTTATGCATGTATTGTGTATTATATGTGCTTTAGATCTAAACAAGCCATATGACATCATATTTTATGCTTAGATGTGGATCTAAAGAAGATATATATAGATATATATATATATATATATATATATATATATATATATATATGAAATCATATCTGGTGTTGATGTCAAAAATATCAAGATCTTCAAGAAATCTGCCGGTTACTTTGTATAATCTATGAAAGTGTTGTTGGACGGATTTCCAAAATGCTGTGGTTGTGATCTGGGTTTCATTTATTTTCTTATTTTATGTATTATTCATGCTTAATCTTGGATCTGCTGGAATTCTTAATATTATATTTTATGGTGCTGCTATTAAAAAAATTCCTTTTTCTGTCTTAAGTCAAAATTCCTTATTAAAAAAATTCTTTTTTTCTATTCATTCAATTATTTTTATAATTTGTGGAAATATTACTGGACAAGCTTATGAAAATGGGCCTTTCCCTGGGTTTCGCCGCGGGCATAATAGCCTCTGATGTTCGGGCTATTGACCGTCTCATAGTCAACTGCGCGATGAGCAGAATGTGTTTCTTTATTTGGCAATAATATTCTACTGGTTGACATCAATATGAGATGTCTGCATAAAGCTCGTGAGCTGCACACCTGCACAACCTAGTTCTTATCATTATGAGCATTAATTTCTAGATTTATCCAGGTCCAGACTTTTATTATTGTTATTATTATTTATTTTTATAAATGAAGTTAGCTCCACTATTAAGTTCTCTTTATTTATTGATTTGATATCAGACTATGTTTACATAAAAACTTAGTTAAAGAACTAACAGAAAAAACATTAATATCATGATTATCCGCCTGTGTAACTCAAGCTAGATGCCCCGAAATCCCTTGAAGGAGCAAGAGAGAGAGAGAGTTTGGTGCTCAGGCTTTGACTGAGGTAGTCAACATATTGACTAGGCTCCAGTAGACTTTCACTTCCAGCATATCTGACAAACATGACTGAGCAAGAAATTCCATTTCATCCACCCATTGAATTATGAGCAAACTAGTAATTCAAAGAAGCCGATAGGCGAGACCTTTACTCACAAAGGCTCTCTGGAGGACGGCAACTTCGACGGCATCGTTGACCCGAAGCTGGAGAAGAAGTACAACCACGGTGAGCTGACCCACATGGCGGCCTGCGCCGCCGCCACCGTCCGCCACTCGGCGAGACGCCGGCCGCGGATTAATCTGAAATAATAATAATAATAATAAAAGCAAGCTGGCCGCTGCTTAGAGTTCATACATTGTCTTGGTGTGGCCTCAGGCAGGGTTATTACACTCTTCCAGGAGATTCAGAATCTTGTGTTCTGGGGCGCTGAAGGAAGGGAGGATGAGATGTTTAGCCCTCAACCTGGATGCCTCCGATTCAAGGCTCGAGCTCTCCTTCATGATGGGCAGAATATCAGTCCTCGCTTGTGCATTCGCCGACATCCGTTCTTTCCATATTCTTCCATCCTGAGATAAAACTCCATGAAAAAGCATCCATGGGCTAATATGGAAGCTGACCAGTGATGAGAGAGAGCAAGATATGGGTGTTAATGGGCCGGGGCTTATGAATCTTGTTCCCCTTCGTCTGTGGCAAAGCAGCTTATAATGCTGGAGAATGCCCAAAAGTGGCAATTTTCTGCGTTGAATTTGATTATTGGAGAAAAACAGAAGACAAGAAAACGTTGAATTGGCTTCTTATTGCCGAGAATCTCATCAGTGAGTTTGGCAGGAACTGGGATGAGATTGCTTCGGTGTTCAGAATCATGATGCAAAAAATGACCAGCTAGAATATATTTTTTTTAAAGGCGTAAATTGAAAATTAAAGATGTAAACTGCGGTCCATATGTTTTATAAAATATTCGCACTGGAGAGGACCTTCAGGCATTCAAAGATTCTCACGAGTTTCAATGAATTGAAGCAACAGCTAGTCCCAGAAATGCTGCAGGTTCAGACTCCAAGCCAGATCAAAGCATTGGGTATTATTCACCAGCATCATTGAATCGGAAGATCAACTGTTTGTCCATCAGGTTCTGGGTTGTATACTGGTTTGCACTTTTTCTCCCAAGAAGATGTATAAAAAAAAAAAACTCGGATAATATAGAAATTTTCTTGGGATGTAATCCATTAGCAACGTGGCACGGCACGTCACTAATCTCTCCTTTGTTAAAAGTGTTCAAACGAGATCTGATTTACAGCTAGAATATCATAGTAGCCTGGGCAGAGGACTACGGGGGGAAAAGCTCAGAGGAACCTAATTAGGATCATTATTATTGTCTTTTTCAATTGATTCATCATAGATAATCATACATATCCGAACAGGAAATTAAGCAACGGTTTGCAGAATTCCAATAGGAAATCATATAGAACGTGAAAGTGACGTCGGAGAAATTGTCGCCGCACTCACATTTATGATAGACGGCTCCGGCAAGGGGCATTTCAACGGTTGAGCGTGATCGAGGGGCTCCGTCGGATGCTCAACTGGCTTGAATTCTACGTAAATTTCCATTCCATGAGAACTAGCAGAAGCAGCGGATGTGGAAGCAATTGCCGGGCCGCTTGGCCGCGAGGTGGCGCCGACCTCCTGCCGGAAGTAAGCGAGAATTAACTAAATCTTATATCAAATTAACAAGAAACTATAGGAAACCGGATATGTATCATTCAACAAAAGATTCTGCACAGTCCCCACAAGAACAAGCACACGATGGCAAAACCAAACATACATTCAAACGAATCTCGCTCCAGCAAAGCAGCCTGATCCATCCACCGACTCCATCTCCGATTATAGAGAGAAAAAATCAAGGTAAAAACAGAAATCACGCCCGATACGGCCTTCCCCGGGGATAACAGCATGAACAAACATCAAACATCATCTGCCGGCGAAATCACGAGGGGGAAACTGAATTGTGAGAGGCAACAACAATCAATACCGACTGCCGGCGAGCTTACAATTGCGCTCTGCGTCCTCCGGTGGCCGCTCCTTCCGCCGTAGAGCCTGGAGAAGATCCCCACCATCTTCCTCCCCCTGAGCAGCGACGCCTCCCTTCCCACTCTCTCCTGGTCTCCCACCTTCCTCCCAAGCAGAGAGTCAACAGACGGATAACCTCACCGCCCGAAGCTAGGTGATCCTAATATACCACTCACCGCCCCTGGACGTTGCTTCAATCCAACCTTAGTGCGACGTCCACGGACCATTATTCTAACCGTCCGATGGGCCGCGTGGCATACCCAACCAATCGCTTGAAAATGGGCCAGGCTCGATCGACTAATGGGTCTATCGGTGAAAGCCTCACAAAGGTAACCGGCCCATAAAATAGATCGAGTGGGCCCAATATAATGGCCCTGGGCTGGTTTTGGGCTTTATATTTTAGAGGACCGTTGGGACAGGTCACGTGCGGATACTTGACGAGCGTTGTCTCGCACGTGTGACTGCCCCAACAAGTCTCATCGTCCTCCCCGGGAGAAGGGGGAGGAAGAGAGAGAGGAGAGAGAGAGAGAGCGAGAGCGAGAGCGAGAGAGAGAGAGCGAGAGAGAGAGAGCGAGAGAGAGAGAGAGAGAGAGAGAGAGAGAGAGAGAGAGAGAGAGAGTCTGGTTGTTCTTCCCCCAGAGGGAGATGGCGGCGAGAGGGGTATCTTGCCTCCTGAGAAGAACCCTAGCACCGGTTTCCTTCCGGTCGCCGCTCAACTCCAGGGGCATCGGAACCGATCTCGTCAGTGCGCATACCGCGAAATGGATGCAGGTAAGCGGGACCCCTTCCCTTCGGAAGGATCCACATGGGGGAGGAGAAGAACCCTCTGATTCTTGCCTAATTGTATCGCATTCATCTCTTTCTGATTCGTCTCCACATTTCAGTGGTATCCGTGCCCGTCTTCTGAAATGCTTGATTTCTTCCATAAGCCTCTTCTGGATGGGCGGTGCGGGTGGGTGGGCGTGAAATTGGTGTAGGAAGTCTCTTAGGACACAAGTCGACATCAAGGAAAATGGGATTGATGGAGATAATTCATAGTGACTGATCGTGCCTTCTTTAGAGAGCTCGGGTCATTTAGTTTTCCATTTTTAATCCATTACCATTGCAGAAGATGTCGATGGGACCATCCATTTGGTTCAAATCGTTTATTGTGAAATATTTATCATCTTCTGAATTTTATGAACTTATTAAAATGGCACGATCCCTATGAAGCCTTCTTTCATGGCTCTAATCTCGAGGCTTTATTTTAAGTAAACATGAGATCGACCTTGGGCTTTTGGCAGCTTGAGTTTTCTGTCAAGTTCTCCGGCATCAGTCCCTTGAGTAATTTCATGTCAAATACACAGATCAAGTTAAATCATATGCTGAAAGTACATAGGCCGCCTAGCCTGCTCTATGGAAACTGATTTTGAGTTGAATGACATGGTTCTTTCTCATGGAATCGAAGCTCTAGTTTACGTCCTGGATCTACTCCCCGTTAATTTTTTTCGGACAACAGATCGCCAGTATGGATATTCCCAAATTTAGCACAGCAGTACTTTCGCACATCTTTGGTTCTTGGTGAAACCCTGAGACCTACTCCCTTTTTGATGAATCGGGGACATGACAGGGCCCTTTACAACGGTATGGTGTTCTACTCGTCAGAAAAGGTGCTCTTCAGTCATGTAACCTAGGATATTGAGCATACTGGTTGGAGGGTACGGATACAGTTCGCTCTTTGTCATGTCTTCTTTCATTGATATTGAGATAAAAGCCTCGGAAGGGTGTTTGCATAGTAACTTGTTGAATCTCTAAGGCCAACTCGGGTTCTTCATCAGATGTTGCTCCGGCCATGAATTGCTGTTAGGACAATCTGGCTTTTGGGCATTGAATATTTACAAGTATTTTCGAGCCAGAGAAATTACTTTTTATGCTGGTTCCTAAAGTTCTTGTAGAGTATTTGACGGTTTTTTTAGGAGATCGACTAACTGCAAACTTGATTTGTAATAACTTTAGCATTTTGAATGGAAACCAAAAGGATGTGGAAATACATCACCTTGTTCTTCTTAGCCATTCATATTGCTGTTCTCCTGAGGTGAACCCGTTGACATTAATGTTTTGATAAGCAGAATTCAGAAATGAACTGGTCCTTTTCTGCCTACAGATCTAATTGTAGTTCAGGTTCTGATTCTGACATGAAGTGGGTCTTTACCTGTGAGTACAATCAAACCAACGGGAAGAGGAAAGGTAGACAAAGAATAAGATGGAGAAGAGGGCGAATAATTGCCAGTTATGATAATAATGACAAGTTTTTTAGATGTTGGCTAGAGCCTTGTCACGGGTGTTCTTGGGAATAATTCTTTGTTTGCTCAGATTCTGCATGTGGCTTATCAATCTTCAGCTAAATTTTTCGTACTGTTCTAAGCAATCAGAAGGCTTTACAATCCGTTTCAATCATTTGGAGGGAAAGGTCTCCAGCCATTTCTCAGTTGAAACTTTGAAAACTGTATACTTTTGGTATCCCAAGGTTCTGACGACGCTTATTAGATTTGTTGTTCTGACTAAAGGATTCCCATGTTGGTTCTCATGATGTCCATTCTATATGATAAGGTTTGACCTTCGATTATAAGTTACCTGGTTTGCTCATTTCGCTTGTCTCCTTGGGTTAACTGAATGCAATGGCTGCTTGCTCTCAGTATTCTCCATTACTGTAGGAAAAAATCTCTGATGTTCTTGAAAGAAGCAGAATCAGTTGTGAGGACATTTTTGTGTTATTTCTGGGATCATCAAGAGAGTGTGTACTGTTATATTTTTCAACCTTCAATTTTCTTGTGCCATTCGAGAGATTTTCAGATTGTGCCATTCCAGAAACCCGAATGCAGTAAAGACGAGCACAGTACGGGCCCACTTGCCCAGGTGATCGGGGCAGATTCCAAATCGCCTAGGGTAGGGGCCTACTTGCCAGTTTGAACCTCTCTGCTTAGGTGTTCTTCTAATCTCTGGCCATTTTATTTTTGAACCCAAAAAGGAAAGCAATGACCTTCCGACCTTTAATTGGCAATATCATTGAAATGCTCTAGGGTTGACGAGCCTATGGACAGGGTTTAGTCAAATACATCGTTGTTGAAAATCTGTGATAGAGAAAATTTAGGGGACAGGCAAGTTACTAGTGCCACGAATGCTGCAGATATTCCTAGAATCTGAGATGTCCAAGATCAAGGGTTTGATGGATTTCTATGTTTAAGTTGGCTGTTGTTATAATTATTTATTTATTTCCTTATGTCCTTCTCTTGTTGGATTCTGATATTTGGCCATCGCCTGGTATTTCAAACAGCTAAAAAGAGATTTCTTGAAGAAAACAGAAGCCATTTCTACTCTTCTGTTTCATTTCCTTGGTGATGCTTTCTAGAAATAGCCTAAAGAGAACACTTTTAATTCATTCATTTGTTGTATTATTGTGAACTCATTATAATTTTTCTGTTTTACTTCCTTCTTCGTGATCATCAATAATTTTGAATATATATTTTAAGACATGGTCAATTCGTCATCAATATTTAATTCTCGTATTATTTTAATATCACACCCAGCTTTCTGTTTCATTTCGCTTCTCATGTTTATGAAGAAGCTATGATACGCCACCTTTATATATATATATATATATATATATATATATATATATTAACCCTGGGGACTTCTCCACAAATATTTTGCTTTTTGAGTACTACTGCACAGGCATCCCAACCATTACCGTTCTCATGTCTTTATGGAATTTAGAAAATAGCAATTATATCTTTATTCCTTAAAACCTCATGTGTTCTTCCCCAATTGTTTTTTTTAATCATTGCGAATTCATTCCTTCCATTCTGCTTCACTTCCCACCCCCCCGCCCCAATGTTGATGAACAACTGAGAAAATAGCACTTTTTTTCGAAGGAAATCTCTGTGGGTTCTTCCCCAATATTTTACGTTTATTTGATTGCGAATTCATCATGACCCTTCTGTTTCACTTTTTTTTTCTCATGTTGATGAACAACGGAGAAAATAGCACTTTTCTAAAAGCAAAAAATCTGTGGGTTCTTCATCAATATTTAATTTTATTTTTATGGCAGGTTCTTTGTGACCAATCTGCTTCATTTCCGTTCTTATGTTTATGAACAATGTAGAAAATCGTCCTTTTTTTGCAAAAAACTTCGTTTGTTCTCCACAAGTATTTAAATTTATTACAACTTAACATTCGTCCTGACCATCCTTGCTCATTTCCTTTCTGATGTCTATGAAAAATTTATAAAATAGCACTCTTTTTCTTAGAAAAAAGAAAATATCTGTGGGTTTGGTTCTTCACCAAAAAATTCCCTTTTGTAACCTTGCATAAATTTCAAATTCTGCAGGACACCAGCAAGAAGTCTCCAATGGAACTGATCAATGAAGTCCCCCCCATCAAAGTCAAAGGCCGCATTGTTTCCTGCCTTGGAGGTACCATCATCCATGCCCAGACCTCTGACTTTGCCCCTGCTTCTCACGTTGACTTTCAATCCTCAAATCTCCATGAGTCCTCATATATAATTCTTCGGCTCTTTGACGGCAGATCTCAATGCCAGCCTCGGCCACCCCATTGAGTTCATCTGCCTCGATTCAAGTGAGCCGGCCGTGTGCAAGTACTGTGGACTCCGCTACACCCAGGATCATCATCACTAGTGACACAGATTGCGCGCCCAGAAGGCAATCTCTTTCCTGGAAACTTCTGCTATCTTCCTGTTCCCTTTCCTAAAATAAGAATATATTCCTCCATGAGGACTTCTTATATTCTGCTCTTGGGCTCGTTTCTTTAGTTGTGGTTTCAATGTTATAGATTCTTCAATCTTTGCTATATATGGGACCTGATAATGCATAATTTTTGCATGCTAATCAGATAAAAATGATGATTGAATATCATATTAACTAATGTCAAATGTGATTATATTGAATGGAAAATATTGAATGGGTTTTAGAGCATATTTCATCAAAGTTATTTCATTTGAAATATGTTCTTAATCAGGTTTGGTTTATTTGGCCCGGGTTGGGTCCTCCTATGTTGAGAATCAGATTGCGCCGCCCATGTTGATCGCATGTTGAGAATCAGATTGAGTTCAAGGTTTAATTTCTTTTGAATGCGACCATGAATTTGCCTGGACTGGGATGGCAGATGCTGCTGCTGATCTTGATTGGCCTGTCATATGCAGGGAAATTGGAATTTCAGGGTTTTTTTGTTATTTTTTGCGAAATTGTGGGTTCAATTGGGTTTGCAGAGATGATGTGGAGAATCCATGAGATAATTGATTATTATGAGTATCTAAAAAAATTAAACCCATGGTTGGCAGGGTTTGATCTAACTTTGTGAGGTGCAATTGGGGGTCTTCAATGGTCATATTCACGGATACTGGAAGTTCAGGGTTTTTTTTGTTTTTTTCTGTGAAATTATGGTTCAGTTGGGTTTGCAGAGATGACGTGGAAATCCATGAGATAATTGATAATTATGAGTAGTATTTAAGAAAATAAAATTATGATTGTGAGGGTTGTGGACTGGTGACATAATCTTAAAAAGGAACTGATCGAACTATTTTCGAATTAATTTTTGCTTTAAAAAATGTAAAATAATTTTAAAATAATTTTAAAATAATTTTGCGAATTAATTTCAGTATCAGAGAAAATAGCATTTTCTAGATAAATGCACAGCATATTTCCTACGTAATTTTATTTTAAAAGCGCGGCATATATATATATATTATTTTTTGTTGTTGCATGTTAATAATTTTTTGATTTAATAAAAACTCCGAGACTTTTGGCAACGCTCTTGGACACCATCACCACCACCAAGTGGGCCGAAAAGAATACGGCCCAATAACCATATGGGCTCATCCTCTCCCAGTCCAAGATAAGCGTTGGATGACGATCCAACGGTGGAGGCGAGGCTCCACCCGTGCGCCGGGTGAGAGATCGGATCAGCCGGGGCCCCATCCGAGCCGCTCCCAGCCGCAATCGCCTCATCTCCAAGGGACCACCCCGCTCTCGCCACGTGTCCCATATCTTCATCCCCTCGTGTCCTCCCATCGCACATCTCCCTTCCCCCTCAACATGCAGCAAAAAAAACAGAAAAAAAGAGAAACATAATTTTAAGAGAGAGAAAATCTAGAGAGAGAATGAAGCCCTCCACAACGGGCCGAGGGGGCCCGCCGCTAGCCCGACCCATCGTGTTCCCTCGGGCCCGAAATAAAGCCCGGTAGCCATAAGACCCTCTCTCTCTCTCTCTTACTTTCTCTGCCTTGCTTGTGTGAGACGGGCCGGGCCTGTTATGGTTGAGTTGGTGAAGATCGGGGTCGAGTTGGCTTCACGGGCTCTTCTCCGAGCCCGGGCTAGAGAGAGAGAGAGAGAGTGGGAGGAGACAAAGCAAGAAACGGACTGCCGGTGGAGAGAAGGCTCTTTGGGGCTGTGATGATCGTCATCTTCATCGTTGGAAGGGATAAAAGAAGAGAGTCACACACTTCCATGGCCTCTGTCTGAGCTCCCGCCCCCTCCCCACCCCCCCACCAAGCGGGCTGCTTCTTCTTCCTCTTCTTCTTCTTCAGCTTCAGCTTGTCCGGCCGGCGGCGGGGGGGGGGGATGGCGATCTGCACGGTGTCGAGCGCGCACTCGCTGAGCGCGGCGTGCCACGTCGCCGCGCCGGCGAGGGCGGGGCAGCCGCGGCAGGTGATTGTGTTCGGGGTAGGGGGGCGGCGGGCACGGCGGGGGGGCAGCGGGGTGACAGTGGTGACCTGCGCGGCGGCGGGGGACGCGAAGACGGTGGTGATTGGGCTGGCGGCGGACTCCGGCTGCGGCAAGAGCACCTTCATGCGGCGACTTACGAGCGTCTTCGGCGGAGCGGCGGAGCCTCCGAGAGGGGGAAACCCTGATTCGAACACGCTGATCAGTGATACCACGACGGTGATATGCTTGGACGATTATCACTCGCTGGATAGAACGGGGAGGAAGGAGAAGGGGGTGACGGCGTTGGATCCGAGGGCGAACAACTTCGACCTGATGTATGAGCAGGTGAAGAGCCTCAAGGATGGAGTGGCGGTGGAGAAGCCTATCTATAACCATGTCACCGGGCTGCTGGACCCGCCGGAGCTCATCAGGCCGCCTAAGATTCTCGTCATCGAGGGCCTCCACCCCATGTGAGCCTCTCTTTCTCTCTCTCTCTCTCTCTAGTTCTCCGGCAGCCCCCCTGGAGACCCGTTTCCGGAGTTGTCTTGGTGAATTCAGCTCTACGCGGGGATTTGGGCTGATTTCACGCTTCTCTTCCGCCATGCTCGGTACAGAAAGCTCCCGATGGATAGTTTTCTCTCCCTCCTCCCTCTCTCTCTCTCTCCCTCTCTCTCTAGTTCTCTGCGGCCGCCTGTAGACCCATTTCCGGGTCGTCTCGGTCTTAACGTGGACTCGATTCGATTTCACCCATGTGTTCCGCCATCCTCGGTACAGAGAGCTCTCTCTCTCTCTCTCTCTCTGAGTTTTTTTGAGGCTCCGCATTGTGAATTGATTTGGGGAAGTAGGTACTTTTGGACGGCCCAGATTGGTCGCACTCGGTTTTCCCCTCCAATTTCTCCTCTCGCTCTCTCTCTCTCTCTCTCTCGCTGTGGTTTTCTGCAACTTCCCACTGCGAATTGCTCTGAGGAACCGAGGAACCGAGGAACCTCGAAGAACTAGAGAGACCACATCCGGGTCTCAATCCATTCCACGGATGAGCTCAGCTTCAGGCCAGGATTGGACTCACCCATCTTCCCGTGAGAGTGAGAGAGAGAGAGCGAGAGAGAGAGAGAGAGAGAGAGAGCCGACGAAACCACCTCAGAAATCTGAGGATTTACCGAGTGTTTAAAAATCGAAAATTTCTGCAAGCTCTTGGACAATATGTTCAGATGTAAACGGATTCCTTCCTGTTCAGGTACGACTCCCGCGTCAGAGACCTTCTTGACTTCAGCATCTACCTCGACATCAGCAACGAGGTCAAGTTCGCATGGAAGATCCAGGTGGGCCCATTCATCCTCTCCTCCTCCTCCTCCTCCCATCCTTCCTCTTCTTGATCTTCTTCCCCCTTCTCCTGTCCTTCCTCTTCTTCATCTTCTTCATCTTCTTCTTCTTCCCTTTCTTCATCTTCTTCTTCCTCCTCCCATCCTTCCTCTTCTTCCTCTTCTTCATCTCCTTCTTCCTCCTCCCACCCTTGCTCACCATTGTGGATTGACGAGCGACTGATGGGGGGAGTTGCAGAGGGACATGGCGGAGCGCGGCCACAGCCTGGAGAGCATCAAGGCCAGCATCGAGGCCCGGAAGCCCGACTTCGACGCCTACATCGGTAATGTGCCTTCCTTCTCAAAAAACACAAAGCTTCAGCTTCTAGCTTCCACGATCCTTCATGCTCCCACACCAGATCATCGGAGAAAACATTAGGGTTTCCCCGACCTGCAACGAAGCTAGCTCCTCCTCATCGTCTTCCTCCCTGAAGCCCTGCAACTCGGGCTTTTCTTCATCGTTCATCATGCGGGGCTGAATGTGACGAATCACACAGACCCACAGAAGCCGCAAATCGGCAACCTCCCACTCCAGATCATCGGAGAGAACACGAATTAGGGTTTTCTTACTAGCGCCTCATCATCCTCCTCCCGGGAAGCACCCCCTGCAACTTACTTAGGGTTTTCTTCATCGATCATCATGCGGGGCTGAATGTGGTGATTCCCACAGACCCGCACAAGCTGCAAATCGGCAACCTCCCGCACCAGACCATCGGAGAAAACACGAACTAGGGTTTTCTTACTGGCTCCTCATCATCTTCCTCCGGGAAACCCCCCTGCGACTTACTTAGGGTTTGCTTCATGGATCATCTTCCAGACCCACAGAAGCAGCACGCCGACGCGGTGATCGAGGTGCTGCCGACGCAGCTGATCCCAGACGACAACGAAGGGAAGGTCCTGCGTGTGCGGCTGGTGATGAAGGAGGGGGTGAAGTATTTCAGCCCCGTTTACCTCTTCGACGAGGGCTCCACCATCTCCTGGATCCCCTGCGGCCGCAAGCTCACCTGTTCCTACCCCGGTATCAAGTTCAACTACGGCCCCGACGTCTTCTACGGCAATGAGGTCATCTCTCTCTTTCTCTCTCTCTCTAAGCCTTCTCTCTCTACTGTAACTCCGCCGCGAGGAGAGAGGAAGTGGGCTGACGGCGGCGTCGTGGGGTGGTGGGCAGGTCTCGGTGGTGGAGATGGACGGGCAGTTTGACCGGCTGGACGAGCTGATCTACGTGGAGAGCCATTTGAGCAACCTGTCGACCAAGTTCTACGGGGAGGTGACGCAGCAGATGCTGAAGCACGCTGACTTTCCGGGCAGCAACAACGGCACTGGGCTCTTCCAGACCATCGTCGGGCTCAAGATCCGCGACCTCTACGAGCAGATCGTCGCTGAGGCCGCCTCCGCCGCCCTCCAAGCCGCCAAGGTGTAAATCTCCTCCGCCGCCGCCGCCGCCGCCGGTGGGTCCTTTCTCTTTCTCTCTCTTCTTTCTCGCTCTTCTCTCTCTTCCCCTCTTTATCTTCAACACAGATTCGTCGATGTGCCACTGTAGCCCGTAGCAGTAGAAGGAGATGAGATCTTGCCGAGGGGTCCCAGAGGGCTCTAAGGCAGGATAAACTGTCCGTTAATCATGCTACGCAGAATCCAGTTCTCTCTCTCTCTATCTCTCGTTGTGTATGACCATTTTTACTCTTGATTACCTCGAGCAAGAAGGCAAGGCCCCTGTTGTGTTTCAACAAGAAACTCTCTCTCTCTCTCTCTCTCTCTCCTCTTGCGGGTATGTATGACCCATTTAATTTCAACTGATGATGATCAACTCAAACCGTAAGAAGAACCCAATTCAACCCAGAAGCCTCTCACTCTCTCTCTCGCTCACTCTCTACCATCTATCAATCTCTCCTTCTCACTCATTGGCGGTAACCCAGAAATCTGGGCTCCCTCCAAACCAGCAGCTTTCCATCTGCGCGCAATCCTACATACCACACACATCCACACGAGAGCCTCCACAAGATACCGCCACCCTGTTCCTCCCCATGTTCCAAAGACCCAGTCGCATACATAACCAAAAGAGCTATGAAAACACCACCCCATCAAGAGAGAGAAACAAGAGAGCGACAGGTAGAGAGAGGGAGAGAGAGAGAGTAGAGAGAGGTGGGGCCAGCTACCTGATGGTGACGAACTTGTTGGTTCCATGGCGGGCCCAGTGGGGCTTGAGGTCAACGGGGGTAGATAAGTCGTACCCCTCGACAGCCAGCCTCTGGAGCAGCTTTCCATACGCATTGATGCTCATCTTCCTCCCTGCAAGTCGCGCCCCAGGCCTTAAGGTGCTCATCGGCAGCGGGTACTCTGAGATGTTGGTGGTGCAGCACGACGATTGCCACCCAGCGGCGCCCCACCGGTAGCACTGCCGTGGCACACCAGTGCACGAGCAAACCGGGGACGGCACGCCGGAGAAGTCAAAGGTGATACCCTCCAAGGCGATCTCTGGGTTCTTCTTCTCGCGCTTCCCTGCTGCCGAGCCCGAACCTGCCGCCTTCTTTCTTGGCGGCGGTGGTGGCTTCTTCGGTGGCTTCGGCTGGAGGATCTTTGTCGCCACACGGCCAGCTTTCTTCTGCTTCTTGGCAGCCTTGCTGGTGGCACCGGGCGGTGGTGCTGCCGGGGCGGCGGCGGCGGCCATCTCCAGGTTGACTTGGCCACCGGGGGAGGAGTTGAGGTCAGACTTGGGCGGTGCTGCCAGAAAGTTCCTCTGGGGAACCCACCCAAAATCCATGGGGCCGTAGTTGGTCTCGGCGAGGACGGAGTGGCGGTCTGGGTAGGCACTCATCTTCAGGAAGGCAGCGTGTTGGGCAGCAGCAGCAGCGGCGGCGGCAGATTGCTGGTGAGGTGGTGCGGCATCCGGAGAGGGCTGCTTGAGCGCCGGGTCTACATTCCTTGGCGGCTGCTGCTGACCGGAGAAATCCCAATTCCGGACGCCCAGTCTTGCCTTCCCGTCCATGAGAACCAAATTGTTTTTGATCGAGCTTCTCTCTCTCTCTCTCTCTCTTTCTCTCTCTTGATCTCTCTCTCTCTCTCTCTCTCTCTCTCTCTCTCTCTCTCTCTCTAGCTCAGCCCATTAAGGAAACTAGAAGCTTGTTTTCGACGCTAAAAAACAAGTACAGAAGGGGCAGAGTGGATCTCTGAAAAAATAGAAAATAAAGATCAAAAGTCGGATCTCAAGAAGAACAATGCAAGAACATGGTATATTTACTAGTCAGCAGTCGCATATATTTCCATGTGAGAATGAAATCAGCTAGAAAAAACCCATTGCACTGAGACAAGGATTGAAAAAAATTGATTGATCAGAAGGAAAAAATTGAAGAACATAATTCATTCCTAGTCAGTCATTTGAATCAATACTCAGGAGAGAAGATCTACCCACGAGCATGAAATTCCTGAAAAAACCCCAAAAAAATATATTCTGGCTGAGATGTCAGAAATCTGATTGGCCGGAAAAAGAGTGGAAGAACTATATATATATATATATATATCCATTCACTGAATCCGGGGATCAAGATTTCCACATGAGCTGGAAAATCTCCAAAACGAACCCCGCAAAAATATTATGATGAAGATAATGAAAATCTGATCAATCTAAGAAGAATTCCAGGCACATAATGCATCCCTGGTCATACATTTCAACTAGTAATCAATAAACAAGGGTTTCTGATGAGCTAGATATTAGCTCAATAACCCAATATATAAAAACTTTGATCTTCCAAGCCAGTCATTTGAATTTTAACTAATATAAGTTTGAGATTAATCAAGACCCAAAATGATGTGATCATGATATCAGAAGAATGTGATGTGATGATCATCAGAAGAAAAACGCAAGAACACAATAAGAAACAAACGAGAGTAGTCGAAGAAACCAAAATACATTCTGATAAAGATTAAAAACAAGGCCAATCACACGAAGACAAATGCTTTAGCGTCATAGATCCCTACTCCGTTGTGATCTGAATCAGTAATCAGGAAACAAGACTCTTCCGCATAACCTCGAGTTCAGACAAGGAGACCTAAAATATTATGTTCAAGAGATCATATTCTGATGAATAAACAGAATCTTCGAATGAAGCACACACCAGAGATGATCTCCTGTTCTCGTCACTTCAGCAACCATGGCCAAGAATCTTAGACAGGATCAGGACGAAATATTTCTGCTGGACTGAAGGATGCAACCATTCATGAGAAATGTTCGCCACACACAGAAATGATGTCCTAATACGATGAGAACTTTGAATACCAGCTTAAACATATAGAGAAGATCATAAACAGCACGAATCTGCAGAGGCTGGCATTTCCCCCAAATCTACGCGGGAAGCACATCGGATGACCTAGATAAGCCATCCTCCCGTGCCGATCATCCACAACGGAGGATGCATCTAAGCAGAAGAGGGCCAGAGTTCAGTGGGAACGCCGGACTGGAATCGGCTCCCGCTAGGACGATCCGGTCCGAACAGAATCTAGGGTTTGGGGAACGAAAATCGAGAGCTGAAGAACGGGAAGAACACCACATAAGCTGGTCCGCAAGAGGAGGCTGAGGAAGCCGACCGACATCCGACAGAGAACACATCTCAGAGGAGCAAACCGTCCTCAGCATCTCGACAGAAAGAGATCGAACCAGATTTCAAGGAAGGGGGATGGGGAGAGGGGCATCATCCAACCCCGATCGAACTGACCAGGGAGAGAGAAGCGCGCGACACAAGCTGGCAGAAATCTCGGGAGGGCCGAGGAGAGAGAAAATGCAAACCAGGACAGAGAAGAAACCATCAGAAGCACAGAAAATCAAACAGGACGGGAAGAACTAGGAAAACCGCAAGCAGGAAGAGAAAGGACGATGCTTACAACATAAGATCTCTCCCAGGAAATCACCACTCCCTTCTACTCTTCAAACCCTTCTTCCCCCTCCTCTTTCTCTCTCACCCCTCCCTCCCTCACTATCTCTCTCTCTCTATCTCTTCCCGGTCTACAGACTTTTCTTCGATTTTTCCAGCACTTTATGGCCAAATAACCGGCGTTAATTACCCACCCTTTTACTGCAAGAGCAGTGGAACAGTTCAGAAATGGGCTGACCTTCCTAGCTCTCTCTCTCTCTCTCTCTATCTATCTATCTGCTCGGACGGCGACTGGGGGTGGGGATGATGATGATGTCCAGTTGTACGCCTGCTGCCGCCGCCGCCCAGATTCAGTCTCGTGTTTCGACCCAAATTACGGGAATACCTCCTGGACACTCAATTACGCTTTCGTACGTACCTACTCGTGATAACTTAATTTTTGCCTATGACATATTTTAATTGTAGGAATATCCTTATTCGAGCGCACCCTTAGTGGCGGGCCCCACTTTAAATCAGCCGATCCACGTGCGTCGGCCTAAGAGAACGATTAAACACGTGGCGGTCAAGAACGAGGGTTAGAGCTCTACTCGGGCTCGGGCTTTATAAAAGATAAAAGCCCCCACCAGTCACTCGGTGCTAATAAAGCTTGGACCGCCACCTAGGCTGATGATTAAGCCTTTTACCACGTGGATCCTTTTTAGGTTGACATGTGGATAAATGCGGAGCAAAACCCAAATCTGCACGGGAAGAGTTTTCTTCCAAAGGCTCTCCTCTTAGTAAGCAACATCGCCCTTTAAAAAACATATTCGAGTGATTTTTGTTAAATAACATGCATTATATGATAATAGGGAACCCACGCATAAATGATAAATGATAAATGAAATGGACCATAATATGCTCTTTAACCATATAAAAAAATAAAATATGAACTAATGTTATTAAAAAAATGATATTAAAAGGAAAATATGAGAAAATGTAATGAGTGTGAGAAATTTAGGTGAAGGAATCTAGAATTCATTGGAAGCTTGTAGTTATGTAGAGGTGGAATAGAAGCTCCTCTTTTATTATTCAAATTATGCAGTAAAAATATAGATATTTATTCATTATCTTGCATTGATTTATTATTTAAATATTAATAATGTATCTATAAAAGGATTCTATTGCTTAAAAAGACAACTTGCAAGGGGAAAGACTGTGTTCCTCACCAAGGCTCCTCTTTAGATGATTCTTTCTTCAGCTAATCTCATGGAAGTGAAGTGAAGTTTGTTGTTCTACGACAACCGTCACTCACATTAACCACAATACATTTTTGCTTAAAGGGATATTATGCATATGTTCGGATTTATTACTAACATATTAATTAAAAATGTTTACTAAAATTCAATTTATTGGAGAATATGATAATATAAATTTTCAATAACTAGTTAACATTTCTTTCAATTACTACATGTGTTCAAAGCAAACAAATTGTTTAATGGTCAACTATTCCATGTAGACCAATAACCAACGTGGGTGTGGCAAAAATATGTAATTTTTTTTTCCATGTTGGACCTTATCAAGATGTCTCATCCCTATGAACTTACCTACTAAACAACATATGTATATTTATTTCAGAGAGAGAGAGAGAGAGAGAGAGAGAGGAGCTTCAACAAGAGTAAATGTCTCATCCATATGAACTTGCCTACTACATATATGTACATTTATTTCAGAGAGAGAGAGAGAGAGAGAGAGAGAGAGTAGATTATGCTTCTATAGTAGATACTGTTAAATGATTGACCTATTTTTCTTTTAGACCTTGATAATGAGTCCTGAAGCCTAGAAAAAATGGAGCAAGAAAGCTTTTACCATAATGGAAAGGATAAAGCCTCCGATTGGCCTCTTCTGTCCTTCAATCCTAGGCCAAGATGACACCGATTTCTACTAAAAATGTAACATTACGTGATTGAGTCAACGTTCTTACTCAATATTTTACCGAATTAAGGATCATATTTTGATGCCTATGATAACTATAAAAGGCAGCTAAGGCCCAAGAAAATGGGAGAGAAGTAGAGATGACCTTCGATTCTTATGAGACAATGGAGATCAGGCTTTGCCTCACCACAGGGACCGAGCAGAGAAGGGACCCAAAGATCCCAGTCAGCGCATAGGCAATCGCACAGAAGGGGAGGGCCTCAGGCTCCTTGGCCGAGAGGGAGGCGGTTCCCAGCCCATGAGCACTGTAGACAACATGTGGAGATGTGTTAGCCAATAATCGTAGTGCTAAAAACAAAAGCCTTTTTCTTTATATGTCCCTAAAAAAGTTTTTCATTAAGACAATTTTTCTTGGGGTTATTTTTATTAGTTTTGACGCCAAAGAGATGAGGCTATTCATATGGAGATTATTTTTTATGTCCCTGAGAAATGATTGGATGCTGAAAAAGACCCATTTTTTTTGCCCCTGCGAAATGTCGAAAAAAAGGCCTTTTTGTTTTATGTCCCTAAAAAAAAGGTTTTTCATGATGAAAAAGAAGGGTTATTTTAATTAGTTTTGATGCCAGAGAGAGGAGGCTATTCGGATGGAGATAATGTTTCAGTCCCTGCGAAATGGTTGGAAAATTCTGCAAAAGCCCATGTGATTTCTTCCCTTTTTTACTGACCTCCTAAAGCGAAACATCATAAAGAGAATACTCAGATAAATATATCAGCAATTCCCATAAAAAAATAATTTTCCGAATCTTCGGTTCCAAAAGAATAATATAATGAAAAAACCTTAAAACTTCCTGATAGCACTCTACACGATGAATAATTAAAAATTATTTTTATGCCCCTGGAAAACCTTAAAACGATTAGAAAAACCCATTGACCTCAACTATCATCCTCCAGAAGTATAAATGCCACATGAAGATTATTCAGATAGTCATGCTGGTGAATCATCCACAAAAGAAATATTTTTTTTCGTTTTATGTCCAAGGAAAATTCTTGAATGACGAAGGAGCCCAATTATTTTCTTTCCCACTGTAAGCAGCCTGGTGGGGATTTATGTATCAATGATTCTAGAAAGCACTAGAACAAATGGAGCATAAATGAACGACGGGGATACCTTGAGGCTGTTGCTATTCCTCTGGCGATGGGGTCATTCCAACCGAGCTTGTTGAGCAGCGCCTGGACGAAATTCGCCCCCACAAGTCCGGTCAGGACGACTACAGTGGCAGTAAGTGATGGATTTGTACCTGAAACATGGGGGAAATTTAGTGAGAAATTTTCTCACTATCAGACCTGTGTCTGGGTCCTCCATTAAGAGAGAGAAAGGAGAGAGGGATAGAGAGAGAGAGAGAGAGAGAGAGAGAGAGGGTTGGGCCAAGAAAGAAGAAACTATATCAAATATAGAACAATAGTTGTACAAGTAATGCAGGTCATAAACAACATGAGAAAAATCTTAGACATTTCTGATCAACATACATGGACGTGGCATCAGAAATAACCAGCAAAAATGAGCATATTAGAGAGCGAAAAAGAGTTTCCAAAGTGGGTATCAAGTCGGTACCTTCGAACAATGATGATATGCTGAGTGCTAACGCCAGAGTTATGCATCTCGGGAGGATCGAGAGGGTCAAAGTTGGTTTTAATCCGACCAACCGGCCTAAAATGGCCGTTGAATATAGGGAGAAAATTGTTGAGATGACAATGGATGAGAATATCTCAGCTGCGTGCCTCTTGACAAGCTATACAAGGGCAAGTGGAACTGTCAGTCACCAAGAGAGCATCATCTCCCAAATTAAATGATATATGACGTAATAAAAATGAAATACTTTTTTTTTCTTGATTTGAATAAAATTTCAGAGAGGTAAATTTTCCAATAACTGAGGAGAGCTTGGTCAATATATAGTTGAGGGATGCATAGTTTCATCCATGGAAGGAAGTATCATACCCTTCTCTGTTTGAACAGCGAGAAGGCAAAAGAAATGATAACAGAGCCCAAGAACCCCATAAGAATATCGCCGGCTCCAGGGTTTGAGGGGATCCTCGTCAGGTAGTCCCCTGCACAAGCATTATTATTTTTTAAACACGAAATAAAAATAGAATCAGTCAGTAGATTATCCATTAAAGAGTAAAAACTGAAGATAAACTCATATTTGTAGCTGTCACTCCGCACAGCTTAGTGAACGTTTTTAGTTAACTAAGAGATTTTCTTCTGGTTATTGATCATTTCATGAACAGTATGTGAGTCCTCCTGGAATTTACAGAGTTCTGTGCATGAATATTTCTAAAATCTTAACGTTTCTAGAAGCTCATGAGAATCAAAACGGTCAAAAAGGAGCCTCCTTAGAAGCCTAATATTTCTTGAGAATCAAATGTAACGATAAGAATAGAAAGTATCTACACAGGAACAGAATACTGTTGGAAGTTCTAGGTCGTAGGGAAATAGAATAATTAGTTGAGGGTGTTTTTGCAAAATTTGTGCATTGTTACTCCCTATATAATGGGGGTTAGAGTAAAATGATTCTTGAGGCGGTTTCCACCGTTCTCCCCTCTGTCCTTCATGATGAGGTTTATTTCTCCATTTCAACAAATACCGTGAAAGACTGAATCATCACATAGATCTTTGCATGTTACTCCAAGAATGCAGATATTGACTTCCCAAAGAACAGGCTTTGTGTAGTGTGGGCCCAGAATCATCCAAACCTTACTAAGAAATTGCACTTCATCAGTTCTTTTCTTACCAACTCAGGCCATTTTTCTTTCTCTTCCTTCTATGTTTGAACCTTGTATCTTCTCTCAAAGTCTAGACTTCCAAAAGGATCTATCCTATGCCCACCTCTTCTTGCAGCAGGAATGCTCCGCAGTTAAACCCATCAAGAATAATGTAATGTAGAGAAAGGCACAAATATGACATCCAACATGAAGTTTTGTTGATCATTGCATCTTTTTTTACAAGTAATGCTTTTCAATTCATCTAAAAAAAATAAGGAGCTGAAAACATCTGTACATATTCCATTATTCCTCATACAAAAATTACATAGTTTTACGTGATTCGATTGTAAAGTTCGTAGAAAAGCAGAGAAAAAAGGTTTCGAACCTAGAACATGATTCATTCCTGACTGTGACAAATACCCAAAAATTATGGCTGCCAAATCTGCAGATAACACACAGCAGACAATTGGATGAAAGATCCTCCTGACGTCAGATGGGAGCCTGTAAAGCAAAAAAGACAATGTAACAAGATGAGCCGTAGTATTATTGAACATTATGCAGTGTGGTTCGATAGATGCCAAATAACTGGGAAAGAAAATATTACCCTGAACCAACCATGTATCCTAACACTGTAGCAGCTAGAAGAAACGGAAGGCTCGTTCTTGCACTTGTTCCTAATGCTGTTGGTGCAAGAGATGCGAGAATAAATGAAGAAATGAAAATAGCAGTCCATGCACCAATCTCAGTGCTTGTAAATGGAGGGGGTTTTGTCATTGTTTCAGCTGGTATCAATTCTGTTTTGACAATTTTTCGTACAGTTAGTGCAGTGTAGCCTGCAACACATAGCGAAGCTACCCAGCCTCCAACTGAAAGACAAGAGAGAAGCAAACTGATCAGTTCTCTAGGGCGAAAACCTCTGAGAACATATTTGTCTCGAAAATGCTTGTCCAGGAAAGCTCTACATATAAGCACAATTCAGGGAGGATTAGATTCAGATGCATAAAATAAGTTCCTGCAACACAAGAAGCATACACTAGTAACAGATCATTTTAAAACACTAAAAAAACTGCCAGGAAGGAACATTGTTTTATGACTTGAAAATCAATATTGCAAGGCATGCACGTCCACATTTATCAGAAATTATGGATGCACTCTCATTGAGATGATAAGAATGTCCATTAACTAAGGAACTTGCAAAATGTAAGAACAGAAAGTTGAAAAAACAACCCACATATATATTGTTATACCACTTGCCAGACCTAAAGGCTTTCCTTTTACATCCAGGATTTCTTTGCTCTCTAATTTAATGTATAACTCGGCCACAGGAATTTTTTTCTTATTTATATACTTGAACGAAAGGGAGGGGGAGACTGGGGAATTATGCAAACAGTAAAGACCCTGCGGGACAGAAATCAAGTCATCAAGACTTCACCCATGACACTCGAAATAAATGCTCCAAAATCCCTACTGTGTCCAAGAATTGTTAAAGGTTTGGCCAATCTGTGGACTTTCTGGAGTACCCAGTTCAACTTATGTAGCCTTATGATAAAAAAGAACACAAAATATGGCTCAGAAAATCTGAATTGGGTCCTTGAAGGCACATTAGTTTCAGCCACAATATAGTCCCGGAACCGAGAAAATATGGGCCAAATATGGAATGATGCAGTGGAACGAAAATGCCATACGACCAAAAGAATTGCCAAAATTCACAGAATGAGGCGATTCATATTGTTAATGTGGAAACAAAAACCAGCAGAGGCCATTATCAGGGTCAGAATACAAAATAATAAAGACTGACGACGCAGTATCTATTTTTTTTCTTAATTTGAACGAACTATATGAATCTCAGAACAAATTAATCATTAAGCAAACTTTCCATCGTCGTAGGGAGAACAAGCACAGAGCTGGAAATCAAACATTACGCACTTATCAACTATTTTTTATTCATCTACAAGAAAATAATGGGATGATGGTTTAAAGTTCGACATACTGAAAATAAAGCAAATTTTGAGCCCCGCAGCGGGGGGGATGTCCCTCACTGCCAGAGGCAAAACAACCAATGAAGGCACGTAGAACAGCGGAAGCCACCTCCGGATGAACAGCGTTCCCGGCTCAAAGAAATCCATAAATCTCTTGGCGGCGGACGGAACGGTGACGTCCAAGACAATCAGGACGGTGAAAACACAGAACATCCCGAAGAGGGAGCTGGGGAGCTTGATAGCCGCGGCCGCGAAAGTTCGCTTCAGAAACTTATCCATCGCCAGGATCAACCCGAGGGAAACAACCAGGTGCAAAACATCGACCACCTGCGCCGATCGAGGAGAAAAGAATCAGAATCCACCACGGTCGAAATTAAAAAATTACAGCATATCCGAGCTCACGACCGAATGAATCTCCACCCACATTGGAGAATCGACCGGTGGAGACGCCGCTGTCGCCTTCCCCTCCGGCAGACCTTGCGCGGACCAGGCGGCGAGGTCTCATGCCCTCCGCCGCCAGATGCAGAGGAACCACCGCCGGAGGAGATCGCCGGAACTTCTTCTGCCTTCCTCTCTGCCAGCAAATCAAACAGTTCGTTGTGGGCCGGAGTTTTTATAGCACGTGCGTGAGTCGGGTGTTAATGGCCCCCACCCTCCCACCCGCACGTGACAACCGATGCCGAAACCGAATGGTGGTAACCGATCGAGAATTAACTAAAGCCGAAGGCTTTGATGAGGGCTTCAAACATTGGACTTAAAAATCGCCATTATTTGTATAATATTTTTCTGACTGTCCTTGAAAATATCCCAAGGAGGATGTTTGACCGGTCCCATTTGGGAAAATTTGAAAGTAACCTTCTGGGACTACTAGTAACGTTGACCCTCATATGAAAGTCAGATTGGATAGGATAAAAATGGAAAGGTATGTGGTTCCTTGAACCCATAATTATATGCTGATGAGTTAAAAAAGGTCCATCCTTTGTGGTCATCAGTTGACTTTTTGTATTAATTTATGTGAGACTATGATCAACCTTGCCATGCTTGTGCAACCCATGAATGGTGGTTGCTTAACAACTTGCACTCTCATGTGGGAGTTGACTTTTGAAAGTCATCTCATAGGAAGTAAAGATGGTCTTATTCTCATCACACGCCACATTTGAGAGTGGTGACTTGATGAGCTCCCACAATTTTGGAATCCATGGTTGACCTTCAGCTACACTAATCTCACGATTATGGAGTCCACAATTTTTGGGCAAAGGGTTCTCATTAGATCAAAGCTTAAGAAAATAACGTATGAATTACTTAAGAACAAAATGCCTAAAGTAGAATACATTAGACTATTTGTCTTTAAATTTTTTATTTTTAATAATGGAAAGGAAAATTTAGGAAAATTCAATCCCAAAAGTGAGGAAGGTATATTTATCGGATATTTTTTAAAAAATAAAATCTTATATAATTCACAAAAAAAGAATTAGTGGTCATAGAAAAAATCATTTATGTGAAATTTATTGCAAAAAAAATAATCAAGAAGGAATATAGAAGATGATGCATTAGAATAAAACTTGGAAGAAGTAAATAAAACTAAAGAGAAAATACATAAATTAGAAGCATGATTTGAAATGAGGAATTACCCAAAAAATAGAGATTTGAAAGACAAAGTTAGAACTATATCCTCTAATAGAATGGATGGTCATTTTATTGTATTTTCCTTTGATAGTCAACCTAAAAATATCGATGCAGCTCTTATGGATGAAAACATACTAAATGAAATGCATGATGAATTTGAATAATTTGAAAGGAATGAAGTGTGATCTCTAGTTCCTAACCCAATCATTATCTAAATGAATATTTATTAAATGAAGGTCAATTTATTAAAAGCAAAGGTAGCCTAGTGGCCCAAGGTTATGTTCAAGGAATGGATGATGAAGAAACTCATACAGAAAATGTAAGCCTAGATATTGTTAAAATGCTTTTAAGTATTTGCATGCATAAAAAATTTAAGTTATTTCACATGGATGTCAAAAATTCCATCTTGAATGTAATTATAAAACAAGAAATTTATATGTTTATATTTACTCTCCAAGAACACCTTAATTTTGGGCTCTAGTAGACCAAATGTTTAGTCAACAGCAATAATTTGATTACTGGGCTAAACTCCATCTAGATTTTATCTAAGAATTATCTACCAAATTCATGACTCTAGATGGGACAAAGTTGCTTACATAGATTAGCTCCCTTTAGTGATTAAGTTAAGACAATCCCAATTTATCCTTTATAATATAAACACAAAATATCACATCAATAAATTCAATGAAAAGAAAGATAAATCTTACTTGATTTCTATTCTATCATCATATGTTACCTCTACTATCAAACCATTAACTTGAGGAAGTTTCACATTTGGATTAAATTTTGCTCATCAACTTGATGACTTTTTCCTTTTTTACTAGCCTCAGATACCCCTCACTTCTACATCTAATTCTCTAAAAAAATTGTCACAAAGAATTTTGAGATCATAGAGAGGTCATAGATGCTCAATAGTGTGACATTAGCCATCAAAGAGGCTGAATTTATCGAGAAGTTTCATTCACAACCTTACTTAGAGAATGATAGTTGGAGACTAGTATGACACATTCTTTAAGCATTCGGAAATCCTTTGAGCTTAAACCAATAAATGTAACTATTAATCAGTAATTACATATCTGAAGCTAAAATTTCTAACATGACTAATAGGAATATGTCATCATTAAAATTGAACTATGGACACATCTCTTAATAAAGTAACAATTTTTTAGTTGAAGTAAATCTAAATTACCTAAAATAAAATATAAATGTGAAGTGGAATGTTGAATGTTATTTCAATAATATCACATAGTAATTTGATGATATATGATATCTAATATTTATTTTCTAATTAATATTTAATATATTCACCTAATTCTGAACATTTTTTTATTTAGTTCAAACTCAATCAATTAATTCCACATAAAAAATGTATGGAACCAATAATTTCAAATCATGGACTTCCATTATAATAACATGAAGGATTTACATACAATTCGATGTCCAAATTATTACTTTTCATTCGTGGTTTTTGTAATTATTAAATTTTATAACAGTTGTCAATAAAGGAATGATTTGAGTGATAAATTCACTATAAATGTGGAATTCAAAAGATGATAACCAATTAAATTTCTTGAAGTACCATCAATAATACATGTTCTCCATTAATTTATGTTTAATTAATTTAGAAAACATATATGAGACCATTTATGTACATCACGTATATAGAATGTTCAACACAATTCAATCCATTTATTTATCTTATGTGAGTTTTTAATCATCAAAACCATATAATGAAGGATCCTGAAGCCAACATAGAGGAACTATATGGCTCATAGAAAATAATCCATAAAAAAACCAAAAAATTCATAGCAAAAAATATCTCTCGTATAATGTAGACACTAACATTCTACAACATAGATATGGATTCCAAATAAATGTATAAAGACATTTATAAATATAAATTTATATTTGAGTTATATTTAATTATTTCAGGAGATTCTCTAGTTTGAAAATAACTCTTGACATCTTGACGACTCGTGTTCAAGGGTACATGACAAGGGAGAGAAGATGTCTAATATCCTTTAGTTACAAAGGAGCACAAGGAACATTCATAACTAATCACAAAAAAGAAATTATGAACCAGTATACAATTTAAAAATCACATGTTGACTAAAAATATTGTATATCTTAAAGGATTAATTAACAATCTAATTAGCATCAGCCAACTATGTATTAACTATGCGAATGATGACTTTAAAATTATAAAAAAATATTTAAAAATAAATACATAAAATTTGAAATAAACATGAGATATATAGAATATAACAATTTTAAAATAGACGATAAATCTTATATAATAAAAATATAATTTAGAAAAAAGAAAGAAAACGTAGGGAACGGCTATATAATTATTTGGGGAACGTAGGCGATGGCGGGCCTGTCGGGGCCTCCCCTCTCGTAGCGTTCTTTGAGAGCGGGGCATTTCCGGATGATCAGCATCTTCATCGAGGCAGGAAGCCCTCCCTCCGGCAGGGACTGGATCTCCGGGCATCCGTTCACGACCAGCTTCGTCAACTGTGAAAGGCCGCGCAGCAGCGGCAGGCTCTGGAGCTGAGGACAGTCAAACAGTTCCAGTTTCTCCAGGAGTGGGAGGCGCTGCAGATCCGGAGGGCTGCGGAGTTGGGGGAAGCCACACAGCGACAGCGACAAGAGGGACGGAAGGTCGCGGAGCTCCGTTGGGATGTGGCAGGGCCCTATGATGATCAGCCTTTGGAGGTAGGAGAGGTTCTGCGGGAGTAGATGCTCGAGCACAGATTTGTTGTCCGTGGCCAGGGTCTGGAGCGGTGGATGCGCTGCGGAGGACGACGGCGGCGGCGGCGACTGCGGCTCATGCTCTGCGAGTTCGGGGGAATGGACATCCGATGGATCCTGGAGGTCCAGTGGGAGGTGATCTCTAGGTACAGATCCGACGACTGCCGGTGGCGAGAGCTGCTCCGTTTCCGGTATAAGATTAGGGCAACAGGTGACGCTTAGATGCGTGAGGCAATCGAGGTATTGGAGGTCGAGGCCCATCGATGCCAGGTTTTCGCAATCGCGGACCTCGAGGGAAACCAGATGGCGCAGGAGCCTCCCAGGTACGGATCGGAGGTTTGGACAGCTGGTAATGACCATCTTCCTCAGGGAACAGGTCATCATGTCTCTCAAATCAGGGAATGATGAGATCTCCGGAAGAGTCCTGAGTCCTACATTCTGCAGGAAGAGATCCACCAGAGAAGCGGGGAGCTGTGGTAACCCTTCCAGCTTGGGGCAACTAAATATCATCAGAGTTCGAAGAGTCGGAAAGATCTTCCTCGTGTCGGACTCCCATTGTGTCCAGTTCGCCATGTCGCCGATTTCGAGAGACTCCAATGCCGGAAACACCACCTCGTCATTGCCATGGAATTCACGGCCGACTAGCGTGACTCGTTCCATCATCATGATCTTCAGATCCTTCAGGGAGCTGAACTGCCCTAGAGGAGGGAGGCTGGCCCAATTTTTGCATCCACGGAGAGAGATATAAGACAGAATGGAATACGAACGAGCACACATCCATGGCGGAAAGACTGATCCGGCATTGTTGGAGATGCTCAGCCTTTCGAGGCTTCTCGGGGGTTCCAGGCCTTTTAAAACTTCCGCTTCAAGATTCTCTTCCCTGGGCATCTCTGTCCATTCCATTTGCAGTATCTTCAGGCGGGTCTTCCTGTGGAGCTCTGCTTGAGCAGCCGTCGTTTCGCTGTCCACATTCTGAAGTTCTTTGATGCAGAGACCTTCCTCGAGCTTCGTCAGATCCCTGAGCTCGGAAATCCTGTACCTGTGCTCCTTTCGGACACGGAATACCTTGAGCTCCTGGAGGAAGGACAAGCTTCCTATTCCAGGAATGTTCGCCACCACATCCTGGTTCACATCGAGGTGCCGCAAGTTGATCAGCTTGTTCATTCCCCGGGGCAATTCCACGAGAAACATGCTCGGCCAGGGCTGGACTATCCTCAGTGTTCGGAGATTCCAGAGATCACACAGCGCCTCAGGCAGGATCCCGATCCTGGTGAAAGACAGATCGAGGTACCGGAGATGCTTCAACTTGGCGATGGACTCCGGCAGCTCTTCCATGTCGCTGTAGGCCAGACACAGCACGCGGATAAATCTCAGGCGGTCAAACAGATCACCGGGCACCCTGCCGAATGTAGAGCGGCTCGAATCGTGCAGATACAGAAGGGATCGAGCTTTGTAGAATCCATGGAACTGCTCCCAGGTGACCTCCTCCCGATTGTTCGAGAAAGACGCATGGCGTACCATTCCGGAGACTCCACGCTCATCCCCATCTTCTTCCATCAATCTGCGGAACTCCTTGCTGGAGACGGATAGCGCAAGATCGTGCATCAGGTCGTGCGTCTGGTACGAGCCGTCCTCGTTGCGGCCGAAGAAGGACCTGAAGTGGAGGTCGTCGAAGAAGATCCTCGCCTCTCCGCCCGACTGGGTGTAGGACTGAGCCGTCCACATCTGGATCAGCCTGGATTTGTCGAAGACGAAGCCCTTGGGGAACACGGAACAGTACGCGAAGCAGGGCTTGCGAGAGCGCGGCAGATATTCGTAGCTCAAGCTCAGGACCGGCAGGATATTATTGGACACGATGAAGTCTATGCTGTCCAGGGTAGACCACCTGGTCTCCTCGAAGCTCTCAGCTAGGAACCCGGCGACCAACCTGATTGCCAGAGGTACGCCGCCCAGCTTTTTAACGATCCTCCGGCCTCGAAGCTCCAGTTTTCGAAGTGCATCGGGGTTTCCGTTCCCGAAGGCGCGCTCCTTGAACAGCAGCCAGGAGTCCTCGTCGGACAGCCCTGATAGGGAAGAATCCGGCGAGGAGATGCCCGGGCCGGCGGCGGCGGCGACCTTGTGGGCGCGAGTGGTGACGATGACTGCCCCGCCTTTTGTGGCTGCACGGATTGGGGGCAGAATCTTATTCCACTCATCGTGCTCATCGCACCAGACATCATCCAGAACCAGCAGAAACCTTCCTTCGTCGAGCTTGCTCCTCAGGCGTCCATGCTGGTCTTGCAGGGTCCTCGAGGAAGAAGCTCCGTCCCCTGTGACTGCCCTGATGATCTTCGCGGCGTCGAACTTCAACCCCACGTACACCCATTTCCTCTCCTGGAAGTGGTCCTTCATCCTCTTATCGTCGAGGATCTCCTGCGCAAGAGCCGTCTTCCCCATCCCTCCCATTCCCACTATGGGCACCAGGAGCACGTCGGAGGACACCGACAGAAGCTTCTCTATGATCCTGCTCTTCTCCTTCTTCCTGCCGACGAAGAACCTGCCCCTGTCCCCACTCTGGGCGGTGGTCTCCCAGCCGCCCGACATTCCGGTCTCCGCCGCGGCGGCGCCGCCGCTGATGGCTCCGAGGCCGAACTTCTTCCAGTCTTCGTGAATCCCCTCCAGCGTACTCCTCACGTCGACCGCAAGCAGCGGCCGATCTGGTGACGGAAGGGCGTCGACCGCAAGCAGGCGAAGCAGAAGGCGAACCAGCGGCGGAGCCCCCTCTCCCTTCCCCGCCGCGCCGCCGCCGCCGCCGCCGCCGCCGCCGCCGCCACCGCCGGTGAGACGGCGAGCTCCACGGCGAACTCGTCTAGCACGTCGTCGGCGTCGTACGCGACGTCCTTGAGGCGCTCCAGCCAGTCGCGAACCCACCCGCCGCCGACCGTCAACTCGTTCTGCTCTGCAAATTTCAGCGTCGCTTCGATGGATCTCAAGGTGGAAGACAGTTTCTCGATCTCGTCGTCGACGCCCCACAGCCGAGCCACCGCCTCCTTGCCGAGCCTCGCCGCCTCCGCCGCCAGCGGACTGAAGAGGATGGAGACCACCGCCCCCACCGCCGCCCCCGCGATCTGTCTCTCCATGCCGTCCTCTCTTCTCTCTCTCTCTCTCTCTCTCCTCTGTCCCTCCTCTCTCTCGGGGCGTGGCGGAGAAGAACCACACAACCAACCTGCTCATCGTTGGAAATCGACGACGCAGCTGGTGGATCCCATCAGAAAGTAAACGCAAGAACGGGAACCCACGCTGGGCCCCATAAGAAACTCTAATGAGGAGCTGTTTTGGGCCGGGCTCTTAAAGTCAATATCGGCCCGTTTGGTACCACCGAGGCTCAGCCCGAGATAGCTTCTTCATGCTTGCAAACCCTACTCTCTCTCTCTGTCTCTATCTCTCTCTCTCTCGCTGTAGCCATGGGCAGCGGCGGAGGCGGGCTGGTGTGGGCGACGGCGGAGGACCTGACGAGGAACCGAGGGCGTGTGTTGTCCCTCTACCGTCAGATCTTGAGATGCCTCAACTCACCGGAGCTCCCTCTCGGAGGCCTCGCCGCACGGCTGGCGAAGAAGGCGGAGGTTCGCACCATCTTCATGCTCGGATCCGAGGAGCGCTCCCTCCACAACATCGCCGACCTCGTGGACGCTGCCGAGTACTCCCTTTCCTTCCTCAAGAAGGGCCGCCTCCCCTGAAGCGTCCAAGTCGGGAGCGGACCTAACCGGCAAGTAAGTTCTTATTCTTCCTGGCTACTCGAATTTCTCTCTGGATGTTGCTGAATGAGCTTCTGATTTTTTTTTCTGATTCGAGTCGTGCCTAGATTCTTCCGGATTTGTCGGTGCGATTATCGAAATGAGATGCTGCTCGTCAGATTCTCCACGAATGATATCCTCAACGGACAAGATGGGGAACTGATTTGAATGATCCTCCACGAATCATATTCTCTTGCACTTTTCCATTTCCATTTTTTTCTGGGCATTTTCCCTGTGCTGACGCTTTCTGTAGGGATATCAGTGGATAGAAACTTTGAACATTTTCTGCAACAGCTAACACTATTTCCTGCTCAGTTTCCATGGATGTTAATTCGGAACGTAATCTGCAGTCATTTCTTTAACATTTCTATTTCCGTCGACAATAGTTTAGAGCATTAGCAGTACAGATGATGATACACCCTACAGAATCCCCACTCTTGTCTAAATTCTTGCAGGCGATGTTGTTCTTGAAGCTGATCAACTTGGTGGGGGATCTATGCTGATCAGATGCTCTGCTGTTGTCATTTCTGCAAATGATGGTTCAGAGAACAAGCTTGGTGATGAACTTGGACTTGCCAAGCTCTTCAGGACGAGTTCTGACACCCCTAGAGAGGAGGAACAAGGCTTTAGACAAGGAGCTGTGCTACTGACATGAGGTCGTATGGTGGAGGCTTGTATGGGCATAGGCAGCATGCACATGCTGGCATGGCACAACACGGCATGAGATGGCATGATGTGGCACACGTGGAGGTGTGCCATGTGCGTAGAGGCACATGGTGGCTCACTGCAGCATGTGTGAGTGATAGAGTAATCATCAATATTCAATAATCACTTTAGCAATAAACTTTTCAGTTGTCATTATTATAATCAAGGGCATCAACAATTGACTCGTCCAAACAAATTAGGTCTAGTTGAAGTTTATTGGGCTGTCAAAATCTAGCGTGACTTCCTAAAGGGCTGTCATGAAATTATCGTAGGAATATAAAAATAGTGGAAGATGTAGGAGGCAATACTAATCAACTTTTATAAAGAAGTGATCCTTGTCGTATAGAGTAGTTTGGGAAGAAACTTGAGCCCTCTATTATAGAGTTTTTGATACTAGATAGCCTTTATTCTTTTTTTATCTCTTCATTGATGATCAAAACATCTAATTGTGATATGCATTAGGTGCTGCCTTTGCTAAACTCAATTATGGAGATTAAGGGAGTGCATCCATAGTTGTATTCTTCTTCCCTTTCTTGTAATGTATTTAGAAATTGAATCTCATTAATTTAGTAACCCATGTGTGATACTTTGAATAAATCTCCTTTTGAATGAATATAATTTCCAAGCTATATTAATCCATTCGAATAATAAATGACCAAAACATAAGATAATGTTTGCATTTTATTATGCCATCATAATAGGTATAAGTTCTCTCTAATAGCTTGACTTTGATCAAGATTTTTTAGAGAAATTATGACTATAATAGGAGTTGATATTTCTTGTTATATCAAAACTAGCCTTCTCCTTGCCATGAAGCATTTGTCTCAATCGTAAATGTTTGTGAGAAATTAGCTAAAGCTAATACAAGAGTAGAAGTCATTGCTGATTTGAGCTTGTTGAAGGTTGCTTGAGCTTCTAAATTCCATTGAAATGAATTATTCTCTAGTAATTAAGTTAGAGGCCAAGCTACGGTTGCATATCCCATAACAAATATTTGATAATAGCCAATTAATCATAAGAATCCTCTTCATTCTCTCATATTTTAAGTATAAGACATTCCACTATGGCTGAGATGTTTCTTTTATATGTAGATACTCCTTCTAAAGATATATAGTGGCAAAGATATTCTAATTGTAGTTGATTCAACTGACATTTTTTTAGTATTTATGTATAGATTGTTGGCTGCTAGAATAAAAAAATATTGTCCATGTGCTCCTCATGCTCTTTTGTAGTTTGACTATATACTCATATATCATCAAAGAATACTCGAACATATTTCTTGGGATATGGCTTGAAAATTTCATTCATCGAAGATTGAAAGGTGGGTAGAGCATTTGAAAGTTTGAATGGCATAACTTTGAGCCCATAGTGGCCTTCATGGGGTTTAAAAGCTATCTTGAGCATGTCAACTCTCTCCATTCAAACTTGACAATATCCATACTTTAAGTCTAATTTAGAAAAAAATGCCATTCTATGCAGTTCTTCAAGTAATTCATCAATGACCGGGATTAAAAATCTATTTGGATTAGTGCCTTTATTAAAAGCTTTGTAATCAATGCAAAATTATCAACTTTCATCTTTTTCCCCTAATTAGTAATATAGGACTAGTATATGGGCTGTTAGAGGGCTAAATAATACCTCATGCATATAGATCTTGGACTAGTCTTTCTATCTCATTCTTTTGAATTTGTGAATATTGATATGGTCATAAATTCATTGGTTGAGTTCTAGGAATAAGATTGAGAAAATGGTCAACTTCTCTTGTAGGAGGAAGTTGTGGAAGTGGTTCAAAAACTTTAGGAAATTATTTTTGTGATCAAATGTTAATCCTTAATTTTTCTTGTGATAAATCAAAGTCATATATTTTGCTTGACCCTTGGTGTAATTTCATTTTTTTTCCAAACATGACTCTTCTTCAATTCTTACTCAACAACCTTTATGGATATACCTATTTTGTTCAAACTTATATCTCCTTTGATAGTATGGTATTGTTGATTATGAATTTCATAATTAAATTTCCATAATGTGAATGTATCGACCTCAAAGTTTTTATTGTATATCAAGAATAACATTGGTGTTTGTTAAGATCTAGAGGTAAGAAATCATGAATAATTAAAAACTCTTGAATTTTCAATGGAATATTATGCCATATCACATTTTCTTGTAATGTATGGCCATTACCCATGACTACATCATAACTATGAAATTTATTGATTGGTAAAGATTATTTTTTCAACAATTCACTATAAAAAGTTATTAGTAATGATAAGTCTTCATTATCATGAGTTAATAATTAGTAAATAATATAGTTTTAGCCTTAACTCATGATAAATAGACTTATATTTGTGTTAAAGTGTGAAAAGTGTTTTCAATTGATTAATGTGAATTTTTAGGTAATTATGTAATTTTACATAAATTTATATGATTTTTACAGTCTTGCTTTTGAGATAAATGAAGAAAAAGAAATAAAAAATAAAAATAAGACAAAATGAGAGGGACCCATCAGCCAGCCGGGTCCGCAAGCACGGTCAGAAGCTCAGTTGGGGAGTAACCGCGAGCAGGGGCTCGAGCGGCTTGGACCGATAGGGGCACGTGTGCACCACTCCCCTTCCACGTCACCGGTGGCCAGCCGGCTGTGGGGCAAGGAGTAGTCGTACAAGCGAGAGAAGAAACTTTGCTTAGAAATCTAACATTACTATATATTCGCCCGAAAAATCGGCGCACAACCAATGTGGGACTAAACCCGTGTCACACCTTCCTCAGAAGGGGCAGACAACTGGCGTGGGTTCGAATCCTCCTAGAGTCAAAATTCATATATTTTTATTTGATTATCGCGACTTTCCTGCAGATCGCCGGTGAAGAATTAAGCAACGAGAATCGCTGGATCATCGACAAAAATCTCGTCAACACGATTCGTGGAGTATTGCTACTAAAATTGCTGAACGATTCGTGATAAAAGGATCACGAATCCATTGAGTAAATCATCTCCGAATGATCGACGAACAAGCCGTCGTCGGGAAGAGGACGATCCGCTAGGAGACGAGTCGCCACCTCCTGAGAGCGTACCAGATGCGATGAAGAGCCTCCTCTTGCTGTGCGGACCTGAGGATGAAGCTCCCTGACACGCGCCCCACCTCCATCCAGCTCCTTTCCGTCGGGTGATAGCTACCGGAGAGCCGCAAAGTCACCATTTTTCTACTCCGCTGGGTGATAGTCACCGGAGATGACTCGACGACCCATTTCATTAATCTCTAGACTTCGCGAGAAGATCTAGAGATTGCCCATGTCGTCCTTGTCCAAAGAGAGCCTTCGAGGCTGTGGACACTACACGACGATCCTCCCAAACACTCAGAATTCTGGTGCATCGCCGACGCATTGCCGTCGCGACGCCAGAACTCTGTTTTCCTACTTTTAACTTACTTTACGCTTCATCTAGTGATAATTTTTGTGTTTTTAATTTACCAAAATATACTTTGTTCAATTACGATTCTTCCGGCTTTTACAGATCTTAATTTGATTAATTAAATCGTTTGTAATCGCTTACGTAAGAATCGCTAGGCAGAACTCTGTTTCTGCCCGATTTGCGTTCGCCAAGCGCTGATGTCATCTTGACGTCTGCACCCTTATTTCCCTTTCTCGTGAATTTTAAATATATTTTCTTTTCATTTCCTAGTATAAAATTAATAGAAAATCAGATTCATTGAGATTTTTTTTGAATAATTACCAGATATTATCTTACATACCTGTGATCGACCTGGAAAATTACTGCTATTTTTGGAAGTTTTATTGAATTATAATTGATATACTTGTTCAAAAATACTTCTAAATATTTGAAAAGTCGTATTTTTTAGTTTTATAAATTTTAGATTTACGTGATTTAAAATACAATGACTGAGTCACGTCAAGTAACATTAGTATTGATGAGGATCGTGACATCTTTATCTTGCACTTCTCTTCTTACTTTTATAGTACCATGTTGAGTCAAGCCCATGATAGAGTTCAAGGAAACATGTGTTGTGAATTGGGTACCTTCCTCTTGTAAAAAATCCTCTATTAGGGCGTAGCCTTCTTCTTGTAATTGCTTCTTGGATTTTCTCTTCCTCTTATATAAGCATGATAATTTTTTGCATCTATTTTCAGGCTCAAATCATTTGTTGCAATAAAAGCAAAGTCTTTTATTCTTCCTTTCTTGTAATTCCCTTTTAGTCAACTGTAACTATCTTCAATTTCCTTTGTTA